TGGGTACAAGAAAACGTCACGGAACCGGGCTACGGCGGACGCGGTGTGCAGCATTGCTTCCATCACTTGTTTATTTGAGAGGTAAGCGTGGTTTCTTTTGTTCCCTTGGCCAGAAGAAAATAAAAGGAAAAGAAAGGGGGGGAAACCCCCGGGTTGAAAGGAACAATACATGAATCTCTTTTGTGTCTGCCTGCCTGCCGTGGCTTATCGTCATCCGAGCCCTGGTAGCAAATTTGGGGTATAAGACTACAAGGTCCTCTGGATGCACCTACCAATCAACATTCCCTATTTGCTGCTTGCTGATGTTTCGAAACAATTGTTCCCTTCCCCCCTCCTTGTCCTCTTTTTTTTGTGTACTTCATCTGTATGGTTTCTATTAAACACCAATGCCGATTTTATTGGTTCATACTCCAAGTCCAGGAAGACGCCACTACGGACCATATTTTTTTTTTTCTTTTTTTGATAGAGATGTGGTTACTGACTCGAGACGCAACAGGCGAAGAAAAGAAAAGTGTGAGGGCCGGTATCTTCACCTCAAGGCGGTGACATTGGGTGTCTATCATTGAAAAGATTTCCCGGTGGAACAGACGACCACATCTTGCAAGACAGTCCACTATCACAGGGTGTGCCGCACCCGATGCGGACAAAAACTCCGCCTTCATGAGCCACGACAGACAGTTCTATGCAGACTGGGGGAACGATGAGCGCTTACAGCCAGCGAAGGTGGACTATTCTATAGCCAGCAGCATGAAGCCTCCATTCCATCATGACGATGGAGATTCACCCTCTGCTGAAAATGCCGAAGCAAAGGGATCGCCTCGTGGCGGTTCCCGTAAGCGCCAACAGGAAAACCAAGGAAGCCAGGCTGATGCTGTACTGATAGGATATATGGAACCAAACCGGCCAGAATTCGCACATGAAGCCTCAAAACAGCATTTTGGACCGCCATTTCGCTCCGAAATGGACTATGACTCGCCACCCAGACTTCAACCGAAAAAGGAAGAGTTGGAAAAATGTAAAGCTCGGCCTGAAATCCCAGGGGTGAAGAAAGCGACCGAAGTACTAGCGACTGAAGCACTCAAAATGCTTCAGCCCATGTCTCAATCGGACCCGACGGAGAGCTGCTCTTTTAAACTGGAGCGAGCCAATTCATTCTCTACTGAGAACAAATTCTTCAACAACGAGCCGCAATCACCCGACGCCCTTTTTAAACTGGAGCGAGCCAATTCATTCTCTACTGAGAGCAAATTCTTCAACAACGAGCCGCAACCACCCGACGCCCTGCTGCTACCGCCGCTCAGGGAGCCATCGCTAGACACGCCCACGGCTGATTCGCCTTCAGTAGGTTCGAAAAAATCGCCCACCACTCAGAGCCTCCCGCCCATCAAGGCCGCACTCTCGGAACTACAGGATCTTCCGCCATCAAAAGATCATCCGGGGCCCAGGTTGAATGGATCATCTCCTTACAACTATCAGACCATTCAGGCCTCCTCACCTCCCAACACTCGCAATGACCTGCCTCGAAAACGCCAGCTGTCGGGGCAACTCCCACCTCCACAACTTCCCCCAAGTCCCTATTCGGCTATTTCACCTCCTAGCACCAAAGACACAGCACCATCTCCTATTTCACAGCAACACTACCATCAACAGCAGCAGCAACAACAACAACAACAACAACAGCAGTCATTGAAACCAAAGAGCAAATCGGACATATTATACATCACGTCCCCGCCAGAGATTGAACTGCATTCCTCAAAAGCAGCAACTAGTCCTGCGGCATACCCTACACCTACCGATCAGCCTGTTGCCGGGTTGGCCGAACGAGCACCTCCGATCTCCTCCTCTTCACAGTTGAATGGGCCGGTAGCAGCAGGTACTTACAAGTGCTCCTGGCCGGGGTGTAATGCCGCACCATTTCAGACTCAGTATCTGTTAAAGTGAGTATGCCCAAGGTGCCTAAGCATGGTTCGGAGAACGTCCGTTTGCTGATTGCGTTCTGTAGTTCCCACGCAAACGTTCATTCGCAGGAGCGCCCCCATTTTTGCCCTGTAGAAGGATGCCCTCGAGGAATCAACGGGAAGGGGTTCAAACGTAAGAACGAGATGCTCCGACATGGTCTCGTCCATGCTTCCCCCGGTTACGTCTGTCCGTTTTGTCCGGACCAGCAACATAAATATCCGCGGCCAGACAATCTTCAAAGGTGAGACTCCTCTGTGGGGAAAAGAAAAAGACACTCGTATCGACTGACACATGAACAGACATGTGAGGGTCCACCATGTCGATAAAAACAAAGACGACCCTGAGCTAAGGCTGGTCCTTGCTCGGAGACCGGAGGGGAGCACCCGGGGACGACGACGACGAGCCCATACCTGACTTCCCACCCCCCCCCTCCCTGCCTCAGGGCTGCGTGGACATATGCATTCGCCACTCGTATATATTGCCATATGCATGATGAACTGTTTGCGATTCTCTCCGTATATTCACTTGACGATACCAATTTGCTAAAGCCGACTCAGCGAGATTCTTTCACTTCTCTTTCTCCTGCTTCTCTTACATATATTTTTTTTGTATTCCTTTTTTCATTACTTGCGGCTTGATACCAGGTTTGCAATACGATCAGGGCGTTCCCGGTGTGGACATGGTAAGATATATATCTACCTATAACTATACATAAGCATTGTTTCTGGATCATCCAGTATATGTATATAGAATCCTCTCCTTATCGAGTATTGGTGGAGAGGAGGAGAGGGAAGGTATAACTGAGCACTGAGCACTGAGCACTGAGCACTGAGCACTGAGCTCTTTGGGAGCCTACTCCCGATTCGAGGATGTCATAAACACGGTTTTATTACCTACTGCCGAGTCTAGACCCCGACATTAGCCAGGAGAATTGCTGACCAATATATTAAAGATACAGGGAGTGATGCATTACTCCGTACAGTTGAATAATATGATAATTTTAGCAAGCAGGCAGGCAGTGCCCACCTAGAGCACCCAAGGCAGATACTACCTTGCCTGCTACCCAATTATCTACTAACAAGATCCTAGATACCTAGTAGTGTAGTATATAGTCTCATCCGGGTATGGATGTGGCCAAGATGAACCATGACAAATCATTACTAAGATAAATATAAAATAACTAAGCAGCAGCCGCCTTGCAGCACCGGATGAAACCGAAATACCAGGTAGTTTACTACTCACTGCAACATTCAAGTACTGACTGGTTAATAATAACCTTCTCCCGGGAGTACTCCGTACCCATAGGATGGATGTACTACCGATATAAATAGAGATGCTCTTGTATGACAGTACAACTGACTCAACCATGGGTTCATCTTTGCAGTAAGAGTACAAGGTAGTATGAGATGCCCCGTGTTCTGTGAGACATATCGAAACCCGTACAAGATCGCTGGGGAAACTAATGCCATGTTCTGACGATTGGTACCTACTCTGTCGACTCTGAGCCAGAGCCTATTAAACAAACTGATTGGAGGTAGAGTAGTGATACTAAGCTGTACGGAGTATGCGATGACTTCATTTGTGGCAGAGTGCAGACTATGCACCTACTTACGATGTTTATACTTATCGAGTACTCCGCCCTGCTATGAATGCTAAACGATGCTGATGCTATACGATGCTGATTAAACGATGCTATACGATGCTGAACGACGGCTACAACCAGTAAGCCATTAATCGGGTGGGGAGGCCAGGTTCTCGATCCTAGATCATATCTACAGTTTTAATACTTAACTAGTTACCTAGGTACCTAGTTATGCTGGGTACTTAGGTAACTACTCCGTACTTACGGAGTCAGTAACTAAGGTAATATGTAGTACGGACTCACCGTATGTACAGTAGTACACTGTACAACTGCACAGACTGGAGAATTTTCTAAGAAATAAGCTGCTGTCAGATCTATAGGTCTAATAGATTCATAATGATACTAGTAAAGTAATTATTCTAGTATGCTGTACTCGTAGATTCGATTCCTTCGTGTCTCGTCCATACGTATCTCGTACCCAAATGATTCCCCCGCCATGCGATGATACTCCTGTTCCAATTGTGTCCCCTGTCCAAATCCAAATCCAAATCCAATAGCAACAACAATTCTAATACCAGACCCCCCCCCGTAAATGCGATACCCAGCTGTTTAGTGTTCACAAGCCCCACCGTTGTAGAAGACATGGTATAGGAAAAAAGAAAAAAAAAAGAAAAAGAAAAGGAAAGCCAAAAACCAATAATTGAAAAACAAGCAAGAACCTGACTAATGGACGTGTTTCTTGTGGATCCGGCGAACATGATCCTTCATGTTGTCCGCGCGGCTGAACATCCTCCCACAGCCCTTCCATTCACACTGGATGGCAGGGTTGTGTTTGGCCTCGTGCCGGGCGCGGTCCTTCTTGCTCGAGAACCCGCCCTCGGTCGCCTGCGGGCAACCCTCGTGCCGACAGAACAGGTGCTTGCGATGTCGGTTGTAGTGTTTGCGTAGGTCACACCCCCGTCGAAAGGTCGCCTGCGACGAACAGCCCTGGTATCGGCAGCGCCAGCTGCCGTCCGGGTTGAGAATGCCATAGTTCGTCAGGTCGTATGCGTTTCTTGGGGACTCGGACCGTGGCAGGTCGTCGTAGGACACAGGCGGCTCGTGAACCTGGCCCATGCAGGGAAAGCCGGTCGGCGGCGGCGACGAGGTCGACGATTCGGACGAGTCGAGGCAGTAGCCTGCAGGTGGCGTGGCGGTTGTTGTCGCGGTAGGGTACAAGGCCATATCGGCGGAGAAGGGTGCAAACGACGGCCACAGAAACCCGTGGACCGAGTCCTCGGCAGAGGACATCCTGATGGAGTCATACTCGATCTGAGAGAACCATATCTCATTGTGGGGTTCTGCCTCGCAGGTGAAAAGGTTGCCCGACGAGGACGAATCAAGCATTTGTGGCGGTAACGGCTCGTAAAAGGACTCTGGTGTCGGAAACTGGTATTGCTGCTGCATCATCTCGACTGATGGTGGAGGGGCCCTGGTAGCGGTAGCGGTGCTGGTGCTGGTGCAAATGGCTGCTGTGGAGTGAATGGTGGTGGTTGTATTCGAATCTGAACCTCCAGCGAGAAGGGAAAGACCAAGGGAGGCTTCGACAAAGGCATCAGCCGGCCGGTTCTCACCGGTAGAGAACTGCGGACCGGTTTCTTTTCGACACGAAAGATGGTCCAGGGGCGGTTGAGCTGACAAACAGTAATGCAATGTCGAGGTGACAGGGATCTCCATAGGGCTGGAAGCAATGTGGCTTCCAGCCGTCACCCAGTGTGCCGTCTTCTGGTGCTGGTTCTTGGCCGGGCCCATCGTGAAGAAAATCGGATGGTTCAGTGGAGGTGCGGGTGAAGCAGATGTCCTTTGATGGTTGGTCGATCGCCTTTGAGATCCAAGATATCGGGTTGCTTTCTTTCTTTCTTTTGTTTTCTATACTTTATTCTTTGCTATCGTTGTCGCAGTACAAAGAGAACTGGCTATACTTCGCAGTGATGGCGGTGATTGAGGAGACTCGATCAAGTATTAGTCCAATAGTGCTGTTTGGTCTTTCTACTAGAGACAAACGCGTCCACGTTCTGGTGGGTTTTATGTCTTCATCTAATGAGGCCGATGATCCGTTTAAGAAGAGGGCGTATGAGGAGGCAGTGTTCTTTTTTTGTTCATTGATCAGCAAACAGATACACAACTTGCTCAACTGAGACAAGCCCGGGGAAACAGGCTTCCTTGTCGATCGAAGCACACTTAAAATTAGCCTTGCCAAAAGGGCTTTTGGATGGTGATCTGCTTCATGGTCAGGACCCAAAATAAAAGAGGGACCAGACCAAGAAGCAATACTTGTCGGCTGAGACACAAGATGCAGCTAGATACTTCAGCCATTCTGTGACGGGGATTGGTGATCATTGCATGCCGCCCTCGAGCACCCGGGGGGGGGGGGGGGGGGGGGGGGGGGCTGTACCTTCTATCAGATTAGGTGTTCTGTAGGGCTGGCGATGATGGGGTGCAAAATGCATGGGCGGGGCCACCAAGTGCCATGCTGCGTCGGCTTGGACGATCATCATGGACAGGGAGGGGACCTGCGTGGTGGTCCATCCGAATGATACCGAATGGAACGGATCAGGAAAAGTCACAATTCACTGCGTGGTGGCCTGTAACCTGCAGGGAACAGCTGGCTAGGACTATCGAAACACCATCGCGCTTTTTTCCTGTTCCAGTCCCCGACCCCGGGCCAAGCAAGTATTTGGAAGACCAACTTGATGATGGAAACAAGAAAAAAAAAGAGACAAGACAAAAAATCCCTTTTGGTAACGAGCCTATGACTGACTCGATGGCCACCAAGTATCATTACTGCGCATTCCAGCAGTCAGCGAGTCGGCGCTCAACGGCAGGCCAAGACAAGGCAAAGGCAAAGGCAAGAGCCAGATCGCAATTCAATTCCAGTGGACCGGTATAGAAAGGTCACACGTGATGGTGCCTCCAATGTTCCACCATCAGTTATTCTCATCAGCTGTAGAGGTCGCACCTCCAGTCGATTTCCATCCGGGCAAGGGTACCTGGAGTGGGGGGAACATGGCTGTGCGAATGAGGAATGAGAACTGACTACATCGTGGCGTGGTAGGTTCTCCGTCATCAGCCTATTGAGTCATAGGCATTGAGCCTTAATGCTGAAGCCTGATAGGTATGTTGTATAATCGAATTTCTTAAGGCTGAGGGGGCAAATCCATCCATACATTGCCCTGCAGGACAGGGACCGATGAGGGGGCCCGCCGACGACGTCAAGGTCGCAATGGCAGAATGCTTGGGTTTCTTTTTCGCTGTCTCTCTCGCTGGTGTCACTGAGCCCGTGCGACATAAACCGCGCCTCTATGGCAGACTGGCAGTCTCCGACTCCCTGTATCCCTGTTTAGGCCCCCCACCGAGTCAGGATGTCCATAATTATGGGGGATTTTTGGGGGGTTTCTGGAAATGTATACCGTAAATTCGTCGTAAAGACCGCCAGACACCGTCGGTTAACACCGAATCAGAATCACCCTGACCAAATTAAGGGCCTGAAAAGAATGTTCCTCGGCGCTCTGTCGCGCTCTCACTGGTGGAAGTCGCAGTTCTAGCGGTGGAAGCAGTGTATGCAGGCGTCGGGAACATAATTCAAAGAGCGGTGTCGATACTATTATTGTTCATGCCTGCAAAGTGCGGAGGACTTTCAAGGCAGCGAGCGACCTCTGACAACCGTCGCAGCCTGCCACTTTTCGTAAAAAGCATTATCGGGCGATTCTCCTTGCATGCATTCGCGTAGGGCAAAAAACATTAGAATTAGAATAGAAATACCGGAGGCTCCCAATCCACAGATGCACTGCCAGTAATCCGGGCGTTGACTACCTACCAATCTAGGGAACAGGTACTTTGAATCACCAGAGACCAGGTGACAAATTCCATGCCAAAGCCAAGATGTGATACATCCTCGATCTAATTAGGATTGATGACGAGACCGGGTTTCTTTTTTCGGGGACCAGAACGAAGATCATTTCCAAGACGGTGATATCTATATATAAATTTAAACACCGACAGGTTTAGGAAGCCCAAAAAAAAAAAACACTCTTGAGACAGGACACGCTAGAAGGATGCAATGATCCTCCAGGTTGTTCACTGCATTAAGTGTGAGCAGCCCTTGACAACTCGTCTGGCTCAGACAGCAATGGGGTAATCAGACTCGGACGACCAAAGATCTTGTCGTCGGCTTCCGAGGCGTTTTTATACAAGATATAGTGCTGAACAATGAAGATGATATCGAAGAAGATGGACACATTCCCCAAAAGAAACTTGACCGGGTTACCCGTGATGCCACTCCAGTCGTTTTCGAGGGCTGAATCAATGACGAGTTGAAGCAAGGAAAGGATACCGCCAGACAGATCGAAAAGAATTGTGATAATGCTCCAGCCAATGGTTGATTTCCGCTTGTAGTTGAGCCACGCCTGAGGGACGTATTTAACTACAGTGGCAACGACTTTGACATAGGAAAAGGCGTACATCTGCCCATTGATGGAGACACATATCAGTACTGAGTCGGAGGTGAACACAGTTCCGTCTGACAGGACAAACATACCACATCAATCCATGCCCAGCTCGACGGGTCATAGCCGCCGTCGGGGCTCCTTTGGAGAACAATGCCAACAACAATGGCGACAGCCAGCAACGAGCCCCAGAAGAGAGCTAAGATCGGCTTGCTGGCGGTCTGGAACCGAAAGACTTTGAAGCCCCAAATCTGCGGCCAAAACTGCGAGTAGATGATCACACACATGATCATCGCATGGAAGGCAAACGCAAAGTCGTTGAACCGAACGGTCGGTTCTGCTGCCTGGGGATGACGGGCCGCATACTGCTCGCGTACCACCGGAGACCAAAGAAAGGCAGTTGTATATACTGTGTACGCCACAAATCCCAACACATTGAGGGTGGGAAGATCAATAGACTGCCCCGCGACCGATCGTCTTCGGATGTTCTGCCAGGGCTGAGGATAGAACGAGGCCGACCAACATAGCGTACTCGAAAATCATCAGCAAGGGAAACACCACAAGTAGACAACAGGCAGTAGCCATACTATATCCATCCTAAGAGACTGTTTGAGAAAGCCACGGCGATCAGTATTCTTCTTCGTCCATGACACGCTTCTCCCACGCAACGGTGATGCAACATACCGAGAGACGGCTCTGAGCAAGATTTCGGACTGCGACGCCATTTTTGGTTGTGGGAGCAAGGAAAATAGGCCGTCTTCCAGGTTCAGAACTAGCAGCACAAACACCTCCCGCGCGAGGGTCGGTCTCCGTCCATTTAATACGCAAGAATATTCAGGAGGGAGAGTGGGAGCGCTGCGTGATAAGATAACAATGGGTGATCGCGTGCGATAGCGTTCGGATGGCGGAAGGCTGAAACGGCAGGCGGTCAGCAGATGCAAGCTATCGTGCCGGATGCTGAGTCAGCGGCTGGTTGTCCGGGATATGAGTTAGCGCGCTAAACCCGAAACAGAAAACAGTTGATTCTCGCCCGCCTCGCCTGCATCGCCCAGCCCAGCCCTGGACTTCAGCTGCCTGACCTTGTTGTTATTCCTGCGAGTTCGACAAGAGATTTCGGAGCTTGATCCAAGAGCAAGGATATTCTTCCCAGTTGCGCGATTTGAAATCGCTTTTTCCATTGCAAGCTCGTCTTTCGTCTCCCTGCCTCTCGACTTTAGTTCCCCGCTTTTGCATTCGGCTTCACCGACAAAAGCATAGTCTATCGACCTCCCCTGGGTCCCCTTGGTTTCTTTGTCTCATTTGCCATTGTACGATCCAGATTACCGTCGAATCTTGATATTTCCGCCACGAGAGTCTGTCTCATTCCTCTGCGGCACATGGTGCATTCCCGAGAGTGGGGGATCTGAATAGATCTCCTTCGGCTGCCTCGACATTCCACAACCCTCGCAATCGATCTTCGACAACCTTATCAGAAGGCGGGACTATTTGGGAACGATGACATCTGATTCAGGCCTCGCACCTGCGGGGAGCAGCACCTATTCGTCCAATACGTTGCATGTAGGAGACGGAACATGGGACAGCAGCCGGGACACGTTTCTGCTCCCCAACTTGATGGGGGTCAACTTCGCTACTATGCGATACAATGGTGAGTGGACTAAAAAAATGGCGAATCTTTGGGATTTGGCGCTGATCAGACTAGGAATGGGCAATCGGTTCCGAGACATGACAGGATATAGATCCATGATCATCGCCCACGGTGTCATCGCAACCATCGTTTTCCTTGGTCTTGTCCCTGCCTCTGTCCTCATAATACGATACTACTCCCGCTGGAATCCGTTCTGGGCATTCAAGCTACACGTGTGGTGTCAAGTCTTGACCTTGCTTCTGACCACCGTCGTTTTCGTCCTCGGTTGGTTTGCTGTCGGTCCAGAGAGAAGTCTGACAAACCCTCACCACGGTATCGGCCTAGCTATCTATGTGCTGGTAATATTTCAAGTTCTCTGGGGCTGGCTCACACACAGAATCGAGAGTCGGAGGAAGAGGTATCATGTACCATTGAAATTGGTGGTACGTCAATGCTCAAAACTTACGGGACGAGTCCATATGTTCTAATGCGTGTATTTTCCCTTCTAGATACACAGATGGCTCGGTCGCATTCTCGCCATTCTCGGGATTGCCCAGATCCCTCTCGGTCTTACTCTCTGGGGTTCGCCGAAAGTGCTCTTTATCTTGTTCTCTCTAGCAGCCTTCGGGTATCTGGTGCTTTTCTTCATACTTTCATATCTATATGATACCCAGGGTTATGGTCCCAGCGGCGAATATGATGCTCGGCAAAGCTATATATCTGGCACCTCGGCTTCTGAAGGAAACCGTCACAGCAATCTTGGTCGTATGGCTGCAGCGGGAGCGGCGGGCGCTGGATTAGCAGAAGTATTCAGAAGACGAAGCAGGAACAGAAGCGAGGCGTACGATCAATCCCACACGTCCTATACTGAAGAAGAAAAGTTTTCCGACGCCGAACCTCGTCGCAGTGGTTGGGGGAAACGCTTTCTCGAAATTGGAGCACTTGCAGGTGCTGCGGTCCTGGCGAAGAAGCTTTTTGAGAGGCGACGGGACCGGGACAGTGATACCGAATCGGGACGGTACAGCCGAGCCTATACAAGAAGCGACAGTATGACAGAAGCTACACTCAGCAGGCTTGAGGATGGGCGTCCAGAACCTACCCACCATACGCCACTCAACCGACCCCCAAGTCGTCCACCCAGTCGTCCGCCTAGCCGACCGGGGAGTCGTCCGCAGAGCCCCGACTCGTCGTACTATTACACCAACTCGTCATATCTTACCAACCGTGATGCGAGCCGGTCACATGGCTTCCGCGATGCTTTGCTTGGTGCGGGCGCCTTTGCGGCATTCAGAAATTTGTTCAAGCGCCGCAAGGATAAGGAAATGGACGAGAAACAACGCATAGAGGAGATACGCCGTCAGGATATCGAGGAGGAGAGACTTGCAAGAAATAACAGCAAACGGCAATACACGGGAGATGGGTTCTTCCCACGCAAAAATCGGAGGACTTCGTCTTACTCTACGGATGTATCAACTGATATTTCTCGGCCTCCCCGCGGTCCACCTCAGGGCGAGTCCGCTCTGACTGGTGAGCCTGTCATGTCTGGAGTGGCTCACACACACCCGTCAGACATTCCACCTATCCCTGCATCTCATCACGGCTCTATCTCCGAGCTCACAGCGGATCCACGTGTCAATCGCAGCGATGCGCCTGCGGGGACCGAAATGACGGATATAGCAGCTGGGGCTGCCGCGGGAGCGGCAGGAGCAGCGGTCGCCGAGTCAGCATTGGGGTCATCCTCTTACACGCATCGTCGGCAGCGGAGCAGTAGCAGGCGCCGTGAAGAGCCTGTAGAGTCCCCTCCTGTATCAGTCAAGGTAAAGATGCATAACGATGGCCGACATGTCACCTTGAGACGACTAACGGAAGAGGAGGCGGCCGCCAGCCGTGAAGCACGTCGCAGGGAACGGAGAAACTCCCGCCGCCGCCAGGGAAGCGTCAGTTCGTTGTCTGGCAACGAAAGCGGGAGTTACGACCGATGGCGCCGTGTTGAAGAACTGGAACGCCAACAGGCAGAGCAGACGCGGAGAGAACAAGAGGCCGCACTTGCGGCCGCTGCAGCAACCACAGCCGCCCCTCCTCCTCCTGCTGTTGCCTCCGTTGCTCCATCCGGCACTGTCCCACCCTCTGCAGTGTACATGCCGCCGCCATCAAATGCCACTCTCGTTCCGCCAGCCGCACACCCCGCCCCGTCGAGCTTGCCGTATGGTCCGGGGAGCATTACATCTCCAGGTACCTGGACAGGCACAGAAGCCAGTGGCGACTACGCCAGTAATCGGAGGCGGCGACGTGCAGAGAGAGCCCGTGCCCGTCAAGATAGACAACAGCAGCATGGTGTCGAGTTTACCTAATGCTTTTTTACCTCTCCCCTTTCCCCCACCCCCAAAAAAAGCACCTCCAGAAGATCCATCTCCTGGCATGGCCTGGTTGAGTACATATCGGTTACCTGATTTTCTTCCCCGCCTCCCTCTCGATGTGATTATTTATTTCCCTCTGATATGAGCTACTTGACTTGAGATGACCCCCCATTTGCACGATTTTCAATACGCCTTGTCATGACCACTTCTTCTATACACTTACCCCTGATGTACCTCATGTCAATTTTCCCTTTTCTGTTCACATCGCTTTGCGTTTGGCGTATACCCGCCTGATGATCTTTGACTATGTTGGATAATTGCTCGCAAGACAGGATAGCTGTCTATTTTTTTCCAATTAACGCCTCTCTCCATATGTTACTTCTGATCAAATCCCTTTTTATGATAGATTTATTGAGCAGTATTCTTCTCCGTGTTTTTTTCATCAACTTTCTAGTCTATGATAGTTACGTTGTGGCATGTATTCTAAGGAAGAAAGAGTTTCTGGGGCACAGTAATCTTCCATTCAAATTGAGAACAAGGAATATTTTTAAGGACTCTTATCAAGCATTGCATGAAGTGAGCCGCTTTAAACCCTTTGGTAAACTGACTTCCCTTGAGTGACTGAATATGTAATAAACAGAATAAACATACTAGAACCACAGCCATGGAGCTGATCAAGAAAAGCAGAACATAATCGTCCCCAGACTCTCGCCTATAACAGTACTGCGAAAATTCAACGGGCGGGATCATAACATCAATCCGAGCGAAGTCATTGGAACGGCGTTAGTTTATAGGAGATCACCACTCATACTGGGAGCTCCTAGAAGTCCTTCTGGGTTTTAGCTTCGACATGAAGTTGATTCAGTAGCCAGACTGTCGAGGCCGTGGTGAACAATGGAATAGCCTTCAGAAGGATAATTCCCTCGGAAATAGGCTTGAAGGAGGCTATGTATTGCAAAACAGCAATACTAACGAAGACCATATGGATGAACAAGATCGGCATTACGAATTGGATTCGCAGCAGATCAGCAACCTTGCTAGGTGTTGTTTCGGGGTGGGATTTGAAGATATCGTCATGTTGTTTTGTCCTTGACGATTGGATTGTAGTGGTTGACCAGTCGAGTTGTACATGGAACAGATAGGATATTTCTTCCAGTGAGGTACGCCGTGGACTCTGCAGCTTTTTGATCGAAAAATCAACCAGAACAAACTTAGCCAGGTTTTTCCATCCGAGAAGATTTCGCCGAGAAATCACATCTTCCAATCTGCTTTGCGTATACATTGTTCCTGGTATACGAGGGTCAAACTCATCATCGTGGCCATCATTTGAATGTACAAATGCCTGTGCCGGATGGTTTTCAAAGGGAGGAATCTTAAGACGAGGCAGAGAGATCGAAAGAGAGTTTCTTGCCTTTTTCAAAGGTATTTGATAGGTTCTTTTAGGGCTTCGACGTGGCGACCGCTGAATACGCCGCGGACAGGCCGGCCCCAATCCTCCGAATTGTTTTCTGTGCTCTTCTTTTCGGGAACAAAGCGATTGTGACTCTATAGAGAGTTGTTTCTTCGAGTAGCACCTGGAAATCCCAGCTAAGCTCGATTCAACGGGGTCAAACGCAGGTACCGCCTCGTCAGTCGTAGCCTGGTCCACGCCATTTTCAGACTGCGTGCGACTAGGGGGTTCAAAGGCAGACTTAACATTCGTATAGGATGTCTCGCCAGTCAATTTCCAACGTAGCATGTCTTCCTCAGTAATGATTTTTATATCGGTCCCTTCCGTTATGTTGTTGATCGAAAGACAGTAAGGCAAGCCGTTCGACTGTGTTTCCGAAAAAATCCGGCCATGTCTGAGAAATTCATTACGATATGAACAAGACAAATCCGAGTCTGTTCCACCGTTCAGAGACGCGGGCGTATTATGGGGATTCACTGGAGCCCCCGAGGTGTCACAGATCTTTTCCATGGGCATATCAAACAAAACCTTCGAAACTAGCGGAGGCGGACGTTGACCGTCTAGAGAACTTCCCCTGTTATTCGGATGGGCTTGCTGAGCTGCTGGCTGTCCATAATGACTTGCAAAGTCGACAGGGAATAGATTGGCCTCTTCTTGGATGGTGAGCCAAATTTCATGCGCAGGCATCAAGCAAAGACAGGAATCCTTATTTACCTTGTCGAAGGCCCTCAATATTTTCTAGGGACGAGGCTATATGTGCAGAGACATGATCTGAACCTTCCTGGGCCATTGTCAATCTGCAGAACAAGAACGTCGAAGATCACGAGTTCTAGGTAGGTCGTCAAATCAAAGACGGGCCAAGTTCGAATCCAGCAAGGACTCTTTTGGGGGGTGGGAACAGGAAAGGCACAAAATACAGAAGAGTGGTCGGATGGAAGAGGCCTTTGCAAGTCAGAAGCCAACAAGGCCGTCTGGGGCATGTGCGCCTTCCCGAAAGGAAAGACGCTTGGGACGGAAGGTATGAACTGCGATGGACCCCCAAACAGAATTGGGAAAATGAAAATACTATCTTGTCTGTCGATAGGGAAAAAGGTCCCTGGAAATAATAAGATCTCTTTCGAGAGAATGGTTATAATTCTACAGGTTCAAAGCTGATGGAAGCGCGACTGGATATGTACATCAAGCATCTATTTAAGGACGGCCTGCAAGCTCTCCAGAACCTATTCATCATATTAGCATTGTTCCGCTCTGTCACAAAAGACCTTGTTGGGGAAAACGAACCTCCAGCTCAATCTTGGCTTCAGCAATATCCTGCTCGCTACCGCTACCACCGGCAATTTTCTGGGCCTCGGCGATCTGGGCCTTGACAGCCTATTTCGAGATTTAAAATCAATAAACGATACCACTTATTCGATGTAAAATGGAACTCACCTCGGCGCTGAACTCCTCGAGGGGGTATCCCTCAACAGCGTTGATGCTCAGCTGAGAATCAGGCTGGACGACGGCGAAACCTCCAGAAACTATTTGAAGAAGATGTTGATTAGCTCACAGCTCGGTAGTTTCAACAAGTCATCTTGAATGGATTGATATTGCTCTGCTTTCAAGCATGATAATAAGGGAAAAGTTGGTCGGACATACGGAAGTACTGCTTGGTAGAGCCACCCTCCTCAATGATCTCAACCAGACCAGGCCTAAGCTGCTCAATGGACGGGACGTGGTTGGCAAGGACACCCATGTCACCGCTGGCGGCGGGGATGTTGACCTGGACACTATTGTGGTTCGGAGAAGTCGGTTAGTCTCTATTCGCGACGAAGGGGGAACGCTCAAGGCAGGAAAACGCTTCGTAGGTGTACATACACGCCGGTGGACTTGAAGATGGTCTTATTAAACGATACATGTTAGCAGATAACACAAAATGAGGACGGGCAGATGCCCCCAATTCCACGTCGTCGTACCTGGTGAGGAAGAACCAAGGACAGCTTGATCTTGTCCGACACGGCCTCGGCGTACCCTCTGCGCTGGAGAGGAGCAGCAAAGGCAGTGGGACGGGCCCGGAGGGCAGAACGAGCAAAGCGGAAAGCGCTCATCTTGCAATGGGTTGATTGAATAGGGTGACGATGATATCCCTCTGAACCCGGGTTGAATTGCAAAGTGAGGATCGGAGGCCGGTTGGTTCCTAGCGGCTCTGGTCTTTGGTCACGTGACGCGAACCCGTGCGGCGGCGCGGCCAACCGCCGTCCACTTCCGATGGAGGGCGGCGAGGGCCTCTTCAAGAAGTTAACTTGGACTGAAGAAACGAGTACATCTAGTGAATACCCAATGTGATGATAATTTATTTAAGAATTGCTGCAGATTGGAACTTTAGGAATCAATGATCCGTGTCTTTTGTATATTCCGGGCTTCATCACTGTAATGTCAACACTTCAAGAGGGATACCTTTTCCTGGGGTATTTCTTCCCGATTATATCAATATCTTGCTTGGTTTGATTCCTTCTACACTATCTCCAAGGCGAGGCTCAGGAGTACTCTGGAAGTCTTCTTTAAAGAAGCCAAGCTTAAGAGTACAGTAGTAGTAGTTACTACATATGTCACCAAGTCGATATGTATCACGTAACAGATCCGAGATGCCAATGCCCTCATGCTTCATGACAGTATACCATCCATACGTTCTATCTTTTTGGATTTTGGGATTCAAAATCAAGGGTCTTATCTACGAGCGTACGTGGTTTTCTTGATTCCATACATTTCGGTGCTTCCTCTAGAAATAAAAATACAACGCATATCTTGAAAGGTTTACTATAGTTGATATCACTATAATTGATATCACAACGATAAATTTGGTTGGAAATATTTAAATAAAATTTTTATAATTGATAAATCCCCGTTTCGCAAGAGAAGAATAAATTATCTAGTCGAATATAATGCCATAAAGCATAGCATCCATTTTATTATAATTGCTGAGTGACAGTCCTCTGTTACTAAAAGCGGGAGGGAGCTCTGCTAGCCGTTGGGCGTAAGCGAGATCCCACACAAATCTCGTGTCGGCAGCCCTAGCCGTCCCTCCGGTCTGTGGCCTCCAAGTTCAAGGACCGGACAACCTCACCAGTCAACCGTCACCACCCTTCGTTGCGCAGATACCGACAAGATGGCGAGTACGTGTTATTGTCTCCCTCTACTCCAATAAATATATCATTGTGCTTTGTACGCTGACAATTATCTTTAAATAGAGTCCAAGAACTCGTCCCAGCACCACCTTAACCAGAAGGCTCACAGGAACGGGTGCGTTCATCCTACCTACCCCTACGCGTCCCCGTCAGAAATTTGAGAAGGCAAAAAAAGAAAGGATCCATGGTCTTCTCGAATCGAGTTGCGACATGGTCGATATTGAACAAGCGGGAACACATCGTACAAAGAAGATGACGCTGATATTCCATTGCATCGTACAGCATCAAGAAGCCTAAGACTCACCGTTACCCCTCCCTCAAGGGTGTTGACCCCAAGTTCCGCCGCAACCACAGACATGCTCTTCACGGCACCATGAAGGCCCTGGTACGTTGACGCAGCCATAGGCAGACGCGGATACCCATCTCATATTCCGTCTCGACCTGCAATCTTACACACACACACACACACACACATATATATACACATATATATATACACCCCAACTATTTGGGAGGGTCTGGGCTAACTTCTCTGCAGAAGGAGCGCAAGGAGGGCAAGCGCGAGGTCGCATAAATCAAATCAACAATTTGATTTTTGGAGTTGGGGTGGTGGCTTCACGGACGATGACAAAGAATCATGTCAACATAGGCTGCTAGGAGTCGATACAAAAAAAAAGTGTACTCCCAAAATACCTTCACATAAGCGATTTTCGATCAACGAAGGAGGGGGGGAAATACCAAAAATGATAAGGTGATATCCACGACTCGTTCTATGGAGCGGTCCCCCTGGAGTTTGATTTCCATCTCCACTGCCTTTTCTTTTTCTTTCTTCTTCTTTTATTTACGGCATATGTGTGTACAGCCCCGTGCCTCTCCATGCACGAATGCTGAAGGATTTTTGAACGTGCCAAGAGCAGATTCCATGCCCTCCAATTAACAAACACCCTCTGTCTTGCTTTCCCATGGCGAGAGGGTGCATGGACGGAGGGCTACACTAAGTAGACTCATCGAGTTTCGGCTTATATGAAGTTTTGAATTGAAATTGAAATTAATTGGTTTTGAATTGTTTTATTTCTTACTTGTTATAATTACTTCCAAATGACCAATCGCTTGTCAAATCCACCACTGATCAGCCATTCCTGTCGCTGCTCTTTCTCATCCTTGACCCAGCCCGCCCAGATCGTCCGGACTTTACTTCCGGGCTCATGCCCCTCCTTCAATATTGCGACTACCTTCCCGGTCTTTGCCTCAATGCCTCGGACCACGCCGTCGTCCCCGTTCACCCAGATTCCGGAGCCGTCAGGCCGCCACACCACCTGTGGCGTGGAATACGCCGTCTGCGGCGCAAACGTGTTGGTCTGAATGACGATCGCGGCGTCCTCGCGGTTCTGCAGCGACAAGGCCGCGAGCGCCTGTGCGGCTTGTGTCTCTGGCGCTGCCATTGATCTTTCTCTCTCCGCGAATGACTCGACGCTGCCGTCATCGAGACGCTTTATTGGTGGAAATAAAAGTCGCACAATAATGAGTTTCATATGCGGGAGGGTTGAAGTAGCCACGGCCAGAAGCGAAGGGTCATGCGGACTCACTGCGAGGCAGGCAGGCGAAAAGGCAACCCATGCCGTTGAATGGGGGGCCAGGTTCTGCTTGCCGAGTAATCTGCACTCGTACGGGGCAGACCCTACAGTACCATCATCTTCACTGGCCCTCTCCGGTGATGGGACTGGGGCTTGTCCAACCTGGTAGTAGAATAGATACGTAGAATCACGCCGGGAAGCGAGGAGAACCAGGTCCCCCGTATCCGGATGCCGGAGGAATAGCATGGATTCAGGGTTGCTGAGCAGATCGATGCGGCCGACGGGCTCGCCGATCGTAGTCAACGGACACCCCCCGGGGGCGAGAGTAATGCTGTAGACGAAGATCTTCATATCCCATCCCGCGGTCGCGACCCAGAGCTTTCCGGTGGAGTGGTCTTCGTACGCGACCACCTGGACAGCATATTTAGTATGCTCCTTCCTGCGGTCGACCACCTCTGAGCCATGCAAAAGCAGGAGGTGCCCGGACATGGATGTCATGAACATGTACGCGCCGTCTTGAGTCGAGACGTATGACAGAATCGGTGAGTCTGAGAGGCCGGCCAGAGACGTCGCGATGTCATGCTCAGGGCGGGTTCGGACGAGGTGCACCTGTCTGTCTGCCCCTGTGGCGACGATGTACGACGGCCTCGTCTGGGAGCTGTCCTGCTCGGTCATCGGTCCCTGCCACGAATCGACCGAGCTGGCAAGAAGATTTGAGCGCGTTTCAACGATGCTCGGTTGCGCAGGCGCTGAGTGATGAGTTAGCATTGATATCCCCGGTTCTACCTGGAAAAGAAGAACTGCCCTCCTTCCCGGATGGCACTCACCTGGAACTGTCCAAATATCCTTCTCCTCGTGCCCATCGCCATGCCTTTCGAATTTCAGGCTCTGATCGTATGCCTGCTTCTCCTCCAGCAGCTGTTCAATCGTCCACTCGTGTCTGCCCGCCTGCCCCGCGTCAACCGGAAGACCCGCCTCGTGAATAAAGGCATCAAGCGTCTCTGTGTAATTGTTTGCCCGCAGGAAACGCGCCACAAGTGTGCTTGCTAGTGGCTCTGATCGTGGCGTTGAAGAAGCCATGGTCTATGTGGGTGTGTTGATTGTTTTGGTCGAGCCACCAGACGGTCGAATGCAAACAGGGCATATTATTCTGAGCGGAAGACAGGTTACTAACTAACCACACGCCCTCTCTTCTTTCCTTCTCCCTCCCTACTTCTGCCTCCTCCTCAATGGATCTCTAGAATGTTAGATTCCCAGCATTTGATTTGGAAAATCTAGCTCTATTTTCCTACCTGAATGAAAGTCTGACACCCACCCGTGCTCAACTCCGAATCAGCCATTTTGGAGTCGACTTCTGTCTCTAGACAACAAAAAACGATTGTTGAATTCGTGCGTCATTTTGCACACTCGCTTCAGATTACGTTTTGCTGATTATGCACAGATGAGGTGTTTCAAGCTACATAGCCTTGTAGGGCCAAAGACCCCTTCGCAGTGCTTACCACTCGCCATGAAACATGGTTGATATCCACACGCAGCACGGAGGATTGCAATCACGAAGCCCCTCGTTTAAAGAACAGCTAGCAATGGGTCTAGAACCCGGATCTACCGATTGGTCTTCCTTGCGATTATTGTGACCCAAATTTGGGTTGAAACTGAGTCCCTGAACTCCGCTCCCGACGCTTTGACTGGTTCGTCCACTCAAAGAGGGCGTCTCAGCCTCAGATCGGAATATCCCATTGGGGTCACATCTACCATATTTACACTTTTCGAGAAGAAATCCTCAAGCTGGCTGTTAGAGACTGTTTTACCTGAAAAATCGGCTGCATGGTCACGGGAATCGTGTGTTTGATTACTGTATGCAACTCAAGGCCTCAACATTCCACTATTCGGATATGATCCGCCATTCAGACACAGCTACTCTGCATCCTCAAGCCTTGGATGTTGCTCCCAATGTTGAACCCTTCTATGGTAGGGTTCGTTTCATATCCCAGGATGAAACCTCACTGCTCCATAGCCAGTGCCGACAAATTGTGACCTGTATGACTACCAGTGCCGATTACCGAGGAATCGGGGCTTCAAAATAGACAAACAGATATCTATATATTCCTACATAGAATGGACAGATCCTCGTCGAATCCAACCCTCTCACTCTCACTATCCTTCTCAATTCAACGCTTCGACGCTTTCCAAAGATGACATTCGGAATCCTTTCAACCCTTGTTGCTGGGGCATCTATCATGTCCCTGGCTTCTGCGAGTCCCATGCTCTCAGCTCGTGCTACCTTAGGTGAGAATAAGAGGAAGATGATGTCCCTTCGTCATCGTGGGACCACTTGTGGCTGACCAGATTATAGATACCGGGTCCTTTGCTGACCTTCAGCGTGCCGCTGAGCTCTCATCTGCTGCATACACTGGGTGCACTGGAACCGCATTTGATGTCACTGTTACCAAGTCACTTAACGATGCGACAACCGACACTCAGGTATGATTTACTGATTCAGCCCTTGTGTACAGGAAGCCGGGTGGACTAAATCATTATCAAGGGATTCATCGGATACTCGACCTCAAAGAAGAAGATCACTGTGTCCATGAGAGGCTCTACAACTGGTTAGCTATTGCAATTCCTTGCTACTTTTTAAGGAGCTGGTTCTAGAGAACAAGTAACTAAGGACCCTAGTCACCGATATTCTCAACGACATTGACACGACCTTGGTGACACCCACTCTCTCTGGAGTCACCTTCCCCTCCGGTGCCAAAATGATGAAGGGGATCTACTCCCCCTGGTCATCTGTGCATGACACTATCATCTCCGAGGTCAAGTCCCTCATTGAGAAGTATCCCGACTACTCGCTCGAGTCGACCGGCCACTCGCTCGGCGGTGCCCTTACATATATCTCCTATATTGCGCTGGCGCAAAACTTCCCCGACAAGGAGATCACCAGCAATGCACTGGCCGCATTCCCCATTGGCAACCAGGCTTTTGCCGACTTTGGAAGCTCCATCAATGGCACTCTCAACCGTGGCAATAACGAGGGCGATGGTGTTCCGGTATGACCCTTCATTCTCCAACTCCTCTTGAAAATTGACAGACTAACCTTACTCTAGAACATGTATATCTCTCTGCCGTACGACTTTGTGCACTACGGTACCGTAAGTTTTCCTCCCCTTTTTTTCTTTTGGTTTTAAATATATTGATGGTTCCAGGAATACTACAGCTACGGAACGGCAATCAGTAACCTCAAGTGCAGTGGCGAGCGGGACCTGATGTGTTCCGCTGGCAATGGCCTGGTAGGCGTCACCCCGGGACACTTCTACAGCTTTGGAATCGCAATGGGCGCTGCGGGTTGTGCATCGCTTTTGTGAGGGCCCTTGAGCCAACGGAAGCGGAAGCGGAAGCGTACAGTCAGCTAGAAGGAGGAGATTGACGGAGACAACACCGATTTTGATTTTTTTTTTTTGTGGAATTTCATTCAATGTTAGAGTATTTTTTCCAATTTTGAATTTGATATTTGCCTGTCGCCTGGATATCTAGGATTTGCAAGATTAAGAACAAAGTAGATGCAACTTGACGTGGTATAGAATAAATTTATTGTCAACAAATGAAAATAAGAAAAGAGGGAGAAGGAAAAAAAGAAGAAGAGAAAAGAAAATTGAGACTGCTGTAAAAATTGAAAAGCTTAACTAAACATATCTTCAGCTCTGCGTCGCTGGCCCCCTCGCCCGTCGATCTTTTCAGAAAAGAGCTCTTTGCCCGCATTGGCGTTATTATATTTGGAGGGGAACAGCTCGCGGACCGAGGCGTCCATGCCCATGCCCTTGCCCTTGCCCTTACCCTTGATGGCGAGGCCTGCTGCGGCGCCTCGAATGGAGAGATCAGAACCCTCTCCTCCTCTTCCGGCTGCGGATCCGCGGATCCTGCTGCTGACCGCGGTGGTGTCGGGGAAGAGTTCGATATTCTTGTTGCGGCCTGCGTCGTGGGCGCCGTCGACAAGGGGAACAGAGATGCGTCGCGCGAAGAGGTCTGCGGTTTCGTCGGCGGCGTCAAAGGCATCGGAGCGTCGATGGTTGCTGTTCTTGGTTGGGAAAAGCTCCTTCTTCAGAAAACTCGCGGCCGTCTTGTTGGGGAACAGCTCGCGGGTGTCGTCTTCAGAGGAGTCCGCGCGGTTTTTGGCAGGGAACAGCTCGCGGCCCTGGTTGCGACGGCTGAGCTGCGGAGACCGCTCGCGGAAGCGACGGCGCGAGCTGGTTGCGTGGTTGTGGTTGTCGTCGTTGTTGGCATTGTCGCCGCGCTCTACCCGGCCGATATCGTCCAGCGTGTCGCGACCGGGTGAGGCGCTGCGGTTCCGCAAACGACCCGATAGCCGGCCGCTGTCGTCCCCTGGGAACAACTCGTCGCGCTCCCTTCGTCGCCGGCTGGGGCGACTACGCTCGGCATCTGATAGGTCGTCGGTACTATGATTGGTGTTGTTGGTGGTGGTGTCATCGTACATGTTGGCCGTGATGCCGTAGTCTCCGTCACGGTCCCTCCGACGTCGAAGCTCCTGGTCATCGAACCGTCGCCGCCGGTACTCTCCGTCGCTGGTATCGCCACCACCTCCTTGGCGCCTTCTGTCGGCGAGCTCGCGACGCAAGCGCTCCCGCGGGTCATGCTCCGGGTGCATGAGATAGAACCGACTGGCCTCGTGGGCGCGGGCCTTCTTACGATCAGTCTTGACGGCGGCGCGAACCTGAAGGACAGAGTCTGGATGGCTGGACAAGGCCTTTGCGGAACGCAGTCGCAGAGCTGGTAGCGAAGCGGCTTCCTCTTCGATGATCTGTGTGAAGGCAGCCAAGGCCTGCAGACCGATGTCCGGGGACGAGTACACGATATTCGCGGACGTGTCGTCGATCCATTCGACGCGGCTCGGCAGCTCGACAGTGAAATGCTGGGCCGCGAATTGTTTGATATTATCCGTTGTCAGCTCGTCGACGCCTCGGACGTGAATCTTCTCGTACTGTGCTTCAGTATCGAGGGGATCTACCCCACTCTCCTGAGGAGCTGCTGCCACGGAATCCTAACGAATTAGTTGAGGGAAATAGATGGCTGAGGGTGCTTCCTCGACTCCTTACCATCTCAATTGCATCCACCTCGGGCATTGGACCAAGGTCAATGTCCATGTCCATGTCCATTGTCGCGTCCATATTCAACGCCGGCTGCTGCAGACTGGCCACTTCCATGAAATGAAATATAATGGGAGCAATGAATTGAGAGAACTGGACGCCAGTTTCTTTCCTTCTCTCTTTCTTCCTTCTTTCTCCCTTTCTTCAAAAGCTCAAGCAAGCTCAAGTAAGCTGAAGCTCAAGCTCAAGTGAGAATCGTTACGTTGGTTGACTTTGCCATCATCGTCAGTTCGGCTTCACCGCCTTCTTTCGCATGGCAAAACACGTGATTTACCGCCTGCTCCTTGAGGTATAGTCACGTGTCCCTTTACTCTCTCTTAGTCAGCTTCTCCGGACTCCGTGCTCCGTGCTCCGTGCTGCGTTTTGTTACTCCGGGACTCCGTACTTGGCTCTCTGGCAGATCTCCATGACGACGTCTGTAGTGTCGATCCTCTGGGTCCAAGCATTACGGAGGATTGTGCCCACTGCGCACTTCCCAGTGCGGACTGACTATCGACGCTAAGAGGTTCCAAAAGCAATATAGATGGAGCATATCCTCCGGAGCACGCCATCACGGAGAAGTTCCGGTGAGTACTAACGAAAGATCAGCGAGCTGCTTGTTGCTACCGACGAACAAGGCCGACGGTCGTCTCTGCAGAAACGGGGTACTCCGTACGGAGTATCTCGCTGGCCTTGGCAAGGGGGAGTACGGAGTAATGATCTTGACAGCATACGGAGCAGTCGATTGTTTCACACAGATTATGACTTGACCAGTATTGTTCTCTACGAGTACATAGTTAGGGAGTACCTTACTGGGTACGGAGTACGGAGTAAGTCTACGCAATGACCAACTAACTAGTTACTCCATAACTAACATTGTTCAAGATCCACGGCCAAACTCAATCCCCAACGGTCAACAATACAGACGTGTAAAGTTGGGTACAAGGGGATACGAAATTGATGAAATGATCGAACGTACCACCTGGCTGGAATCAACTAACTACGGAGGAGTACATACATACCGCCACCACTACTGCAGCACAATGAACCTGAGATTGCCATCTTTCTAGTCATTTGCAGAATCTGCGCTGACAGCCGACCCCGACCGTTGGAAAAAAAAAAAAAGGCAAAAACAGCCAGCGAATGAGGTACGGGGCCAAGCCCCCCTCGAGGATAGATTATAGGTTATAATCTATTGTGCTAAGTAGCCTTTGGGGACGGCACATGTCCCTTGCCGCTCGTATCCTTGACGTGTGGCTGATCCAATAATGAAGGCTAAGCTGCATGAACTGCTTGGAGGATACGGGAGCGGAGTAAGTAGTATCTAAGATTTTTTTTTTTTCTTTTTTTAACATGGATATTAATTTGGGATTATCGATAGTACTATATATATTTCCCTGATTTAATTTATTTTGCCTGAATCAGGAAATCTCAACCGAGTGCTCTAACTGCTGAGCTGAACGTGTGAAACGCAGCTTGCAGAGGTGGCAATCCATACAAGCGCATCTCCGGACATCCTCCCACGAACCCTGGACTCTTGTCTTTGATTGAGTAGGACAGAGAAGCCACATAAGAGAAAGTGAACCGATTAGCCACACACACACACACACACACACACACACACATTGATGTGGGAGGTGGCTACCTGAAGGGTCAAGAGTAGACCAGCTGGACATCGGCAACCCCGGATCAGGCTGTCAAGAAAAAGGGGGGGGAAGTGTGAGTATAGATAGAACATGGTAGCCGAGGGGTCTAGATAAAACATCCCTACCTGTGGGTGTCTAGACTTGTCTGTCAGGTCAGACAATCCCATTATTATTTTCATTTTCCTCTTACTCTTACTCTTACTCCGGTTAATCTACTCGGTACACATTGATTAATACGATAGTTTTCCAGGATACCCCAGCTACTACATAGAAATGAGCCGTACCTTTGGATCTGACGGAGACGCCGTCTTAAGCTCCAACGGTTTAGCTGACAGGTCCACGTGGGGCGAACTAGTATTACTTGTATAAAGGTATATTACGGTATTAGCATACTAGTACCCCGTACTAGTATGCTTACTGTACAAGTGGGTATGGCAACTTCCATAAAGGGTAACTGCATGACAACCTTCCTATTGATTCACCTGTTTCGCTAGAACCAGGTATAGCACTTGTATTAGTATAGATATACTCTTCTCTCCTACTACACAGGTATACTACACTCTTCTCTCCTACTACACAGGTATACTACAACTACACTACAACTACAACAGTATGCTATTAGTTACATACGTCTGTAGAACTTGGCGATCGCGCATGGACCGGATAGGCGGGTACCCTAGTCCTGATCGGTAGAAAAGATCAGCTGTCCACTAGTTAGAGTAGCACTGCCCCCCCGAGATCCTCCGATAGCCAATGAGAGAGTACTCCGTACGAGCACAGACAATACCTACCTAAGTACGAGTAGTACCAGGTACCTGTAAGGTATACTGTAAGGTATACTGTATACTGTATTACTGCAGGGCTACCATCCTCCTGGATCACATACGCTTCCGCTTCCGATCAGTCGGATCTGAAGAACCAGTCAGAGCTACTCGTACGGAGACAGTGTACAGTATGCTATACTATACTATACTATACTATACTATAGTATTAGACCATACGGGAACTAATTCCGTCAGAAACATGATATACACTCGACTCATCAATTCGATCGGATCGTGATCTCTGTCCCAATGGAGTTGTACTGCATACGTCACCCGCAGCTGTCACACATGCAAGCCTGTCACAGTCTATTGAAGACTAGAGTACGTAGTACAGTAGAGAGTACGTAGAAAGTATAGAGAGAGAGAGAGAGAGAGAGAGAGAGAGAGAATAGTAGAGAGAACTCTATGATTACTTTTCAGGTGCCTGCACTCTGTACATACAAAAGAAATGATCGGAAGGAATCAGGTATCTTAACAAAAGAAACTCGTCGCTCATGCCGCAGAGAATCCCGCCTAGTTGAGCAGATTGTCCAGTCCCATGCGCGTGTCCCGCGGCGGCGACTTGATATGCCTCGACTGCGGACGGGAAGAAGCAGGCCACGAAGGAGGGAAATAGGCCTCGTGAACGGACAAAGGCACGCTCTGGCGCCGGATCTCGGGGAACTGGCCGCGGATCTCGTAGCTGGCATGGACGCCACCGGAGAGCTGGCGATCGCGAGGGAAGGGCAGCTGGGGGGATAAGGTGCGCGGCGATGAGGCCGAGGCGACCGAGTTGTGGTCCGAGACCAGAGCCGGCAGTTCCATGGAGGGAGCATTCGAGGCCACGGAGAAAGCCGGCGAGGTCAAAGGCGCCTCCACGGGGCGGTTGAGGGTGTGTAGAGTAGTGAAGATGGGGGTAAGATGGTGGTGGTGAGAAGAAGAGATGGAAGCAGAAGAATTCCGACGAGCAGGGTTGGCGCTGCTGCTACTGCTACTGCTGCTGCTGCTGCTGCTGCTGCTGATGTCAAAATGCATTCGTGATCTCGACCAACTGGTAGAAGGCCGGTGGGAATGAAGGCCGCGCTTTTTGCGGTTCATGCTGCCATTCCACCAGTTCTTGACGGCGTTGTCGCTGCGGTTGCCGAGGCGGCGAGCAATCTCAGCCCAGCGCTTGCCCATCTCGTTGACCATGCGCTCGATCATCAGGCCTTCCTCGGCGGAGATGGGCTCGCGGTTCAGCGAGGGCTTGAGGTTCTGATGGAAGCGCTCGCGACACTGCTTGGGCGATCGGCAGTGCATGTGCTGGGAGATGCGCACCCAGTTGTTGGGACCCTGGTCGCGCACCAGCTGAAGCAGCAGCTGGTCTTCCTCTGGGACCCAAGGACCACGACGATGACTGGGGGACATGGTAATATAGTAGTATAATAGTATAGTAGTATAGTAGTATAGAGGTAAGTGTGGTGTAGAGTAAGGTGTAGAGTAAGGTGTAGAGTAAGGTGTAGTCTATTGTTGAGACAAAGGAGACAAGAGATAAGTAGACAAGATATAAGATCCTGCCTGGCGGGGAAGGTTAAAAGGGATCGATCTGAATCCCTGTAAGTGAACCGAAGTCAGCTTAAGGGGTTCGTTGGAGCTGAGGAGGCCAATGAGGGGCACAGAGAAGAGTACATAGTATAAAAAGAGAAATAGAATAATAAATGATTGACATGGACTGTACGAGTATTACAGATCGATCGATCTTACAGTACACAGTATTGTCATGTACTAGTACCTACCTACTACTAAGGTACGTAGTACCTTAGTACCTAGGTACTAGGTACCTGAGTCCCCTACCTAGTACCTATTACCCACTAGTTACTAGTAATGTCTACAATATATTCTATCTATATTATAGTAAATATCAAGTACTATATTCGACTGTCTATTACCAGCTACATATTACCAGGCACTCTCCTCTTGTACTCCGTACTCCGTACTCCGTACTCCGTAATCCTCTCCTCCATCAGCCAGCCATGCGGCGATCGATCGCTCCACCGCGCAGGATTCAACCGGCATGATTGTTAACGAGATTCCCTGTTGGGCACCGATCGGCGTTCCTGCAGCCGCGGGCAACCCTGTCGCTCGGCCTCGTTCATCTCCAGTCTCCAGCCTTTCCTGGGCGGTTGACAGGGTTAATTCGCTAGTCGGTGGATCCGAAGATCATGCATGCCATGGTGTAGGAGTACTGTAGTATCATGGAAGAGAAGTTTCCATTCTCAAGGTAGATTCTCACCATAGTACTTCGTACTATGGTGTGTACCTCCTACAGTTACTCCTAGTATTACACCTACATAAGTACTATGGTCTATGTAAGCTAGTAGTAGCTACTAAATACCATACTCCAGAGACAAGTACCTACTACATACTACATACAGTACCTGTACCTGTAGACTAAGGACCGTTGTGGTGCATCCGCTACCGGTGTTACAGTGAACCCAGATCCAGCACGCGGATTGGTCCATTCTATTTGTCATGGCCCACGGATATATCCGGCGCAGCATCTGCAGGTTGCTGACTTGATCGGCACTCGTAGGAGTAACTATGGAGAACGGTAGTTGTAGGGACGGAGTACCGAGGTAGGAGACGTTCCTAGTAGTCTACCAGTCAATATTACAATATACTACCGACTCAGTAAATCCTCACTCACACGGCAAGTATTTGAGATATACCCCTGCCATCCCCACCCATCTAGCACGTTATCTGTGTAACAGGGTACGTACGGAGTACGGATACCTAGGTATTAAAATATATTATATAAATATATATAGGTATATAAATATATATAAATACATTATATATTTATATTATAGTCTTATATACTTATATTATATATTTATATTATAATCATATATATAATATATTATATATTACTCTAAATATGGAGTATATAATTATTATATGATCGACGACCGTTGCATCCGCCGCGCTGGTCACCGGACGCCGGGGTACTGGCTCCCCCCGTGATTGGGCACGGGCTCGGGCTTCATTTCCCATCCGGGGACCTCATGGTTCCCGACAATACCGTAAGATACATACACATAGTACATAGTTACCTATGTACTATGTGTATGTATCTTTAAATGTCTATGTAACTAGTACCTAGTTATACTCATACTCTATACTTACTCTATACTTACTCTATACTTACTCTATACTCTAGTTACTCTAGTTACTCTAGTTACTCTATATACTCTAGTTACTCTATTATACTCTAGTTACTTTATACTATACTCTATTACTCTAGTTACTCTACTACTGCGTATATGTAGATCTCTGTATAGTTAAAGATGACCAAGTCGATCAGGAACGATCTGTCCGATCTGCCATGCTCGTTGCTGAATCCCATCACATCACATACTCCGTACAGCCCCGTCAAGGCTGTAGGTACAACATAGTACCTACCACAATGGTGACTCCCGGTACGAGATATGATATATAGTTACTACCTAGTAGTTAACTAGGTACTAGATATAAGTACAAGAATAAGTGTGCATAACATGTACTCTAAATCAGAGATAATAAGCGAGCCCATGCCATGCAAGAACTACCGAGTTGGTACTCGCGCGCATGGCGATGCAGCCCATCTTTAAACATGACGAGTCATAGTACTTTGTATTTCATCCAGTACGGACCAAATAGACAAACCATGACGGATAATCCAGAGTCATGATGCTCTCCAGAGTCATGATGCTCGGCCAATTACTTCCGTGTCCAAGTGCAATGGTTCATATCTCATTCACGCTATGCTATGCAACGCTAGGGTATCGTAGATTCAGTCAGTCAGTCAGTCAGTCAAGTCGTTTATAACCATATATCGCCTTCTTCGCCCTTCACCCACCGCTTCCACACCCTCTCATACGCCTCCTCGAGATCGCCCACCCACCGCCGCGTGTCAAACAGCCGGCTGCCCCGCCGCTCGAGGAAGAGCAGCCGCCGCAGCTCGCCCAGCCGCGCGGGACTCGTGCACAGCTGGATCGCCTTGGCCTCGTAGTCCTCGTCCGAGCACGCGATGAGCTCCTGCGCCGCCCGTCGCCCGGCCTCGCCGCGTGGCAGCGCGCTGCTGAGAATGCTGCTCGCCATCCGCGAGCACATCTTGTACTCGTATCGCGGGTACGTCAGTAACGGAGTCCCGCTCCACAGCACGTCCGTCGCCGTCGTGTGCGCGTTGCACTCGGGCGTGTCTAGAAACAGGTCCAGCACCTTGGCCCGCGCAATGTGCGCGTTCTTTGGGGCCACGTCCGTGAAGATCACCCGCGCCGCCGTCTCCTCCCCGGCCCACGCTATCGCCGTCTCCCGCAGGTTCTGCTCCCCGACCTCGGGGAACCGCAGCAGCCACAGCACCGCGTTCGGGATCCGCGCCAGGATCCGTAGCCACGTCCGGAATGTCGTCGGTTCGATCTGAAATGTTAGCGTAATCGACCAACTTGATCTTTGGAGTGGTGAGATCAAGGGGGGGGGGAAAGTAAAAAAAATTAAAAAAAAATAGATACCTTGTAAAGTTGGTTGAAATTCCCCAGGATGATCGTGTCGTCGCTGAGGTTCGGAAACAGCTCCTTGCGCATCCGCCATCGTCTTTGCTGTTCTTGCTCCCACCCCAGACGCAGATCTTGAGCGTCCGGCGCGCTCTGTCGGTGGTCGCAGCAAAAGAACGTGTCGCGGGTGAACACGATCTTCTCCCCGTACACCCAGTCCTCCTGGTCCTCGCCGTGGTCGGCTTCCAGGATTCGGTCCTCAAGGAGCGCGCTGCGATCGACCTTACTGCCAGAGCTAGTCGCCGGCCCCAACGTCGTGCGCGGGATGGACAGTTCATCGGCAAGGATGTAGTCACACCATTCGGCGCCCAGCGTGCCGGCAAAGCCCATAAACGACATGTGGATCGGGGCCGGGCGCGCAGCAAAGACCTCGTTGCGCGCGCCACGCGTATACCCGTTGAGGTTGACGAGGATGTGGATGCCGTCGTCGACGATCTGCTCGACGAGACGGTCCACCGGCCAGCTGCTGGCGTCGTGGAACACGGGGGCCTCGGTTTCGATCTGGTTCCGGTGTACCGACTTGTCGCTCGCAGTCGTCGCGTAGCAGTACGCCTTGACTCGCCCCGGGTCGTGCAGGCCAAAGACGGACTGCATCAGGTGCGCCAGCGGGTGGTTGTTGAAGTCCGACGAGACGTAGCCGACCCGCAGGTACGGGTTCGGGGGCGGAGGGGGCCGGTACACCGTACTGGGCAGCCAGGGAGCCCGCAGCGTGGCGCACGAGATCCGCAGGCCGTTGCGTTGAGAGATCTGCCGGATCTGCTTCGCCGACAGCGGGCAGGTGAACGTATGAAAGGGCAGCACCGTCGGCGCGTTGGGTGGCGTCAGACCCGCAGGCAGCTGTGGCCGCGGATAGGTGGCCGCCGCGTACTCGTGGCCGTAGACGTACCGGTCCTGATACCACTGCCAGGTAAGCGCACGGGTCGCCCGCTCCACCAGACGGACAATGCGTGCACCCTCCCAGCGTTGGCCAGCCCACGACTGAAGGAGATTGACCAGCGTGCCGCGTTGGCGGGCAGGCAGCCGGCTGCGGTCCAGTGCCGGGGCGATCTGCGCGCCCAGCGACTCGATCAGAGCCGGGGTCAGGATGCCGCGACCCCAGGACTCGCCTTCCCGCAGCTGCCGGTTGACGATATCGACGACCCGTTGGATCCAGCCGTTACTCGACTCGGAGCTAGAGGCGTCATGCAGCATCCCTTGCTCATCGACGTGCCATCGGTCACAGAACCCTTGACCACGGGCGACCCCGCCGCGGCCCACCCATTTACAGACGGAGTTGAGGGCGTTGGCCAGACCACAGACGGCTTCGGCAAACTCCGGATTGACCTTCACAGCACGCTGGTAATAGGTAATGGCATCATTGATGCGTCCGGCATCCTTGACCGCGTTCGCAAGATTGGCGAGGGCGATATCGAACTGGCCGTCGCAGTGGACGGCTTGTTCGTACATCTTGATGGCGGCCTGCAGTTGGCCGATATCCTTGAGCAAGCTGCCCAGGTTGGTGTAGAGGTGAGCATGCCGCGCGTCCAGATGCAGGCCGTAGTTGTAGTACGCCAGGGCGAGGGAGACACCGCTGCCGGGGACCACGCCGGGAATGTCAGGGTGCGGTTTGTTACCATTCCCGCCGGCCGCCAGACCGCTGCCCGGCGGTCGGGACCCGGGGCCCTTGACGGCGGCGTTGTGCTGAATACTGGCGAGTAGGATGCCGACATTGTTGGCGGTGGAGGGGCTAGGTTGGAGGGAAAGAGAAAGGTAATAGAGCGCGAGGATCTCGCGCACGGTGGGGGCGGCGGCAGCAGCTCGCGGCGAGCAGGAAGAATTAGGGGTGGCAGCGCCGGCGGCCGCGGCGGTCGCCATGGTGGACATGCCATCCTGGTAGATCTTCGCCAGAGACAGTAGCGAGTTACTCGTCGTGGACACGGCGGCCTTGCGGGCGAGACCTTCGGCGACATATTGCAGGCCGAGCGGGGTGCCACCGCTAGCGGAGAAGACCAGTTTGGCGGTCTGCAAGGCCTTGTCAGGATACAGCAGGATGGTGGAGCGCTGATCCAGTGGAGCGGTGGCAGCGGCTGCGGTATCATCGGGACGACGGAGGGCCGTGCCCTGGGCGACAGCGATAAAGATCTGATGGATCAGGCTCCGGATACCGTGCCGTCGACGGCCGGCAGCAATGAGAATAGCGTCCTCAAAGGCGGCAGCGGCCCCCACGTGGTCGCCGAGGGCGTAGAGCATGTTGCCCTTGGCATGAATGAGGGCTAGCATGCGGCCGTTATCAGCACCGGGCACTGCATAACCGCTCGAGCCGAATCCGACGGGGGGTTGCTCGGTGGCGTCGTAGGGGACGGCCCAGCCATCATCATAATCAAAGGCGGCTTTGTCGTAAGAGTCCAAGTCAGATGTGCTGGAGACGCGGCTCTCGACGTCGCTTTCAGTCTCGCTGGCGTGCTCGTCGGTCGTGAAGCAGTCACCGTTGTGGCTCAGGCGTAATGAGGACTGCACGTGGTGAATGAGCTGGACAGCCTCCTTGCCGCGCTGGCTGCTACACAGCAAACCTATCAGATGTTCTACCGCTTCGAAGAAACTTGGTCGCAGCTTCACGGCCCGAAACCAGTGCTGCATCGCTTCCTCGCGACGATCTAACGCTAACAGTGTGGCTGCGAGGTTTGAAATCGCCTCGACATGTCTGATACGTCAATAGAGAGACAGAGAGAGAGAGGAACAAGGAAGTAACTTACGTTGCATCTCTCGCGATGATTCGTGAATACCACCGCATGGCTTTAGGATAATCCCCTAAACCGTAGGCAAGACAGCCGCCCAACAACATTCCGTCGATCCACTCCCAACCACTCTCACTACATAGATGAGATAACATCTCCAACGCGGAGATAGCATTTGCCGTGGTTGAGATGGAGGTCCCGCCTATCCGAGCCGGCAGGCCATGTCGACCCACCGACGCACGGGGAAGCTGTTGCGAATGGTGATGGTGATGAAGATAGTTGGTATGGCGGTGGTGGTTGTGGTGGTGATGGCTGGTATTATTATTCTTAGGGCTATTAATATTATTGCTATTCACCAACGGGGTGTGTTGCCTCCCGCTGCTAGGCAGTGCGCCACCTAGGGAGCGAAGGTCGTACTGGCTAGAAGGATAGCTGTTATGGCGAGGGATGTCGATCGGGGGAGTCGGATGGGCGACGGCCGTCGCAAAGTCTAGCCCAGGCTGCCGGGGAGGTTTCGGGAAGATGCTGGGTTTCAGGAACCGGGGCAGTGAGGACTGCCCATCAATGGCACTAGCCGCGCTGTGACGTCTCGCCTGGTGGATGGAAGCAAGCAGATCGACGTAAACGCCGTGGGCCCAGGACAGGATTTTCTCCTTGAACTCGACCTGGCGGGTACCGGGAAAGTGATATCCAGTAGTCGTGGGGAGAGCGGCTGTGGTGGTCGCAGCAGCACCAGCACCAGCACCAGAGGAAGAAGTATAAGCGTGGTGGCCTGGTAAGATGTGAGGATGGTGCGAGAGATCAAGGGACTTGTGAGCGGCATGTCGAGGAGGGAAATTGGTCTTATTGACGTCTATTGGCATGAGTGGCTGGGGGCCAAATGCCTGTTCATGCTGCTGCTGCTGTTGCTGTTGGCCGTAGGCAAAGGCGTCACGCAACGCCGCCGGTCGATAGGGAATAAAGGCACCATCTGGCCAGTATGGACCGTACGGCGTACTCCCTGCAGGGGCAGTTGGTCCTCCACAGGGTTGTAGTGTAGCCGGTAGTACGGTCGGGATGTAGGCAGCGCCGTGTGGGAAGATATATCGTTGTTGTTGTTGTTGTTGATGATGATGGTGCTGCTGCTGCTGTTGTTGTTGCTGCTGGATAGGGAGAGTCTGGTAGAGCATGGAATCGATGCCGGTCGGGTGTTGTTGCTGGGAGTTCAGGGATCGGACCCAACTGGGACTGTTGGCATGGACACTGGCGGGGTCTGGATTAAAGAGCGGGGGAAAGTTTCGAGGGAGCAGCTGGTCGGCCAGCGGCGGCTGCTGCTGCTGCGTGTAGTCGAGGGAGGAGACAAGGATATGCTTGGTGGCCGGGGGCTGGACGGCGGTCTCACCAGGCGTCCCATCGTAACCCGCGGCGAGGGTGCCATTCGGGGTCTTGCGTCGCAGGGCATGTTCCCCAGAGCTCTGCGAGCGAGAGCGACCCCCCTCTGCGACCAGCGAGAGCCGCTCGAAGCGCTGGACCGGATGTGGCCACTGCAAGCGCGAGCGTCGGTGCCAGTGGTCGTAGGGGGCATCGTGATGGAGGTGATGGTGCGGTTGGACAGGGGGTAAAGGGGTGACGGTCGGCAGCATCTTTTTTGTCTGCTTTTTTGTTTCTTTTCCCCTGGGTGTTTTCTTTCTTTTTTTCGGTTTCCGATAAATGTTCGTCAAACAATTCAAGCAGTGTGTTCAACGAAGAGCATCCTTCTTGAAACGTTTCCGACACCGCATCCTGGGGAGGCCGACTGTGGGCTGAACGAGGCGCCGGTGGGTTGGCTTTGTATTATTTGTGACCCTTTTGGAGGAGGAAAAATCGGTCGTAGGCGTAGGACGACTCGGCCGGGGAGGGGAGGGGAGGGGAGGAGGAGGAGAGGAGGGGGAACACAACAAGAACGCCAGGGAGGGGAGGAAGCGAGAGAGGGAGAGAGAAGAAGACGATGATGATGAAGATGAAAAATTATAAAGAAGACGAAGGAGAGGCTGACAAGACACAGTGTCAAGCGAGAGACAGCGAGGCAGCGAGACAGCGAGACAGCGAGACAGCGAGACAGCGAGACAGCGAGACAGCGAGACAAGGGATCAACCTCAGCGCTGCGCCCACATTGATGCAGGAGCCCGCTGGCGGGCGGCCAATGAGGTCTATGGGGGCTGTCGGCGGCAGCAGAAGGGGTCACAGGATGGGCGGCTTGGCAGTAATGTTGACGATCGCGATGGAAGATGGAGGAGGAAGTTAGAACAGGATGGGAGATGAAAATGATGGGTGGATGAGTGGGTGGGTAAGAAGAGGAGGAGGAGGAGGAGGAGTGGATGGGGTGGATGATGGGTGGGTAAAAGGATGCTTAACAGTAACAAACTGAGATTATACTTAGTTAGTACCAGGTATTAACCAAGTAACTATTCTGTAACTGCTAGTTAAATAGTAGTATCACAGAGTTTACTATGTATGATAATAACTATAACTAACTAGTTATTACTACATACCTAGTACTAGCCAGCTGTCATGATTATGGCTCGTATTGGAAAGGATTACTATTCCCCGTATTCCTCTACTGCATGGAACCTGTAGATATATATACCTAGTTACGGAGTACCCCAGTTACACTGAACTATGATTATGTCTTCGAAAAAATCATAATCATCAAACTGGTATTCCAGTATGCCTCCAGTATGTCCCGTACACTGTCTTTCCCCCAGACAGCTCCCCCTTTATTCTCGAGTCGTAGAGTCTATTGTCTACCCAACTAATAATCCTACTCATTCATAAACCAACTTGTCCTTGGTGGGCCTAAAGTGGCGCCGGCGATCGGTGGGTCGATGAACGCAGCAATGAAAGAACAGACGGTCCATGTAGTATTTGATATGGATGGGATTGCATTCCTGGACCATCAATAGTGGTGTTTGGAGTAGTATACGGAGTAACTAGCCAGGATGAAAGACATGTACTTAATAATAATAAAATAGTAATAAAATAGTAATAAAATAGTAATAAAATAGTAATAAAATAGTAATGAAATAACAATAATAAATAAACAACCAAATACTAGGTCTAATTATCAAGTAACCAATAGTACATTATCAAGGGAAACCAACCAACAGGTACTAATTAGTGAACAGATAACTAAAAGGTAAATAGTGAATAGTAAATACCAGTAGTAATACTCGGTAACTGCCAAGTAACCTGGAGTTGTACTAGAATTCCCCAGACCGCTGCTCTATGACATACTCCTTGTACTCCCAACTGCCATGTAGACAGACAGTAGATCGACACTGCGAATGAACAGTGCAGTACCGACAGTTTATGTGGGATGGTGATAAAATATATATAAAAGATATACGAGAAGAAAAGTAGAATGTTTATAAAAATATATGGAAGATGTATAAAAAGTCCTATTCATTGTCGATATAGATAGAAATCTAATTCATACGAGTACGGATGTCGACCCGATAATGGACCATGGTATCCACGAGAAACTCCAGAATACCGCGGTGAGTATAGGGTCTGACGATCTTCTTTGCTCAAAATAAGCCGATACCACGTGTGATAGTTCGTCCGTCGAGCGGAGAACGGTAGAGGCCAGAGTGTTGCAAAGGACAGGGAGAGAAAAAGGGGAACGAAGAGAAAGAAAAAGGGGAACGAAGAAGAGAGAGAGAGAGAAGAAGAAAGGCCGTAGCCAGATAGTATTACAGTCATCAGTCATGAATGGGTATTATCATTCCGTAACTAGCGCCACCGGACACTGGTACAAAAAATGGACTTTTTTACTCCTCGGGGACTAAAAAAATAGTTAGCAGAGACGTCTACTATAAAGTACCCGAAAATGGGAAAGGGTTGACTCACCATCGATCTCGCCGGCCTTGACATCGTCAGAGACGTCCTTGGGGCTGCGGCCATCAACCTGGCAACCGACGGAGAAGGCGGTACCGAGGATCTCAAGGACGGTACCCTTGAGCTCCTTGGCGAGAGAGCGAGTGCGCATGGTGCGGGCAATCTCAACAATCTCGTCGAAGCTGACCGACTTGTTGTGCTTGATGTTCTTCTCCTTCTTGCGGTCACGGGGGGGCTCCTTGAGAGCCTTGATGACCAGCGACGAGGCCGAGGGCACAACCGAGACCTGAGCCTGACGGTTCTGGATGGTCAGGCGGACGGTGACACGGAGACCTTTCTGCTCATCGTTAGCCTTCCTTTCTTATTCTATCCCACTTTTTTGTTTTGCTTATTATTTCCAACGTACCCAGTCGCCGGTGGCCTTGGCAATGTCTTCACCAATCTTCTTGGGAGACAGACCGAGAGGACCGACCTTGGGGGCGAGAGCCGACTGGGCGCCGACTTCACCACCAGTGGTTCTCAGGTGGCTATGAAAAAATGAAATTAGAATGATGGAACGATGAACAATTGTAGACAAAACAAAGTGCCAACTTACATGACCTTCACCTCATTGGGATCGAACTTGGGAGCTACCCAGGAAAAGAATGTTAGTCCGCCATTGCGTAGCCAAGGAGATGATACTTACGCATGGCGAGTGCGAAAGGTTGTCTATCGTCCTTGGTTGTCGACTAGAAGGTGGTTGAGGAGGTAAAGCAAAGTTCCTGGTCGAAAAAAAGACGGTTTTGTCGTTGACAGCGGCCCACTAAGCGAGCGGAGCCATTAGGGTTCGAGCCCTATCACGTGAATAGACTAGTACTCTTTGATCAGTAGCAAACTACTCCGTGTATACTCCGTAGGCACCTAGATAGTAATACAAGTTGAATGTGTTCTTGAGTATTGGATAGAATCCATGTAATTTACTATATTGCATAATTCAAAGGAATAGTTCAATCATCGCTAAAGCTACAACCCACCCGAGTCTACCATCTCTAGTTGGTTCCGGACACGGCAAGCCTGTATGCATGGTCAGCAAGCCGGCAGTAAAAATGGGATGAGAAAAACAAAAGGGGTGGGGGGGGACAACTCACTTCATCAAATGATCCATAAAGGTCTGCAGAGACACGTCGTCGGTGAAAATCGTTTGCGAGGTTACGCCGCCGCCATAGCCGCCCGAGACGTGGGTGGTGGAAGGATTCAGTTTCGACAGTAGGAATCGCGCCTGTGAGCCCCCAGCGTCGCAAACAATAAAGCGAGGCAATGGGAATCGATCCGCAATAAGTTCCTAAATATTGTTAGCGAATTGAACGACAAAGACTTGACTGGATCAAGGGGTAGGGCATACTCTAGCATCCTCCTTGGGCTGTTCCAGGAGAGCCTTGAGATTTTCGTAGCCTTCCTGGTCTTGATACCCGGCCTTTCTCCATTCCGCAATGGTCTCGCCATGGAAGATTAGAATGTGGAAGAAGGTATCGAGAAGAAGGATATGCGCAGGCTGGATGGAGGCGGAATCCAAGAGCACTGGCTGGCCGCCCTCGTGTTCCAGGGAGTATGAGTCCAGTGCTGGCTGGATCATCACCAGGGAACCGGAAACATCCTCATAGTTGAGCACATGACGGTAGAAGGCGGTCTCGTCAGGCGAGTTGTTGAAGAACTGCAGGAACTGACTGCGGCGCAGGTGGAACATGAACTGGGGATACAGGGTGAAGTTCTTCTCCAGGCGGAACGATGTCGGGTCGTCCTTGCGGTAGTCGGCGAACCGCGAGCAGAGTCGGATGAGCATCCGGTCAACCCACCGCAGCACGTCTGGCCCGTCGTCCACTTCGGCCTTGAACACGGCAATACGGGCCATAAGGACCGCGGCCGCTTCCTGGTCGAATGACTGAGCGAGCGCGGGATCGCCAGCCGGTCCACTCAGGTTCCTGGAAATGGTGGTGACGCGGAGATGATAGTGGCCAGAGGAGTTCTGGTAGTAAGTAAGGAACTGCATCATGCCCCGTTGAGGACCCTGCTGCACAGCTGCCGGACCACCTTGGTTGGCGATCTCAAAGTAGATACCATAACTCGAAGAGGGGGTGATGCCACACATCTTCCAGGCACACGTGTTGCCAATGCCGCATTCAGTCTCCCCAACAGAGCTGGACTTCTTGTTCATGGATATCGCATGGCCAATAAGACCGGTAACCTTCAACTCCTTGGTGGTCAACACCTCGAGAGAAGCGTTGAAACCCATCAGAAGATTGTCATTGGCATCCTTATCAAACACTCGAATGAATGATTGCTTGAACTGGGAAGAAGTGAAGCTATCTGTCAGCAGCGTGTGACCGCCCGTGAAGTTGGCCAGGTTCTTCATTTCGAGCATGCCGACCTGGTCGAGACAACCCGCGAACAGGTCCACAACATGGCCGTTATTTGCCGCGCGCTTTGCCAGAGTGTCGTAGAACTGGGTAGTGTTAGTCAAGAAACTACCAATTCTTTCTTTTCTTTTCTTTCATAATGAGCGAAGGCACCTACTTTAAGTGCTTTCTTGTAGTACTTGATGTTGTCCCGATCAATGTCGTGATGAGAGCGCATGGGCTCCTTCAGCTCGGGACTGACCACATGTCCAGGACCCTCAGTAGCCGGACCACTGGTGAAGAGCATGATGCGGCCACCAGCGTTCTGGAATGAGGACTCCATCAAGCCGACAGCCACGCTCAAAGCGACTCCGGTGCACCGGAGGGGACGCTTGTCGTTAGCTACAGGCCAAGGATCGCGCTGCAGTTGTTCAAGGACGTTGGTGATCTGGAATTCCGCCTGGGCAACAGGCAGGAGGAATCTGGCCGCGGGGCCCAGAGGTGGGCGAGCAGGCTGCTGCGGGAAGTTGGGTCGCAGTCCGGAAGCTAACAGACCCAGCATCTCCTGAACTTGCTTCGCGGTGTAATCTTTGCTACCTCGGAAAACGTAGGATTTGGCGCACTCGGCGTAACCGAGTTCATGGACTTGGGCCTATATTTCATGAGCCTTTTTGTTTTCTTTTTTTTTTCTTCTTACCGCTCCTCCAACCAATTTTGTACATACCATAGTTCCGAACGTAATCAACCCAACCAGGGCATGTGGCGGCAGCAGAGACAAGCTCATGATCAACGTTTCCTTCAACGCCTTGAGGCTGTCCTCATCCTGACAGGTATCCACGACAAACACAAAGATCGGAGGGGCCGGGGCGGGTCGGGCCAGCTTGTACTCAATCGTCGTGCTCGAGGGGTGGAGCTCTTGGGGAAACGACTGCTCGGTGATGTCTTTGTAGTGAGGGGGGAGAGGGTTGCGCATCAGACAGAAGGGACAAATCCAGATGCGGGCGCGAATGTCGACATTGCTGGCTCTTGTTAGTATTCTCATGACCCCCCCTCAAATCCACAGCACCGCTGCTGATACACCTGATCGATTACATACGCGTAAGGATTGAGGACTGCCCGGCACGGTGCCTTACAGGTCACAGGCTCATAGCCGAGCAATGGGGTATCGGGTTTCTCCTTGAGAGGAGTATAGATGGCTGCAATGGGCACGACGAGCCGTGAAGCTTCCTGCGCACCGGTTAGCCCTCCCCGTCAGCAAACACGGCAGGCACCCTTGATCAACAAACCATGCGAGAGCTGGGGAATGTGTTCCAGCTAAGGCGGACGCCATCACGATCCTCGAAATCGCTCCACTGCTCCTTCAACGCCTCGTAATCCATCCTGGCTGCTCAGTGACTTCGTTATGGGGTATCTGGGAGATAAGAGGGGGCGGCGAGCAGGGCGGATCCACGCTCTCGTTTCTCTTCTTCACGTTCTCGTTGCTTTTTTTTTTCTGGTTCTTTGTTCCTCCGAAGGGTAACCGTCCAGGAGGCCTGCCCGTAGCACGAACAGCGGTCTCACGATGAGCAACCCCGATAGCGGTGGTGCGTAGATCCTTGCTGTAGACCAAGGAGGTACAGACTCGGAGATTCGGGTGTTGTGTGGTCTCCAGTCAGGTCGGCCATTAAGGCCAGGTTGCAGCATCTTTGGTCGCTATGGCGTCCCGCACTGCGGCGGACTAGCGCGCTTTAAAAACTCGTCCGTCTCGCTCAGGGAGGAATTTCTCTTTCTTTTTCTTTCCATCTACGCGCCGGTTTCAAAATAACACATTAATATCGACAACTTCCGTCTTTTCGATGATGAAGTTGTTTTCGCATCGTGCGCAGACCAATTGACCCGTGGCTGGGCACCTGGCTTTGAAAGGTCGTTCCGATCCTTGTGGATAATTTGGGAATCAGCAGTGGTCACATTCTTCCTTTACGTATCTGTCTAGTTATAGCTCTATATTAGTTATTTATGAGGAGGTTTTCTTAATTACAAATTGTTGAAGAATTCATGTCATTCGTAGAACTGGAAGTAACTCCATGGTGATGTCTGATCGATCACCTATAACGCCTTGAGAAACTGCATTGCAAAAATTGAGCCGCAGAACCTTTAATCTCGAGCAGGTTTGCCTAGGTTCTTCAGGAGGTAGCTGCGCTTGAAGTAGGCATTCGGGTGGCTCAACGTATCCAGATTTGCCTGACTCCAGGTTCCGTCTTCCTTGACTTTTTTGATTTCTGCTTTGTGCGTCCAGTCGAAGACCCGGTTGCAGGCAATATGATATCGAGTCCGCTCGACATCCTCTCGGACTCCACGTAGAAGCTCTTTGTCAGTCACGCCGGTGGACTGGAGGAGACTGATGAGATTATCGACCGAGTAATGACGGTAGGGACATCCATGGGTCTGTCCAGCGCCAGAACCAGTGTCACCGAGGATCTTTTGGCACGAGTAAGGGGCATAGCCACGGCCTCGGCGATTGGCATCCCCACCCACGTCACCGTAGGCGTGACGGATGTTGTATTTGTATCTGGAGTTGAACTCGTCGTCCGTGAAGCCCTTGAATCCCTGTCGCCAAAACAGGATACATTCTTCCAGAGACAGACCAATTCCCTTGAGGAAGAGCGTGTATTGAAGTCGGCCGAAGTGTTTGAGATGGTTGTTCTTTCGCAGATTCATGTGCAGACTTCGCATACACAACGGGAAATGCTGCGAGAGTTGGTCGATTGAAGCGGCGGTCATGGGAGCACCCTCAACATAGCCTTCGCCCTCAGAGTAGACCGACTCTGCACTGCCAAAATTCTTCGAGAGGTGGTTCAAAATCGGGGTTAGACGGTCGTCTTCGTCCAGGCGTGGAAGGGCTCGGCTGGTAAGCTTCACAAGATTAGCACTTCCTCCCCTCTCCTTTCTTTTTCTTTTATAAAAAAGTCTAAACATACCTCCAACGCACGCTCAAGCCTAGCCGTAAACTCGGTCAAGACCATGCTCATCTGCTCTGTTCCAGGAACATACGCCTTCCCTTTTCTCATAAAAACCGCCCGTCGTTCCACCAATTCAGGAACCCTCTCCCAATCGATCTTATACCACGAGGGCTCTTCTTGATGGCGACGGATGTCGGGCGTTACGCTGAGAAGCCTTTTCTCTAATTCACGCTTCTCCTCATCGCTCACCTGCTCCCAGTCCAAGTTCAAGCTTTGAACAAACGCGTGCTTCTCTTTAGAATCATAGTCCTGGAACCGGAATCGAAACAGCATCGTCTCCGCCCGAGCAAACCGTCTTCGCAGGTCTTCCGTTGCCGAGAACGCCAGCCGGAGTATGAAGTGGGAGTAATGGTCTTTCTGACGCTCAGTTTGCAACCGCTGCTCAGCGAAACCTGCAGATCCCGACCGGTTGGGAGACAGCGGCAGGTATTTCCGAAGCAGGGGCTTGATGTGTTCTTCCGTTTCGGTTTGCGACTTGTTACGGTATGAACACGCCTCAATCTCCGCCAAAACTGTCTCGTCGTCAGCTCAACAGCGCACATATGCTTCCCTTTAGATTTGAGGCAGAGTAAACACCCACTCTTCAACCGGTCGATAGCCCATTGTTCAAACTGCTCGAGCGTAATCTCCGCCGTTGGCGGTGTTTCGTAGAAGTTCAGCTGGTGCGGATACTCCTGCTGTTTGTATATCGGCGCTGCGAATTGCTTCTTTTTGGGATCGAGCACCGCTCTTCGCTTCGGATCAATCCGATACGCATCTTGACGAATCATCCTGGATGTAATCCTCTTCAGTTCTGGCGTGCAGGCTCTGGCTGTCGTGCTCTTCTTCACTCCGTCTTGGATCTGAAATCACGACCGGGACGCGATACGCGTCGGGCGATACGCGCGAGCCACTTTAACACGTGACTTCCACCGCGGGCCTCCACAACGACTACAGCTCATCCAAAATACCGAGTACCACCTCGGAACGCCTGTGACATTACATTTGCACCAATAGACCAGCAAGACCTGTCCTTTAAACCGAATCTCCCCCGTCCAGCGCCTCGAAATATCAACATCCTGCCTGCACACGACAAATCGATAAGGTTGCTCGGACAGCAAATCACCGAAAAAGGACTCCGCTCACCGGTGTCCGAACAGGCCAGCGACAACCCCCCACATAGAGCCTCCGGGCTTAGTTACTCCGTAGCAGTCCGTAGATACGCAGTAGTTTACTAATCGCCAGGGCCAGCAGCTCTTGCACTTTCCTTTATCGTACCACATCTGGTGGCCTTCAGCCAGCCCTTCCGTGATTAAACAAGGTTGCAATATGAAGACGAGCTGACGCCCTCGTGGAATCGAATTCTTCTGCTGAACAACTCTGCAAAAGTGGTGGGCTGTGCACGTGCGCGTACACACAGTTCGATTTATCCACCGAACAGCTCGCAAACAAACAAAGGCGAATCAAAGGGGCGCAAGAAAATGGCTCCTGGGCGGCGACAGCTCAAGAAGGCAGCCCGTATTATTCTGATCGGGGCGCCGGGAGTGGGCAAGGGGACACAAACAGAGCGCCTGCTGGCCCGGTTCCCTGACCTTGCGTCCATCAGCTCGGGAAATCTATTGCGAGAGAATGTGCGCATGAAGACACCGTTGGGTATGCTGTTTATGTGCTGTTTTGCAGCGTATGTCTAACGAAATATAGGGTCCAAGGTTGAGGCTGCGATGCAATCGGGGAACTTGGTGCCAGATTCTATGATTCTCGATCTGATTTCCGCCGAACTCGTCTCGAAAGGATGGCTGTCGAGACCGCCATCCGTATCCGCTACAGATGATACTATTCCCTCGCCATCCCTTTCGCCCTCCGCCTCGTTTATCCTCGACGGATTCCCTCGCACCGCCGTCCAGGCATCCAGCCTGGACAGACTCGTCCCCGTGAACTTTGTCGTCCACCTCCTGACACCGCCGGCAGTGATTCTCTCGCGGATCGCATCGCGCTGGGTGCACGAGCCGTCCGGTCGTGTGTACAACACCGAGTTCAATGCGCCCAAGGTCCCCGGCAAGGACGACATAACAGGCGAGCCGCTGACGCAGAGAAAAGACGACTCGATCGACACGTGGAAGCAACGGCTCCAGAAATTCGAGGAGACGAGCAAGGCGCTACTTGACCACTATGACCGCAAGGGTTGTCTGTGGCGCGTCGAGGGCAACAGCAGCGACGAAATCACGCCGAGGCTTCTTGCAGAGGTCGAGCGGCGGTTCTGCTGAAAAATTCTACATCTGTACATATATTTTTCTTTACTTTGCTCCCCCCCGCCTATTTCTTATGGCGTTGACGTTTTACCCTGAGATGAGTTCCAGGACTGTATATATATATATAAAAGATTCACGGCCCCAATTAATGATCCAGTCAAGGATAGCATGTACTATGACCACCGAACACTAAAAATGAGCAATCTATATAATCGTAGCATAGGATAGCATCTCATATCGTATCATACACCATTCTTAGTCTCCTGCTCCGACATGCCCATCCTATTCTTGTAGTCGCGAGGACTCTCCCATCCCTTCCGGTGATAATCCTTCCACAATCCCTTCCGCCATAAACGCGCCCACCGTTCTGCATTCCGATATTTGATCTCCTTGGCCGGCCCACCAAACTCGGCCCCCTGCTTTGCTTCGTAAACGGTTGCCAACCCGCGTCGGAGCATCTCGTACGAAACATCCCGGCGCACAAAGGGCAGCGGCAGCTCGAACCCGCGCCGTACGTACACGCTCGCCACCACCCGTCCGTACTGGTCGTGTCGGTGGAGGTAGGCGCGTACCCGCCGATCAAGCAGATAGCTCGTTAGCCATACGTGTGCTTCGCGTGCGTACGGTTGTGCGGGGCGTCCGAAGTGGGCGAGTTCGGGGGCATCAACACCGGCCAGACGGATGTGAATCTACAGTAGGAGGGAGTAATTAGCAAATACATCGCTATCCGGATCTTCTCGGTGAATAATTAAGTATTACCGTCTCGTCTTTCAGTTCTTTCTTGGCCGTCGGCACCTTCTTCCAGGATGATCCCCAGCCTGCTAGTCGCCCGCCGGGAGTATGGTACAGACGGAAGTTGTCGCCGTCGCCGACGGAGGTGACTTGCCCGAAGACGCTGCGGCGGCGAAGGCCTTCGGAGGGGATGCTGGGGGCATCGCGGAAGCGACGCAGGACTCGTGTGCGGACGTATACCGTGAGGAGAATCGCGCTCGTCAGGATGGCGGTTGGGATCAGCGTTCGGGACTCGGTGAAGGCCGCCCAGTCGGTGGCATGGAGGATTGCCTTGTCTTCTTTCTTGGAAGATGGGGGTTTATCTTCCCTTTTGTCCTCCTTCCCTTCCTTCTCGTTCGTGTTGGAAGTCCATGGCGGCCATCGCATGGCGACTCTGGTAGAGTTATTGGTTAATTGTCTATCGGTGATGTTGACATCCCGCTATAATCCACGCCAAGCTTATCCTCGGTTTGGAGCCAGTATAAAGAAAAAAAGAATACTCGACGTTTATCGGAGCATGAGATGAGGAGTAAAAGTATTGCCTTTGGTCAGGTATTATTGCTTCTATCACTGTTTTTGTATTTTGTACAGTGTAACTTGACAAGGATAAACAACTAAACAAACGCCACCAAAACACTTGAATATCAACAAAACCCCTCCAGAAACTTCCTGCTCTCTCTATCAAGAGATTTTAATTTGTAGTCACGGGAAGACTGGCTTTGGCCTGGGCAGCAGCATTCTCCACTGCCTTGCGCAACTTGGTTGCGCGGAGCTTCCGAATGTATGCGAACAGGACAATGAACAGGAGCTCAATTCTAAACATAGTCAGTGACACCAACCCCCCCAATATACCCAGGAACCAAATGCATACCTTTCCTTTGCCATCATGAGGATACCCTGGACCAGCAGTCCCTTGAGGATCTGGGGCCCAATGCCCTTGAAGAGAGACATGGCCCCTTCGTGCTGGATAATGTACCGCATCACCTCGCTAAAGGTCTTGAACGGCTTACCCTCTCGCCCCGGGGGTGGACGCGACTGAAGACCGACCTTGGCAACAATCAGAGGCTGGGTAGCGATCGTGGCCAACGCCTTTGACATCGCCCCCAGGACTGAACAGCAGCATATTAGTCAATAATCTCCAGCTAGGCAAGAGGTTGGCAATAAGTTGGAACACCCACGAAAAGCTTCCCAGGGCTTGAGACTGGCCCTGCCCGGAAAGAACGTTTCCTTCAGTCTTTGGTAGGCACCGTAGGTGATAGCTGGATTGACAACGAGGATCAGACTGGCCTTGAGGCCTCTCCAGAGGCCGGTCCAGCCGTCCTCGCTGTTGACCACCTCGCGCCCGGTCTCGATAAGACCTTTCCTCTCCTCTTTGCGCTGTGTCTGCTGCCTCGTCGTGATGACCGAGACAGGAATAGTGAAGACCTGGGCTACCGCGCCGGCGACCGCCCCCAGACTCAATTCGGCGACAGTCCCCGGCGGCTTGGGCACCCGGTTGGACGCCATGTAGATGCTTCGTACAATGGAGTACCAGTAGAAATACGCAAAGTTCGTCGAAGCGACGCCAATGAGAGCACCTGTCATGCCGGAGTAGAGGCCCGCCATCCCGTCGCTCGCCATGATCTTGTTGATAGCGTCAACGGTGGATGTATAGTGCACCTCATTGTCGTCGTCGTCGCCGGGCGTTCCACTCGTCGCTTTATTCGGCCGTTTCACCTGTACCTGTAGCCTCGTCTTGACTCTGGAAAAGACGGGAAAAAAGCAAACACACAAAAGATTAGCCCCCCTGTCTGTAATTATGTCGGAGCTTCACCTACATATCAAGCGGATATACCAGGGCATTCGCGATCACCGCGCCAGAGGCACCGGCAACCGCACTTCCCCACGGTGATAGGCGTGCCGGTTTCGACTGACCTGCCATAATTATGTGCAATCCGCTAAGTCTGATGGAGACCACGATGGTGTCCTCTCCTAAGAATGCGACGGGGTGGTTAACGTTATGTAACGGCCGGTCGGAGCGGGGTCGGAGGAGAGAGCTCAACAAAGTCCAGTTGACACGGTTCTGTGCATCCACAGGACTTGGAGAGGGGATGTTGAAGTCAAGAATTCGTCTCACAGAAGAAAGAAGAACGGTCTTCCACCGCAGCCACGGCGTTCGGCAGCTTCAGATCCTCCTCGGCGAACGGTGAGACGAACCGAGGCATAATACTATTTCTCTCGGCCAGGTTCTGCCGCCCGTGTGCTTCAACCCACCTGCGTAACACCCGCCCCGGTGGCATCTTGGCAGCGAAAGCAGGAGTAAACTATCGTTTATTCTGGCCTGGGAAGGGTTCACGGCAGCGGAGAGGACTTGTGTGCATCATGTCTCTCGGCCTGGGACCCGCTGTATGTGGCTGAATCATAAGCTTAGGACACTGTGTTGGCAGGATGTCGCGGCCCAGTGCCTCCGCCCAAAGATCCTTCCTTGCCCATGCCCGGGTGAGTCTTTGGTTTATACTTGATTTGATTACGGTTTATGATTTCTGACTATCTGGTTCTAGAAAGCGGAGCAGAACGTGTCGAGTGCGACATCTCAACGAGAGGCGCTCGACGCAGCGATCGATGCGGCGGAGAATTATATGAAGGCGTTGAAGCTGGCGACGGATACCACCGATAAGCATAAACTGGACGCTAAATGCAGAGAGCTCTTGACCCGGGCGGAGGAGATCAAGAACAAGAAGACCTGGCAGCCGCAGGGTCTGTATCGAGCAGCCGCGGCGGCTTGTACACGGCCCCCAGTTTCGAAGCGGAGGTTGACCACCCGGGAAGAGATCATCCTGCTGGAAGGTTCGAAACTGAACGGGTTTGTCTTTCGGCCGTGGACGACTGCTCCGGAAGCTGCCGAGTTTGAAAAGGGCGAGGAGAAAGGGCTGTTTCTGTATGTTTGATGCCATCGGCTGTCTGGCAAGGAAGAGATATGTTCTGATCGGACCAGGGATACGCCGGATCTTCATCTTTCGGACAAACAGAGGCAGATATTTGCGGGATGGCAACGTCCTCGGGACCTGCTATATCAAAGGAATTCCGAATGCTCGGATTCAATTGAACCGATGATGTCGGTATCGGGGCAGACCGACCTTGTGCAGGATGTATTGACGGACTGCTCGGTGGTTGCTAGTCTCTGTGCTACGACTTCAAAAACCGAACGGGGATGCGATGAGGTATATTTTTCTTCTCATTATATCAAAGCGTGATTATATCAAGGAGCTGATATGAACGATAGGCATTTCTTCCTCTTGTCTATCCTTACGATGGCAGTACAGGGAAGCCCCAGCTGTCATCTTCTGGCAAATATATCTTCATGTTCTATTTTAATGGGTGCTTCCGCCGAGTGGTGGTAGATGATCGCCTGCCATCCTCCAATACTGCCCGGTCGCTCTACATGATCGACCGCAATCATGCGAATTTTCTATGGCCAGCTCTGGTAGAAAAAGCCTACCTGAAAGTCCGCGGAGGCTACGACTTTCCGGGAAGCAACTCTGGCACAGACCTGTGGGTTCTGACGGGCTGGATTCCGGAGCAGATTTTTCTGCACGGCGGGGACGTGACCGTCGACGAGATCTGGAGGCGTCTGTTTGATTCCTTTCATGATGGCAATGTCATGCTGACGATCGGAACCGGATGTCTGACAGACCGAGAGCAGACAGCGCTGGGTCTCGTAAGTGAGCACGACTATGCGATTCTGGACTTGCGAGAGTCCAACGGCCGCCGTCAGATGCTCCTCAAAAACCCCTGGGCTGGTGCCGAAATTGCGCAGTCAGTCATTAGCTCTGGATCGAACGACGCATCTTCTGCTCTATCGCCTGGCTCCTTCTGGATGGACTGTAGTCATGCCCTGCAGCATTTCGAGAACCTGTACTTGAACTGGAACCCTGGCCTGTTCCGATACCGCGAAGATATCCATTTCACATGGAACCTGGAGGAAGAGCGAAGCACTGCTGGGTGTTTTGTGAAGAATCCACAGTTCTCCATATCTGCAGGTCGTGGAGGGACTGTGTGGATGCTTCTCGGCAAGCACTTTCGGACGAGTCCTGATCGGTCGTTGGAAAGCGACGCATTAGGGTTCATCAGCATCTATATTTTCGATGCGAACGGGCAGAGAGTCTACCTCAGCGACGGGGCACTTCATCGCGGTCCTTATGTGGATGCTCCGAACACACTGATGAGGTTAGACATGCCACCGCACACAACGTACACGGCGGTTGTCTCAGAGCAATCGCTCCCATCGTGTAGCCAAAATTTTACACTGTCCACCCTTTCGGTGGCTCCTGTGACTCTTGCACCCACCCTAGATCAATACACCTGCGTGACCAGGGCTCAAGGAGCATGGGTCTGTTCCACCGCTGGCGGTAACGCCGAGTCAGCGCGATATGCCTCGAACCCGCAATTCCGACTCGAGGTATCCGACATGACAGATGTCTCCATCTTGCTGGAGACCTCAGAGGCCGATCTGGCTACCCATGTCAAGCTCTTCTGGTCTGATGGCAAGCGCATCGCCCGGGTCCGGAGCCGCGATATCATCGCCGACAGCGGAGACTATCGTCGGGGGTGTGCGCTTGCCGAAGCCAAGGGTCTCAGCGCAGGCTCCTATACCATCGTCTGTTCTACATTTGCCCCCGACCAGCTGGGTCGATTTGCCTTGCGAGTGGCCACGAAAACCCGCTGTTCACTGAAGCCACTGGCAGCCGAGTCGGCCGGACGCCGCGTGATTCTCTCTCCCATAGGCATACTGCCACCTGGCCAGGACCGTATGCTAGCACCCTTGGCTGTACCGCGGTTGACGCGACTGAAGCTTATTGCTCGAAGCACCTCCTCGCTCATCGGCAGTCGCAGTGTCGCAGCATCACCCATGCTGATGACCGTCGAGTTGGGCCAGGGACCGTACAAGGAGGTCCTCGCCTCGTCCGAAGACGGTACCCACAGCGATACTGTCTCTGGAATTCGCATTGACGACATCGACATACAGCCAGGTCTGGAAGACAAGGGAGGCGTATGGGTTGTTATCGAACGGGTTGGGGGGCCCGGAGGACAGGTCGAAGACCGTCTCCAAGTCGAGCTGTTAGCAGAGGAACGCGTCGAAATCGGCGAATGGATCCTCGAGGATGCCTAATACATAGACCTTTGACAATACATTAGCTAGACTTTTCTGAAAAACATATTTCCTCCACTGTTCTGTTTGTGTAGCCAGAGTTAGATCAAGCACGGGCCACATCTCCAACGTCATCCAAAGCGACCCCTCATTACAGTCGGTGCAGCAGCAGCAGCAGCTCCTGGGCAGAACGAGTAACTTACAAATCGTGACACCATGCCAATCGACGTTCCTGCGACCATCAGGTCTGCAGATATTGGGCGCTATGCGATCCGAGCGGCCCAGATCGAACAGGCGAAGCCGATCGTCGCGTACTGGTGTGAGTTGATGTCTTGTGTGTACCCCAGTTAGAGAGCCCTTTCCACTGACGGCGTGTCTTGATATGCAGGCAACTTCCATGTTGTCAATCAGATCATTGATCGTGGCTTGCACACCTCCGATGAAGAAGTCAAGCTGTATACGATGAGCCTGGTGGACCAGTTGGAGCAGGTTCATTGCGAAACCTTCGCTATTCTCAACAGAGCTGCCGAGCTGACAAAGCTAGTTCAAAACCGACAACCCAGACAATGATGCCATTACGGATAGCGTGACTGCGAATGCATATGTAGAAGAGTTTGGTTTGGAGGTCTTTGGCCGAGCGGATAATGCTATGAGAGCGAACAAAGTCACCAGGTCTGCTACCCCCCCCCGCGTCTGTTTTTGCTGAAGAGGGCGAAGAGCTGACGCGAGACTCAAGGCAAACGGCAGATACATTCCAGGCTGCGGCGACGTTCCTTGAGCTGTGCCAGGTCTGGGGTCCTCTTGATCCAGAGCTGGCGGCCAAGGTCAAGTTCGCCAAGTACCACGCCCTGCGGATCGTCAAGGCGATCAAAGCGGGCGAAGACCCCAACTCGACAAACCCGGCACCCCAGGAGACAGACCCAGAAGTTCTGCTGGATGCTGGAGATATCAATGCACTGGAGACGCAAGGTAAACAGCCCTCCGTGGAGGAGGTGCCAGATGAGGCCGATCGCCTGTCGCGGCAGCTTGCCGGGCAGTCGACGCTCGATGAGTCTCTGCATCCGTCCCGATCTTCGTCAATTCCTCCCTCGGCAGCGGCACCTCGACCTCACGTTCCGTCTTCCCTTCCCACTGTCCCGTCTGGACTGGCTCATGAGACCAACGTAGACAACGACCAGGACGGTACCCTCAAGCTCCCTTCTGCACCTGCCACTCTGAAAGCGCCGTCGGCATCGTCACCGTCAGTGCCGGATCTGCCAGATACCCCATCGAGCCTCAATCTGGGTGCTTCACGCCCCTCAACTCTTCCAGACACTTTTCACTCTTTTCCTTCTCCCTCCGCGCTTCCTCCTTCTCACACTCAAGATGCAAGCCCATTTTATGCACCGAGTGTCCCCCCAGTTCAGCCACCTGTGAACCCTGTCCATGTCCCACGCCCGTCCGTGCCGGTGGCTCAGCCATCAGTGCCTCAATCTGCTCTGCAGGCTGTGGACGACCAGTCGATTGCTCTGGCTCAAAAGCATGCACGCTGGGCCGTCTCCGCGCTGACATTTGATGATGTGAACACTGCCATTAAAGAGCTTCGAAATTCATTGAGATGCCTGGGAGCCGATGGCGTGTGAGCCTGTCAGAGGCTTTTATCTATACTGCTTTTTGTACAAAAGTGTGTCATAAGACTCCCTGTAGTATAGGTATCTTACTCTCTATTAGCTTTCAGTAAAGTTAACTGGATTGTCAGTCTCAGTGATATTGATTCTTATAGCTAGTGATTTTTAAGAAAGAGAATTCTAAGAACAAGTCACTATAATCCATATAACTTTGAATATCAGTTTAAGCTCGATTAATATTCACTGCTTGCTACTGTCTTGATAACAACACATCTCCCCCCCCCATCCTCTACCAATTTTTCCCTTCCATCTACCTTACACTGTCTCGTCTATATCGCCTGAGGTGACCTCAGGTAACTTTCCCTGCCCAAACCCACTTTACTAACCATCAGCAACTGACAGACAGCCAGTTCCAGGATGGCAGGCACACGCTCGAAGAGGACTTACCATGCGATCGACTCTGATTCCGACGGCACGGACGAGAGCTACAAAAAGGCATACAATGTGATGCGGAATGCACTGGACGAGGGAGCCCTGACGCTGAAGAGCCGCGACCGGACGTTCACCACCTTTCTCGACCTGAAGAACGACCACCACAATGAGTTTATGACCCGGCTGCGTGAGCACGTTCAGCTGGCGTACCAGTGGGACGATCTGGAGAAAGATGAGTCCGAACGTAGACGCTGTGCCACCAGCTTCGTCCGCCAATACGGCAATACGTACTGGGGAACTGAAGAAAACAGGCGCAAGTACCTGCTGCCGGACAGTCTGAAAGATCGCAAGGCGCTGTGCACGTATCCAGAACGGAAGGAGGAGTAGGCAGTGACCCCCCCCGAGTGTTGACTCTCTTTCCTGTTCTGACGAAAGTTCTGCCTAGGATTATTCTTTCTTTGATGCTTCTGCTCCAGAAGAAGGCCAACAGCCAGGAAAACGCGAGTGAGAAGAACGGTTTGGTAGGAGCTCTTTGAAGAAGGAATTCGAAAGGCGTATCGTGTATATGCTAATTAATGAAAGTCTACGCCAGGCGGCATGAAGAACCCTCGCTCCGTCTCGGAGGCGCCCTTTGAGCTTCGCAAGAGCATGGACCGTAAGAGCAAGAAGAGAGCCTCCGACCTGTTGAACGATAACCGTGCCCTTAGCCGCGCCCCGAGCCCGGAGCTGCTGGGTGAGCATAGAGGCCGACAGAGGACCAAGGAGGTGCGGGCTTTCACGACCCCCCCGAAGTCCAAGACTACGGCGAGTAGTGCTTCTACTGCTACTGCCGCTTTTGCTACGGGACGGGCCACTCCCTCCAGATCGCTGGCGAGGCAGATCACGTCCCCGGAGTCGTTTGGCGAGGATATCTTCTTCGACGGCAAGGATGCGGCGCGCGCACAAACCCGCGACGGCATCAATAGCAGTGTGCCCGCATCTCCAACAAGTCACGGTCACAGCAGTGGCGCCACGATCACGGACACCACCGTCACTGGGCAGTACAAAAATACCAGCTTCCTGGTCTCCGGCGCCCACCAGACAGGCATGGCACCCGTACATGTCCCTTTCCAGGCGTTTGTCTCCTCGTCGGCCTTCCTCGAGTGCATGGTGGAGGAGTGTGGGCTCACCTACTGGGATCCGAGCATGCAGCTGAACAACGAGATCTCGCAGTGTCTCAATCTCAACTCGGCTGTCGTCGTTGACCCTCCTCCTACCACCTCGTCGATTTCTTCTCCTTCTTCTGCTTTTGTCATTGTGGCATCGGTGAAGCTGGACTGGTCGAACTTTTTCATCCGCGTGCGACCCGGCAAGGACCAGGACTGGGCGGCCATCATGTACGAGCTGGAGAAGGCCAGGAAAGCACAAGACGCGACGCAGACTCCGCCCTCTCAGTTGAAGATCCATGTCACGCTGCATCTCTCGGCATGATTCTGTCTCCTCCTGTCCTGTCTCCACGCTGTTTTTTCTTTCTTTTCGCCTGTTCCTGGACAAAGTACGGACGGAGTACAGGTTGATGGTTGGGACGTTGGTACAGGTACTGTCAGATCGGCGATCCAGGATGAACCATGGGACGAGGATCTAGGGGCCAACCTAAGATTAGATAGACACGATAACCTCTTATTTGTACTGCTTGTAGTTGTTATTGTTGTGCTCCGTAGTCTCATGGCGACCCCCGTAGTAATAATTTCTTCCAGACCATCACCCTGTGGTAGACTTCAAGAACGGCCGAGTGGCAAATTAATAGCGAGCGTTTCATCCAATTCCACGCAGCGCTTCCAGAACAAGCCCACTTGGTGATAAAACTATGGATCTGCCGGCGTGTCGGTGGCAGTGCGTCCCACCCGAAGCATTTCATTTCCAATTCTAAACCGCCAGGTCAATCTCGACAATAATAATACGGTTGCAGTTTGATCTTGTTCATTTGATCGATTGAGATGCTCATCTCGAGTCGAACTTGTGTACCGAGTGGGACAGTTGGTAGTTTATTAACTACCTAGGTAGTTATTCGATACGGTCAACTCAAGGCCGTCGTGCGACCGTCAACTTGGAGAAGAAATTATCGAAGAATCGTATACGGAATACTATTCAACAGTCTATAATCAATTAGTGAGGTCCTCCGTAGTCAGTAGTAGGATACTTGATAGAATACCGGTAGATCTAAAGCACCAGACAACAACGTTAGTATGACGATACCACTGCGCCATCGCGATCGATCACTGTGCAGAAATCGTCCAAGTCGAAGATCCCCCTCTTCTCACCTGCGATCATCGCACCTATTCTCACCAGCCCGTTGGTGTTTCACCCCCCCCGTCCAGCCCGTCTGGTGGTCGAGGGATTAACCAGCCTCAGCCTGATACGCACCAGGACATCAAAGCGCGAAACAAGTGTCGCTTAGTGTCTCGAGCACCCTCTCTCCACTCCCGACTTCTTTGCTGTCTCCCCTTCCCTTCTCCTCTTTTTTTTCCCTCCCTTCATCTTGTTTCTTTTTCCAGGCCTGTTTCGCTTCAAACCTCCCTCGAACGGACCATCGAACACCCCCCCCTGTCGTTGCACTCTTGCTCCGCCGGTCCTTTTCTGCCGCCTCCTTTTGCGCTGTTTCCCCTCCCCGCTCCATCCCGAGCTGTGCGGGGCGTCAACAACCCGAGTCCCGTCCAAGTCGACCAGGAGAAAGAGAGGAGGAAATTATAGATCTCCGTATTTAAAACGAAAGGAGAGTCAGGGTGGGAGAAGAAGAAGAAGAAAAAAAAGGGAAAAAGGGGGGAAAACCAGGAAGAAAAGTCAAAGTACAGTCATGGCCGGTGAGACTAGCGGCAAGCCCGCGGTGTTGATTATTGGAGGCCTGGGTAAGTCTTTTCTTCTCCGTTCTGTTTGTGCAAACAGTGAACTGGCTGGGAATCCAAACACTGACTCGTTCGTGCGTTGCGTGAGTAGGATTCATTGGTCGTCACCTAGCGCTCTACCTCCACGAGAATAACCTGGCCTCCGAGGTCCGACTGGTGGACAAGGTTCTGCCTCAGCTGGCGTGGTTGGCCCCGGAATTCGAGGAGGCCTGTTCCAAGGAGAAGTTTGTGCAGGCGGATGCCAGCCGGGAGCGTGAGTGGCTAAAAACAATATACCGTGGATTCGTAAGCTAATGAACGGGGGGGTGTATAGAGCATTTCCCGCGGATATTCGACCGAGCCAACGGCGAGCAATTCGACTACGTGATCAACTGCGGCGGCGAGACCCGCCACTCGCAGCCAGAGGATGTTTACGAGGTGCGCAGCTACGGCCTGACCGTGGCGCTGGGCCGTGAGGCAGCGCGGCGCAACCTACGGGCCTTTGTTGAGTGTTCCACCGCCCATGTTTACAAGCCCGGCTCGTCGCCGCGCAAGGAGAGTGACAAGCTGCAACCGGGGACGAAACTGGCCAAGTGGAAGCAAAAGGCGTGTGAGGAGCTCGCCAAGATCCCCGGCCTCAACTACGTCGCCCTGCGGTTACCGTTTGTCTACGGCGAGTATGAGTCCGGCTACTTCGCCATGGGCGCCTGTCTGGGCCGCGTGCACGTTGACCTAGACAAGGACCTCGAATTCCTGTACACCGAGAAATTAGCCCTCAATACGGTGCATGTCAAGGACGCCGCCAGCGCCCTGTGGACCGCTGCCGAGTGGCGTGCTAGCAAGATCGGCGTCGACCCTGCCTCTCTCCCCGTCGCCTTCAACGTCGTCGACCACGGTGCCACGCGCCAGGGGGACATTGCCGAGGCCATCTCCGAGGTCTTCGGCCTGAAGTGCTCCTTCCATGGGTCGCTAGTCTCCCAGCTCGCAAAGCTCAATCTCGACGATATCGTCGATGACATGAACGAGGTGAGCCTGCAGGTCTGGGCCGAGTTGCTCGAGGAGAGCAAGGTCGAGCGCCCGGGGCCCATCGGCCCATTCCTTGACCGCGACCTCATCAAGGGCGAGGATACCTCCATCGACGGCTCCCTCTTTGAGTCTACCACCGGCTGGAAGCTCACCCGCGAGCGCTTCAATGCTGACAGCATCCGCGAAATGATCGAGAGCTACAAACGCATGGGATGGTGGCCGTGATTTTTCCCCTCCCCTATCCGCTTCTCCCCCATCCTCCTCATCTCTTTCCAATAACCCCCACCAACTAGATTTGCTTTAGCTTTTTTTTCCTCTTCTTGCATACTGGTGAAACAAAGCTAAGCGCTTCCTGGAAGCTGGCTCTGCTGCATTCGACATCTTTTCGCCTTCATCATTATTTCTTGTGATTGCATTGCTTTTGCGTCTGTAATTTTAACTCTATTTCTGTGTCTTCTTCTCTCCTATATATCCATTCCATTTCATTCAGCGGTTGATCTTCTTTTTTCTTCTCTTTCGTGTGATATCGGTCTCCTTTCTACATTGGTATTATATACTTGCTCTATTGGATTCCTAAATTCTTCCATATAGATACTCTTTCATACATATAGTTTCTCCTGTCTACTACAATGTATTTCAATAGATTGGCTTATGCATAAAATTCCAAACCTAGGGAGGAGATACATATGTCATAACAGATTTATATAATAAAATAGTTAAACTTCGTATTTTTTATTTAGGTAGCCAAGCTTTAAAAAAGTCTAATGAGTTGGTCAACCGATAGGTCTATATCTTTCCCATGCTGTCAGTTTTCCTTCCTGATGCTGGGTGTCTTTCCTTATGCAGTAGAGCAACAGATCTCAAGAAAAAACATAGTAATGAAGAATGCGAGCGCAAACCCGTCTTGAAGGGGGGGGGGAGAGAGGTTAACAAGGAACCTTTGAAGTTTGTACCGATCTTTTGGACAGGCCGTCCTAGCACAAGTATGACCTGTTAGGCCGTTGACTTTGATTTGAACTAGGACGGGAATTTCGTCATGACCAAATCGCGCGTGAATATATTGAGGAAATCCAAGAAGGTGGATCGACAATTGTGTTGTATGAGGAGACTAGAATTCCCAGTCTGCCTCGACAGACTTAATAGCCCACTCGAACTTCTCCCGCAGAGCTTTGGAGAAGAATTTTTCGATGGGCACATTGAACTTCTTGGAGAAGACCACGGTCAGACGAGGATCGATGTAGTTCTGAGTGAGTCAGCGGTTTGTCCTAAGTCTTCCTTTCCTTTCTGTTGTACTTACGATCTTCGAGGTTCCCAGGGCGACCTCCTTGTTGTCTTCTTTGTCTTGGGCCTGGAGCGTCATGTTGTCGATGCGTTGATCCAATTTTGTGATCGACGCCTCCAACTTGTCAACGGTTGGCCCTTTGCCCTCGGCGACGACCTTGTTCGTTTTGTTTTCCTTCTTGAATTTCGCTTCCATCTCCTTGACCACCTCGAGGCGTTGTTCAAGCTCGCTTGCCTTCATCTCCTTCTCACCCTCCGCAGCCAACTTCTCATTATCCTTCTCGAACTTCTTATTGATCTTCTGTCGTTGTTCCTCCACCAAGAAGGATTGATGTTCTTTGATCCACTCCTGGTCAATATCCTCATCCAGCGCAAAGAAGGCGGATCCTTTCTTCTTCTTCAGAGTAGGATCCAGATCAAGCATCATTTGCTTTAGTCTCCATTTCTGATAACGCAAACCTTTGATCTAGAATGTAGAGAGCCGGTTAGTAATGGCACGCTGCGAGGATCCACTAGAGAAGACTAACCCGTTCGCCCATCTTTTCCATTTGATTTGCATGAGACGCGGTGACAGTCCGCTTGTGATTGCAAAGGATAGCCACTTTGCGGTTTGCGTCATTGTAAGCCTTGACCTTCTCGGCGATGGTTCCTGCCGCTTCCATATCTTTCAGAAGGGTAGACATCGTATATGAAGCGTTATAGGTACGGAACACCTTGGCAGTAAGGCCTGTCATGTAAGCTGACAGATGCTTGTTGAGAGCAGAGGTCTAGTTGTGTTAGCATGCCGCTTCAGCCGTAAATTATAAATGGAACGAGACATACCGTTAAGCGGTCAAAGATCTCATCTCCTTCCTTCTTCGGGGCCTTTTTGAAGATTTTCAGGTTCTTGAAGACCTGAGTGTCGACCTCGACCTCATCATAGTAACGAATACTGTCTTTACCCAAAAAGTCGAAAATCACAGTATTCGGCGGTTTCAGGGTGACGTGCTCGTATTTCAAAGAACAGCAGCCCACTGTCTCAGCTTCATCTTCACCCTTCTCGTTGCCAGCACGAAGAGCAAACCGGTCAATGAGATAGACAGCTGTCGCTTTCTGACGTTCCACCATCAATTCATGCTTCAATGCCTTTTGGTAATCTTTGCGGATACGGTCGATGTGTTTCTTCAGCTCTCGAGCCTTTTCAAACTTCTTGAAGTCGCTTTGTCCCTTGACATCGGAATTGGCTGCGAGCATGACATACTTGTAGTTGCCGTTGATATTCTCTTGCCACATCGCGAGCCAGGTCCCCTCTTGGTCATGCTTCACTTCCTTCCAGCGGTGACCCTCCGGAGGCGGTGGCACCGGCGCACCTTTGCCAATGTTGATGGTGACCTGTTCAGGCTGCACTCTAGTTTTCACTCGACCAGTCTTGGGATGCTCGCCACGCCCTCTGAAAAGCTGGGGAGGTTCCACACGGAAGTTGCCGACCTTTTGCTTTCGGCCATCCCACATACAGTACATGTAGGGCGCTTCCACAAGATCCTTTTCGGCCTTCAGTCGCTTCTTCTCTGCCGGTGGGAGGTTTCTCTTCTCCTGACGCTGCATATCGAAGTATTCGAAGATGGGCTGGAAATCGCACTTGGAAAACTCTTTGATATCGACCTTATTTCCTTTGGAGTCTTTTGCGCCTCCCGACTTTTTGATGATTTCCTTGAAATCCATGAAGAAGTTCTTTTGGAAAACCGGATTCTCCACATTCTGAGTCGAGTTGAGCATACCACCGAAAAATCCAGCAACTTCCTCAGCCTCTGGCTGCAAAGTGACAGGCACGCCGTCATATTTCATTTTCACATCCTTAGGCAAAGGTTCATAGGGCGGCGGGAAAACAACGCCATTGTGTTCCAAAGTTGTCCACTTGATGGTGCCATCCCCCTTGGTTGGGTCGTCCCACCACCTGTATTCTTCCTCCTCTTCGCCTTCAGCCTCTTCGCTCTCCTCCTTGACTGGGGCATTTTTCCCTTGACCCTTCTTGACGGGGGTTGACAACTCGGACTTCGGCTCTGTTTTGACCTTGGCTGTGGCTTTCTTGCCCGCTACCATTTTCGCAGTGGAGTTGGAGGGCTCTTTCTTGACACCATTGGTGGGTTTCTTCGTGCTGGCGGCAGGCTTCTTTGCAGTGGCCTTCTTGGTAGATGCCGCTTCCTCTTTACGAAGGGTCTTTGCTTCCTTCTCCGCTCGCTGCTCGATCTTCTTTTTTTCGGATGCAAGTCTCCTCTCAATAGGGATGTCGGAATCAGACTCATCACCGATGGCAGTTTCAGAAGCCTTGGGAAGCTTCCGTCCGTTCGCTGCCAAAGGCACATCATCATCCGTCTCTGGGTCTTCGTGCTTCACTGAGGTGCGACGACGCTTACTCTGTCGAGTGGTCAGTCGCTGAAACCAAACACGGCATAAAAGATCATCGAAACATGGATGAATTACTGTAGAGGGTATGGCGTACCAAAGGCTCATCGTCCTCCTCACTACTCTCTGGCTCTGCGTATGACTTCCGCTGGCCAATACTGCTGCGTGCCTTGCGCTTGCTAGCACCATGCAATTCACCATCTGCATCCTCCATCTTCACATCTTCACTCTGTACGGGTCCAAACCGGATGGAAACTCCCGGGTCAACGTCGCCGTTCGTAGTATGAGAGGCCTTTTTTCTCGTGGATGACACAGCTAAAGGAAAGATGATTTGTTAGAGAGAAAAATTTTGATAGGCAGCGGCAGATATCCCTGCCAGATTCAAGGCACGGGAACGGTGGGTGAGGGAAGCTCAAGGGGGGGGGGACTCACCACTAGAACGGCCATTTGCCCGAATGAGAGGAGCGTCATCGTCGGAAGAACTCATCTTTGCGCGGGTATCAATCGCAATGCGCCGGAACAGAGGAGAAACCGGAAATTCAAAGGAGCACGACGCGAGCACCCTGGGAAGCGGTCTCGAGGAGGCGCGCAGAAGGACTCGTGACGAAGAGAAGAACAAAGTGAAGGTAATCCCAGCCAATGGCAGGACTAAGAGCAAGGCAAGGCTAGCGTTCACCAAGCCAGCCCTTCGATGTAAGAAACGAGATGAATGTAGATAAGAGCAAAGGGGAAATGGCCGCAAAGGAACCCTCGAGCAAAACGCGCGGAAGCGGCTGGAATGGGCGAAAGAGAGGCCGCAGGAAGCGATGAGGGCGAAGGGAAAAGTAGCCCGTGCAAAAGTTGAGGCCTCAGGCGTCCACGGCGGCCCTCGGCTGGAGTTGCTCTTGGCGACAGCGCCAAGTTGTTGTCACGTGGTGTAACTACGCAGTGGGTGATTACCGGCGGCCGTACGGGACATCCTGTCCGGGCCTAGTGCGGCTCCGAACCTTCCCGGTTCTCGGATAGGAGTCGAAACAACGTCTTCTACCCAGAGGAACCGACGTTGACCTGCCTTTGCCGCCTTCTCCGCGCCGCAGTATCCTCCCTGGGCTTTCTAACCCCTCTCTCCCGTGCATATATCTTTGCAAGATGTTCTCTCGCGCTGTGCGCCCGGCTGTGAAGGCCGGCAGTGCTGCCGTCACCCGGTGAGTTGAACAGATCTTTCAACACGGTGGGCACCGTCCCATCGTGCGGAAAGGACGGCCTCGCAGCCATTGAAGCGAAACAAGTCGCTGGGTACAAGGTAAAGAGGTCAATTGCTGATATTTTCAAAGGACTGCCCCTCCCAATGCCGCCGGCTTCGCTACCCTGCGTGAAATCGAGGGCCGTCTCAAGTCCATCAAGAACATCGAGAAGATCACCAACACGATGAAGATTGTTGCCTCTACTCGTCTCACTCGTGCCCAGAAGGCCATGTCCGAATCCCGGGCTTACGGTCAGACCTCCAACACCGTCTTCGAAAACGCCGAGACCAAGCCCCTCGAGGGCAAGAAGACCCTCTACGTCGTCGCCAGCTCCGACAAGGGTCTTTGCGGTGGTATTCACTCCGGTCTGAGCAAGGCCACCCGCCGCTTGATCGAGGCCGCTCCCGATTCCGATGTTGTGATTCTGGGAGAGAAGGCCAAGGCCCAGCTGTCCCGTGCCTACCCCAACTCCATCATCATGAGCTTCGCCAACGTGGGCAAGGATATCCCCACCTTCACCGAGGCTCAGGCGATTGCCGACCAGATCGCCCTCCTTCCCACTGACTACGCCAGCGTGAAGATCGTCTACAACAAGTTCCTCAACGCTCAGAGCTACGAGCCCACTGTCATTGAGGCTTTCTCTGAGGAGGCCATCACCCAGTCCGGTACGATTTGAGGGACCTTTATAGATTGGCCCAATCATGCTAATCTTTGTAATCTAGCCAACATTTCTGCCTTCGAGGTTGATGACGAGGCTCTGGCTAACCTCCGCGAGTACGCTCTTGCCAACAACCTGTACTGGGCCCTGGCTGAGGGACACGCTTGTGAGATCTCGGTGAGTACTTTTGTCTCCCTATCTTCATATATCTAAAGAAAGCTCTTGCTAATAACTTTTTTAGGCTCGTCGCAATGCTATGGAGGCAAGTATTCCATGACATGGAATCACGAGGCTAGATAATCGTTTACTGACCATCACTTCTTTTTTACAACAGAACGCTTCCAAGAACGCCGGCGAGATGATCCAGAAGTATGTTTCCTCTCCTGTCAGATTCCTATCAAATGCGGCTCCCTTCTGACTCTTCCACAGGTTCCAAATCTTGTACAACCGTCAGCGTCAAGCCGCCATTACCAACGAGCTCGTTGAAATCATTACGGGTGCCACTGCCTCTGCTGAGATGTAAGAAGCATCACTATGATGCTTCTCTGGGAAGGAGTCGACTTAATGAAGACTTGTCCATAAATACCTAGATCCATTGTCAGCTTGTAAAATCAGTCAATCCATTTTACCTTCCCTTTGTCCCTTTTCAAAGTATCTTACCTTTCTAGAAAACCAAGTGCAGAGATGCCTACCTTGTCAGTATTCTGCAGCATGATAATAGTTGCCTTTCACTCACTTTAGATTTCTCTTATGTTGTTTTCTATATCGAGAAATTATCTCTACACCACACCAGACTAATGCACTCTTCACTCCCATTGGATCTTATGAACTCTTTAGGATCCTCACTGACAGTCACTCAGCAGGAAGTGAGAAAATCATTTCTCTACTCTAATGGGCCTTGAGATCTCTTTGGAGAGCTGTTGAGGACTTCTCCAAACCACTCCCTATCTGTTGTCTGTTCCCTCCACCCTACAGCCCATCTGGACAGTTTTCTAGCTCTGCTAGAACCCATCATTGGTTTCTCGGTCGATTTCTCCTGCCATCTCCTAAGCCTTCATTCCAGTTGCTCTATTTTGCTTGCTGCGGAGCGACTGTGGCTTTCCTTGACAGCACGAGCCTACCGGTCTGATATTGGCGTTCTTCTCGCCTGATCTGAAGCTTCCAGGTGTTTGCCAACGAAGAATAGATTTAAACACTTCACTCCACTTCAAGAGTCACACCGTGATCCTGCGGAAACGAGGCAAGCCGAAACAATGATGAAGACTACGGGCCTCGTCAGCCACTATGAGACCCTGGGTGTTCCCCAGAATGCATCCTTGAAGGATATCAACAGTGCTTACAAGAAACTCGCCTTGAAGGTGCATCCCGACAAATTGGGCGATGGAAATGACACGGGTGAAGAATTTCGCAAGGTGAGAGCAGTTCATATTATATCGGACACTGTTAACTACAGACCCGCTTATGACTTTTCTTTTTGTAGATCCAGCTTGCCATCGAGGTCCTCCGGGACTCCGTCCGGCGCCAGAAACACGATTATGATCTTAACATACGCAAAATATTGGAGGAACAGCAACGGAAATTCCCCTTTGGTCAACCGGACTATGATGGCTGGATGCCGCACAGTGGCCGGCCATACGGTCTCCGAGACCCCTATGACCGCTACATGTACAGCTACAAAAACAGCGTGCACATGGATTCCACCAGTCCTGAGTCAAGAGAAGAGAAGCAACGTGTCGACGAGGAGCGCAGAGCCGTCGACGAGCTGTTTCGGAAGGTACCGGTCCGTGACGAAGACAGACGCAGAGAAGCCATGCGCGAGCGTGTTCGTTGTGACGAAGAGCAAATGAATAAAGAGGAGAAGGAAGAGGAAGATGGAGCGGATGAATATTCGACTCCTGCTAATGTTCACTCTGCAAGTGCCAACGATGCCAACAAACATAGAGTGCAGAACAGAGATGAGTATCAGGCCTCTCCAGTCCCTGAAAATCGGCCTGTCCCTGCTCAGCAGGCTGAAGAAAACAATGAACAATCCGAAGAGGACGACGAACTGTTCGTGCCGGCCTATAGCGGTGTTGGCAGTAGTCGTCGCATTGATGAAACGGAGTCTTGTCGCTGCTACGGTGACGATGAAGACAACAATTCGGCAGATAGTTACGACAAGAAAAGCTCCAGTCTCGGTCTTACAGACGCATACGCAGCCGAACGCGAAGAAGGAACAGACGTCTTCTATTCCAGCAGAGAAATCGACTCGTCCGAGCAGGACGATGACAGCAGCTCGGACGATGACGACGGTGGTCCTTCCCCCAGCCCCAATAATCAAAGCCATACTGGACATACTGGACACACCGAACCAGTCCCTTCCAAAGACCTGTTCGCCGACTTCTTCACCGCGAAGCTCAACCACCCCAGCGGGAAGTATACTCTCCAAGACTACCAAACCGAACTCAAGGGGTTGGTCATGGAGGCCTTCTGCGGCTGGCTCGAAGCCACTCGTCTCTCTTTTCCTTCCGCAGAGCCACAGGGCTGCGCCAGTTCCCCCGCGACCTGTCGCCACTTGGGATATTGGGAGAAGGAGTTTGGACGTCCCGAATGCGAGGTCTGTCATCGATTCATGCCCTTGTGCACTCTCAAGTGTCCTGGCTGCGGGATGAGAGCTTGTATCGCCTGCAAGTTTACTCGTGGTGACTAGAGGAATTGCACGACTCCATTTTCTCTCCATTCTGAATTTTGTCTTGTTCTCTGTCGTCTGCTTTGGTCTTTCTTGTGTTTTGCAATCTTTGATATGCTTGCCCCCCCCTCTCACTTTGATCTAGATTTATTGCCTGTCCAGCTGGTTCTTGTTGGAGCGTCGTCGATCAAAGGAACAACTCTGGCATTTGCTTCTTCTCTTTTCAACCCGAATATTCTCTTGTATCTAGGTAGCCGGGCCTATGGTTCTACTTACAACTGAATGAAATCCCGTATTGTGGAATTTGCATGTCGAATATAACGTGCGGTTGCACGACTAAGCATATGAATTGTAGTATTCAGTTGCCCTCTTGCTACTATCAAGACCATTTCTGACTCGGCACTGTCTATCCTGCGTTGATAAGAATACAATTCAGTCAAATCGCAAGATGAGGAGTTCGTTGTCGGCCCCTTGACCGACCAAAAACCGCTCGCTACCGGAAATCTTTCCGAAGGGGAAAATCTTCAAGGCTTGTTGCAAGATGATGGTTGAAAATGGGGTTTCGATGCTGAGCGTCAGGTCCAAGTCATCCTGCCACGGGGCGCGAGGATTATATAGGCAGAAACGGACGCCAGCCTCGTCATCCACTGCTTGAGAAACCACTGTATACCATCGTTGAGCCGTCTCATTTGCGGTGAGAGGCGATGTTTGCAAGCTCCCACTGCCACGGTACGGAGGAAACTTCACCCCAGGGTCTCGTCGCCAGCAAGGCCCCTCTCCAAGGATAGGGATGCTAGTAGTGTGTACCTGAGAGGTCAGACCGGCCGGCCAGATTGAGTAATCGACAGGGCTGTCACAGATATTTTCAGTGATCTCTACATGAAGTGCATCATCCGTGATATCCAATCGCTGTACACCGGGCAATCCTCTTTGTCGAACAGAGTAGAAGCCTAGCTCACGGAAGCCAAATCGCGAGATAATCGACGGGCCGTCTGTTTTCTCCTCCTCTTTTAAACGGCCGGTTGGATCGAGGGATGGTCGGTATGACGATGGCTGGGAGATGTCCCATACGAATAGGGATTCAATGGGCGCATCTTCATCTGCAGTATACAGGCTGCGGTTCGGCTGCCATATGTATATGATGTAGTGAGTTTTGCTATGAGAAGAGAAAAAGCGATCTCGTTCACTGAGTGGGTGCCCCAGGAACATGATCTTCCATTCGTTGCGGAAGACAATCTTCCAGCCGGAGGAGCCTCTGACGACGTCGAACGACGAGGCAAAATGACGATGAACACCATCTACATCGTTCAGCCAGTGAAAGGCTTTAGGTTCTGCCCACTCAACCACTAGGACTTTCTGTTGCAGTCTCACCCGTCGAACGACTTTCCCTGCTGTCAGGAAAGGCACTATTGTTTTCTGATCGGTCTCGAGGTCAAGCAGGACGAGACACCTATGGTCTGCACTGGGATACACTACTAGACCATCTTCGTAGGTCCAGAATCCCTCTGGGAGAGGTTCATCCACCCGTTGACACGCATGGCTGGCGTGGTATTCCCAGGGTTGGACCGGAAACCACTCTCGATCTCCCGAAGTCCCATAGGGATGACACAGTCGGTATTTCTTGATTGTTCTGGGTTTCGCACGCGCCAAATGATAATATCGACAGGCGAGTCGGTCGAAAATAGCCCGCCAGTCGGGGTCTAATCCGCCTTCGCCTTGTAGGTTCCTGACTTCTTTTGCCCGAGGGAAAAACCTCTTGACCACAGCCACCAGATTGTCAGGATTTCTAAAGGCATCGTTCCAGGATCTCGAGACACGACGGCAACGCACAATGTCCCATGGGTCCAAGTAGCTCAGCAGCATCCAGAATATATCCCGAGGCAGATCAGACAGCTCTGCTCTACTTTCATGTCCATCTGGTCGGGCGTCAGCGGGCTCGGCGGACATCGCGAGGGCGAGTGAGTAGTACTGGCCCTAGACATTAGCTGGCAGTTATTATCCAAACCTATAGATATCTTCAGCATTTCTGTATGCTCTAGAGATGCAGCATCAATGAACAGATAAGAAGCGTTGTTGGCACAGAAATCCCACCTTCCTCTATCTTATCAGACAAACCAGTCACATGCCAAGAAAACACAGCTTCGTTCAGGACACCTTACGACTTGCGCCAACAGCAGCTTTACTGCTCCGCCAAGCTGGTCTACAACAGACAAGCCTGATATTCTGCTTGTTGTTTGATTGATTTTCTGTCCAGAAAGACACCATGAGACTGTTGCAAGGCTCTGCGTGGCTGCTTGCCACCTCGGTTTTTGCAGTGCTGCCCGTGGAAGCTAGCATGTACAAGGCGAAATCGCCTGTGATGCAAGTTGACCACAAGACGTTTGATGAGAAGATTCTCAATTCGAATCATGTATCGGTGAGTGGGTAGTTTTGTTAGTTCGCTTGCAGAGATCTGTTGCTGAGCCCCCCCGTCTGCAGCTCGTAGAGTGAGTCGAATCTTTCTTTCCGTTCATATCGCACTGCCCTCTCACCGCGTTGTTCAGGTTTTACGCTCCTTGGTGTGGATATTGCAAAAAGTTGAAGTCGATTTATGAGAAGACTGCAAAGGCTCTGGATGGACTGGCCAATGTCGCCGCGGTCAACTGTGACGAGGATGCGAATAAACCGCTGTGCAGCCAGATGGGAGTTCAGGGATTCCCAACCCTGAAGATCGTGGTGCCCTCCAAGACTCCCGGAAAGCCTCGCATCGAGGATTACAATGGAGCGCGAAGCACGAAGCTCTTCGTCGACGCGGTCACCGACAAGATTCCGAACCACTCCAAGAAACTCACTGATTCGACAGCGGAACAATGGCTCCAGGAAGACAAGGACACCCCCAAGGTGCTTGTGTTTACTGAGAAAGGCTCCACGCCCGCGATGGTGCGTGCCTTGGCCATCGATTTCAAAGGTCAAATCAAGTTTGGCCATATCCGTGACACTGAAAAAGCCCTCGTGCGCCACTACAACATCAAGAAGTTCCCCACCGTGCTTCTTCTCCCAGGAGGTGACCAGAAACCCATTTATCACACGGGAGAATTGACAAAGAAAGCCATCACCGAATTCCTGTCCCAGGTGGCTTCTCCCAATCCGATTGAATCACCAGCTGCTGCTGCTGCCGCCCCTGAATTCAAGCCCGCTCAGGTCCCTGTTGAGGTGACCCCGATCGCTACGCTGGCCACTGCTGAAGCTCTTGAGTCGGCGTGTCTTACTTCCTCGTCCGGCACCTGCATTCTTGCCCTTCTCCCGGCTTCCATTGAAGGCGATGCGGATCAGTCAGATGCCACCAAGGAGGCCCTCGCCAGTCTGGCGGACGTCTCCCACAAGTACAATTTGCGCCAAAGCAAACATTTCCCATACTACGCTGTTCCGGCCATCAATGCCGGCGCCAAGGCCCTACAAGAAGGCCTAGGCTTGTCGACAGAGGAGGCAGAGATTCAAATCATTGCCCTGAACGGTCGTCGTGGCTGGTGGAGGAAGTACGAAGTCACGGGATCTTCCCCGTACAATGTCGCTGCCGTTGAGGCATGGATCGATGCCATCCGGCTGGGCGAGGGTTCAAAGGAGAAGCTGCCAGAGGATATCCTCGCTGCTGGAGCGGAGGACTCGCACGATGAACTGTAACTTGTTCCTTTTTTCAAAGCTTAGAAGATAATCTGCCTGCCTGCTGTCTTCTCAACCCAGGCATATACAGATGGAATGAATTGTAAAATATACCATTTATGAAATACTTTTTTTCTTCCTCTTCTCGTAGTCAGCTTTACGCGAACATATCATCTTATATACAGAATAATATAGTCTCCGTAGGGGGAAAAAAAAGGAATCAACACAACCGGCAACACCGTATCACCCATGCAAGGAATACATCCATCAATTCAAGGACAGATCTATAGGACTTTTTTTTGGGGATTTTAAACATCTACTTCTTCTGTCTTCCCTCGGTTCCCTTCTTGATGATCTTCTGTCTCTTGGAATCGACCTCCTTGTCGTAGATCTCCCGAGCCGACTCGCCCTTCTTGCGCTTAGAGGATTTGGCAGACTTGATGCTGACCGTTGAGCCGCCACCCTTGCGGATCTGCTCTTCGGCTGTTTCCCATGCGACGGAACCGTTGTCAATTTCGTATCTGGAGGCTATAAATCAGTTATTGTCATTCAAGCGTATATACATATACATATATACATATATACGTGGATCGAATTTCAATGGGGCCACTCACTTGTCAAGAGGAAGAGCGTCAATAAGAGCTCGTTGCTTCTCTCTCAGCTCTGCATCCACCTGTTGTCCGCCTTCGTGAAGCTCGTCCTCAAGGCTAGTATCGAGGGGCTTGAACCGTTCGTCGACAACGTCGTCGTGTGCTCCTGTGGAGGCCTCGGTCATGGGAACTTTTTCCGCGGGGAGGGTCTCGGCGACCGCGCCCTCGATGAGAGAGCGGAAGTGCGTGGAGAGCTTGCGGATGATCTTCAGGAACATGGCGAGAAGCTGCGACGCGGGCAGGTTCAGCTCCTTCTCCACGTCCTCGAGCTTCTTCCGCTGCAGCCCAATGGCGAGCAGGATGGATTGCTGGACGCCCGACAAGTTGATCTTGCCAGTGAGACGGCCGTTGAAGTAATACTCTGCAATCATGGGCACCATGTCTAGGATCACGTGGTAGTCGAGGAGGTTGTTGGCGTAGCTGTCGAGTCGTTTGAGATCAAAGGGAGAGAAGGTGGCGTCGAGATCGGCCTTTCGCAGCACCAGGGGAGCAAAGGAGGGATCGGATTTAGCGCCCATGTTGGCTGACTCGCAGATGCTCAGAGAGAGCACGGACGGGAACTCGCGGAACTGGTAGGACAGCAGACTCAGGAATCGCTTGTGGAAATCCCGAGAGAAGGCGCCCAGCCAGCTGACGTCGTTGGAGCCGGTGGATAGCGTCCGTAGCATAACGCACGAGTGCTCGCCAGTTAGATCATTCGGGGTTTGCCGAAGATACACAGGTGCAAACGACGAACGCTTCCAGAACTTGTGCAGCGAGGGAGTCAGACCATAACTGACACCGATATAGTCGAGCGAATTCGGACGACGCTCAGAAAGCTTTCCGAACAGTGGCGGCATGGCCCGAATGTCTCGTACTTGAATATTGTCGTCGAGGAGGCTGGAGTTGGCTAATTCCTCGTCGGTGACACGGAGCATCTCCTCCTGGGACTCAACGTTGTCCTCGGACAAGCTCGTGAATTTACCCTCGAAGAAATCAATCAAAAGCTCGAGCGCTCGCGAGCCATAACCCATGTTGAGATACTCCGGGTTGGTCGCGATACGGACCACACGGGCACCCGAGAGACCAGCAAAGTCCTCGTCTTGGAACTGCTGACTGACCAGCCAAGGGATCAGGTCCCCGCCGGCGCGTTGGCCTCGACTCAGGCTGTTCAGGACACTCTGCCGGCTGATGCGACCTTCAAGGGCGACCTGGACGACACAAAGAGGCTCCGGCAGTTTGGTGGCTTCTTCGTCAACGGGCGGAACAAGAACGAAAAGCTGATGGGCCGGGGCATCGCTCATCAGTTGTAAATCGTTTGGCGTGTTCTTATAGTGACTGGCGACGTACAGAGCCATCATCTGCTGGAGGAACTTCTCCGAGACAGGGTGGAAGGAGAAAAGGGTGTCGCGATTGACCTGGAGAAGCTCACACTGTGAGGGGTGTGGGCAGCCCTGGGTGTTCATCTTGGACTTGGGCAGAGTAGCGTCTAGGCACAGGACTTTGTTCAGCCACTTCTCGACGGAGTCACCAGGGGCATATCGGATCGGCTCCGCCAGGGTGATTTCCCTCAATGATCGTCCACCGAGATGCTTGTCTGTACTCTTGGCAGCTTTGCCCGTTGATCGGTCCGCAATATCCGTGTCTTCCGCCCCGGGGACCTTCAAGCCTCCCCTGGATTGCTCTCGGAGCTGCTGGATCAGTTTCAGGGACAGAGACCTGCCCGTTCCCTCGTAACCGTTGATTGTGGACGCCATGAACACCAGGTAGGGTCCCATCAATTTGCGGACCAGAGGAAGCGGGATGGCCGCGGCCTCGTCAATAACCAAAAGCTCTGCTTGTCCCAAAACATGAGCATCCTGAGGCTGAATGTACTGGATGGTCTGGCGGTGTTGGCGGTGGACATTGACCCTGACAATGGCCTTGTTGAAGTCTGGATTCGTCGACTGGAGGATGGTGTAGTCCACATGGTCAAGATATCCCAGGGCGTCGAACCCTTTGAAAACGAATTCAAAGAGGGTCTTCAAGTTTTCCGGACTGGGGGAGGTGATGAAGATGTTACTATAGCCGTGGGCAATTGCAGCAGCAATAGCCACACCCAGAGCGGCCGACTTTCCTCGACCTCTGCCGGCGGTTAAGGTGACTGTGCTCCGCAAAGTCTTTTCGGCGATGGCATCGACAAAGGTAAGAAGAGACTTTGCCTGGTCTACCGTGCGTGCGAGGTTGATCAGCGGACCGACGGGCTGAGAGTCCGCCAGGCTGTCTTTGATTTCCTGCAGCTCCTTCTTTGTGACGGACTTGGACTCGTCCGTCGACTCGGGCGGTGGAAGTGGTTTCACATTCTTGCCGCCGGATATCGGCAAGACATTGAGCTCATCATCGACAACCAAACACGAGTCGCAGCTCCCCAGCGATAGGATAAATCTCTCGTTGAAACGAGCCACGACGTCGTCGTGGGCCTCTGTCCGATATCTCGAGTGGATATCCATGGACAAAGTGTACAGCTGCTTCAAGCTGTTCATGCCCTTCAGAAGCAGAATGACCAGACCACCTCCTTCAACCGTTTCAATTGTGCGTGCCAGCAGGTTCGGGGTAATCGCCTCAAAGTCTTGGAGGATGCACATGCCGTACGTGTTTCCGAGGATCTTCTCGGTCTCCTTGTAGTAGACATAGCGGATTTGGTTCAAAGTGATGAACAGCTCGAACGGATCCTCTTGGTTGGGCTCTCGGATGCCCCGTTTGACCTCCTTCTTGATCCTGGCTTCGCGCTTCTTCCGGTGACTGGTGAACCCCAGCAGATCCTTCTTATACGCCCACAAGACCGATTTGTTCTGCTTCACATCCGCACTGGACATGATATGGTGCAGATACACAATGGCATCCTTCGCCCGGTCCCCGACCACCACGAAGAAGCTCCGTTTCTTCTCCTGGATGCCATTTCGGATGAGCGCCGGAATCCGCGAGTCGATTGCCTTGCGCGGCATCGTCAAGTCGATCGCTTCGAATAGATAACGCTGCAAATAACTTGGTCTCTGAGAAGTGTTTCCCAGACGCACACGGTGATACAGATCACAGTGGCCTCCAAAACTCCCCTGCAAGGCTGGCCGGCTTCTGGTCGTGGGACGAGAGTTGACCTGCTCCTGCCGCCGACTTTTTTTTCTTCTCCGCCAGAACTGCCCACTGCCACCGCCTGCGCTTTCTGCGACCGCCTTCGGGAGCCCTGTTTGTTTGTTTTGCATTCAAATCACGTGCCATCCAAAATCCCCCAATCGCGGCTCCTCTAAAGCGGCGACTGGTCATTTTCCTTTGTGGTTTAGCGTCTGCTGTGATCATACGGATTATATAAGCCAGAGTGTCCCTTCTGAACTGGGACTGGGAGGCTGTTATTAAGACTCAGTCATTCAGTTATTCAGCCATTCAGCCATTCAGTCATTCAGTCTCCAGCAATTGGTGAGAGGCAAATACAATGAGATGAATCCACCCCTCTCTCCCAATCTTCAATGCTATCTTCTTAATTAATCCCGTCTATCTTAGCCCAGGTTTAGAGTGGAGCAATCCCTGTATTAAAACTCCTCGGTTCAACTGGGCTGGAGGCCTAGGCCAGGCGTCGCGCAGCCCCTGCCCATAAGGAAAAGGGTGCGTCCACACAGTCGTCAGTCCTGGGTGCGACTCTTGTTCGCGGGTTTCCGTTGCGTGAACCGCCAGGAACCTGCCGCGTCGGTCTGGACAATTATGCTGCTTTCAAATCGCAAGCTTTGAGAGCGTTCTCTTGTCTCGTCGAGATTCTAGAGCACGTACGTCACTTTCTTCCCCTGAGCTGAGGCCCTTCCTGTCCCCCCCCCCCCCCCCTGCAGATAACAGGCAATGCAGTTGCTTTTTTCCCCAGACAGTTTTTCTCGGCGGTGTCTTTCTTTCGAGAGCATCGAATGTTCGAACTGTCTGGGGGGGGATATCGTCCTGTTTGATTGTTACGACTCATGGAAATAATGTGGTTCCAGATCGTTCTAGTCCCTGGCAACCGGTCTCTTTCTCAATAATGACTCGCTTTTTCACCGATCTGAGGCTACAGATCTCAGTGGGGTCAGTTGAACCCACGGATTCTCCTTGCTTGAGATTCTAGTCCATCGACCGGTTTGAAATGCTGATTCGCTTTCGTATAGCGCCTTCCTGCTCAGCTCTCTGTTGCTCACGCTCTCTTATGACACCACCTTTGCTTTCGGTGAGCTTGCTGTCTCTCCTATCTCAGAGACTACTCGACCGTTCGCAGCTGACAGGACTGGCTGATAGACCATCCTATCCATTCGATTGTTCTATCATGCTTCATCACAGGTTTAAGTCTTGTCGCCTTCTCCTGCCTTCTCAACCGTGCGCCGAAGCCCGATGGCGACTCGCAGCAGAAATATACCCTTTTGTCCCTCTCAGACCGTTCTGAAACTGCGATAAGCGAACCCCCTCCGGCTCGATTTGGAACAAATCGCGCAAAGACGAGGAATGTAAAGCGAGTCAAGCTCGCCGTGCTGTACTTGATATGTTGCATCAGGGTGGGGATATATCGCGAATTGACCATCAAAGTGGAATGCGCCCCAAAGGGCTATGCGGTAGGTGGATGAAGCAAAGTCTCTCAACTCGTGTGCAAATTCCTTCTAACAGGGAGCTTCGTTTCGGACCTCAGTATGCGATTCCTCTCCTCGTCTCACTGTATGAGTGTTGGTACAACAGTCAAAGCTGCCAGCCGGTCAATCATGACGACGACCAAGATGGGGCCGAGCCCTCGGATAGTGAGCATGGCGCGGCTCGACTTTACGAGAGAATCGGCTATTTTGTGCTCCAGGGCCGGCTGCGCTTCGTAATTGCGGCAGGTCTTCTGTCATTCAGCGGTTTCTTGGCCTCCTCCTTTTACAATGGCTCTCAGTCCACCTTCATTTGCCCAACCTTTTCGAGTCAAGCAGCACACCTGAGAACGCTCAAAGTACTCGCTACTATTCTCGACACTGTGATACTAATTGGCGCCGCTGAGTTATCACGGACTGCTACCCGGTCCCCAGACGCAAGCAGAAAACAGACTATGACTCGATGGGGCCACGGTTGTCTTGTACGTTCAAGTCTGCAAAAGGCAGCTGCCCAAGTCGTATGCTAATCGTTTCTTCCAATAGGTAGTTGCCATGGCTTGGGGAGTAATCGGACTCATCCTCCGCAATCATTCGCTCTATGGACAGGGATTCTTCGTCAACGATACTTCTTACTATCGCAGTGCTGTTGGGCAGGCAGTCCTATTATCGATACTTGTTGTATCCGCCTCCCAACTAGTGAGTGCCTCTTTCTCCCCCCCTCCAAAAAAATCAAAAATTGGCTAAGTTACCTAGATGCCACATTTTGGTCTAGTTGGGATGGTGATACTGGCTGGTTTCATTGGAATCTTCTTTCCAGCCTTGTTGACTATAATCAACAACCAGCAGCCTTTTCCATTCATATCGCCCACCAGCACAGCCCTCTCATTTGTTGCTGCTACACTCGGGCTGTTTTTATATCTGACGGCCAGAGAGGTTTTTGAAGAAGAGCCAGAATCTTTATTAATGGTCAATAAGCTGATCCGATGCTCATTGGGGCTGCTTCTATTTGTCGGACTAGTATTTGCTATACAACATCCCAGCGTAGCCTACCTGCATTCCATTGATCTGCTCATCTACGAAGGCAGGCTTCGACACGATCTGTGGCTCTCTCAAGCCAGAGGTAGCACCAACCTTGAAGAAGCTGTTTTGGAGTACCGGCGGCGATACAATCAACACCCTCCCCCGTGAGTCACAGCCGTTGATGTTGATCTCTTCCCTCGTTGAATCTATATACTAACCCAAGTAGAGGATTCGACAAATGGTACGACTATGCCACATCCCGGTCTTCTGTCGTGATTGACGACTTTGATCAAATCTATCGCGACATTCTTCCATTCCGAGCTCTCAGCCCGGCACGATTGAGGGAACTCACCCACCAGCTTGTCACAAATCCGCTCAACAGCATTGGTGCAATCAGCATCCGAGATGGGAAACCTCGGGTCCAGGAAGGCATTATGCCGACACATAAGTGGATGGTGTCGGGGGCAGCAGAGATGATTGAGAAGTTCTCAGAACACCTTCCGGATATGGACCTGGCATTCAACCTAGATGATGAGCCGCGAATCGCTGTTCCGTGGGAGACGATCTCAAAATTAAGAAACGACGGAATCCCCCGTGGCGATCTTCCTCCGGATGAGAGTCTACTGAACGGATGGCCCGCAGGCAGAGGGGAAGGTTGGGCTCCAATTGAACCAGCTAACCAGACCACCGATACCGTATTTATAGACGACAGGTTCAATGGCGCATATGACCGCTACGTGAGTGCGGTCTGTCCTCCTTCATCCAAGGCTCGCTCCCAGCGATTCTGGGATCGTCATCAACTATGCTTGGATTGTTTGCATCCCCATTCCATGGGCCAGTTTCCTACTGAATGGCATCTGGCGCTTGATACATGCCACCAACCGGACCTGGTGACGCTTCATGGCTTCATGCTCTCACCAACCACACTGAAGGTGAGCCAGGAGTTGGTTCCTCTCTTCAGTCAGAGCAGTATATCTGGGTTCAGTGACATTGTGTACCCAAGTCCATGGAACTACATCGACAAAATCCAGTACGCGCCTTCAGAAGAATACCCGGAGTTGGACTACGGCGCCAAACAGAACAGTCTTTTCTGGATTGGCACCACCACCGAGGGTCTCAGTTCTCAAGGGCAGTGGAAGGGGATGGCGCGTCAGCGCTTCGTCCACCACGTGAACAACAATTCGCTGAACGCCGTCTCTGTGCTCCTTCGCTCGAATAATCGGTCAGACACGTATTCCTACCAGATAATGGATGGCTTGGCTCCGGTCGACCAGCTAGGACTCACCACCTCTGTTCACTTGGTAGACCTGGTGCGGTGTCACGACTGCGAAAGTGAAGAAAAACAGTTTAGCCTCGCACCACCGGTTGACTTCCAGCAGCATTGGAATCACCGCTATTTGTTCGACATGGATGGAGCAGGTTTCAGCGGACGGTTTCTCCCCTTCCTGCAAAGTAACAGCCTTCCCTTCAGGACTGGCGTCTTCCGCCAATGGCTGGATTCTCGGGTCACTGCCTGGCTTCATTTTGTCCCTATCGATCTCCGCTTCCATGGCTTGTGGAGCACACTGGCCTATTTTGCCGGCACGAACATCACCAAGGCCGGTAAACCCCTAGTGCTGATGGAACCGCACGATCTCCAGGGAAAATGGATTGCTGATCAAGGCCGGGAATGGGCCGAGGCTACCTTGCGCAAAGAGGACATGGAGATCTATTTCTTCCGTCTGCTTCTTGAATGGGCTCGCCTGACCGATGACCGGCGTGACATCCTTGGATTCAAACTGGAATGAGCTTGTTACGATTATGACAGGGCTTCTTGGGAGGGGGGCGTTTTTATCGCTTGTTTTCGTGGTTATGCTATCTATCCCCTCTCACCCTTTACGCTGAGTTTATATGTATCTGACGACATTTGGCTTTGATTGCACATACCCCCCTTTTGTTTTTCTCTTTCGATTCTATGAAAACGCTACCTTCGAAGACTCAATATTCCCCCTTTCTATTTTCCGAAGTAATTATTTATCTTTTCGGCCGCACGCGCCATGGAGATCGGAGGGGTGCGGCCGATGCCGTAATATCGGAACTCCCCTATCAGCCCAGCAAAGAAGAAAAAAGCAAAGTGGAAGGCTGCGCAAATTCCTGCTGAACCATGGACATCCTTGCCTGGCACATGGTTTATGCCATTCACTATGCAGGTACTCGGCAATAAGTTCATTTTGGCCTGGCTTGTAATCGTTTTCGAGGAGGGATGACCCAGCGTGGCATTGGCTGGTGGAAACCATCTATCTATCCATCAATAATTTCATATCCTTGATAACCGATATCAGATCGATTGGTTCTTCTCCAGCTTTGGGGAAAGGTCTATATGATGGCCGGCACGCTATGGGAAGATTCCATCCAAGATCAAAACGCCCCTTTCGCTGGCCGCGGAAGAGGATCTTGTTGATCAACATCATGGAGAACGACATGAGGGAATCATTTGTTTGGTTTGGAGTGACAAGCTTTGTCGTCTTGTGGCGGTGGTAAGCATCATATCACCGAAATCGTGGATGTATGTCAAAAGTCTCACCGGGATAGTGTCTCCCGTGTCATCCTGCTGGGGGGATTGCGGCACCTGTTACTTGAAGACTATCTGATGGCTCTGACTTTTGTAAGGAGATTGATTCCCCTTGTAAGATCTGGCCATGCAGCCGATAATGGACTGATGGAATCCAGGCCATCTATATCAATTTCATCGTCTGGGTTGATATCCAGACCAAGTATCCCAAGACGAACGTACTCCCGCCGACAGGGACAAAGGGGATGACGGCGCATGAGATCCACGACCGCGCCTGGGGCAGCGTTGCTACCTTTGTCATCGAGCAGTCGATGATTATGATTCAGTGGGGGTGTAAGGCCTGCATGATGATCGTCTATTATCGACTGACGTGAGGATCCCAACCCCCTCCCTTTCCCGGCTCGCGTTGATGCTAGCATATTTTTAGGTGCGGACTGAAGGATCAGATCTTCGTCAAGATCCTCATGGGCTATACTGCACTTGGATTCGTCGTTGTTCAGATCTGTTGGTATGGCGTCTGGTGTCGTCCGTTCACCAACTACTTTGCCGTCAAGGGAGATAACTCCAGTATGTGTGCTCCTTTGTGTTTTCGCCATTCGACAGTAAAGAGGTGCAGCTTTCTCATGCTTGAGCCAGAACAGTGCGAGACAGCCAACAACCACCTGATCATGTCGTATGTGTTCAACGTGTCGTCGGACCTAGCCATGCTCCTGATCCCAATTCCTCTATTTCTGCGCCTGCAATTACTCTGGACCAAGTAAGCTGAAGCTGAAGCAGTATGGCACCGCCTTTTACCATCGCTAACTAAGCAGGAAACTCGCATTATGCGTTGTCTTCAGCCTGGGAATTTTCGTGGTAAGCCGGTCCAAGATAGAACATACCTTCGTACATCACCCACTCAACCCCCCCCCCCCTTTTTTTTTTCTTCAGGTCGTCGCCGCAACTCTGAGTCGATACTACTGCTTCTCCCACCCCACAAGCATCCTCTGGGTATACTGGTATGTCCGTGAGGCCAGCACCGCGCTGATAGTCACCAACATCCCGAACTGTTATACGCTTATCCGCAAGATTCTGAGCCTGGACGGATTCACCATCTTTGGCACGTACGTCTCTTTCCACCACGGGACGAGACATACAGCGACCATGCCTGCAATCGTGACCTTGAGCGTGAGTCCTACGGGGCCTTACCGGCGACAACAGGAACATGAAGACAGCTGGAGGAGCGAGGGTGGGAAACGCGTCACTGTTGACGAGCACGGATTGGAGATCTGGCAGCATACACAGGTGACGGTAGAGGTTTGAATTGATAGTACCGAGCATTTAATCGAGTACGATTTATCATGTAGTTGAAAAGTTCAATCCATATAAGAGGTCATGTCATCCATAAATTTATGTACGAAGGGTTGATGATACAATACAAGGCCTATCCATATCCATGTTCATATCCATGTTCAGATCCAATGTGCATCCACATCCATCGTCAAGTCGACAGTCATTGTCATTCTAGAAGTGACCGTGACCGTGGCCATGTCCATAGCCGCGGCGGGTCTTCCGCATCTTCTGCACGGAAGACCGGCGCAGGGGAGGCTGAATGTCTCTGGGCATGTGAGATCCAGCAGAATAGTCACCGTGGAATTCGCCTTGGAAACCGTGGGAGCCCTGACCCTGACCCTGGCCCTGACCCTGGCCCTGGGAAGCAGGATCAGTCGCCGATGTTGCAGCGGCAGCGGTGGTGGTAGCAGCCGCGGCAGTGACGCTCGGGGCGGAGACAAAGGTGGAGGGGTTGGCAGGGACGGTGGCGGCAGCAGCAGCAGCGGAGGAGGATAGAGCGGCCGAGCCGTAGACGGCGGCGGAGGTGGCGGCGGCGGAGGAGGAGGAGCTGGAGTAGACCTTGAGCGAGTTGATGCTCCAGTAGGTCTCGTTGAAGGCGGAGGGGTAGTTGGCGACGTAGTCGTCGCAGGTGCTGGCGAGGGCGGCGCAGGTGGAGTAGTCGGACCAGACGTCGCCGGCCCAGTCGCCGCAGAAGGTGATGTCAAAGACGATATTTTGGGCCAGGAAGTGCGAGTCGATGTCGCAGTCGCCGGCGAAGCTGGCCTGCGGGGTGCTCCAGGTGGAGGGGTCGGGGCTGCCGGCGGTGATGTCGGACGGGATGCTGCTGGAGGGGAAGTACCAGACACTGATGGCGCTGCTGGTCCATTCCATGGCGTAGACGCCGCCGCCGGCGGCGTTGAAGCCCGTGCCGTACGAGTCGGTCAGCGTCGACTCGATCGCACAGCCCTCGTTGCTGGACTGGCCGGAGGCGTCCACGTAGCAGTTGTCCGAGACGAGTTCACCCGCGAAGCCGCTGTCGACAATGCTGCACCCATCGGAGGTGTGCAGGGTCATCTGGTTCATTGTCTGGGTGTTGACACCCTCGATGATGTCGATCTCCCCGTCGGTGGGCCAGTCGGAGCCGACCATCCAGCTATATAAGCCTAGTTAGATATTTTTCTTCTTTTCAGGGACAGTGAAAAAAAAAAAAAAAAAAAAAAAAAAAAGGCAGATACATACAATGCAGGCCAGGTACCGCAAACACCTCCAGGCATGTGCGCCAGGTCCAGGATGACGAGACCATGGAGGTAAGCCTTGTTGCTGGTGAGGCGGACGCTCTGACGCCCGGAGCTGGAGGCCACATTGGTGCTATCGACGCCAATGTAGACGGTGCCATCGGTGGCGGAGATCAGACCCGCGCTGGAGGCGGTGCTCTGATCGACATAATCGACATAGCCATCGGTAGGATCGGTAGCCTGCAGATCTATCTTTAGCCCCTCTTCTTCTTCTTCTTCTTCTTCTTTCCCCCCTCCAATAACGAATCGAACATACCGTGTAGAAGGTGAAGTCATCAAAGAACGCATCGGTCATGGAGTACTCATCCTCCAAGACATATGTCGCGGCACTGATCGACGTCCAGAGCGCCAGCGACGAAAGGACAGTAGTGGAACGCATCTCGCCGGGAGGATACTACTGTACTGTACGACAAGATAGAACTGAGGTAGATCGAGACGAAGGGATCCCACAAGATCAACTTAAGGAACGAAAGGTCTTCAAGGAATGAAATGGCGGGGCGCCAGGCCAGTTCGCCAAAGAAAAGAACAAAGGAAGGGGGGGGGGGGGGATCTCAGATCTCTCGGAGTGAGGAATCACCACCGTCTCTCACCGGGGCCTGAGATCATTCTTAAATAACAGCGCCGCCATGAGAGAGAGCGAGAGAGAGACCCCGACTGCCGTGGCGCTGGGGGGGTGGTCATAACGGAGGGGCATCGCGGCTGGATGAAACGACCGGCTGATGCAGGCATCTGAGACACAGGCCAATCGCACGGCGCGATACGCCTCTGGGCCAACAACGCGATGGCGATCAAGCTTTGCGATGGGCCTCCCACCGTGACGAGGCTGGAGCGGTTCCTGCGCCTGTTCCTGGCCAGCATGCACAAACCGGTCGTCACTTGTCGGTGTGCGTTGGGCTGGCTATACTCGCCCACCCTTCAGGCGCTGGCTGGGCCCGGCTGGGAGGGGCAAAAGGAATCGAAGGGGAAGAAGAAAAACTAAAAAAAATCTCATCTGGCAAACGCCTCATTATCGTCGGAGGCTCATCCGGTTGGCAGCTGCGTCTGACCGAATCCACATGTCCAAAATCTCTTCCCTCTGCCTGTGATTCTGCCCTGTAACAATAATGGGCGGCGGTTGTACGCCTCGGCTGATGATGCTGCATTAACAGTGAACACCCCGACTCGTCACACGCAGTTGTCAGGGGATGGATTCTGACAAAGAACCGGATTAAAGAAGAAACAGAACAAGGGCGAAGGAAGCAAAAAATAGGGGAGGGGGGGAGAGAGACAGGGAAGTCCTGCAGAAGGATTAAGATTAAGGGAAGCCCAACAGCGGTAGAAGATAAATCGATGAATCAAAAAAAATAGAAAAAATAATAGAGAAATAATAATAATACGCCGTGATAAGAAAGAAACGAGTCCAAGGAACAAAGAAGAAAAAAAAAACGCTATGTACACGTGGGACAGGTCATTTCCACTGCATATCCATCGACCACATCAGCGCCCACCAGACAGGCGCGGTGGAAGAGATGGCGACACGAGAAGACTACCACGGGGCCGACAGAGGCATCGGAAGACATCTCCTGACTGCCACTGCCAAGAGGGAGGGAGGTGTGATCCGGATGGGTTGTCGACGCGGCGGTGGTGGCGACTGCAGCTTTGCCCTTGCCTCCTCCCCTCCGAGACCCGGCGCCGGTGGAGTGCCGGAGAGGATCACGATGAGAGAAAGGCATCGTCGAGGTGGTGGTGGTGGTGGTGGTGGTGGTGGTGGTCTCGGTCTCATCGTGATCGTGGTCGGGGTCGCCATGACCGATCATCCGCCGCTGTCGCTCGTCCTCCTGCCTGCGCTCCCATGCGTTCCAGTGCGCAGGGCCAACGCCCGATCCCCAGATGCGCCGGCGACACAGCTCGCACGCCTGCCCGCGCGGTCGCCAGCCCTGCTGCCGCCGCGCCGTGACCTCGTCGACATGCACGAACAGGTCCTTGTCCAGCATCCCGTGCGCCAGAGCCAGCAGGGTCTTTTCGTAGGCGTACGCCGCGAAGATGGAGCCCAACACCGCGCGCAACTCCATTAACGAGGGCGACCAGGTCGCCGCTCGGCCGAGGAAGGCCCGAAGGATCCGTAGAAACGAGACATCCGTCCGCTCCGTCGACCAAGTCGTCGCCGACATCGCTGCTTCGGTCCCGCTGCCGCGGACCGTGCTGGACAGCAGGGCCGTGAAGACCTGCTGGACCAGCGAACGGACAGACTCGGTCAAGCGAGCTGTGCGGCTGCTGCGGGACTGTTGCATTGTCGGCTGCGTTGCTTCGGCTGCCCTTCCAGACGGAAGATGGCCGAAGACGTTGCTGGCGATCCGCACCACTCCCTCGATCAGATCCAGCCACAGACCCTCGTCAAACGCGAGCGGCTGGTCCAGAACGGCCACCCCGCGCCGGCGCCCATTGAGCGCAACGGCCGTCGGCGGGCTCTTCTTCGCCGTCTTGGTCTGGCCCTGACACAGCCACACGCCCACCCGCGCGTACTTGTTCAGCGAGGCGACCAGGTCCACCATCGCTTCGTCGGCGCTCGCCGAGTCCGGGCTCTCGTCCAGGCTCTGCAGCAGGCCGACCAGGCCGGCCTCGAGCGTGCCCAGGTGGGCAATCAGCCGGTCCATCGCGCCGCGCACCTGGCCCTGTCGCGCGAGCAAGATCACCGCCGCGTCCACCACGCCGCTCTCTTCGATCCACGGCAGTAGTTCCTCGATCCGCACATCGCCCACCTGCAGCGCATCCACAAAGTCCGCCACATGGCCCGGGTTGTACCGACATAACAGTTGTACGTAGCGTTCGATCATCTGTGGGTTGCTGCCTTTCCTCTGGGCACGCGCTGTTGTCTCCGCCGCCGCTGCCGGGGACGGCTCAATCAGGACTGTCAAGTACTGCCATTGCCGGTAGGTATCCGTCTCGAGTGCCGCAAGGAAGGCCTCGTGCGTTTCGGGGGCAAGATCCCGCATGGTGCGAGCCGACCTCGTCACGTCGATCATGGCTAGCTCGCCGGCATGCCTCTTGATCACGTCTATCACGTCCCGTCTTTGCTTCTTGCCCAGTCCGGAGCTAGGACGCAGACAATCCTGCAGCGCGGTAAAGACCGCCTGTTGCTCACGCGGGTCCTCGAGGTAGGTGAGGATCAACTGGGCGTACTGCTTCTCCGACCGGTAGGTCGATTTCAGGATCCGGAAGAACCGGGCTTCTTTGTACAGCGGGATTAGCCCCAGCGTGTCTGGCGGATGATAGATCGAGAGCAGATACTCTGCACTCAATTCGCAGTCCTCGACCATCTCCTCGCTTGGGTACTGGCACAGGCGCACAAGCACCTGGTGCAGCGTGCTGCCGGACAGAAGGATGTATTGAGGGTATTTGGGTAGGTTGCGCGCAATAAACATATCGAGATAAATGGTATCAAGGGGCGTAAAGGAACTCGTCGTCATCACTTGCAGCAAAATGCTCAGAATGTATTGCCGATTCACCGATGCGCCGTGATGCAACGCGTCTTCGTTTTCCTGCTCATTTAAGAATCCGTCTTCGAACGCCTCGTTAAGCATGCTCATGAAACTGGACGTGTTGAATTGCAATATGGTCCGGAGGACGGAGAAAGAGCCACTATCTGGGCGCGGTTGACCTTCCAGACCTGCGGGCTGTCCAGAGAAGATGTAATTATACAACGCCGCCTTGGCTCGACCTGCTTCGCTTTCCTCCATTTCGTTCCCGGTGGGATACACCCGGCCGGTCAGAACAAAGGAGAGGTATGGGAACATCTTCATCGCATTGGTGTGCTGCCTGATCACCTGCAACTGATCGTCGTCGGCGGTGGGCTCGGTCTGCGATGGAATGAGCCTCAAGAGCTCCTCGAGGGGGCTGACGTAGTCTCCAAGAGCGCGGTTCCAGACGTAGATGTACGCGTCGTACAGATTATGCTGCTTACACAGACTTGTGGCCTGGTCGATGTCCATCGTAGTGGTATCCAGAAGGCAAATGATCTCTTCCAAGTGCCCGGCTGTCTGGGTTACTGCAAAATGGCTGACGAGCGCCTTGACAGCAACGGGAGGCAGTGAGCGAACGGTTCCGTCCACGATGTACGCCTCCAGGGCATCCAGAAAGACGCCTGCGCCCTGATTCTCTTCGTAACAATTGAAGACTTCGTCCCATAGAAACTCCCATTCAGCCATGCAGACACAGGCGGAAATGCAAGCCTTGGCTAATTCTTCCAGCTGCTGGTCGCCCAGCCGCGCGTTGCTGGCGGCGACGTTGTGTCCAAAGGCGTATCGGAGTGAGGCCGAGATCATCTCCAATAGTTTCTCGCGCACAATTGGGTGGCGCAGCTCGGCCTCCTCAGGAAGAGCCACGGTGAGCGTCTCCGCGTCGCCTCGGTAGTAAGAGCTTGCCAGTTGGATGGCACCGATGAAGTCTCCCGCCTCCACCAGGGCTAGCAACCGATCCGCCCAGTTCGATAGGCTTCCCACAGAGAGATCATTGTAGCCCAGTAGGAAAAGACGTCCCTTGTAACTGCGGAAGCTCATGTAGAAAGCGTCGGCGACTACCCCATGCATCGACGTGTCCTCCTCATCAAATTGCTCGACCAGGCTATGGAGTTGCGAGGAAAATAGGTCAACGTGGTAGATGTGTCTGAGGATGAGGTCGATCGACTCGGTCACACGCATCGAGTAATCCTCCACGATCAGCAGTTGCTGGGTGATGGTCAAAACCGCCATGACCGACCGACTTAGCCACTGGACGGCAACAATGGCCTCATCCGCCTTCCATCTGCTGCGCGGTTTGAACAGCAGACTAGGAGGTCTATCCTTGTGGCGGGAATCGTCCGGATCGATCGTAGAGACTTCCAATACCGTCAACACGTTGGACCAGCAATACACCAACTTGGTATTGGAGACCTGCGACTCTTTGCCTTTCAACTTGATGGCCGGGAACCAAGCCAATGCTGCAGTCATGGCACTGTGGCTTGCCACCTCCTTGGGGCGTGACGCCTTGTGTTGCGTCTGCGCAACAGGCGTGGTGGACACAATCACTAGGAGGTAGGGTGTGAGCATGGCGACTAAGCCCAGGCTATCGGTCGACTGCTCTACATTGCCCAACGGAAGGGGGGAGAATGCGAGGACAGCGCTCGGCTTTCGTGGTCGACCTAGGTCCCCCATCACCAGAGGATAGCGGCCGAGAATCCGAGTTGTTTTGACCGTACGTCCAACCGCACCCATTCCCCTGGTTGCGAGATGCGAAAAGGCCATACCCCGTTCATCCGCCGACACAAGAGCCGTGCGCCTAGTGCCCAGAAAGCCGATGTGGACCACCGAAACTCCCGATATGTGTCCGTCAGAAGGACGGTTCTCCACTAGGTTGGATGGAATCGGTGGGATATGAAGGAAAGGCTTTGCAGCCCTGGAGATCTCCCAGGTGAAGATGTCGCCTGAAGCATGGCCCACCGCAACGGTTGAGTGGTCGGCCGATAATGCGAGAGATGTTACAGCCCCGGATTCGACAGCTAGGGAGGGAGAAACAATTAGCGGTGCTTTTTTTTTTTCCAACACAGCCTCTGCAAACGTACCCTTTGTGCCCGGTCCTATTATGGTCTTGAGATTCTGTTGGTAATCGAAAACCAACGTGATTCCCTTGGACGTCCCAAAGACAATGCTAGTAGAAACGGTAAAACATGTCGGACGCCCAAAATTCCGTTTTCCCACTTCCGAAAAGGTCTGCCCCCCGATCTTCCTCAGCTTCGTCCATTTGATCACTTCCCAGGGGCCTTGAGGGGTATCGGCTTCGGAATCGATTGTCGCGGGGGAGAGGCGGCTGTTCAGCGACGACTGGCGGGAATGGAAATGCAAGAGGAACGGAGACGCCGAGCGCAAGCCGGTAGGCGACGACGATGACAGTCGTGACTGGAAGCGAAGGTCAAAGGGGCGATGCGACGGGCTGGGCGTGGCTCGGGGAGAGTTTCGAAAAGCCAGCGCACTGCTAGCTGGCGACGATAGAAGAGACCCCTGCCACCGTCAGCAGACTTATCCTGCTATGCTACCGTAGAGCTTGCCAGAAATCACTTACATGAACTGACGGCGTGTCATCTGGTATAGACGCAGTTCCATCAACGCTGCCTGGCGCTCCGACGACCTGCCCTTGCGGCGACAGTGTAGCTTCCTTCTCCTCCCCTCCCGACCCCTTCACAGGGCTGGCCTCACCATTGGGGCCTTGCATCTCCCCATAATCCTCTTCGACAACAGCCAGCCGATCCTTCGCCCCGTCTATCCGTTCACCCTCGTCCGAAACGCCATTCTGACCCTTCGTCAGCTGTTCGGGCTCATCATGGCCCAGATCGAGCTCGTCGTCTCGTAGCCCATCCTCGCTGCCCTCAATCATGGAGCCCATCAGTAGGACCGTCGAATGGACATCGCTTCCCGGGTTTCGAGCTCTTCAAAGCGACTCCAGAGGGGGTCTGGGGCGATTGCGCGGCGCTCCGAAACAGCGGCAGTAGGCGGGGACGGCGGATTGCAGCACAGAAGCCCGAGGCGATTGTCTTGCTGCCGCATTCACACGGCCGGTGGCACTGCGAGACGCTTCCAGCAGCCGGAGAAGGTGCAAACACGAAGACCTGAGCGCTCTAAACGCGTGGGAAGACCGTCGCCAGAGCTGTTTGCCGGTGCAGGTTTGTTGATGGTACGTCGATCGAGGCGTTGAAGGCGGTCAGGCAACGTGACTTGGTTGACGACTGCCTCCCGACGAGACTCTCCCTCCTCCAACTCCCACCACTCTCTCACCAGCGCGTCGATTGTCGATTGGAGATGGTATCTCAGGCAGGCGATGGCCGGTTGGTGAGACAGGATACTTGAATCGATGCAAAGTCGATGGCTCGAGACCCAGGGTCCCAGGTTTAGCTGCCGGCAGAATGGGGGCTCTCTGACTACAGTGGTAGGTGAAGCTCTTCGTTATTGAGAGAGATATAATCCTAGAGCCTCGTGTCTAGAGCTCTAGTCCACTGTTTCTATTAGTTGGTAGCATACGAATACTGATTGCAGTGCGTTGGTGGCAGGTTTGGGGATTCGGCTCTACTGCCCCTCTAGTCGGCATACTCCTTCGAGAATCACTATACCACGGCACTTTTTACAAGAGTGCCTGCCTACTAGGCTGTGGATCAGGGCCTTCTTCCTCATTCTTCGATACGGAGACTAGGAACCATTCATGCTAATACGTCATGTGGTTCTCTTCTCTGTGCTTGTCTCCTCCCCCCCGCAACGGATGATTGCACCCGAAAATATTTCATTCCGGACGGCAATGGAATCGACGGCGGAGAGTTGGTTGGCTTTTATAAAACGGCTTTGGTGGGATCTAGGGAATGATTGATTCTATTATGATCATAACGGCTGAGGATCTCTCCCCAAAATGTCTCTCCACTCTCCCCTGTCCCTCCATATCAACGGCGCTGAGGTGCCCTCCACCACCGGTGAGACTTTTACCGTCTTCAACCCTATGACCGGACAGCCGCTGTTCGAATGTGCCTCCGCCGGAGTAGACGACTATGCTGCAGCCATTGGCCATGCCCAGAAGGCATTCCAGAGCTGGTCAGCCACCCCTCCCTCGATACGCCGCAATATTTTTCTGCGTGCTGCGGACATCCTAACAAGCTATCTCGAGACCGACGCCCCGGAGATCCTGGCTAACGAGGTCTCTGCCGTGAAGTCAATGGTCAGATTGAACGTCCTTGCCTCGGCGGCGATGCTCAGGGAAAGCGCCGGTCTGGTCACACACATCAAGGGTGAGATTGTCCCTGCGGACCGATTAGGGACGACGATCATGGTGATGAGAGAGGCGGTGGGGGTTGTCTTTGCGATAAGCCCATGGAATATGCCGGTAGGTTCACTTAACACTGAGTATAGGGAGAGGAAGGGAGATCTGACGGTACAGGTCAATCTTACGGTCCGCGCCATCGCCACGCCCCTCATTTGCGGCAACACGGTCATCCTCAAGCCATCTGAATACAGCCCCAAATCTCAGCATCTCGTCGTTAGGGCATTGAAAGAGGCCGGGCTACCTGCAGGCTGTCTCAACTTCTTGCCATCAAGTCCAGGCAACGCACCCACGGTGACGGAGTTTGCAGTCAAGCACCGCCTGGTGCGCCGGGTGAACTTTACAGGCAGTGACCGCGTGGGCAAAATCATTGCCGGCTGGGCTTCCACATGTGTCAAGCAGTGCCTGCTTGAACTCGGCGGCAAAGCACCCGCCCTGGTACTGGAAGATGCAGACCTGGACGATGCAGTGGAGGCGGTCCTGTTTGGCGGGCTCGCCAACAGCGGGCAAATATGCATGTACGTTGAACGAAATCTCAGACCACCACAAGCCCAGCCAGAGAGAAAAAGAGAGAGAGAGAGAGAGAGAGAGAGAGAGAGTTCAACCAACTAAACTTTTTGCTTGAACTTGTAGGTCCACTGAGCGTGTGATTGTGCACTCGGCCATCGCCGATGCGTTTGTCGAACTGCTCCTCCGCCGCGTCGCGCAGATCAAAGTCGGCAACCACCTGGAAGACCCTAGCGTCTCCCTGTCCGGCCTGTACTGCGCGGCCGCGCCGAAACGCATCCTGGACCTGATCGCCTCCGCCGAGGCATCGGGCGCAACCCTCCTACACGGTGACCGACAGGTGTCTGGCCCCAACGGGACCATCCTCCAGCCGCATATCCTTGACCGCGTCGCCCCCTCAATGGCCATTTTCCGTGAGGAGACCTTCGGCCCGGTCCTGTGCCTGACGCGGGCCGCGTCTACGGCCGAGGCCATCGACATCGCCAACGACTCCGAGTATACCCTCTGCGCCAGCGTGTTTACCCGCGACGCCCTGGCCGGCATGGAGATCGCCGCCAAAGTGCGCGCCGGCAGCTGCCACGTCAACGGGCCGACGGTGTATATCGAGCCCACGCTTCCCAACGGGGGAACGGGAGGTCGCAGTGGGTATGGGCGGTTTGGCGGCATGGCGGGCGTGGAGGAATTTACGGAGAAGAAGATTGTGAGCCTGGTCAAGCCGGGAATGAAGTATGCTTTTTAATATACAGATATAGAACGATCCTTCTTTTCTTCTCTTCTCTTCTCTTGTCTTATTTACCTAGGTATTCCCCTATTGAAACTGTAGACTGCCGAGGAAATGCTCGAAATTTGACCAGTCCGCATTATGCTGCGTCGCAAGCCCGATCGGATCCTGCCACACCAGGGGATCATAGAACTCTTCGTGCTCCCCCATCGAGAGCCCTGCGTCGAGCGAGGGAGGCTGACCATGCTGTACTACTGTAATACCTGGGTCGGCTGTGAGGGGGATGGTCGGATGTCCGTCCTCTGGTATCTGGGGGTGTTGGCGTAGAATCGGCTGAGGATGGAGCCCCCTGGCCCCCGAGATATGGTTCATATGATGATGCTTCGCTGCGATGTGATGGCTATCACGATGGTCAGTACTGCTACTATTTGCCAAGATACTGCTGTGGACTGCTTCGGCAAAGTTTTCCACCACGCTGGTCAACCGCTGCATGGTCAGACACTTATCGGACGCTCTGAGGACACGCCGGAGACAGTCAACAACAGTTTGGACGGTATGGCGCATGGCTTTTTCCTTTCCTTCTTCTCTATTCATGACTACATATTGCGGTGAGGTAGATGGCCGCCACAGCAGCCGTAGTAAGAGCACCATGGCAGCCGAATAGGCGTAGAAGAAATCCAGGCTTGTCCGGCCGCGGAGCTCGCAGGATGCATCCAGCATGAGGAGCAAATTACTGACGCACAGAGCCGATGACACGCACTGCCGGGCCAGGCGCGAGACGTGGTGGAGGGGAGTCGTCGTCGCCTCGTGCGGCGCAGCGCTGCTGCTGGACCGGGTCTGCCCCTCCTCCTCTTCCTCCCAGGGATAGATGCAGCTGCCCGGAGGGGACTGGTTGTGCCAGCTATGCGAGATGGTCATGAGCAGATACGGCCGCGTGATCAGGATCACCAGGTTGTGGAATTGGACATCCAACATGGCCAGCGCCCGTAGGTGGTCCGGCGGATAGCGGGCGCCAAAGTCGCGCAGCTGTGCGGCAGTAGGGGGTTCGGAAGTTCGCAGGATCTCAGCATCATCTAGAGATAGATATGCCGGCAGTGATGCTTTCCACGCTTGGAGTTCCCCAAGCAGGGCGGTAGGGTCGTTGGCTGGTGGCGAAGTCGATGCCGACGAAGAGGTTGATAAGTTTGACGAGGATGATGCTGCCACGGACTTGGACCGCGGTGGCCGAAAGATGGTTCGTTTCAAACGGTGGCCTAGGATCTGCAGCTCCACGCTGGCCTTGGAGTATCCGGGGAGCCCATGGCCATGGCCCTGGGCCAGAACATGATCTGACGGCGCAATATCGACCTCGTCAATGTCAATCGCGCTGGGCCGATCCAGCGACAGGCAAAGAAAGCGCTCAAACGCGTACAGCGAGCACCACAGATGTTTGCGTGTTTCCCGCTCCACCAGGGGGAAAGTCCGGTTTATATTGTCGTCGTGGAGGCCCAGTGCAATGGCAACACGGGTGGCGCATCCGACCAGCGTCCACGAAGCGTTGCGGTCGTTGTTATTGTGATAGAGATGCCCCATCAACAGCAGCGCTTGCACATTGGACAATGTACAGGTCGTCATCATCCGCGGCAAGGCCATCCGGGACAAGGTCCAGCAGTGCGTCTGCAGAGCAGGAAGATCAACATCGACAGTTGCTGGGATATCATGGTCGACCAGCATCCCGCCAAAAACCAAGATCAGATGCAGACAGACCACCCATCCTTCATCTAAATATCTGGAGACATCTAGCTCTGATGCTGATAGATAGGACTGCAAGTTCTCGTGGAAGAGGGTCCTGTTAAAGAGCGGGTGATCGCCATGCACCACGTCAAAGTATCTCTGCACCAGCGTTTCTATCGCATTGAGAGGAAGCGACTGGATATACGCTCTGGAACGCCGAAACTCATCGACTGTCGCGGCCGTCGCGGGACTGAGCCCAGCTGACAACTGTTGCTGCTGCTGCTGCTGCTGTTGTTGTTGTTGTTGTCGCATCTGAGGAGCACCCTCGGGACTGCCCTGGGCCTCCAGGGCCTCGGCGACCGTGTCGGCAGCGAACCGCGAGGCTGGCTGCTGCTCCGAAATTAGGTCTCGCAGCTGGGCGAAGAATGACAATGTGCCTGACGGGCCGATGTAATGGCAATGGCCGTATGAGTCTCGCACGAGGCGTGGAGAATGCGAGACCGGCTCGATCGACGAGGGCAGCTGTTGTTGCGCTAAATCATTCTGTAGCTTCTTCTCCATGGTAGTATGATCCATGCCTCCGAATTCTGATGACGCCTCCTCTGCCTCCTCCCTCTCTTCCTGGTCACCGTGATCCCCCTGCTGGGTATCCACGTCCGGCATGGAAACCCCGACCCTTCGCCCCAGCTCCAGTAATGCTGGAACCGTATTCGTGACGGCATCGGGGAAGACGCCCTTGACGATGGCTTCAAGACATAGAATTCTTACCCCTTTGTCAGTTCCAGGCTGTTCTCGGCTTATAAGGATTTCAATAGCCTTCTTTCTTCCTGTTGTCTCTCACCTGGCCCGGATCGTTTCCACGCTACCATACAGCCGTGTCTTCCTCTGGAACGTCGACACACAGGGAATACCAGTATGCTGACATGCAATGCAGTCGTGTTCGTGTTCATTGCGAATGCATTTGCAGCGTCTCTAGTAAGAGTGAGGTGGGTCAGTCGTTGGCTAGTACAAAGTACCCCATGCTACTCGCCAAGTAACAGGATCGTCGTTTCGTTACAGCCCCTGAATCGCACTCATCTCGACTCACCTTCCGACAGTAATCACAGCTCAGCGAAGTCCGCTTCCGCAGCTCATCGGGCACTCGACGTCGTTTTCTGCGCGGATCCATAATCGCTATCTCGGTTTCGGAGATAGTACAGCGAGAGTAGGTGAAGAAGGAACACTGCATCCGAGTTAAAAGTGCTGAGCTTCCTTCTCTCTGTGGGGGGTCATCGCCATCTGCGGGGGTGGCGAGGGCAGACATCCGAAGGATTAGCTGAGCAAACCAGTCGTTAGAATTATCCGGGATAGTTATTAGCTTACCTTCATTCATTGCGTATTCTGTTTCTTTCGCGGCGTTTTCTTTTCTCAAATCGAACTTTTCCTTGCAATGGACTCGCAGACCGGCTCCGTCCAGCTGCCGGACCACCGACGCCTCTCTTACGAGCTGTCCGGCCATGTCGCCGGCCCCGTTGTGATCCTGTCGAACTCGCTACTTACGAGCGTGCGACTATGGGATATCTTCGTCGATGACCTGCACCAGAAGGGCTTCCGGGTGCTGCGGTACGATCAACCGGGCCATGGCAGCTCCAGCGTCCCCGAGGACCCCACACAGACGACGTTCCTGACGTTGAGCGCAGATGTCAAGACGCTGCTAGATCGACTCCAGATCGCCCAGGTGTATGCTTGGGTGGGCATTTCCATGGGGGCGGCCAAGGGTGCCTTTTTTGTGACGCAGTACCCGGGCGTGGTGGCCAAACTGGTGCTCTGCGATACCATCTCCTGTTCGCCGCAGAACGCAGGCATCGCGGACCCATTTGCGGCGCGCGTGGCACTGGCACGCGAGAAAGCCACGGCAATCGACGAGTTGACTGAGCAGACGCTGGGCCGCTGGTTCCAGGAAGACTGGCGGCGTGAACACGCCGACGAGACGGCCCGGATGCGCGCCGCAATGCGAGTGACTCGACCGGGAGGGTTTATTGCGTGCTGCAATGCCTTGCAGCACCAGTCGTTCGATCTCAAGCCCCTGATGCCAAAGATCGGCGCGTGTGTACAGTCAGTGCTGGTGGTCGTGGGAGAACTGGACGCAGACCTACCCATATCCATGGCCGCCATGAAAGACGAGATCGAACGCACGTCGGCTTCGCCAGTGGATATGGTGATCATCCCTCGTGCAGGCCATGTTCCGGTTGTGGATGGGCGCGAGGTCTTTACTGAGAAGGTGATGGCATTTCTGGGATCACCATCGCTGCGCGACAGCAAAGTGTAGCTTAGAACCCATCTTAATCTATCTCTTCTTACATTAGTCTTTAGTCTTGCTAACGCCATTGGTTGTATCATTCATATCATTCACATCTTCGTATGCATCAAGTGTATAGTACACTCAATGGATTAAGCCAGCATATACAATCGCACTACTCCCGTTAGCATTCCATGCTCGACTCTTCTTCACCGGAAACATGACCCCATAGCTCTATTATGGAGCACATACTTGGCATGAAACTAATGATTCGGTTGCGACTTGGGAATCCCTAGCGATCGAGCGTCGGATACTTGCACCCGACGGCGCATTCTCCAGCGAGAGCGAGGATCCCGGGTAAATTCAGGCGTAGAGATTCGATTCTGGCGTGAGATATAAGGCTTGGTTACTGGCTGTCGCAAGTCAACTTCTGATTTCATCTTCAATGCAAGTTGCTTTGGTTGAAGAAAGACCGAAGAAGGAGCAAAATTACCATGTCACCCATTATCACTCGCAAGGTTCTCATCGTTGGCGCTGGCCTGGGAGGTCTCTGTACCTCGCTTGCTCTGCGACAGGATGGCCATGAGGTGACAATCATTGATTCGGCGCCGGAGTTTGCAGAGGTGAGTGCTGCCAGCAGTCCCGGCGGATGTACTTTGGTTTTTGATATTTCAACGAGTAAGTAGTACTAACTCCTCACGACGTGCAGGCGGGCGCCGGCATTCGTGTGCCTCCTAATAACTCGCGACTTCTGCTCCGCTGGGGCGTTGATCTAGAGAATATGAAGAAGTCTGTGTCGAAGCGGTATCATTTCGTTCGGTGGCAAGACGGATCGACCATCACCAAGTTCCCCTTCGAGAATATCATCCAGACCCACGGCGCTCCGTACTATCTGGTCCATCGCGCTGATCTGCACGCTGCGCTGCTGGATGCGGCCATTAAGGCTGGCGTCACGGTGTTGAAGAACCAGCGCGTGGTCTCGTATGACTTCTCCAAGCCTGAAGCCATCACCGAGGATGGGCGAGCATGGACGGCAGACCTGATTATCTGTGCAGATGGTAAGACCTAAACTGTGCCCAGTGACGGGTTTGTTTTTGTCAAGTGCAGTTCAAAGCAAACGCTAATGCATATATACTGACTGATTTCTAGGAATCAAATCGGCTGCCCGTCCGCTTCTGACCGGCCACCCCGATCGACCTCGCGACACGGGCGACGTCGCCTACCGCATCCTCATCCCCGGAAAGGACCTGTTGGCCGACCCAGAGCTGGCCGACCTGATCACTGACCCTGCCACCACCTCCTGGTGTGGGCCGGATGCCCATCTGGTCGGCTACCCGATCCGCAACGGCGAACTGTACAACATCGTCGTGTGCGCGACTTCGCTAGGCGAGACAAGTGATGAGACCTGGGTTGTCGAGGGCAACAACGAGGAGCTGTGTTCGCGCTTCAGCGGCTGGGAGTCGCGCGTCCGCAAGCTGTGCCGTCTGACGCCCGCCTTCATGAAATGGCGCCTGTGCGATCTGCCCACGCTCTCGACCTGGGTCCATCCCTCCGGCAAGGCGTGTCTGCTGGGCGACGCATGTCATCCCATGCTGCCCTACCTTGCTCAGGGAGCGGCACAGGCTGCCGAAGATGCTGCCACTCTACGCCAGTCGCTGACCAAGTATCCCGATCTCTCCGACGCCCTGTATCAGTACCAGCGCTTGCGTCTCCCGCGCGCCTCGACAATCCAGGCAAAGACCCGCGAGCACCAGTACATCCTCCATATCGACGATGGGGATGAACAGGTTCAGCGTGACGAGATTCTCAAACTCAACGCCCAGAATAACCCGGTCTTTTGGGGTTTCGACCAGCGCAGGCGCTGGCTTTTTAGTCACGACGCTGAGAAGCTGGACGAAGAAAAGGGTGGTGGCTGGGATGCCCCGGCTGTTGCTTCGCTCTAAGTTGAAGTACTGGCCGGAGATTTGTGTCTGTATATAAATTTATGATTTCTCTCAGTTCGAGTGGTCGATTCAATTGAAATTTTTCTTCTTTTTAGATGTTTTCAAGCTCTGGCCGTTTTTTAATGAAGTTGTTACACCTCTAAGTCCCAGGACCCCGAACTGTTTTGCTGTACTCGGGAATGATGAGTATCTCTCTCCCTCCCCACCAAGATAAACCACTCATTGGTAGGGGGGTGAACTTCCCCAATGGGCTATCAGGTTGCTGTCATCAAATTGATCTAAAATCGTAAACTTTGTTTGCGGGATGGCCCCTGTGGTTGCAAGTACCCGACCCAAGCTCGTGGCGGCCTAGAGCAAGATGCGTCCGAAGATCTGTCAGGGATAGGACAGCCAGTGTATATAACCAGTCTAATGGCCGTGGGGGAGGATCTCCTGGGACTGTCAGTTTGTGTATTGCCTAAAGCATTTTGCATCCTTTTCTGTTTGAAATCATGATCTCCACTCACTCAATCGATTCCGAGCTGGAAAAGGGGTACCAGAATGATATGCGGCATGTTGAAGACTCAACCAGCATCGAGCGTACGAGCAACATTGCTCCACCCTCAGTGGAGGAGAAGCACCTGGTCAGGAAGATGGATATGCGTCTGCTCCCTGTTTTGGTCATGTTATATGTGATGGGATTCTTGGACCGGGTCAATATCGGTAGGTTCAACAATCATCATTCTGAATGGGCGATTGCCCCTTTTGCTGGCGTCACCTGTGATAATAATGTCACCCATAGGAAATGCCCGACTGTATAGCCTCGAAGCCGATCTCGGTCTGACAGGAGACGACTATCAACTCTGCGTCTCCGTCCTTTTCGCCACGTACGTTGTCTTTGAAATGCCTGCCAACATCTTTCTGAAGAAGGTCGGCCCTCGAAACTTCATCCCCCTTGCCTCTGTCAGCTGGGGTCTGGTCAGTATGTGTACTGGCTTTGTGCAGAACAAGACCCAGCTTATCGTTGTACGACTCCTACTCGGAGCATGTGAGGCGGGCTATTTCCCAGGAATCTGTCTCTACCTTGGATTCTGGTATTGTCGGCGTGAGCTTGGAGTGCGCGTCTTCTATCTGTTCACCGCGTCCGCCGTGGCGGGCTCCTTTGGGGGCTTGCTAGCGTACGCCATCGGACATATGGATGGCATTGCCAACTATCATGCCTGGAGGTGGCTCATGATCCTTGAGGGCATTCCAACCATCTGTCTTGGCGTCGCCGCGTACTTCCTCCTCGACAACGAGCCTGCCTCTGCCAGATTCCTGACAGCGGAGGAAAAGCAGCTGGCTCTCAGTCGCATAGAACGCGACTCCGCTGGGCTGTCAGCGGCCGAGCAGTCAGAAGGCCTGAATTGGTCGCAGGTCATGGTGGGACTCAAGGACTGGAGGATCTGGGTCTTCAGTATCGCCCAGGTAGGTGTGACGGTCATGCTGTACGGCTACTCGACCTTCCTGCCGACCATCATCGAAGCGCTGGGATACTCAGGAGTGCAGACCCAGCTTCTCACCATTCCATGCTACGCCTGTGGAGCGGTTTCCTATGCAATTACCGCATATTGGTCTGACCGGCTGGGCCAACGTGGAGTCTTCACCGTGGGAGGATGTTTGGTCGCCTCCGCCGGATACGCCATCTTACTCGGCACATCGCACGATGGCGCAGGCGTCCAGTATGCTGGGTGCCTTATCGTTGCTATCGGGTTATACGTCTCTGTTGGTGTGCCCATCTCGTGGATGCCAAACAATCTACCATCGGCCTATAAGCGTGCTGCAGGCAACGGTCTCATGTTCATGATGGCCAACTGCGCTGGTGTCATTTCGTCCTACATCTATTTGACCCAAGATGCGCCCGAGTACACAATGGGGCATGCCGTGGTTCTTGGCTTTGTGTTGCTGTCGGGTATCCTATTTGCCATCATGTCAGCGGTGCTGTGGAGAGAAAACCGCAAGCGAGACCGCGGAGAGCGGGACTATCGTCTCCAAGGCAAGTCAGACGAGGAGCTGGCGGCATTGGCGGACGACCATCCGTGGTATCGCTACCTGTATTAGAACACTGGTGACTAGCTGTCAACAATGACTATTTAGTTAGTAACTATTCTGTACCTCAGGTCATAATGGGTAGTGATACCCCCACGCCTGACGTTGCTTCCCCGCATCAAACTAGCTTGGAGCTTCTCCACAAACCCCAGGATTGTGGCGCAGAGTAATGGAAGCATACACCCGAAGGATCCTCGATGATTGTAGAGGAAACCCCTCTCTATATTTATGATCACTGTGGGCTGCAATAGTTAGTGGTATTAAGTAAGAAGGGAGTGGTAACAAAAATTCGTCCTGAATCGCATCTGCATTCTGCACTCTTTGGAACAATGGCACCGAAAGAAGGGAAAGTCGCGGTATGCGTGGGTACACACGAAATTTGCATCCAGCAACGGCCCATTCCACAACCAAGTGGCACAAAGGTACTGGTGAAAATCGAGGCTGCCGGTGTCTGTGCGACAGATCTCCATCTTGTTCGCAAATCCATTCCCTACCTCCAACCTACAGTTGAGGTGTGCGGGCATGAAGGGATTGGCCGGGTCATCGGATTAGGGCCTGAAGTCGACAGCTCAGAGTGGAAAGTGGGCGATCGAGTGGCTCATCGCTGGCTGTATCAAACCTGCGGCGAGTGTGAGCTCTGTCTGGGAGGAAACGAGCAGTTCTGCGACAAAAGGAAGTTGAGTGGAAAAGATGTTGATGGATGCTGGGCCGGTAATTTTCCTCGTTCTGTCGCTACCCCTTTCTCATCTATTCTAATGTGTCCTGAACTGAATGGTGTGCGCTTTTAGAATATACACTCGTAGATAGCCGCAATCTTCTGCGTATACCGGAGGATGTCCGCGCATCAGAAGCAGCTCCAATTTTGTGTGCAGGTGAGCCTACAAATGAGATCATTAGGGTAAAAATGCTGATATCCCTGTGTGTTCAATAGGAACAACCGCATATCGTGCACTAAAGACTTCTCAGTTAGCTCAAGGGCAATGGGTAGCTATTGTTGGCGCTGGAGGTGGATTAGGCCATCTGTAAGCATGATTTCTCGAATACCAGCTTTTGACTAACCAATTTGCAGAGCTGTTCAGTATGCTAAGGCACTAGGGCTGCGTGTTTTGGCTATCGATGCGGGCGAAAGCAAAGGAGAGTTGTGCAAGCAGCTGGGGGCTGAGGTCTTCCTGGACTTCACTCAGGTCAAGGTACTGTCTCCGATCTCGATTTGCCCCCCTTTTCCTCGTATGTAGGTGGGTGACTGACCATGGCTATCAGGATATGACTGCAGAAGTCGTTTCTATTACCGGGGGCGGTGCACATGGTATCCTCGTGGTGAGCTCGAGCGTCAGAGCTTACGAACAAGCCGTGACGTATGTCCGCAAACTGGGCATTATCGTGTGTATCGGCATCAGTAAGTGCTCGATATATCATTTTTCTCAAGGGCAAACCTCTCACAATGACTCTCAGCTCCGACAAAAATGCACTTTCCCCTGGGACCTGAGTATTTTGTGGCTAAGGGGGTCCGCTTGACGGGAGGAAGCACCGGTACGATCCAAGATACTAAAGAAGCGCTGGAGTATGTCCGTGATGGGCGAGTCAAGCCCATCATTGTCGAAAAAACCCTGGAGCAGATTCAGTCTTGTTTGGAATCGTTAGAGAAGGGTGATGTCATGGGTCGTTTTGTAGCAGTCTTCTAGGCAGTTGAAATCACCTCACTTGGTGAGTGGCGGCATTCTGTTCCGCCTTGCTATCGCACTTTTTCAATGATAAATCGTTATTCCAAAGAAGAGTTGCAGCAGTCGAAGTTCAGCCAAAGGCGGGTTGGAAGTCCTCGTAGAAAGAAGCTGGAAGGAAAACAGACTGCCTCTTCGCGTTAGTGCAGTCAAGGGTTCAAACCACATCAGGCTAGAGGTTATCACAAAATAAGACAAGCGCCAACTTTTGGTCTGCAGTATAAAATTGTATGCGAGGCCCAAACATTGCGATTTCGACCTACAACCAGTACTGACAGCTCAGACAAAGCACTTGAGCGAAAGTCTACGGCTGGGGGTTTCTCTTCGACCTGACGAGTTGCCAGTCGGCCTTCAACCCTCCAAGTGATTCCAACTTTCTGCATTATACTCTCGATGAGCCAGTAGTAAGTCGATTTATGAACAGGTTTGGTGAGTACATGCTAGAATGGCTGGCCAAGGCATGAGTTGAGCGAGGAGCCTACCATCAGTGGAAAGGTGGTGAGTATGGTTTCTCCCAAAACCACTCTTCACTCATGACTCATGCTGACCTATCTATCTGTCTGCAAGGCTTTTTTTTTGCTAGAACCGCATATTTTTGCTTTGTTTCCCTGTTACTCGATGATTACCAATACCGCAGGTCACCCCTCTGTCCTCGAGTGAACGGCTGTCAAACGGGAACAAAGTACTCAACGTCAGGACATCAACATCGAGGGGGTATGCAGCGGACATGGGCCGAGCGTTTCCACGCGTGAACATTGGCGCGGCGGAGCCCGCGGCAACGTGCAGCTCATTGCGGGTGCAGAGGATCAGCGTCGGGTCGAGTACATGGCTCGAACAGATTGCGGTAACGCTACTGAACCGATTATCTGGCAGGGTTGTGATGCAGCGGCAGTGCTGTCAGTTGGACTCTTCTTTGAGGCCGAAAGAAGATTAATCCTGCGAAGCAGTGGTAATTACTGCTCATTATAGGGCAGTTGATCAGGGAGAGAACGGTCGAGAATGAGGCAAGCAAGTCAACATGTCGTCCCCTGACCTTTTGGTATCAGATAATGTTGTACAAATGACCTTTTGACAAAATCAGGGGGTCACTAGACCGCTGAGCCACTAAAAATGTCAAGACATTGAATAGGGCCCTATATGGTCATATATTCCTGTGACAAGATCGATTTGACCTTGCTGACGGGGGGGGGGGGGGGGGGGGGGGGGGGGGGGGGGGGGGTGACACTAGAATGGATTCCTGTTGGACATGAATAACTGGCCTCATCCAGGATGGAAGAGCTTGACTAAGATACTATGGTGATTCAGATGATAATATTTTGATCTCGAATGTGACACTATCACGAGGTATATATATATATATATGTGTGTGTGTGTGTGTGTGTGGTATATACTACATACAATCTTGATGCACCAGGTAGAGATGAACTTCTGGATAGGTCTTTTCCTGACTCTTGCCGGAGCACAGTTGCTCTGCAATGGACGCAACATCTGCTCGCGCAAGTACTCGAATGTAACGTTTGTTGGATCTCACGATGCTCCTTTTGTAAGTGATTATTCTAATACTTTTGTCTACATCTCAACTTCCTAATGCTGTAGGTCGGCCCCCTCCCTCAGCAGAACCAAAATATCGACATTCCAGCCCAACTGGAACTAGGAATCCGGTTCCTGCAAGGCCAGACGCACCGCCGACCGATCACCGGCACGCTGTCGCTATGCCATACCTCGTGCCTGCTAGAAGACGCGGGCAGTCTGACTGGTTTCTTGGAGAGAGTGAAGCGCTGGCTAGACGGACACCCGCGCGAGGTGGTGACGCTGCTTCTTACGAACGGGGATTCGGTGAATATCGACGAGTTCGCTGCGTCATTTACCGCCAGTGGAATTACGAGATATACATTTATCCCAGAAATCAACGAGAATAATCAGACCACGACGAGTACTACTACTCCTAATAATGCCGCGGATTGGCCGACGTTAGACGAACTGATTCTTACCAATCAGCGGCTAGTGGTTTTTCTCGACTACGGCGCCAACACAACCCACACGCCATACATACTGGATGAATTTGCGTATTTCTTCGAGACGGCGTTCGACGTGACGGACGCGCAGAGCCTGGGAAGCGCCTGCACGGTCGACCGGCCGCGCGGGGCGTCGCCCGTCGGTCGGATGGCGCTGCTCAACCATTTCCTGGACGTCGAGATCCTGCCGGGCGTGCTGGTGCCGGACCGGGAGCGCGCGGCGCAGACCAACGCGGCGCATGGGGCGGGCAGCATCGGAGCGCAGGTGGCTGCGTGTCGTCGGGCGCTATTGGGAGAGGAAGGGCGAGTGAACGTGGTGCTGCTGGATTTTGTGGATGAGGGGGAGGCCATGGCGGTGCAGGATGCGATGAATAGTTAGAGAGATAGAGTACTGGTAAGTAGTTATCTACTACCACTCCGTACATCGTGCTGGTAAGTACCTAACTATAGTAATAGTACTTAGTAACTATTCTATGGAATGTGAAATCATGAGGGAGAAGGAGATCATGTGATATATTACATAAGCCAGATCCATTGTCCATCACGTGACATACGCGCCACTTTGACCACGTATAGAAACTTTTCCTTCTCTCCTTCCCTTGTCTTCCGTCTAGAAGAAAATGGACAGAAGAGGAGTCCAGGATGCGTCTTGGACTCGCTGGTATGCTCGAGAATGCGAGACTGGCGAGACTCGATCCTCCAGGCAACCCACTAGCAGCCAGTCCTTCTATCGACGCTAGGATTGACTGAATATTGTCTCGTGTCGGGCTGTGGGTACCGGCATATACTTTTTACTATAGCCAAGCCTGCCTTGCTGAACAATAACGTACCTAAAATAATACTCCATGATATGAGGCCATGGACATATATTACCAGTGGGAGCAGTGGGAGCAGTAGTAGCAGTAGTAGCAGTAGGCTATATCATACACTTAGTACTCACCAGATAGCATATAATAATAATATTCCCATATATTCCATTCTCATATATTCCATTCCCAAATTCCCAAATTCCCAAATTCCCCCAGAACCACGACATATAAAGCCTGATAAACGTTAATACAGTCGCTCGATGCGGCTAGTCTCTCGGATCCCTTGTTCGATTCCTGATACTCTCTTTCTTTCTCTCTCTCTCTCTCTCTCTCTCTCTCTCTCTCTCCCTCTCCATCTCCCTCTCCCTCTTGTCTTCGTCTCATTCTTCTCCTGCCAGACTCTTCTAGATTCTCTGCATTCTCTGTATTTCTCATCTCCATCAAGGCACTCTCCAATTCGTCTGTTCTATCTGTTATCGCTCTCTCTCCACCCCCCCGCGTCCGCTTATTGTTCTGTTCCTCTCTTCGCGGGTTTGGTGGTATCCGCGTGTCCCGTGACCCGGCCACAAATTCCTCTCTCTCCTCCTCCTCCTCCTCCTCCTCTCCCTCTCTCTCCCCCTCTCGCTCTCCCTCTTTTCCGTCTCGCTTCTTCCTCTTCCCCCCTCGATTCATCTCCTCTCATGCCTTCTGCCGGCTGCTGACCGGTCCCCAATTCTTCCCTCTTCATCCTCATCCCCCCCCCCCTCCCTCGCCGAGGGCCCCGGCCATGTCCTCGGATCCTTCCTCTGGGCCTCCGGCCGATGCCTCCCTCGCCAAGGAGGCCTCGCTGCCGCTCTCTTCTTCGGCGGTGGTGGCTCCCACCGCCACGACGACTGCAAATACTACTACGACAAACACCCCGACGAACACCACCGCCGTGAATACGCCCGCCTCCGACGTCGACACCGCCGCCCCCGCCGCCCCCTACGGCACGCGTTCGCGTGGCCGCAATGCCCCGCGGCCCAACTACGCCGAGGATCGAGACCTCGATCTCGATCTGGAGATGACCCTGGCTCCGCCGACGACCAGTACCCCTTCGTCGTCGGCGTCGAAATCCGCCAGACGCAGCGCGGGTGCTGCGGCTGTCGCCAACGGGGCGGGCGAGAAACGCCGTGCCCTGGCCGCCTCCTCTTCCGCTTCCACCACCGCTGCCTCTTCCTCCACCACCAGCAGTCACAACAACAACAACAACAACAACTCAAATAACAACTCCTCCACAACTAACGGCAAAGAGGCCATTCCCGGGACGTCGTCGTTTTCCGCCAGACCAGACGATACGGGTTCCTCGTCCGTTTCGAAAAAACGCAAGCAGCCCGCTTCCTCCGGTAGCCACACCACCGCCGGGAATGCCGCAAAAAAGGTCTTCACCAGTGCTCCCGGAGGAGGAGGAGGAGGAGGAGGAGGAGGAGGTGGTGGTGGTGGTTTATTGACAGGCCAACCCGAGACCAATATGATGAGTTTTACCGCGACGGGCGCCCGGCTGCAGGACGGTAAACTGACGGCGGATGACGGGACAGTCCTTGCTGTGAACGGTATATACCATCTTTCCTTTCCTATTCTTTTCTTTTCCTTTTCATAAAAAAAAAAAAACAATTGAACCGCTAATATATTAGACCACGTCTATCTTATTTGCGAACCCCCCGGCGAACCCTACTATCTCGCCCGGATCATGGAGTTTCTTCCCTCACGCGACCGGCCCGCCACCATCGATGCCCTACGCGTCAACTGGTTCTATCGCCCCCGCGACATCCACCGCAAGGCCGCCGATACCCGTCTCGTCTTCGCCTCCATGCACTCGGATACCTGCCCGCTGACGGCTCTGCGCGGCAAGTGTCAGATCCGCCACGTCGCCGAGATCGAGAACCTCGACACCTACCGCAAGACCCGGGATGCCTTCTGGTTCGACAAGCTGTACGAACGCTACATTATGCGCTACTACGAGGTCATCCCCACCCGCGAGGTCATCAACGTCCCCGCCCCGGTCAAGAAGGTTTTGGACGAGCGCTGGCAGTACGTCCTCATTGAGATCGGCCGCCGCAAGGAGCTCACCAGCGCCGTCAAGACCTGCCATCGCTGTACCCGCTACGCCGCCTCCGCCGACTCCGTCGACTGCGCCGTCTGCCACCACACCTACCACATGTACTGCGTCCGCCCCGTCCTCACCAAGAAGCCCGCCCGCGGCTTTGCCTGGGCTTGTGCCGCCTGCAGCCGCGCCCAGGAACGCAAGCTCGAGGCCCGCAATACCCCACTGCTCGGCGGCGCCGCCGGCGGCGGCAGCAACAGCATCGTCGAGGATTTCCCCGAAGATATTCCCGAAGAGATCCCGGAGGAGATTCCCGAGGAGATTCGTGACGAGGAGATGGAAGATGCGCCGGGCCTCGGGGGAATCTCTACCACCACCTTGAGCACCACCACCGCTGCCGCCGCCGCCGCTGCCACTACCACCACCACCACCACCACCACGACAACAGCGACTACCCCCATCGAGGGTCCGCACGAAGCTGGTCCCGCGACCGAGGAACAGATTGCCCAGGCCCGCTTGTGGCCCTACCGCTACCTCGGTATCCACTGTCGCGTGGAGGACGCTCTGGACTACGACGATCGCATCTACCCGCGCGCCAGCTCCCGCCTCGGCCCCCGCCACCAGGCCACCGTTCCCCCCTGGTACGGTCATCGCATCGAGTACGTCAAGCCCGCCGACAGCAAGAAGAAGAACCTCAAGGGTGGCTCTCGCAAGGATTCCAAACTCTCCAAGGAGACCCAGGCCGCCCTCGAGGCCGCCCGCCAGGAACGCGCCAACCGGCCCAAATGGGTCCTCGACGAGCCTCGCGGCTACGTGGCCCGCGGCGAGGATGAACCCGTCCTCCTTCATGGAAAATCCGTCCGCACGGCCGAGCTGATGTTCAAAATGCCCACAGAGGACCAGCGGCCTCCGCCTCCCACCACCACCCGCGGCGAGGACGATTCCCCCGCCGCCGACTGGACCCCCGAGGCCCGCGAACGTTTCCTCGACGACTACATGCGCCGCGCCCAGGCTTTAGCTCCCAACAAGGGCCTCGAACCCTACTCGACCAACTTCCTCGACAAGGCCCTACAGCTCCTCTATGCCGAGAGCTTCAATGCCGACGCCGCCCTCGCCCGCCTGCAGCGCGCCAACAAGTACTCCGACCTGAAGGAGCCGCATCTGCGCCCAGAGGAGGTCAAGCGCTTCGAGCAAGCCGTCGCCCTCTACGGCTCCGAACTGCGCAACGTCACCAAGCACGTCGGGTCTGTCCCGCACTACCAGATCGTCCGCTTCTACTACATGTGGAAGAAAACCCCGGCCGGCCGTCGCATCTGGGGCAACTACGAGGGCCGCCGCGGCAAGAAGGAGGCCAAGCGTGCCTCCGCCGCCGCCAAGCTGGTCGACGACGTCGCCGACGACCACGACGACTCCGCCTTTGACGCCGACAAGGCCGCCGACAAGAAACGCGGCTTCCAGTGCAAATTCTGTGCCACCCGCTCCTCGCGCCAGTGGCGCCGCGCCCCCGGCGCAGCTCCCGGCACCACCGTGCCCGCCGAACCCGCCAACAAGAAGGACAAGGCCGGTCCGCCCCTGACCGTCGCCCTGTGTCTGCGCTGTGCCCTGCTCTGGCGCAAGTACGGTATCCAGTGGGAGAACGTCGACGAGGTCGCCAAGAAGATCGCCCAGAGTGGCAACAAGTCCTGGCGTCGTCGCATCGATGAGGAACTGCTTGCCCAGTTGCTCCTCTCCGCCGAGACTGGTCCGGGTTCCCCCTCAGGAAGTGCTCCAGGACCGGCGGCGGCCTCGACAGATGGTACATCTAACAAGAAGAAGAAACAACAACAACCATCCCAGCAACAGATGGGAGAGAAAGACAAGGATAAGGAAAAGGACAAGGACAAGGACAAGGATAAAGACAAGGACAGTGTTGCCCCTTCTACGGCCACCTCGGTGGAACCCGCCCCGACGACGAAGAAGAAGGGAACCGCCGCCGCCGCAGCAGCAGCAGCAGCAGCAGCAGCAGAACCTGCGCCTATCATCCCTGACCCGCCCAAGGCCAAGACGCTACCGTGTGCCGTGTGCAACCAGATGGAACCTCTGTCGCAGCACCTATCATGTCGGGACTGTCGCCTGACCGTCCACCGAGGCTGCTACGGTGTGGCGGGCACGACCGGCAACAAATGGCTGTGCGACATGTGTTCCAACGACCGCAACCCGCTCATCTCCACGGCGTACGAGTGTGTACTCTGTCCCGTCCGTTGGACGGAGCACGAACTGATGGAGCCGCCCAAGATCACGCATAAGAAAAAGACGGACCGAGAGCGTGAGAAAGAACGGCTGGAGAAGGAGATGGTCGTCGAGGCCATCAAGCTGTACCGCCAGCGCCAGGAGGCCGTCGGCAAACCTATCGGCCCCCGCGAACCCCTCAAGCGCACCATTGGTAACAACTGGGTGCACGTCCAGTGCGCCCTCGCCCACCCGGAGATCAAGTTTGGCGACGCCGCCGCCCTCGAGCCCGCCGAAGGGTTCGGCCTCATCCCCGCCGACCGCCACCGCGCCGTCTGCAAGATCTGCAAGACCAGCGACGGCGCCTGTGTCGCCTGCCATTTCCCCGGCTGCTCCGCCATGTTGCACGTTGGCTGCGCCGTCCAGGCTCAGTATCCCGTCGGTCTCGACGTCACCCCGGTCAAGAGCTCGCGCCGCGACTCTGTCGCAACCATCCGCCTCGGCGACGAGGCGGGTGCCACCTGCGCCGCCGTCTGGTGTCCCCATCATCCGCGTTCTTCGGTCTTACATCCCCTGAGCGAGCCCACCGATCATGACGACCTGTCCGCCCTACAGCTCTTCGCTCGCACCTATAAGCAAGCGGACCTTTCCCTCACGGGAACCGTCCGCAAGGCCGCCTATCTCCAACAACAGCAGCAGCAGCAGCAACTACTACAACAACAACAACAACAACAACAACAACAACCAAACTTGCCACCCGCCCGCCGCTCGCAAACAACCAACCCCGAGGTGGACGAGATGGTCATCGACGCTGCTTCTAGCCCCGTTGCTACGATGACTACTACATCCGAGCATGGCGCTTCAGATCATGCCTGTGTTCGGTGTGCCACTGCTTACAGCCCGCGCTGGTGGCCCGTCCCTGAACCTCCACGCAGGCTGCCGCTCATCCCCAATGGTAACCTTCATGGTGGTCCAGATCGTGCCCTGTCGGGTGATAGTCGTCCTACGTACGAATGCCACAAGTGCCATCTCGCGCATGGCAAGACAATGGCACCGATCACCATGGCGGCGACGAACAACAACAACAACAATAATAATACTAATAATACTAATAATCCCATTGCCGCCCCTGCTGCTCCCCCTGCTGCTCCCCCTGCTCCTACCGTCGCCTCCACCTCCACTGCCGCTGCTGCTGCTGCTACTGCTGGCCCCGCCCAGCCCTCACCGGAGCCTCGATTATCGTCGCCTTATGCGCCGGGACCCCAGCGTCCCGTACTACCAGCTCCACGATTGCCTGAATACCACGGTCATTCCTACGGGTCTCATGGACACCCAACACCACCGACCATCCTACCTCGGCCCATCGGATCGGCCGGCTGGTCACCACCAGGCTACGAGTCACGGCCACCCGAATATGGGGGTGACGCTTCTTCCACGCCTACCCTTCGAGGTGCTCCTCCTCCTCCTCCTCCTCATCCGCCCATATACCACGGTCCTCCTCCTCACCCTCCTCATCCTTCTCACCCTTCTCACCCTTCTCACCCTTCTCACTCTTCTCACTCTTCTCACTCTTCTCACCCGCCTCACCCACCTCACCCACCTCACCCCTCTCATCCTCCTCATCCTCCTCACGTATCAATGTCAAACTCGGTTGCCAACAGCAACCCACCTCATCTAAATGGCGGCTATCCGGCGCACCATGCGCCGCCCGCACCACCTGCACATCCTCCTCACCCACCCTACGCCAATGGTGCTTCGGGGCCAACCCCGCCGCCGCCTCCACCGCCGTTTCTCGCACACCAGAGCCCATACGGCCCTGTGCCCGCGCGCTCGCCGCACCTTTCCCAGGCCCGGCCGTACGCGGCCGCCTCGGCCTCGCCGCCTGATGTGCATTCGAATCTTGTGCGACACTCGCCGCCGCATTCCCTGAGCGCGTTGAATTCGGGCGGACCCCCGCCGCTGCTGTATCCGGTGGATCGGAACACTAACACCAACACGACGACGACGACGACGACGACGGGCACCGCGGGGCCTAGCGAGGAGGGCAGTGGACGGTCGACCGTCAACGGCACGACGCACGGGGGATCCGGGGCCAGTGCGAGTCCATCGTTGAAGAATCTACTGTCGTAGAGCGGATTTATGTATGATACCAGGCATAGCATGGCGTTATTTACCAAGTAGTTCACCATACTCAAGAGAGTACTCCTACTGAACCCTGTGATTATTAATTTATTATGTAAGACACTATGATTACTAATCATAATCACGTGCCATTAGTAATCCAGATTTCATACGGAAGAGACTTCCGTATTGTCAGATACGGTACTCTGTACGACCAATCATACTGAAACAGGAGACGGGGCAGACGCGGGATCTGCTCGGTTGGAGTATCTCCGTTAATACGCCGGCCCTGGCAAGTCTTGAGTTAATCCTATGTAGTATATATATATATATATATATATATACATATACTACATATACTATATGTACTATATGTACTAGATATGAATACCTAGTATCAGGTAATTTAGCTAGGTTGATACTACAGGTATCATGAATAGTGGAAGTGGACAAGTGGATCAAGAAGACTCTTATCGATCATGGCACCATGCGAATTCTTCTAGAAGTACCAGGTATTACAGGTAGGTGATGGTATGTATTGTACTGTATTGTACTGTATTGTACAGTACTGTATACAACTTCCCTTCTCTTTACTAATTCTCTATCATATTGATATTCTATATTCTCTTCTTTATTATATCTATTTCTACATTCTATTCCTTATTCTATCTATTTCTACATTCTATTCCTTATTCTATCATATATTCTATATTCTATACCTCCTTATCTTCGGTATTTTCAGTACCTACCCTAGGTACCTCATATTCCTGTGTTCTAGTATGTACAATACGTATTAATACAGATACCTTCTAGAAGACGCCGCGAACTCCCCTCGAATCTCACCCCTTCGAGCCAGATCGATCCCCTCCGTATATGCAAGTCCTGGGTCGAGTCTGTCTGATCTTGGCCTCAAGTCGCATCTTTCTCCTCTTTTTAATCCTCCATTGTATTCTGTCCTCACCCTTGACGTCCTTCTCTTCCTTCATCCCCCCCCCCCCCCCCCCCCCCTCCCTCTCTCTCTCTCTCTCTCTCTCTGTCTCTGTCTCTCTCTCGCGCGCCTGTTGTCGCCTACCAGGTCGCAAATTCGCCTCCTCCTCCTTCAATCTTTCTCCGCCCTCGACCACTTTCGCTCTCTCCCTTCCACCCTCATCGCCCTCGACCATCGACTACAGGAATACCGCAATCCTCTCTCCTTTTGATCTGCTGATTCGTTGGCTTCTCCAGTCGATCATCGCACCATGCCTTTTCCCTGACCCTCGCGCCCTGCCTGCCTTGCGTGCGATTGAATCGAGACCGATTTTCGACCACCACCATCCTCACAAACGAATTCATCGTTGACTCGCCTATATATATAGATATATATATATATATCTCTCTCTCTCGTCAGGAGTCGAATTTCATATACTCCACTCCATTCTCTTGTTAAAAAAAAAAAAATCACCCCCCAACAACAACAACCAAGTCGGAGAAAATAAAGGGCTGGTCAACTTTCGACTTCCTGCACTCCTCCCCGACCGTGGTCTCGGGACAAGGGCCCTTGGAGCACATATCTCTTCATCCAAGATACTTTCCCGGTATTATCATTGTTTTTTTTTTTTCTCTCTTTTCACTGGGAGGGGCGCCCAGGATTGAATCCCTCGAGAGAAAAAAAAAAAGAGAGAACAAACCAATTGTTGCGGTCGCATTCGATTCCTCGCAGACTCTTGTCCCCCCCCCATATGCCCCGTCTCGACCACGCACCACGCCTCTCCGACACTCACCGTTGAGACAATAAAAAAAAAAAAGAAAGAATCCCTCTTTCGATCCATGGCCGACGCCATGGATTGCTCCGCTGTCTATATCGACGACCGCGTCTCGTCTGAGCGATGGGTGCGCAGGATTCCGCCCGCCGATCAGCCTGTCTCCTCCTCGTGGATCCTTCCTGATGAGCCTGAGGCGTTGTACGCAAATGTCGACCGGTTGTTGGATGTGTGCAAGCAGAGTGAGAGAAACGCAGGATTTTTTTTATATGGGAAGAAAACGTACTGATGGTGATAGTCTATCTCTGCCACGCAGGAACCTCCTTTGCCACCAAACTCGCGGAACTCACCGACCGCGCCGGAAACGACTGCACCCCCATCTTCGCTTTCTTCGACATTGACCTCTCGAGCGACGACAGCGCCAGCAGCCGTCGCAAGCTCAGCCGCACCTCCTGGTCCGAACTGGATACCGCGCCCCCGTCCCCCTCGGCCATTTCCCTCCGCCGCGGTTTCACCTTCTCCTCCCAGTCCGAGGAGGCCTACGGCCTACAACTTCTATCGGGTGTCTCGGCAGACATCCAGGTCCGCGATGGGCCCAATCTCATCATTCCTATCGCCATCTTGCGTTCCCCAGCCACGAACCTAGCTCGCCAGACTCTGGAGGAAACCGATGGAGATCTGGATCTGGATCAACAACCAAAACAACACCAACAACACCGTGATATACTCTCCGCCGAACCACGCCATGTCTCTCGGTGTCTGGACGCGGGCGCCCTCGACGTCCTCACCTCCCCGCTCGACCGCTCCCGCACCCATGGCCTACTTGTCCATGCCTATCGCACTCGCAAGACCGCCCAGAAGGAGCTCTCGCGTTTCATGGCCAAGCGGAAACTACGAAAACAGTCTTGGGTAGGCGTGCATGGGGAACAACCGTATGCATACTTGCGAGAAGCCATGTACGTTCCAGTCAAGGGAGTAAGCTTTTTTTTTTTCTGTTGGAGCGTCTGCTAATTCTGTAGGGTCTCCAAGCTTATGAAAGGCATCTGCAATCCCGAGGAGGTGATTGAAGAATTTCAAGAACGGTATGTACCATCTTTACCCTATTCTCTCCCCTTCGAAACTTGGTAGCCCCTCTAATTTCTGTAGGGAACTCGATGTTATTCCAGAACGACAGGCTATCGTCAAAGAGCAGATCGGCCGCTGGGCCTTCACGGCGCACCAGTTCACCGAAGACGAGCTGGTGTACGGGGCGTGCGAGATGCTACAGCATGCGCTGAACATGCCCGAGCTGGATCACTGGCGGCTCACACCCGGGGAGCTGCGCACTTTCTTATTAGCCTGCCGCGCCGCGTATAACTCTTTCGTTCTCTATCACAATTTCCGACACGCGGTGGATGTGCTACAGTCGGTCTTTTGTTTCCTGCTCCACATCGGTGCCTTGCCCACGTACGGCGACATTAAGACTCCGGTTCCTAAATCGCCCATCGCCTCGCTGCTGTCCCCCTTTGACGCGCTGACGCTCCTAATCGCCGCCATCGGGCATGATGTCGGCCATCCCGGCGTCAACAACTTCTTCCTGGTCAAGTTGAACGCCCCCCTCGCGCAGTTGTACAACGACAACTCGGTGCTCGAGGCCTTCCACTGCGCCGCCTATTCGCAGATCCTGCGCCGCCACTGGCCCGCCGCGTTCAAGGACAACCAACTGCGCAAGCTGCTCATCAGCTCCATCCTCGCCACCGATATGGGCGTCCATCAGAAGTTCATGGAGCGCCTGGGCCACCTGCAGGAGAAGTACTACGCTAACAACAAATCGCTCGACGGCTGGAAACCCCAGGATCTCGACCAGTATCGGGCTCTGGTGTGCGGATTGCTCATCAAGTGCGCCGACATCAGTAATGTCTCGCGGCCCTGGGACGTGGCCGAGCGCTGGACCAAGATCCTGCAGGAAGAATTCGCCAACCAGGGCGACATGGAGAAGGAGGTCGGCATGGAGACCACCCTCTTCGGCGGGCCGCCGGAGTTGGGCAACATGTTCAAGCTGGCCACCGGCCAGATCGGCTTCATGTCCATCTTCGCCCTACCGCTGTTCGAGGGCGTCGCCGACCTGTTGCCCCAGCTGCGCTTCACTGTCCAGCAGATTCGCGCCAATCAAACCGTCTGGCGCGATTTTGCCGACCGCGAGATGCAGAAACAGGGGCTCTTCGTCGAGGCCCCTACCCCGGGCGCCGTCTCGCCTCGCACTCAGAGCCCGGTGCGCACCCCCTCGGCCGCCGTGAACGGTCAACAACGCCACGAGGGAACCGCCGCCCGCACCAACGGAGGAGAAACCCTCCGGGAAATCGATGAGGCAGACGATGTGACCGAGGGTATTGTGGATGACACATCATCATCATCATCATCACCGGTATTCCCCCGAGTCTCGCTCGGGTCCGTCACGCGTGACGTCTTGAATGAAAATGCGCTGAGCCCCGTCGTGTCGCCCGATACCGAGGGTCCGTCGATTGACATCACTGGTGCCTCGTTACCTGTCGGCGGCGGCGGCGTCCAGGCGTCACGCAAATCCTCCAGCGCGGTGCCCCTGTCGGAGATATCACTGATCCCCATCGCGGACATCCCGCGCGACCGCAACGGCTCGGTCCAGACGCAGATCCGAGCCGCGGACAGTCCTGATTACCATTCGTCGGATGACTCGGCCGTCCTGGCCGCCGTCGTTCTCCCGGATAGACCTGGGCCTGCCCGGCCCACCAGCAGTAGTACAGACCGGCCGAGTAGCTCACGGCAAGGTGGCCCCCAGGGCGGCGGCGGCAGCGGCGGCGGTGGCGGCGCCGTCACCGCCGTGCATCAACGGCACCACACCAACACGAGCTCGAAACACACGACAGCCTCCAATCGACACAGCTGCACGCGCACCCAGTCGGTCAGCACGTACAGCAATCCCGTTATGACACCCATCTCGCCAGCGACCAATGCGACTAGCTTCCTAACGGTTGACAGCGGGGATGATCGCGACGCAACCACCTCCAAGAGCGAGACCGAAGCGCCGGGCGATACTGGCAGCAGCACACGGCCCAGCTCATCGGACGCGTACGGGTTTGTTGATCATGAGGATAACCATTATCATAATGGTTATAACCACCATCATCATAATCATCATCATCATCATCATCATCACCACGACCACGACCATCACCAAGGGGATCATAACGACATCCGCCAATACAGTTCCAGTTACAGCCAGTCCTCTTCATCACAGCCGCATGACCCTCTAGACAAGGGATCCCTGATGGCAACACTAGTGGGCAATGGCGGCAATGACCGTCGTAGCTGCAGTCCAACACATTCCACCGCCACCTCGGGTAGCAGTCATCATCATCATCATCATCATCACCATCCTCACCATCCTCCCTACTCGCACTCGCACCCCCAACACCTAGATCCTCAGCAACACCATGAGGTCTCTCCCGAACACGGCGGCGAGCATTCGCTGCTTCGACTGGCGAAACGGCGCAGTCGGCTGCGACTGGCATTCTGGAAGCGCAAGCCACACCACTCACACCAGCAGGAAGTGAGCGGGGATATCCATTGATTTTTCCTTCTTTTCTTTTCTTTTTTTTTTTATACTTTTTTTATCATCTCTCTCCAACCCATTGATCGGTGTAGGTTTTTGAGTTGGGGTTGGTGTTGGGTGTTGGGGTTGGTGATGATAGGATCTGACGAGGAATGACTTACTGGGCGTTTTATCTTCTCTAGGGCTTTGGTACTTTTTTGCCCGCTTCTTGGATACTTTTGGATACTTTTGGATGTTTTTTTTTTTTTTTTTTTTTTCTTCTTTTGGGAGGGAAATTATAGGGGGATTATATCCGAGATACTTGCCTTGGATATGCATGGCATCTTTCCTTCCATGATTCTTGTTTCTTTTCTTCTCATCTTTCCTGTTCTACGATGAGATGGGCACGGTTAGATGGCGTTGGTTGATACCTAGATTTGACAATCCTGACATTCAGAGGCAGCAGTAGTAGTAGTAGTAGTAATATCCCCAGTAGTAGCAGTAGCAGTAGCAGTAGCAGTAGCAGTCAGCGCCCGATCCGTATGTCCCAGATCTCTCCCCGGGTCAATCACATTCCTGACCAGCCCTTTAAGAACCTTGACTTCTACAAAACATTAGCGAATACTCAGACAACCCTTGGGTGATTCTTCTGTTTACCAGGGAACCCCCCCCTCTCCTTCCGATCCCACAAGCGCGTCTCCTTGACCTCCTCGGCGGACTCGTAGATGGTCACGGTGAATTTACCCCCCGTGGCTGGGATGAGGGCTATCTCGCCTATACTCGTTCCGAAGGTGGAGAGGAGTTCTTGAGCGAACTGGTTCGTTGGTTAGTTATATTTGTTTGAATGATTGTAGGAGGGGCAAGGAGGGGCAGGGGCAGGGGCAGGGCAGGACTTGCGTAGGCGGCCCGAAGCATCCATTTGCACTGGGTGCAATATTCGATTGTGATGCGGGGGTAGTTCATTGAGCAGTATGTGTAGATGTAGATGTAGTTGTAGATGTAGTTGTAGTTGTAGTTGTAGTTGTGTGTAGTTGTAGTTGTATGTAGTAAACTACGTAGTGTGAGAATGAGATAGGATAGATTAGTAATACTACAGCAATACACTCCGTATTCCGTATTATCTGTACAATTATCATTGCGACATTTATGGTACAGCCAACTCAACCGTCGCCTATTTTAACCGAACATCGCACAAAGGAAAACCAGACCGATAGATCCGGTATGTCAAGTGATACACCAGAAGAAGAGAAGAAAGAAGATAAACCCTGAACAGTAGAAGAAATGAACCCTGAACAGTAGAAGAAATGAACCCTGAACAGTAGAAGCGAAATGGCAAAAACCCGAAGTAGGGGATAGTAAAAGTAAAAGTAAAAGTAGAAGTAAAAGTAGAAGTGGAAATAGAATAGGTAAAGAAGTGGAAGTTGATCCTCGAGTGACGTCGTAGTGCGTCCAGCGCGTTGATCTCACGCAGGCGGTGGTCGTCAGGGAATAGAAGGTCGAGAAGGGGGTATGTCGAGGGAGGTCGTGGCAGGATCAGGGAGAGGCCGAGAGCATTTCAAACATGATGAGGAGAGGGCCGTTACATGACCGCGCAGCAGCCTCCTTGCTGCTGGGGGGCGTACGGGTCTTCTCGCTTGTCGACCTGGGGAATCGGAGTCAGCTATAGCGATAGTTTGTAGGTATACGAAGGCTTTCATACCTGACCCCAGACAGAGGGAACCATGAAATCACGGGTATTATTGCAATAGTTGATTAGACTATCCATTAGCCTATAGTCTTATTCTTCTTCTTCTTCTTTTTTTCGTCAACTCACGAGAGAGCAGCTTCCGACACCTTGACTCGGGGGCGGTCCAGATCTTCCTTCAAGCGGGCATTGAGCTCTGTCAACCGACGGTACTTGAGATCTGCCACACTCTGTTTCTTGTTCTTGACGTCCCCCCCGGAGCGAAGTTCATACGAAGGCATGGTTGTTGGATTGTTGGATTATTGAATGGGGGGTTTGGACGTAGCGGGCAAAAAACACGCGACCGAGGGAACTTGGAGAGAGAGAGTGAGAGAGAGAGTGAGAGAGAGAGAGAGAGCGAGAGGGACAGGTCGTGTCGTGAGTGTAGGAGGGGCAGAGCAGAGCGCACCGACAAAGACACAGAGGTGAGGTGAAGCAGATCGCCGCAAAGGAAAGGGAGGGAGAGAGTTGGGAAAAAAGAGCGTGGGAGAGGAGGGATCGCAAACCAGGGGGCAGGACAGGAGGGGAGGAGAAGCGTTTTGGTGGTCTGTGAGGGTCCGGCGTCCTTATGTAAGCCCCTGAAATCCCGCACTCAAACTTAACAGTCACTGTGACTACGTATAGCTGTCGAGTAAATACTACCTACGTATGGCTACCGAATACACTGCTGCAAGATGAGAGCCTGTCATTCTAGAAGCCTGATATTACTCTGTAGATCTATCTGGAAAGCAGACTATGGAGCGATCGGCAGCTCAGCGCTGGGTCTTGAACCGCCTGTCTGGTTCTCCCCTGAGTCCGCCCGAGTCCCGGTCACATGATCGTATGATTTGGGGACGGCATCATAGCTTAGTCATAGCTTAGTCACGTCTGTCTAGTCACTGCTTATAGCACAACCGACTGTACAGCAGGACTACGAGTATACCTACAACTAGAGCTTGGTACGGAGTATCAATAGTTAGTACTAGAGAGTCTCTGGTACAGAGTACTCCGTATGTTAGTCCTGAATAAGAAACCTAGGGACAGAGTATGACTGTCTTACGCAGGCACGAGTACGGACAGGTACAGGTACACTACCCTCGTAGACAGCAGACAACACATACAATTGACTTGAGATAGACGTGAGAGACTAGAGCAGAAGAGTAATAACTACCTAATAACAAGTGAATCGTTCTCTGTATTGATGGTTGACCTTGACCTCGTGCAGTACAGTGCAGGGTAGACCGTAGACGCCTATCGCATCACGTGACAATCGCTTACCGGAATTTTTCGCCCGCCTCGCACAACGCCCGCTCAGCCTCAGCCAGCGACATCACCGGCCTACGCGTGGGAGCATCGTCACCGCGACCTTTGCCATCGACTGCTGCGGTCTGGCCGTTCTCCTGCCTCGCTGTCGATCTGCCCTTGTCGCCCTGCCCACCCCCCGTCGTCTCTTTCCTGCTCCCAGTCGCAGTCGTCCGTCCCTAGGGGCCCCAGTCGTCCATCATGCCCCCTCCACCCCATATCAAGCCCGAGAATGTTCTCAAGGTAAGAAGAGAGGAGAGAGGAGAGAGGAGAGAAGAAAAGAAGAGAAAAAGAAGGGAAGGGAAGGGAGAAGAGAAGAGAAAAGATGCTGACTTCCTCTAGAGGGCTCAAGAACTCATCGCCGTGGGCCAGGCTCCCGCCGCCCTCAACGTCCTTCACGAGCATGTCACCTCCAAACGCACCCGGAGCAGTCCCATCTCCTCGCTTGAGCCCGTCATGCTCCTCTTTGTCGAGCTGTGTGTCGACCTGCGCAAGGGAAAGTCTGCCAAGGATGGCCTGTATCAGTACAAGAACATTGCTCAGAACACCAACGTCGGAACTATCGAGGTAACAAAAGACCCAGACACAAAGACGAACACAAAGACAGACACAAAGACCGAGGAGAAGATGAATAGTCTGGATCCAAGCTGACACTGTCTTGGATATAGATGGTTCTGAAAAAATTCATCGAGCTCGCCGAACAGAAAGTCACCGAGGCCCAGGCCAAGGCCGATCAGATCCAGTCGTCGCTCGAGTCGGCCGCGCCCTCGTCCAACGTCGAGGATCTGGAGGCCATCGAGACCCCCGAGACCATCCTGCTGGCCACCGTCTCCGGTGAGCAGTCGCGCGACCGCACCGACCGTGCCGTTGTCACCCCCTGGCTGAAGTTCCTGTGGGAGACCTACCGTACCGTCCTCGAGATTCTCAAGAACAATGCCCGCCTCGAGGTCATGTATCAGACCACCGCCCTGCAGGCCTTCCAGTTCTGCTTGAAGTACACTCGCAAGACCGAGTTCCGCCGCCTGTGCGAGCTGCTCCGCAACCACGTCCAGAATGCCGCCAAGTACTCCGCCCAGATGCACGCCATCAACCTCAGCGACCCGGATACCCTCCAGCGCCACCTCGACACCCGCTTCCAGCAGCTGAACGTCGCCGTCGAGCTGGAACTCTGGCAGGAGGCCTTCCGCAGCGTCGAGGACATCCACACCCTCCTCAGCCTCAGCAAGCGGCCCGCCAAGAACGTCATGATGGCCAACTACTACGAGAAGCTGGCCCGCATCTTCCTCGTCAGCGAGAACTACCTGTTCCACGCCGCCGCCTGGAACCGCTACTACAACCTCCTGCGCCAGTCCGCCGCCGCCATCGCCACCGGCCAGAGCACCAAGAAGGAGAACCCCTCCGTCTCCGAGGCCGACATGACCAAGGCCGCCTCCTTCGTCCTGCTCGCCGCCCTCTCCATCCCCGTCATCAGCACCTCCCGCTCCCGCGGCGTCCTGGTCGATGTCGACGAGGTTCGCAAGAACAAGAACACCCGCCTGACCAACCTGCTGGGCATGGCCCAACCCCCGACCCGTGCCGTCCTGTTCCGCGACGCCCTCAACAAGGGCCTGCTCAAGCGCGCCCGCCCGGAGATCCGCGAGCTGTACAACATCCTCGAGGTCGACTTCCACCCTCTCTCCATCTGCAAGAAGATCACCCCCATCCTCAAGCAGATCGGCGCCGACCCGGAGATGGAGAAGTACGTCCTGCCCCTGCAGCAGGTCATCCTCACCCGTCTCTTCCAGCAGCTGTCCCAGGTCTACGAGTCGGTCGAGCTCAAGTTCGTCTACGAGCTAGCCCAGTTCCCCGATCCCTTCCAGATCACCCCGGCCATGATCGAGAAGTTCATCATGAACGGCTGCAAGAAGGGCGACCTGGCCATCCGCGTCAACCACACCGCCGGCGTGCTGACCTTTGACGCCGACGTCTTCTCCTCCGCCAAGGCGCTCCACCCGGGCAGTGCCGCCGGCTCCGCCGAGAGCGAGATCGGCTCCGTCCAGCGTCTGCAGAACACCCCCGCCGAGATCGCGCGCCTGCAGCTGACCCGTCTGGCCAAGACCCTGCACATCACCTGCCTGTACGTCGACCCCTCGTACCACGAGGCTCGCGTCCAGGCCAAGCAGACCGCCCAGGCCCGCGCCCAGGCCGGGGCCGCCCAGGAACACGAGGAGACCCTGGCGCGCCGCGAGGCCATCGACAAGAAGAAGGAAGCCGCCACCGACGCCCTGCAAAAGAAGCAGCGCGAGGAGGAGACCCGCAAGCGCATCCGCACCCAGCAGCTGCAGGAGGCCGAGAAGCAGCGCCTGCTGGACGAGCAGCGCGAGCGGGAGAAGAAGCGCATCAAGGATGAACAGGACCGCATCCGCCAACAGGAGCTGAAGAAGCAGCTGGAGGAGCTCAAGAGCGGCGTCAAGGGGATCGACATCAGCGAGATCGACCTGGAGGATCTGGACGCCAACCGGCTGCGCGCCATCAAGCTGGCCCAGCTGGAGAAGGAGAAGAACGAGCTGAACGACCGGATCCGCACGACCGCCAAGCGGATCGACCACCTGGAGCGTGCCTTCCGCCGCGAGGAACTCAAGCACATCCCCGCCGACTACGAGGCCCAGAAGAAGCGCGACATGGAGCTGTACGAGGAGAGCAAGGCCGAGACGCTCAAGGAGGCCGAGGACAAGCACAAGGACGCCGTCGCCCTCAAGCACCGCCTCAGCCGCCTGGTGCCCCACTTCAACAGCTTCCGCAAGGAACTCTCCGAGAAGCGCCACGAGGAGTTCGAGAAGCGCCGCAAGGCCGCTGAGCGGGACTTTGAGGCCAAGAAGAAGCAGCGCGTCAAGGAGGTCGAGGAGCGCAGACGCCGCGAAAAGGCCGAGCGCGAGGCAGAGGAGAAGCGCCGTCTCGAGGAAGAGGAGCGTGCTCGTCGCGACGAGGAAGAACGCACCGCCCGTGACGAGGAACGCCGTCGCCAGATGGCCGAAGAGAAGGCCAAGCGTGAAGAAGAGAGAAAGTACGTCTCATTATCATATCCATACACACATCCCTTTGTAGTCCTCTTTTGCTAATTGATCGATAGGAAACTGGATGAACTCGCCCAGAAGCAGAAACAGCGCGAGGAAGAAGCCGAAGCCCGCCGTGCTGCCCGCAAGATCGGCGGCGAGCCCCCCCTGCGCCCCGAACCCTCGGCGCCCTCCACCGAACGTACTGCTCCCCGTCTCAACCTTGCTCCCCGCACAGGAGGCGCCGGTACCAGCTGGAGAGAGCGCCAGGCCGCCAAGGAGGCTGCTGGCACCAGTGGCACCCCCGAAGCTGCTGCCCCAGCATCCCGCGAGGAATCCACTCCTGCCCCTGCTGCTGCTGCTGCTGCTGCTGCTGCCCCTGTTGCTGCTGCCCCTGTTGCTGCTGCTCCTGCTTCTGCTGCTGCTCCTGCTCCTGCTCCTGCTCGCAAGACCGGCGGCTACGTGCCTCCTCACCTGCGTGCGGGTGCTGGTGGTGCTGCCGGCAGTGCCGGTGCTGCCCCAGAGCGCTACGTGCCCCGTGCTGCTCGCGAGCCTCCCTCTCGCGCCCCGGCGCCTGCAGCAGACAAGGCCGACGAGCCCAAGCCCGCTGCCCAGAAGTGGGTGCCTCGTTTCAGACAGCAGTAAAAAGTTCTCCGTCGGTAGTGTGCTCGGGGGAACTGCTTGCAAGAAAGAAACAAAAAACAACAACAAGCAGCAAGTCCAAACCGTTTTCTCGGATCTACACTTTATACGAGGTTCCTTTTCTTCTTCTTCCTCTTCTTCTTCTTCTTCTTCTCTACTTTCCTTTTCTGTCTTGCTTTTCCTTAGGGTTTCCATCTCTGTCTCAATCATGATCCCTTTGATGACCGTTTCCCTCTACGCATAGTCAATATCAAAATTCTCCTGGTTTACTTGGATGTAGATCTTCTTGTTTGTTTCACTTGGGCGTATACTGTATCAGTGGTGATAACACTCGAATACAAACATTCAGATACCAATTCAATTCTGTCTTTTGTAGTACCTCCTAGTCTGATTGACTGTTATCCAGTTCTAGACATAAGTAATGTTATCTGATTCTTTCTAAAGTCTATATATTGGGTATATAGAGTAAAGCTAAGATGTAAGACCGACAAAATAAGAGAAGCCATAGAATTGACTAGGTGAGGATATTTCCATAAGATATACGCCGGCCTGCTTAAGAGAATAGGGAAAGGAAAAGGAAAAGGAAAAGAAATCATCAAGATCGATTGAATTTGATCAAGCGGCAGCAACGCCCGCCGCGCCAAACAGCTTTTCTCTCCACTCGCCGCACACGGCTTCGAAGCCGTTGACGACGTCGCCGCACAGACGGCCCGCCTCGCGCTCCCGCAGCCGGCGATCCCAGTCCCCGCGCTCGATCCAGCGGGTGCCTTCCTCGCGGCCCTCTTCCTCGCGGCGCAGCTCGGCGACGAGCTCCCGCGCAGACCGGAGCCGGCGCGAGGCCGTGGAGGTGAGCTGTCGCGATTCGTAGAGCGTATCGCTCAACCCACGCAGGGAATGGGTAAGGTCGGCGGTCTGCGAGACTAGGGTCTGGAACGAGACAAGTGGGTTCAAGGCCGCGGCTTGCGAGGGCGTTCCCGGCCGTGACGACGAGTGGTGTTGGGGCCCGGGAAATGGGTACGGGAGGCTGGGGAGCAGACCTTCGTCGATCAACGGCACGAGAGTGTCGATGGCATCTTCCGACAGCAAAGGGAAGGGGGAGAAAAGGAGGGGATGCGTCAATGTCTGCAGGGTTCGTGTTTGATGGGTCAGATGAGAGGTGATGGATGTATGTGCCGTGATGAGTCTTGAAAGTTAGCTTGTTGTACACACACATGGAGAGAGAGAGAGAGAGGGAACCCACCTCATTGCACTGTTTTCGATCCCACTCTGTGCTCCAAGATCCCGAAGCGCTTCCACCGCTCGTTTGATAACGTGGTCGCTCTCACTGCCATTGTTCTCCGTGCCTCGACGGACCAGACTCTCCACCTCGGCCATCTGGCTCTCTAGACTCGGCGAGAAGTCTGTCGTCTCGTCAAAATCCGAATCGTTACCGTAATCCGACCCGTCGTACTGAGACTCGGGTCGTCGGTGTCGGGAATGCTGGTGCTGGTGATGATTGCGAGGCCGCTGCTTCGGCAACTGTAAGGATGCTCGCTCAGGCGAAAGAGGTCCCGGCGGCGTCTGCAGATCACCTCCAGACTTCATATATACGTCTTCCCCATCACTCCGGCCAACACTCTGAGCGTCGGTCTGGTCGTTCTCCAGCCCCGACACATACTCATCACCATCCTCATCCTCCCACGCATCGGCCAGCTCGTCTGCAAGATTCCCCAGGCCTCCGATGTCAGCCGTCGACGAGAAGTCGCCCGAGGTTCTGTTGTCGAACCCGTTCATCATCGCGCCAGCATTGTGTTGGCGGGGGGTGTTCGGAGAGGGCGGGGCGGACAACCGAGGCGAGCGAGGCGACCGCGGCGACTGCGGGGGGCTATACCCAAACCCATTCATGCTCTGGCTGCTGGGCGAGACGGGGGAGAAGTCAATGCTAGAAGCCGAGAGGGTGTGGCGGTGAGTGTGCCTCGCAGGGGAGGTCGGTAGAGGTAAAGTCGGCATGGTGAGGCAGCTGCTTGGAAGGTACAATCAAATCGTTCTGCGAGAAATTCTTCTGCCTTGCCCCTTTTTTTCTTCTCTCTCTCTCCTTCGGGTGTATGATCCGGTGTGATTCGGTTCGTGAATCGGCTCGCCAGCAAGTTGCCTGTCCAGGTGGAGAGACACGAAACGAATGTGTTGGTCACGCCAGGGGAAGAAGAGACGAGGGAGCGGGTTTGTTTCTTCAACAGACGGCTCCCGGGCGCATCTCCAGGATGCGAGAGGCTTGGGAGAAGGAGCGAAACGGAAATGCGGTGCAGCCTCAAGAAATGAATGACGGGAGAAAGCCGGTGAAGGAGGTCGGGTTTGGATTTTGATGCCAACGCTGTCACCGTCCAGGAGAGAGAGCCCGATTCCCGTGATTTAATCGCTAAGGCCCGATCCGGAGCACCAAAAAAACTCCCCCACAACAGTTCGGCTGCTGAAGAAGCGTTGATATCTCATAGTTATCGATAAAGAACAGACTGTAGCCTGTCAGAGAATAATTTCACTTTCAATTCCTCGGTTGCCCGCATTCCTGGGATACCCACCTCTTATCACCACCGCCACCATCAGCAGCAGCAGCAGCAAAGATGAGCTACATCCGGCGAATGACGCCGACAGATCTGCTGTCGTTGAATCTAACCAACCTAGACCCGTTGACGGAGAACTACGATCTAGGTTTCTACCTCAATTATCTCATGCGATGGCCGTCTCTCTTCAGCGCCGTCCAAGACCGCAGTGAGGGGATCGTGGGTTACAGTATGGATGCCCCCCCCCCGGTGCTCCTTCATAACAATGCTAATACCCAAGGATGCTGCTAGTTATGGGAAAGCTGGAGGAACAGCATCCCTCGATGAGGAGTTCGGAACACTACACGCCCTGGCACGGTCATATCACGGTGCTCACCGTTGCGCCTGCCTCGCGCCGGCTCGGCCACGCCCGCCGTCTCACAGAGCGGTTGGAGCGCGGCTCGGACATTAACGATGCTTGGTTCGTTGATTTGTACGTCCGGGCAGGGAATAAGGTGGCCGTAGGGATGTACAAGGGCATGGGGTCAGTTTTCTTTTCGACGTTTTTGCTTATATTGCTTTACATACAGGCGTGTCTTGCTAACGGTGTCGCCAGATACTCTGTCTTCCGGCGCGTGGTGAACTACTACAGTGACGATCCATCGGGGCTCTCAGAAACAGGCGAGGATGCCTTTGACATGCGCAAACCGTGCAGTCGCGACAAGAGATTACAACACGTCCGAGAAAATGGTGAGGATTTTCTGGTCAACCCGGAGGACGTCTCATAGCGTTTATTCAAAGAAAGAGAGAGAGAGGGGGGGGGGGGAGAAATGCAGCCATGATCAAAAGAACGTTTGATGTGTATATTTTATTATAATATCAAGAACATATGCCAAAATACTACCCCATGCTATATAACACCGTAACAACCAGATTGATGCAACCCATGCAGACCTATTAGTTAAGTATATATGATCCAATGACTCGGTTAGGCACGCACGCGTAACTTCAGTCCAGTGCGCGAGAGTCTCAAGCAGACAAAACATAAACCAGCCACAGCCAGACAGCAGGCAGTGAAAAGCTGCACCCCAAGATATGAACCGGTACTGCTCAGAATCGCACCCCCAATTGGCGTTCCGATCAGCAGCGCGACGGAGACGATGGAGAAGAGCATGCCCAGTCGAGTTCCGAGATCGCGAAGGTCTCTGGTGAGGGAAATCATCACCACGGGGGGGAGAGACACGAAGCCGCCGGAAAAGAATCCGTACAGGATGGAAAGAATGATGATGCCCGGTACATCATGGACAGCAATCCAGATGAACGCGAGAACACAAGTCATGATCGCAGCCGGCGTGAGCATGTTAATGGGACCGGTATGGTCGGCGATGAAGTTGGGCGTGATTCGCCCAAAGGTAGAAGCCGCATTGAGCATGGATAGCAGGTAGAAGCCCAGGTTTTCCCCCACGATCCCCGTGTCGATTGCATATGCCTGGATGTAGACCAGAAAATTGTAGAACCCCAGGAATCCCATAAACATGGCGAAACAGCACAGTACATATGGAAGCTCCTTGAACGCCGAAAGTTGAACCAGTTTGCGTCTTTCCTGGGGCATAAAGCGCATCTCTAGCAAGGATAGAGAAACGAAACATGTTGCCAAGGAAAAGAATCCGAGAGTCCGAACCGCCCACGGGAAACCGATTGTCTTCTGCAGCTGATTGAACAGGATAGGATAGATGACACCGCCAATACTGCTACCTGTCGCAGCAATGCCATTGGCAAGACCTCTTCTCTTCTTGAAATATTGCGGAAGAACGGCAACAGCGGGCACAAAGAGACATCCAGCAGCTAAGCCGATGCAGACTCCCTGTGCAAGGATCAGCTGCCAGAATTGGGTGGACAGACTGGTCATCATCAAGCCTAGAGGGAGCATAATGGTGCCAAAGGAAAGGAGGGCGCGGAGATAACCAGCATCAAACAAAGGCCCCGTCACAACTCCAAACAGCATCAGCAGGAATGACTGTAGAGAGCCGATCCAAGCGATCGATGACGCCGAAACATCGTGGAGCAGTTCTTGCTCGTAATATGTCTGAAAGGCCCCCCAAGTGTTGATTATACCCCTGCAAGAAAGAATCAATACCACTCGTTACTTGAGGAGTAAAAGATTTGAGACGAACCACGAATTGAAGAATACGAAGAAAGCGCCAACCACTTGCGACCATGCCTTGATGCCTACGTCGAAAGTTGGTTCCGCATCTTTCTCCTCCGTTACGGGGATAGGGTCCGAGACAGAGAAGCCCTTCTTCTCGGAACCATGGCCATCGCCGTGGACTGGAGGGCTCTCAATCACCCTCTCCTCCACATTCATATCAAGGCCCATCTTCCAACCGTCTCGAGAGAAGCTTTTAGATCGGCGCCCTTTCGCAACTCTGAAGAGACTCCACCGGAACGGGTATCTTCTCGGATTTTGACGGCAGCAGAAAGGAGGAAATAATTGATCCTTCGACAAGGCTAACAGGGCACGATTTGAATTTATAAGCACCACCTTTACCCGGTATTCTGGGGTGTATCTGGCGGGGCAGCTGAAAACAATTCCCTGGAGTATCCTAGTTGAAGATTTCTTTTTTTTTTTGAAATCGGAGATCCAGGCCCACATGGCTTCGTTCTAGGCCAGCATATGGTTATGTACCTCTATCTGTAAGACGAGCCATAAATATAGAACCTTTGAAAGCCGAATCCCCGGCTATACGGTGTTTATCTTCGCAGCATTTCCAGAGCCAACGTCAGACCAAAGTGGTGACTTGCGGGTATTGTCCTGGCATCGTGCGGAGTACTGTCTGACGACTATTGGTGACCACAATCAATGACCATGTATTAGTATTGGGACTGTCATCCTACCCAGCCAATGCGAAGGAGGCAGAAAGACATCGACGCGTGCCGGTTATCCAGCGACATGGATCCAGAATCCTCAGAACAGTGCCGAACTAAAATGCCGCCCAGGCAAAGATGTCAGCAGCTGCCGCAGGAATAGGACGGGATATACTTTGTAGGTCCTGAAGTCCGTCACTGGTTGTTGCTTCTTGTCTTGATGGACGATGAGCGTTGTTCTTGGGAGACAGTGATGTCTTGCTTCCCCGGAGAGGTATCGACGATCAGGTCTCACGTGTTGGCGGCCCATGTGGCTGCAATTGCAAGGGAGGCAGCTTTAAATTCAGTTAATAATAACTAACTGCTGACGGAATTAAGAAAGCAGGGAACTGGTAGAATTCTTTTATTTTATATCTGTATTGAACTGTATCTAATTGATTTCTTTTTGTCTTGGTATTTTGCTGTTATTGTCATACTCCCAACACCAAACGCTATGCATGAAAGACAAAAGTAAATAATAAGAGACCAAGTACATCGAAGGGAGAAGTGAAAAACAAAAAAGGACAGGCCAGCTAGGAAGAGGTATTCTACAGCAGTTCTTCGCAGGTCCAGTCTTCATACCTGTTGTGCAGAAATCCGGGTCAGGTATATAATTATCCAGAACTATCACCCAGCAAAAAGGGTCGAGGGTCTCTTACCATCCATCGGGCAGATAACGTCTCACAATGAGCGGGATCTTCTTCTGGTTCAACTCCTTCATCGCGATCTGCAACGGGTCGGTCTCACCCTCCAGATCCACCAGCACTGGCGCGTTCATGCTGCACCGCACGTGTTAGTCCGGGGTCTCTCTCTTCGTTCGCATATCCCAGCTGTAGGTGCACAAACCTGATCTGCAAGGCGCGGGTGCCGAGAACGCGCGCTCTCTCGTACTTGGTCATGTAGGGAGTCGTCGTCCGTTGGTCGTTCGGCACCTTCTTCTCCCGCGACAGCTCCATGGCCTTTCCGCCCTGGTACCCTGCATTGGGATCGCCAGAGACAACCACCCGTTCGCCGTTCACCTGAGGATGGTACGAGTCCTCGCCAAAGTCACCGGCTCCTCCCTCATTATTCTCGAGGTCTTCCGGGTTGAGGAAGTCTTCGGGCTCGTTCTCGTCAAACTCCGCCGGGTTCTCATAGTCATACCTAGCGCGAGAATCCAGTCAGAAACCTCGATACCTGATTAAACCAAGGCCGCAAGTCCACCGGCAGTAGTTGCGGTGTGAAAAGCTGGTCGCTTACTCGTCATTGTCGTGGTCACCGTAGTCCGACATCTTGACAGCAGATAAAGCTACCGAAAATGACCCAATGGGAACAAAAGAAGCTGGCTAGTCAACAGAGATTCCACAACGAACACCGTGAAGGGGCGATGGCCTCGAAGCAAACGTTGCGACAACAGCTCGAAAACACCCGCGAGCAAAAAGTTCGGACTTCGCACAACGCGCTAGCCTGTTTCGGAAATCCTCTCACCGCCAAAATATTCGCTCCGGCAGAATATTTCCTTGGGATTCGCAGCAGCAAGTCTTTTTGCTGCAGCATCTGTTTTTCTGTCTTGTTTCATTGATTGTTTATTGTCTCTTTGTGAGGGTTTGCTTATGGTTTGATTGATCATGCCCCTGAAACGCAAGGCTGCCTCTGGGGGCTTGCCTGCACCGAAAAGGTCTCAGCAACGGGCACCGGACGACTCTGGTAAGAAGAAGAAGAAGAAGAAGAAGAAGAAGAAGAAGAAGAAGAAGAAAAAGCAGTACTTGATGGGTTTCCAGTCAATTTGATGCTGACTATTTTGTTTCTATAGACCCTATCTATGCGGAACCTATGTCTGATGCGGAGTACACATCCTCTGATGAGTATAGTGCGGCCAGTGATTCTCTACATGAGACCCCGGCGACTCCGATCTCAGTGTCAAGATATCCATCAGAGCTGAAGACTCACCGTTGCCCGTTTGAGGGGTGTACAAAGGCATTCAACCGACCTGCCAGGCTTCAGGAGCATCTGCGGTCACACAACAATGAGCGGATTTTCGAATGTACTTTTGACGACTGTACGAAAACCTTCCTTCGGCAATCTCATCTCAACCACCATGTCAAAAGCGCCCACACCGGGGTTCGCGATTATGTATGTGACCGGCCAGGTTGTGGGAAAAGCTTTGTGACAGGATCCCGACTACGACGACACCTGGCAGCCCACGACGGAAGAGACAAGTATCGCTGCACCGAGTACCCTCCCTGCGACGAAACGTTCCGCAAGCACTCTACCCTGCAAAAACATATCATGTCCGTCCATCTCAAGCAGAAGCCATTTCAATGCACACACCCCGACCCGACCACCGGGCAACAATGCTCGAATCGGTTCGACACGGCCGGTCATCTCCGCGTCCACGAAGCAAGAGTGCACACGGAGAAGCGGTTCAGCTGCACGGAATGTTCCTCTCAACAATCACCCACGGGGAGCGCTGCATCGGCTGTCACCTTCCCTACCTACGCACTGTTACAAGCTCATGTCAAGGCCGTCCATCCGCCACAGTGCCCGAACTGCTCTCTTGTTTGCTCTAGTTCGCGCGAACTACGGCGGCATCTGGAGGTCACCCACGGCGATGTCAGCCTGGAAGACCGCAAGATCTTCCCGTGTACGTATCCCGGATGCGAACGAAGTTTCACCAAGAAGGGCAACCTGACCGTGCACATGCGGACCGTGCACGAGGGGGAGAAACGGTTTGTCTGCGGCGAGACGGACCTCAGCTCATCCAAAAAGGTCGATGCCTGGGCCGGGCCTGGCTGCGGGAAACGGTATGGCAGCAAGCTTGCACTAGAAGAACACATCCGCACCGCACACCTGGGTTACCAGAATTCCAAAGCCGAGCGACGGCAGAAGAGCCAGAGCCTAGGCCAAACCCAAAAGGCAACCAGCGGCGGCGCGGGTAACGGAGGCCCGTCCACGCTGGCCGTTCTTACGGGCGAAGGCTACGCGGAAGAAACAGGCCGGCACATTGCCTGCTTCGTGGAGTCGTGCATCCACCGGTTCCACCGCGACTACGATCTGTGGGTGCATATGAGCAGCAAGCACGGATACGCCGAGGAGACGATCCGCGATCTGTTCATGCACCGCGCCTTATTCGCAGCCACGGACGACAGCCAGCACAACCACGACGAGGTTCAAAGTCCCGACCACAACTTCCTCGGCATCTACGGGCTTGAATTCGACACGGAGCCGTTCCAGCCCACGCCCACGAATGACGACTCACCGGGCCCGTCGGGACCATCGGGACCATACGCCGAGGAGACAGGCATGGGCATGGGCATGAGTATGGACATGCATTTTGATTCTTCCTTTGTTGACGACGCGCATACGATACCCGGGGACGAGATGCTTATCGATCCTGTCTTGGCTTATAATTTGCAATAAACTACTAGATACTAGATGACTTATGAATTCGAATGAACACTATCAAATCTTTCACTTCATCATTCTAGGCATAGTCCATAGAAGAAATGCCAGCTACGACTGATAAGACTGGCTCTTGAGCTGGTATGCGCCTCCACTACTCATCCCCGGCAATGTCCCTATCGAAGTCCGGATCACGCCGGAGACCATTGTAGACAGGTCTATCGAGGAGGTTCTAGACATAGTCAGCATGAACGACGAAATGAGAGAAATCATCAAGGAATTACCCCAGTTACCCAAGATGGTGGTAGACGGGGTTGGTCATCAGAACTGATAGACTCGACAATAGAACCGGCGGGAGTAGCGGAGCGAGGGTCCAAGTCGGAGTCGGTAGATTCAGACGGTTCATAGCCAGAGTCTGTTTCGAATCCCGACCCAGAGTGGTCCCAAGAGTGAATCGAGTGAATCGAGTTAATTGAGCCAATGGTATTTTCGATACTAGTCTCGGCGAAGGAACGGCTTGCAGTTTCGTCGGGGGTATAAAAGACGTCCGAGGCAGTATCGGACTCACTCTTAGAGTCATGCTGGTCGGCGTCAGCGTCAGCGTCAGCATCGGCATCGGCATCGGCATCAGTAATATGCATTTTCGTATTCATCAAACTGGTCGTTTCAAGAAGATGCCCCGCCAGTTTACGCTGAGAGTCGAGCACATCCTCGACCAGATACGGCTGATTCGCCATGAGCTCTGCATCGCGTGCATCCTTGTCTTCCGGACGGATGCGCTGGTCCGAGGCACGCAGCTGGCTCAGGCCGTACAGGAGGGCGAGACGGTGGGTGCTCGGGGGATGGCTTAGGGTCTTTGTGATGGAGAAGACGCGAGCCACGTCGCAGAAGAGATGGACGGCGGGGTGTCCACGCGCGAGAGCCAGCCAGACGGCAACCTTGTAGATCAAGTTTATGGCGGAGGAGTTTTCACAGGAACTCTCCTCTGGGAAATATTCCTCTGGGAAATATTCCTCTGGGAAACCCTCTGGGAAACCTTCCGGGACTGGAGGGGGATCGAGAGACTTGGGAGGCAGCCAGCCACGGGCGATGGCCTTGTCTGGATCCAACGTGCGGACGCGGTCTTTGTGGTATCGTTCGAGATAGTTGAGCGGGTTTTGCTTGTGGGGGAAGTCGTCCCATGTCATGGTATCTTTGCAACTTTGCAACCGTTGCTCCTTCATGCTGAGGTGCATTGTGTTGCAGGTCTCTCCGATAATGGGGTTCAACATTGCAGGCGTTCCGATCCAGGTATGGCCTTGTGCGTTAATACGTTTTCTTTTTGAAAGAGAGATGAAGAGAAGGATACCTTTTTTGATGTGCATGACTTCGCTCTCGACAGACTCTTTGAAAGTCTCCAAGACGGTGATCGAGGCCTCGAGCTGCTTGGACATCTCCTCCGTGTAGTGGCGCCGGTTGTGAATCCAAAAGACGCGTTTATCTTCGTCGGAGGAGGCATCGATCCGTAGGGGCGCCAACAGCTTCCTGAGCACCTCCAACTGCGAGCCCAGATAGCTTTTTTCCACCATGGCGCCCTCGGCCACACAGACTACATCCCTGGGCGCGAGGTTGTTCCTCCAGGGGTGCCGGTCTTGCAGCCAGGCGACCATCGACTGCTGTGTCTGCTCCATCTCGTCCCAGGGCTGGAGGAGGATGAGCAGCAGGTGGGCGCAGGAACCGGGGAACAGGCCATCATCTTTCAAGCGAGGCAGCCAGGAGGCCACGAGGTCGGCAAACGTGGAGGCGTTGACGCGCCAGTCCCGGGAGACCTGGACGATCTGGGCACGCAGGGCTTGAATCTCGTCTTCGTACACCTTGGGCGAGTCGTCGCTTGAGTCGGAGCTCGAGGTGGCACCGGAGGCGATCGAGTATTTCTCTATCTCGGCGTCCCAGTCCGAACGGGGGCTACCGTTGACGGGGGACATCAGCGTGAGATCCATCAATAAGGGAAGCAATCTCTCTAGCTGTGACAGCATGGAGATATACAGGATGAAAGAAAGACATGAGAAAGAAGATGAAGAGGTTAAGACTTACAAGTGAGAGCAAATGAGTTGAATTGTGCAGTGGTTGCTTGTGCCGATGAAGATATCCCAAGAAAGATGGTGTAGTGCTACTTAACCCTTCACATATCTATCTACCTATGCTCTAGCTATATAATGGATAGCAGACAGTAGACAGTAGATAGTAAATAGTAAATAGTTAGATAAATAAATCTAAACCTATGTAGAGATAATATTATAGTAACAAGATTATTTTATATATTATTTACCTAGATATCTAACTATAGTATAATATTTACATCTACTCTCCTTAGATATAGCCACCTACCTGCAATACTATCCACAACATACTAGTTACTTCTATCTATACCACCATGCCTCCAATATTTCCTCCATGTCTGTTCCTTAGCGTACTCGTAAATAACTACTAACTACCTATTGACTCTTCTACATATAGACTATCTTATCACTACCTGGTTCGCTCCGCAAGTGGGCCGACGATCAGTGATCATCAGGGCTGATGACGATCGAGCGCTAAACTTGCACCGTTGAATACAGCAACCCTGGGTACACTTGTTTTCCTGTCATACCTTATTTTATCTCCCTGACTGACCATGAGACCGGATCTCTGCACCAGAGAGATAAAAAAAAAGAGCTGGAGAGAGTGTGGATGCTGTACGACCTGGCTGCCTCCCTGCTGTCGGTTCCAAGGTTGTCTTAGACGTATGCCTGTACCGTACGGTAAGAAACGGGGGACACAGCCAAGGCGCTCAGGGTCCTACCAGGTAGTACTACTAACCTAGTTACCTAGTAAGTACCTAGTAATAGACTAAATGGTACCTAGGTAATGACTCTGTATTTTAGGCAACCATATAGTACCTAATATACTAGGTAGGTACTTATTGGAATATACTACCTTTATATAATCCATACTACCTCATATAAACTATGGATAATTACCTGTATTATACGTACCATCTGTTCTAAAAAAAGACGTGCTAGGCCTCCCTCCCCTGATTGGCCTGTAGCCTCGGATCAGATGCTTTGTTGGTGGTTCTGCATCCGCCGATGACGCCATTCGCTCCGTCTCTGCCAATCAAGGTCCAGGCCGCGTGTTTACCTTAGGTGGTATTAAATACAGATAGTTACAGGTACCTTACTAAATACAGATACTAGTTACTAGGGTACCTAGGTACCTAGTAACTACTAGAGCTACTACTGTTACTACCTGGTAACTACCTAGTTAACTAACTAGTACTAAGGTAGGTACTAGGTACCTTTAGTACTAAGTAAGTTATATGGTAATACTGTAACCAAAGGTACCCTAGGTAGGTACTAGGTAGTTCTATTGAGGTTCCAGGTTATTGATGTTATTAACTAGGGATACTCCTAGATGGAGCAGATCTGTACATTTATATTATAGACTTGCAGACTATACAGAGTACAGAGTACAGACTCCAGACTGCAGAGTCCTCTCACTAACGTCATTCTGCATGGAAAGCCCTGCCTGAAAGAAATTATTCCCAGACATATGCCTTCCTCTTGGCATATTTGTTCAATTGTCTCGACCCCCCGGCGGAGGGCGGATGCTCTAGAAAAAAAGAACTATTCCTATTATTCAACTGACCCAGTCATCCTCCCTTTTCCTCCTCCTCCTCCTCCTCCCCCCTCCCTCTCTCTGTTTTCTCGCTCTCCCTCCCCCTCCTCTCCTGAATTTCTCGCTCCCTCTCCCTCTCTCTTTCGCTCTTACATATTGTCGACTCTCGTTTAATTGACTCCTGGATCCCACTTTTCTCTCGTTGTGCCCTTTTTTTCTTCCTTGTTTCAACTCCCTCTCTCCCCCGGCCTAGTCCGGCCCCAGTCGAATCCTCCACCGTCAGTCTAGATCAGGGTAGAACGTCATGGTTCGCTCGCGTGGTAAGTGGACACGCCAAAAGCCGTTGCGGAATGTTATCGAGATCGAACGAGAATATCTGACGATTGGGGATTGACCTGGGCGTCTTGCCCTGGTCTTCCTTTCCCCCCCCCTTACGTTGCAGTCTTCTCCTTCATTTCGGCTTTGGGCGGCTCTTCCCGCGATTCGGATACGGGCCAGCAACACCACAACCACCACCGCCGCCGTCGTCGTCCGCTCTCCAAGTCGGTCTCCCACATTCAGAATGTCGAGAAAACGTCATCTGCCACGTTGCTGTCGTCGTCACCGTCACCGGCACTCTTTGTCTCGGAAACCAGTGGTGGAATACCCTCTCCCGCGTCCGACCGACAGAGCTCGCGGGCCTCCGTTGCTCTGACCTACAGCCCGCCCCTGGTGGACGTGGCCGACGATACCCTGCCGGAACTCTCGCCGATCTTCACGTTTCTCAACAGTCATAGCAACAAGCGTTATCAGGAGGGTTATTTTCTGAAGCTCAACGATCTGGATATCCGTAAGCCGCCCGCGGAACTGAACCGAACCGAGCTGAGCTGAGCTGACACTGGAGCACACAGATGGCCGCCCATGCCCGGATCGCCAGTGGCTGGAATGCTATGCCCAACTGGTTGGAACGGTCCTTTCCCTCTGGGACTCGGCTGCGCTGGACGCTGCCGAGAACGAAGGCGAAGTTCCCTCGACCTTTATCAATCTGGCGGACGCCTCGATCAAGATGGTGCGTTGCATTTGGTTGAAAAACAAGAGACAAAAAAAAGAAAAAAAAAAAGAAAAAGATGCTAAGAAGATAGATTGAAACCCTCCCGACGCAAAGCGAAAAAATGCAACCGTTGAAAAATATCCTCAGCATCTCGTCCGCGGGCAAGAACCGATATCTCCTTCATTTTCCTTCCCTCCACGCCCTGACGCAGTGGACCGCCGCCATCCGGCTCGCCATGTTCGAGCACGTCTCGCTCTACGAAGCCTACACCGGCTCTATCATCGCCGGCAAGGGCAAAATGCTCAACAACATCCGCACCATCATGGAACGTTGCAAGTTCAAGCACGAGGACTGGGCCCGCGTGCGCTTCGGAGCCGGAACGCCCTGGCGGCGATGTTGGTTCGTCATCCATCCCCCCAACGAGAAGGAGATGCAGAAGCTGCAGAAGGCTTCCAAGAAGAAATCTGCCTATACCCGCGCCCCGCACACTCTCACCGGCACCATCGAGTTCTACGAGTCTAAGAAGACCAAGAAGGCCCAGCCCATCGCCACCATCACCCACGTCTACTCCGCCTATGCCATCTATCCGCAATCGAAACCCCTCATCGATCAGTCCACCCTGGTCAAGCTGGAAGGCCACATCAGCGTCCCCTCGAGGCCCCAATCCACCGAGGGCTTTGTCTTCATCATGCCCGAAGTCCATCCCGCCGTGTCCGGCTTGGAGATGATGCTGCGTTTCCTCTTCCCCACCTTCGACACCTTTGGCCTCTACGGACGCCCAACCCGCCTGGTCGCCGACACAACTCACCAAAAGAGCATCATGTTCGCCTTCCCCAAACGCCGCCGCTATGGCTACCTGGATACCCTGGATGTGGCCGGTCTGATCCACACCGCCGGAAGTGAGAATTGGAGTGAGGCCGAATGGAGACGACAGCTCAAGGAGGCCACTGCCCGCCGCATGGCCGCCGGCGGTGGTGGTGGTCTTGGTGGTGGTGGTGGTGGTGGTGGCAGCAGTGAGTCGAGTAGCGTTTCTGGCCGTAGGAACCGCCACCGTGCCAGTCTTCCACCGCATAGCGAGATCGTCCGTTCTCGGCTCCTGCGACACGCAACCTCCCGTGATGACCAGTCTGACTCGAATCAATCCGGGAGTGGCAGTCTGTTGGACGGACCCCGCCCCGCAGGCCCCCCGCCACCCTCTCATAATCGGGGTCAGTCCGATACCACGGGTCTCAAGTCCAGCAAAAAGAGGTCTTCTCAAGATTTCCTCATCCAAGAGAACTCGCCGCATTCCTCGGTGCAGGAACTCAACCGGCCGGGAGCCGCGCTCTACGTCGTCAATGACACCGAGGAAGGCAGCGGCTCAGACAGCGAGAGAGATCAAGCGGAAGCCACCCAGGCCGATGTGCTCGAGGGTGACATGCGGTTGAACTCACCCTTGGCACCCGTCGCCCTTCCACCCGCGTTTGCCCACGCTCCGGGGGCCGTGCCACCCAGCCGTCCACAGCCATCCCCAGAGCTTCAAAAGGCCAAGAATCGCATGTCAAACGGCACTCTCTCCCAGCTGGTTGCCGCTGCAGCCGCTGGCAACCGCCACGATGACAGCGAGGGGGATATCGGGGAGAGAGGTATGGGCCAGATGATGAGTACTACTTCCACCCCACCGGCTGTCCCGGAGCATCGGTATGAGAATACGGTGGCCAGCAGCACGGAGAGAGTCGCCTTCATTCCACCCGCCGATCACAGTCGCCTTCGGTTGGATATTCCCATCAGCGTGAAGCGCAAGCCGGTTCCCCAGCCGTCAGCCCCCCCCATACAGGAGACTCCCATCTCGGCGAAGGAACCTAGCTTCGAAGACCTGCGGCATACCATGGACGAAGATGCTCTGAGCCGAGTGGGTCTGCGGCAACTGGCCTCCATCTCGCCGGACAAGGACATCCATCCGGACGAGGACAGCACGTACGATGACGCATCCACGGCTTCGCCCGATTACGCCAGCACCCACGAGTCGGTGTATAGCAAGCGTTCCGCCACCTCCGTGCCTAAGCCGCGGATGGGGGTGATGAAGACGGTGGGAGAGCAGCCCAAGAGCGATCTCGTCATCGGCGATGGCCGTTACGCTGTCGAACAGGACAAGCTCGAGTCCACCTTCGATCTCCCTGCGGTGGACTTTGGTCCTACGCTGGCTCTCCTGCCCACGACACGCCGGCCTAGCACGTCGGATACGCTCAAAGCGTTTGAGACGCACAAGAGAAATCCCGATTTGACAGCAGCGGAGGACTCGAACGAAAAGCGATACTCCCTAGGCGCGGGTGACCATAACCATACCCGGTCGGGATCTCGAGGAGAAGAGTTCCGTCGCAGCATGCTGTGGCAGCCGGGCATGGCGGTTGCGCGACCGGAGAGCCCGGGATCCGGCTTGACCCCGGAACAGTTCGTCCAGCAACGTGCCAGAGCCATGACGCCGCCGCTGTACGTACCACACCACAATCACAATCGATCGTCATCGATGTCCCCCCCGCCTCCGCAGCAGCAACCACAACTACAACTACAACAACGCCCTGTGACATCACATCTGGGTGGTGTTATGGGGCAAGGTGCTGCCTCGCCGCCGCTGTCGCCGCCGTCGCGTCCTCAATCCCGCGGGGCCAGCAGTCTGATGAACTACAACGACATCTCGTCGCACCTGTCCGCCCGTGAACAGGAACATGTGGCTCGCGTGACAGGATCTTCGTTCTTCAACCTCTCCGCTGACAACAGCCGGCCCGAGGCCCCCGTGAACCCACGGGGTCTCGTGAGCGTCATCGATGCCCGGGAACGCGAGAAGCGAAGCTTCAAGGAGGGCCTTGCAGCGCCCAATCCTATGGTACAGCAGGCCATTGCTCAACGGCAACATATGTTCCACCAGCAACAACAACAGCAGCAGCAGCAGCAGCAGCATTACGCTCTTTCATCCCAACCCGCCACGCCCTCCATGTATGGCGGCGCACCCCCCATCCCCCCCCAACATGGCCACCAACAGAGCCTCTACAGTATCCCCACCGCAAGCCACACCTGGGACGCTCTCAGCCAGATGCCGCGCGCAGATGAACCCCGCCGTCAGTCGTGGTACGGGCCCTTTGTCCCTACCTCGCAGGGGACTCCTAGCCCGCCGGCCTACCAGGGGCACCCCCAACAACAACAGCAGCAACAGCAGTATAACCAGCATATCAACTATTTCAGCAACTACCCAAATGCATGAATACGTGCCTCCTTTCTCTACCATCTAAGCATTGAATTCTAGATGCACCTCTTTTCATTTCATGTGACTTCTTTTCCTTACGCACCCTGCACATAGCATCTCATACAAGACTTCGCTCGTCACTCATTAGAGCGCACCTTGCTAACCTTGCTACCTTTGCCACTTTCCTGTCCTCCTTCCTGTTGGTTTTGTTTCATCATGCCGCCTTCTCTCGAGTCCAACAATGCATCGCACGGGGAGTTGAGGGGGTGGGTGGCGTCTCGGTCTCGATCTGGGAAGATTCTTCTCTTCATTTGCTCTCTCTCTCTCTCTCACACACACACACATTTCTTATTTAACTCATTGTACATAATTTTACTACATAGTTGGATGACTTCCAGGCAAAACCATTTATGGGTGGTTGAGACCTGACTATGGAGTAGACCTTTCACTTCAACAATAAACAAACAGCTGTTTTACTACCTTTTTTTATCTTACTCTCTCTCTCTCTCTCTCTCTCTCTCTCTACTGAGCCTATTCAAATGCATGTATTTCAACAGTTAGATCACAGATATGAAAAAGAAGAAGAAAAAAATCCCAAACGCCAGCTGGTAATCGCTATACTTTCTCTTTTTTTTCCCCCCGGATAGGTAGGTTTCTTATATTCCCCGTCCAACCTATGGCACAACCTTAGTTGGAATGCAACTTCTTCACCCGCAAGGCACCCTCGTACAGGCCCCGATCCAGCGCCGCCGCAACGGTCAAAGTGCCGCCGATGATGGCGCAGACGCCGGTGAGGAAGCCCGTGAACTTCTTGGGCCGGGCCTCGCGATTGATCACCTTCATCGGCGAAATGTCATAGTTGAAGAAAACGCCGGGGATCCCGCCCGCAGCGTGCAGGCGCTCTTGGTGACCCTCGGCCGCGTCGTTTCCACCTCCCAGGGAGCGTTTGTGCGACGTCACAGAGTACTGGTGCGTTTCAATACTGCCCTGCGTGCCAGACACGAGGCCTTGGGAGCCCAGCGGGATCTGATCATGGGCACTGTGGAGGGCCGTCGAGAGCAGCGGATCCCATCCGAGAGGGAGGTACGAGGTCGACACCACCTTGACAAAGTACATGTAGTTGAACGCCGGCTCGTCGGTTGCCTGCTCCGTGCCATCCAGCGGGTTTGTGTGGTGGTGATCAGTCCACTGCCAGCGGTCTGACAGCTCGTCCGGTAGCTGAGGCCCGAAGCGCAGCTGGTGAATCTGGTGAGTCATGGTGTGTCTATCCGCAGGTGCCAGGTTGGGGTCAGAGTAGGTCTCGAGGTCGTGGGCGTGGATGTTGCCGCTGGTGAAACTGCGGCCTGGGGCAATGTGGAAGTTGCCCACCACCTTGTTGACCCGGACGACACCCTCCAGACGGCATCCCTCCTTGCGCTGCGCTTCAATCCTCTCCCCATATCCTTCGCGCTCGCACTGTTCGACATTCTCGCCCTTTCCAAAGGCCCATGACTTCTGCGCATAGGCTTCCCGAACCTCGTCACATGTGTTACAACACCCCTGTTTGATTGCATTGGAAGGTGCTGAGGCTCCATAGCAGCCGCCGCAATAGTCGGGGTCAAGATGGTTCGCGCTTGCATCCGGAGAGTGGCTGATCACAAAATCATCAGGTTTTCGCAAGTCCATGAAAAAGAAAGAAACAAAAAACAAGAAGAACAGTAGAAGCTTACAGATCCAAGGCCGAGATGTCCAGAACCTGGCCACCTTGGCTCAGGCGCACCTTGTTGATACCATGCACGACGCCGGTTTGCTGTTCACCAGACACGTCCATCACGTCAAGGGTCAACATCTCGCAGGGGAGCCGCGGGAAGGTGATGTTCATATGAATCTCCATTCTCTCGCCTGTGTGACCAGTACCATGAGCCATTGCCTCTTCAAACCGACAGTCGTAACCATTCCTGAACAAACTAACCTCTCGACTTATCAACCACTAGCTCCGGGAGCACCACAACCCGTCTGTAGTCCACCCATTCTCCCCACACCAGCCACAGGATCACCAGCAACGAGCCGATGGTGATGATCCCCCCCGAGGTGGTACGGATGCGAGCATCCTCGACTGTCTTAGCAAAGGCATCGAGCCTAGTAAACCGCGATTTGGCAGGCATTGTGATGGATCATTGACGAGCTCGTTCTTCGGCCTGTTCGTTCAACCGCCCGCGATAGACGTCTAGACCACCGTTAGTCACTGTGCTACACGGATCCATACACCCTCGAGTAAACCACCACTTACCTGAGCGGGCGTCAGCACAGCAAGATCGCAGCCGTGCTCCCAAGTCAATTGCTGGTCGCAGAGAGAGAAGACCAGAGGTACCTGAAGATCGTACCTTCCTCGGACGGTCCGGCGGAGAGTGTGTCGCTCCTGCCTGTATTGGACAATACGTGAAAGGACAGAGTACAGCTTCTGATTGGCTGCGATACTCGCCCCACAGCCCTTCTTTACCTGCATGTCCACGTGACCTACCGCAGAGCCCCCCCCGGTCACGTGGTGCGGCGTCTGCCTGAATGATGGACGTCAACGTTTGCTCTTTGTGGGCGACGACGGTTTCCTTTCAACAAACAACCGGGCTGTAGGCCAGTCAGTCTGTTTCTGGCTCGCGTGTGAAAGACGCTTTTACTCCTCGAACGCGCTTTGACTCGACTGCCTGCGGCTTTCTGGTCTCCAGTGCATGCCGGACAGGGATCGCAAAAATTGAGGCGCTCGGCGCTGAATCCCTCCTACTCGATTTCGACTCCGTTGCCTTCCCACACGCTCGTTCCGCTATTCTGTCATTATCTCACGCTTTCGAAATGCCGGCGATGAGCAATATGAGGCCCTCCAGGGGGACCCGGGGCCGGTCGAACGCGCCTGATCGGGGAGGAATTCGCAAACGAGGCGCCGCAACCCGCACTGATCGAGATGGAGATCTGGACATGGATGGAGGAGGAGGCGCTGGGCGCGGTGGCAAGCGGGCACGAGGTGATTCGGGACGAAGCAGAGGCGACTCTGGACGGCCGCCGGCGCGTGACCGTACGGCGAATGCCATCCAGAGGGCGATCGCCAGCAGCTCCAAGGCGCAGGCCAACATCCGACAGGCGAAAGGAGGGGGCGTTTCGGGGGGGTTACGGCAGGCCAGAGTGCGTGGCTGGCGACAAAGCAAGGCGGCCTCAAACCCCGACGGAGGCGTCGAAAGCCTGATTGCCTTTCTCGAAAAGAAACTCTCCCCACCGGACTCGAAAGCTGGCGCGCGCGCAAGGATAACCAAGGTATGTGCAACACCACGATTGGCGGTCACCGACAATGGACACTCGCAGCGTCGTCTCTTCCGGGTGTGTTCGATGATGCTATAGAAAACGACGACGGTCGACGAAACTTCTCCTCATCGGCTCTTCGCGCGTTCATTTCCCTAAGGGTGACCTGCGGGCTGTCAAGGTCTCTCTTTACGCCTTGCTAACGTTCCTTCATTAGTCGCGTGTCGATGGAGACGCTCTCATAGTTTCTATTCGCCCGGAGTTCATGGACCGGATGCTCAACCTGGATGGATTTAGCTTTGCAGGCGCCTCGCTGTCCATCGAAGCGTACGGCGACTCAACCAACGGCGATGCCCCATCCACGGCCGATACTAAAGCAAAGATGACGGCGATTTTGGGCAAGCGGTACTATCAGCAGACAAAATTGTTGGATCTATCGAAGCTCGGCAGCGACCCGGATCTGCTGTCGATGGGCGTCTTTAACAGCACCTCGACCGAATCCAAATTTTTCCCAGCATTGATGAAAGTCTGGGAGATGACTTGGGATAGCGCAGCCAAGCGGCGTGAAGCGGTGGAGAGTGTCAGCCTCGCAGACAATCAGCTGGCCAATATCTCCGTTGTTACGACTCTCGCCCAGACGTTCCCCGACTTGAAGAACCTCGACCTTTCGAATAACAACTTTAAAGACTCCCAGGCCCTCTTGGCATGGCGGTGGAAGTTCCGTAGCCTGGAATTCCTTGACCTGACCGGTTCGCCGTTCTCTGCCGATCCCACGTTCAAAGACACCATGCTCAAATGGTACCCACGGTTACGGGTGCTGAACAACATCGAGGTGCGCACTGCCGAAGAACTGGCTGCGCTGAAGAAAACGCCGATCCCTGTCCAGGGACCCTACTTCCAGGACGAATCGCAGATCGCCGAGAACTTTGTTAAGGCCTTTTTCGTCGGGTACGACAACGATCGCAACGATCTCCTTAATGGTATTTACGATGCGCACTCCGTCTTCTCTCTCAACGTCAACCCATCGGCCCCCCGTGCGCACCAGACGGGTACAGCGGGATGGGACCAGTACATCAAGAAAAGTCGCAACCTGCTCAAAATTAGTCACCTCCCTGCTCGCATGTCTCGGGTGTTTACCGGTGTGCAGAAGATCCGCGAAGTCTGGGACACGTTGCCCAAAACCCAGCACCCAGACGTCCTGGCCCATCCGGAACAGTGGCTAATCGAGTGCCATCCGATCCCAGGGCTTCCTGACCCTTCCGGCCAGAGCGGAACAGGTGTCGGCGGTCTCCTGATCATGATTCACGGCAAATTCGACGAAATCCACTCCAACAACCAGGTGGAAACCCGCAGCTTTGACAGGACCTTCATTCTGGGACCCGGTGGCGGTGTGGGTGGCTTACGGGTCCTCAGCGATGTCTTGAGCCTGCGTGCATATGGCGGTAATGAGGCGTGGACTCTGGAAACAGCTGCCATTCCCCCACCGGCAGCAGCAGCTCCTCTAGCCCAGCAACAGCCCCCGGCCCCTGAAGGCTATGGCCACCCAGCTCCTGGAAAGACCGACACCCAGGTCCAGCAGGAACAGTTGGTTCTCCAGATGAGTGCGAAGACGAACATGACTCTGCAATACTCGGAGATGGCTTTGTCCAGTAACGGCTGGAACGTAGAGTCTGCGCTCAAAAACTTCGAGGAACTCAAGGTATGTTCCGACAGACTGCTCTTAAGGATTCTTTGTGTACATTGCTGACTCTTTCCTCCCCTCAGGCCCAAGGTCAACTCCCTCCAGATGCCTTCCTCCCGGTTGTCCAGTAAAAGCCATTAACACATACTTTTGCTGCGAGACCATCTTCAACCACATAAAAAAAAAAACACCCAACGGACCGTCTGCTGCTCTTGTCATTTTTTTTTTCTTTCTTTTTTTTTGACTTCTACGATCTGAAAATATCTGAATTGCATGGCTTGGGCGAATGGCTACATCTCTTCGTTTATTCCACCTACGGTCGGACTAAATTGGTCGCTCTATATCTTCTTTTCTTGTATTCTATTCTACATGTCGGCGTTATAACCCCAGAAGCACGAATCTCATGTCAGTACCTATAGATCCAACGATGAGCGATCTGATCGAGACTCATAAACTCGCTGTAGTGGTGGTTGGACAGCAACTGCCAATGCTGTTTCAATAGCCAGTCTGAAAGCATTCCCTGAGAATCACCCGGTTACTTGATAGAAAGAGAGAGAAATATATATATATATATATATATATATAACTACATCATCACTTCAACTCTTATTGTGGTTGCTGCCATTATCTCCATCTCCGCCTGAGGCACTCGAAAGCCACGCTAAGTTGCTCCGCCCATCCCAACCCCGTCCAGCGTAAGTAAACCTCAGTCACCTCTCGCTCTGCCAACTGCAAACCCATTCAATCCCCGAGTCGGATGCCCCCGGTCGAATGACAGCATGTTTCTTGCGCGTCTCGGCTGAGGAGCTAATGGAATGTCCACCACTACGACCACTCCCGGCCACGTGCCACCGAACGGGGGAGGGCCGGACAGCAACCCCCTGGACGCTGGTAAGGGAACCAGGAGCCCACCGTCTGGCGAGCAGGCCATCGGAGAGCAAGGAGGAAGGACGAGCTGGCTGACGTGTGAAAAAAACTAGTGGACTACGACCCGATCGAGCACCTCAACGCCATCTTCTCCCACCCGTCTGCCCTGTCGTCGATCTCGCCGGTCTCGCACGCGCTCCGTGCCTACGAGGAGGAACTGGACAATGAGATCGGATCTCTCGTGGAGGAGCAAGTCACCTCGAATGCGGAGAGCGTGGAGCGCATCCAGGCCGCCAAGGCCGACTTGAGCGAGCTGTTCAAGAAGATCGACGAGGTGCGCGAGCACGCGGTGCGGACGGAACACTCGATCACGGAGATGACGGCCGACATCAAACAGCTGGACAATGCAAAGAAAAACCTGACGCTCTCCATGACCGCTCTGAAGCGGCTCCAGATGTTGACGACCGCGTACGAGCAGCTTCGCGCGCTCGGCAAAACGCGCCAGTACCGCGACTGCGCCCAACTGCTTCAGGCCGTCATCCAGCTCATGGCCAACTTCAAGTCGTACCGGTCCATCGACCAGATCGCCGCCCTCGGCCGAAACGTCGCCGACATCCAGCGCGAGCTTCTGGAGCAGGTCTGCGAGGATTTTGAGCTAGCCTTTGCCAAGGGCGAGGTCGCTCTGAGGAGACCTGTCCTAGCCGAGGGCTGTCTGGTCATGGACGCCCTGGGCGACCATGCTCGGTCGCGGCTGGTGACCTGGTATTGCAACTCGGAACTCCGCGAGTACCGACAGATCTTCCGGGGCAACGAGGAGGCGGGTTCTCTGGACAATATCTCGAGGCGGTATTCGTGGTTTCGACGGATCTTGAAAACGTACGACGAAGAGTACGCGGGGATTTTCCCCGCATCTTGGAGAGTGAACGAGATCTTGGCCAACGTGTTTTGTGAAGGCACCCGGGAAGACTTCAAGGGGATTCTTGCCCGGTCAGTGCGGAGTGGGCAGACGCTTGACGTCAACCTATTGCTGGCATGTTTGCAGGAAACGCTGGATTTCGAGCACTCGCTCGAAAGGCGCTTTACCAGCCCATCGCGCCCATCGACGGACACGTTCACCTCTGGTGAGGCCCCTGTCTTCAGCCAGGCCATCTCCGAGGCCTTTGAACCGTATCTGAGCGTATGGGTGGAGGCACAGGACAAGCAGCTCGCTGGTTTGATCCCCCGGTATCAACAGCAGCCACTGAAACCCCCGGATGAGGAGTTCAATTCCCACATCGTGATTTCGTCGTCCACCGAACTCTTCACCTTCTATCGGCACTCGTTGCAACAGTGTGCCAAGCTCTCCACGGGAGGCAGTCTCGGAGAGCTAGCAACCGTTTTTGCCAAATACCTCGATCAGTACGCACAGCAGGTTCTACTGTACTACATTAGCGAGCGGCCCACGGGACATACCCCATCGAAAGTGCCATCGCTGGAAGACCTTATCCTGGTGCTCAACACGTCAGATTACTGCTACACGACCTGCAGCCAGTTGGAGGAAAAGATCAAGGAGAGAATTGATGAGGGGCTCAAACAGACCGTCGATCTGCAAAGTCAAGCGGATTCTTTCATGGGGATTGCATCTGCGGCCGTCCGCGGCCTTGTTCGCATAATGGAAGGTGAATTAGAGCCCTGCTGGCGAGAGATGCGGAACACGCCCTGGAACAGGCTTGAGGCCGTCAGCGATCAAAGCACCTATGTAGCGGAACTACTCTCCAAGACAAAGACCAAGGCCCAGGAAATCCTGGAACTCCTTCACAAGCAGCAATACGCCCGCGCGTTTGTGGACAATCTTGTCGAGATGATAGCCAATATGTTTATCAGCAACATATTCAGCTGCAGGCCTGTCTCAGAGACAGGCGCAGAACAGGTAGCACCTCGACCACCTTGTAAAAAAAATAAAAATAAAAATAATGCTCCTGGCTGACTGTTATCGCAGATGCTTCTGGACTCCTACACCCTCAAGTCCGGACTATCATCTCTACTACCTGCCCCGGCTCCCACCGGGTTCGTCAAGCGGGTCAACTCTAGCTTTGCTAAGATCGAAACACTGCTCAAGACACTTCAAGTACGGCCGTCTCCCCCCGAGGCTCTGGTGCAGGCGTATTTAGTCCACATCGCGGACCGCAACAACGCCAACTTCCGCAAGGTTCTCGATCTCAAGGGCATCCGCAGCCGACAAGAGCAGAACCAACTCATCGAGCTGTTTCAGGTACACCGTGCGTCAGAACGCTACGCTCCGAATCTGCAGCAGAGCAACCCCATTCTCGCTGCGCTGCAGCAACCCGTGGCGACCACCGCCGCCTCAAGCAGCGTCTCGCAGGGACTAGGTGGCCTCAGTAACGCCGCGGCCTCCATCAGCACGTCGAACTTGCCCACGCGATTCGACCCATCCATTCTCGGCTCGGCCATCATCTCTGCAGCCAAGGACGGCGTCGACCGCTTTGGCAACCCCAGTCTCGGCAGCGCCCTGTCCGCCACCACCGCCATCCCTTCACCTGGTAATGTAGGATCGATGGCTCCCTCGCCCGGTGCGTCGTCGCCAGCTCTGTCGCCGCTTGCCCCGGGCCCCACGATCAACACCACCGCGACAGGCGAGACTAGTGCCGCGGCCAACTTGAACGAGAATCTCAAGAACATCGGCAAGTTCTTCCGCCGTGATCTAGGCTTTGGAGGGCGGTTCGGACGGGGCGATGATGGAGTCGATCAGAAGTGAATACTGTAGTATATATAGTGCTGTAGTTACGTTTATCCACTTTATTCCTTAAATTCAGCACCTTTATATGTATACTACTATTCAATGATTCATTTGCTTCTACTTCGAACCCAGGTAAACAGTACGGAGTACTCAGTTCTCAGTAGATGTTTAGTGTATGCTGACCATAGATGTGTGGTCAAGTATTCTCTTCTCAATCAGCAGTATGGTAAAGAGAAAAGGCACTACTGGAGTCCACCAATCTTCTATCCTAGCTGTCCTAGACTATTTGATCAAATTGATCATCATCTGAATCTACAATTCGTTGACCATGGTATACAGGTAGCATAGAAAATATGGATTAGCTAGCTAGTTTCCGGTATCCTTGCTAAATAAACCGTCTTCCACCAGGTACCATCTACCCTGACACAGATATCCACCAAGCTACATACTGGATTGTACTACTCGAGAACTTGCTACAGAGCTGGAAGACCTGTCAAGACAGTTAGCGTCTGACTCAGACCCATCAATGTGTGAAAATAATAAAACATTGCAGGATAGCGTCATTAAAAAATTAGAGTGTTGTTGTCGCTTATTGATCCTCAGCGCAGAAGCTCAGGGTTAAAAATGTATAATCATTCGCCATGTAAAGGAAAGAGGGTAGATGGAAAGTATTCATGAAGGGAAAGAAAAAAACTCACCGAAGTGTTTTTGGTAGACCATGGAATCTACGTCCATATGTCTAAGTGAAGGGAAATAAAAGACAGGCTTCCCAGGATGTAAAATGTTCATTTTCATTACCATTTCCCATACTCATGAAACCAAGAAATGGGTCGTCGAAAAAGCTATTGAACGGCTGGGAGCGTTTAGTCGAAGAGACCGAAGCCCATGTCATCGTCGGACTCCTCGGCCTCCTCTTCCTTCTCCTCGGCGGCAGGAGCATCAGAAGTGGCGGCAGCGGCGGCAGCAGCAGGAGCAGCAGAGGCGTAGGCATCGGGGTTAGCGATGCGGTCCTTGAGCTCCTCAATCTCAGGCCAGCTGTACTCGGTCTCCACGGCAACAGCCAGGACGTTCTTGTAGGAGTTGACAAGAGAGTGCATGACGGAAGGCAGGGTGGGGATGCCAGTGGCCAGGGAGATGGCGGTGATGGTGGTGACCGCGGTGTTGAAGGCCTTGAGAAGCTGAGACTCCTCAATGTCCAGAATCTCGGAGCCGAAGGTCTGACCATCCTGGTAGATCTGAGCAATGCTCATACCGTAGGTGAAGGGAGAGATGTTCAGCATGTTCAGGAGGGTGGCCTCGGAGGCACCGACCTTGCCGCCAGCCTCGACGAGCTTCAGGTCGGTGGTAATTTCGATGGTACCACGAGCAATCTTGGTGGGGACACCAAGAGCCTGGAAGAAAGAGGTCTTACCGGGTTCCATACCGGTGTTACCAGCAGGGACCCAGACATCAAGAGGGGCGACGGCACCGGCACGGGCGGGGGCCGCAACACGGTTCGAGAGAATCTTGGTGCGGGTTTCCTTCAGGTCGGCGTTGGTGAAGATGAAACCAACGTTGCCTGCAATTGCCCTCAATCAGTAATCATTTGAAAAGGATTCATCTTAGATCTCTCAACTCACCCTTGACGAAGGGAAGGAGACGCTCGTACTCCGGGTTGTCGTTGATGAAACCCTTGAGGGCACGGCGAACCTGGAATTTTTTTCGTCAATCAACTGCAATTGAAGGCTCTAGGAATCGCGCCCACATACCATGGTGTTCTTGCCCATAAGGACAACACCCTCACCACGGAGACTCAGACGAATCTCGTGCATCTGCTGGGAGCTGACATTGTCAACGCCGACGATGAAAACCGAGCTGTACTCCTGGAGAAGGTTCTTAAGCTTCTCGAAGTAAGCGGCCTTGGTAGCGGACTTGCCCCCCATGTCTCCTTTTGAGGCTGAAGATAGGATGTTTAAGGGCAAGTGGTAATGTTAGTTTGTTGTTGGTGGTGTCAAATTGACGTGGAGTTCAGGAAAGGAAATTTCGTGAAGCAAATTTTGGGGATTTTCATTTCGTGTGGCTTCGCTAGCGAGTGGTCACGTGATAACCCACCGGGTGGACTCTGGAGGCCCTCCCAACGAGACGCCGAAGACGCGGTATGGCAGACTGCCAGAAGACGGTCGCAGCACGAAAACCAGGTATTTTTCGCATTGGTTTGCGATTCAAGGTGTGTTTTGGTGCTATCAAGAGGAATATATCGAGTGTAGGCCCTGATCTTTGACCAGGTACTTCGCCATGAGTGCCTCGTTCCAACAGCCGTTTCAAGGCATCCTCTATGTGGACAAGAAGACTGCCGGCTCTCGGCGCTTGATGGTGGCCTCTGCGGGCTCCAAGCTCTACTCTTATGATGCTGCGAGCGGCCAGCGACTGGCTGTCTGGCCTGCGGACTCTGAGTTGAGGAACGAGGAGAGCCAGCCGGCTTCCGATCCCCAAGGCCCACCGGAGAAGAAGAGGAAGATCTCTGAGGCGAAGGATGTTGATGCCGTCTCAGTCACTTGGTCTAACATTCCTTTGCTGATTTCTTCGTCTAATGGGGAGTATGTCATTGCGCTTACTGCTGAAGACAAGTGCATCAGAGTGTTCAGAGTAGAGGACGACGGTACGCTGCGGCATCTGAGCGCCAGGTAAGGGCTATCTTTCCGTGGACTGTCGAGTTAACATGAACGGATTCTCATGCGTGTCTAGGTCTATGCCAAAGCGACCGTGTGCCATTGCTTTAACCAGTGATGATAGCACAGTGCTCTGCGGCGACAAGTTTGGGGACGTCTACGCTTTGCCCCTCCTTCCAGGCGAGAATGAGACCATTGGATTCTCGAGACATCTCGAGAAGAAAGCTTATCAGCCTGCAGCGACGAATCTCACTGTGCATACGAGGCGCAATCTGGAAGCTCTAGAGCAGCAGATGCGGCTGACTAATGTGCAAGGTTCCAAAGAGAATTCCGGTGCTACTTTTGAGCATGCGATTGTACTCGGCCATGTATCGATGCTCACAGACTTGGCCCTTGTCTCTCTATCCTCCCCTGCACGTAGCTATATCTTGACGGCAGATCGAGACGAGCATATTCGCGTGTCCCGTGGGCCTCCCCAAGCGTATGTGATTGAGAACTATTGCCTGGGCCATACTTCGTTCATCAGCAAGCTTTGCGTTCTCCCATGGGCGTCTGAGATTCTGGTCTCCGGAGGCGGAGACAGTTACTTACTTGTGTGGAAGTGGGCCGAAGGCAAGCTGCTGCAAAAGGTCTCCCTTCCAGAGGAAATTACAGGACACTCAGAGGTGGCGGTGCGGGGGATCTGGTCAGCTTCTTTCAAGGCTTCCGCGGACGCTTCGGACAACGTGAATGCAGTCCTGGTGGCAATTGAAGGGTGAGTTCCATCAGTCAAAGCTCTCCTTCTAGGCAAAGACTAAATCACCTCTTTGATCAGGTCCTCGAAACTGCTGTGCTACGTTGTCGAGCCAGACAACACAATGCGGCATCAGGCTGATATCCAGCTGACTGGCAATGCACTCAGCCTCGCCACCGTCGAATCGCAGGGGACTATCATTGTCTCTGTGGACGGGATCCGAGAACCTGGATCGTTTCAAGACTGGAGAACCGATTCCACGTCGCCTCAGATTCTCCTTGAGTCATTCAAAGTTCAGACCACGCAAGGAAACCTTAGCTGGGAACCTCTGGCCACCCCAATGACTACGGCGGTCAACTCTACAGGCACCACAGTGCTTGCGGCACTTGAACCGAAGCAGCAGAAGGAACTGAACGACTCGTTATATTCCGTGGGGAATCTCCGAAAGAGATCTCACGCAGATGACGAATAAGTCAACAAAAGTTGTAGTTATAGTTATATCATACCAGTCAATAGAATAATGTCAAGGCGAAAATAGATCAATATACTGCCCAAAAAACCCCATTCTATAATATATATCAAATTAATTGCACAACACAAGCTCAGGTATTAATCATTGCTAAGGCGATTGCTGCATGCGTCGCCCACCGAATCGCCAACCTCAAACCTCCGAAGAACCCCTCCTCCGCAAAGTCCCCCCTCTCTTCAACATATGATCTCTATTTCCACCATGCAGGAACAATTTGAACCTTTGCAGAATGATCTGCTTCTTAGAGCTGCCAGGGGTACTTTGCATTCTACCTGACTGTACTATGATCTCGTAAAAGCTGATGTGTTTGTTCGCAGGCGAAAAAGTCGAGCGGCCGCCGATATGGGTGATGCGACAGGGTGAGCACCGGAGAAAGAAGACTACAATCCTTTTATTGCGATATGTTGATGATTGTATCTAACGATCCGTTTTTTTTTAATAGCTGGTCGTTACCTCCCGGAGTATCATGAAGCCAAGGGCAATCGCGATTTCTTCGAGTGCTGTCGGTCGCCAGAGATTGCGTCCACGCTGACGATCCAGCCCATCGACCGGTACGCCGGGCTCATCGACGCGGCGATCATCTTCTCGGACATTCTTGTCATCCCGCAGGCGATGGGAATGCAGGTGGAGATGGTGGACAAGAAGGGGCCTCACTTTCCGGCGCCGCTGTCGTCGCCGGACGACGGGCAGTACGAGAAGGTCATGCAGAAGCAGGTGGACGTCAAAGCGGAGCTGGACTACGTCTACAAGGCCATCACCCTGACGCGGTTCAAGCTGAAGGGCCGGGTCCCGCTGATCGGGTTTTGCGGTGCTCCGTGGACTCTGCTGTGCTACATGGTGGAAGGCGGCGGCAGCAAATTCTTCGTCCAGTCGAAGAAGTGGATCTACAAGTACCCGAAGGAGTCACAGGCATTACTGCAGAAGATCGCAGAGATCTGCGTCGAGTACCTTGCTCTGCAGGTCGCGGCGGGCGCGCAGCTCGTGCAGGTCTTCGACTCGTGGGCGGGAGAATTGTCTCCGCCCACCTTTGCCACCTTCTCGCTGCCGTATCTGCGTCATATCTCCGCCAACCTTCCCCGGAGGCTGAGGGAGATGGGCCTCGAGCCGGTGCCCATGACGGTCTTCGCCAAGGGGGCATGGCACGGTCTCGAAGAGCTCTGCAACTCGGGCTACAACGTTGTCGGCCTCGACTGGATGCACGATCCTGCGGAGGCTAGACGTATCGCCAACGGCAGGGTGACCATTCAAGGCAACGCGGACCCTGGGGTGCTGTATGGGGGCCGGGAGGCCATCACTGCTGCTGTGGAGTATATGGTCAAGGGATTCGATGGTGGAAAGCAAGGATGGATTGCCAATCTGGGACATGGTAAGCTTTTTCTCTGGCTTATCTACAACAAATGTGGAACTTGGTTAACTCGATAGGCGTGACACCGTTTGTGAATCCCGAGGAATTGAAATTCTACTTTGAAGAAATCCATCGCCTGGCCGGATCGTCGTGAAGGAGGATAGGTAGAGCCCTTGAGGATGATGGCGTCGGCTGAAAGAAAATTAAGTAAATACGGAGTGCTGGATAGAATCGAATCAACGTGCATGACGTCTAAGCCATCCGTCGTTTCTATAGAGATATATATACACCTACGCAACCCGCCGTTGATTAGACCGCAATGTCCTCGTTCCTGTGAGAAAGATTGAATCAGCGTTTAATCCGTTGCTACAAAACTTTAGATAGAGGGAAAGACAAGGACAAGACATACCACAGCTCAGGCTTCTCCTCGATGAACTTCTCCATGATCTGCTTGCACTCCTCGTTATCCAGGACGACCACCTCCTTCCCGCGGTTGAGAAGATACTCTTCCCCACCGAGAAAGTTCTTGTTCTCCCCAATAACCACCCGCTTCACCTTGTAGAGGATACAGGCGCCCGTGCACATGTCGCAGGGTGACAGGGTCGTATACATGGTGGCGCCCTCGTAGGCTGAGGCAGGGAGACGGCCGGAGTTCTCAAGAGCTGACATCTCGGCCTAAGAATTCATCGAATTAAACCACCATCGCAGACATGAAGAAGCCTAAAAGGCTGGCTAGTGCTTACATGCAATGTAGCGCTCCCCTTCTGCACGCGCATGTTATGGCCGCGTCCAAGGATTTCTCCATCCTTGGAGACTAGACAGGCCCCGATCGGCACCCCGCCCTCAGCCAGGCCCTTCTTTGCTTCCTCGACGGCGGCGATAAACCCAGGATCCTGTTCCATGGTGACTAAAGAAAGGGGACTAGATCCAGAAAGATTGGATTTTCAAAGATGGATATTTACTACCCGCAGTTCTTGATTGGCAGATGTTTTCTTATTGTTCCAGGCCTGGCGTAAGAGACTTCGTTATTAACTTACATTGCAGGGAGGTTCTTGCTTATCGATAAGATAAGTGATATCGACGTCTGCCTGAGGCAAAATTACACACCATGAGATTAGTATGAGATACAACAACATAGCAATTGTAGAACAGGAATCATTATTATATCCACTTTAATGAAGCTTTATAGTTATGAAACTCCTATTATGTCTTTTTCTTCTATAATCCAACAGTTTATGCTTTCATGGTGATGATATATAAAATACCAGTGTATTGTAAATACCTTGAAAGCCTTCGCTGTAATACCCGGAATCGCCAGTGGCGGAAACCCTGAGAAAGCGGTCGAAGGCCACAGAATTGCATCGAACAGGCTGTGGAAGCGGCGCTCGGGCCACAAGACTGCCTGGTGGAAGAACAGAGAATCACAGCCTCTCTACCATGTAGTAATCATTCTGAGGGGACAGCGATCTGTCTGCCTTATTCTGACCTCACATAAAGCTACAAATTATTCAGATCCAAAACTATATGGCCCTAAAAACCAGCAATTAACTCGCGGTTTACCTAACCCAAGCAAGGCCACTGTGCTCATCTTTTGCTCTATCACGCCCGAGTCGTATCATAACGTATCACTCCCTCGGTACCAGGTACAGTTTCGGTATCATTACGGGACAGTATTTTTTTAAACTCTCCCCTTTGATAAACTGTTTCAACCAGCGAGATTTGCTGTGATTCGAATCTTCTTCTCATCGAGTCCCGCCGTTAGTTGCTCCGAAAGAGGCTCTGGAAGTTGTCGCCTTTCTTCTAACATCGCTCCTCTATCTGTCTAGTCCTCACTGTCTACTCGTTTCTTCTGCTTCTTCTTCTGCTGCTGCCGGTCGCCTACCCCTCTCTCTCTCCTCTCCGCCATCCACCACGGACACGCCCGGCTGACCGATCCTTGCTCCCTTCCCTCTGCGCACTCTGCTCTGCGCTTCCGCCTGAACAACAACTTTCCCCCGGTCTTAGTGCCTGACGAATACCCTCACAATGGTCAAGGACAACAAGTTTTATGATATCCTCGGGGTTCGTGTTGATTTTGTTGTCTTTTGACTCTTATCTTTTTTTTTCTTGCCGACGACAATCAGGCTGATTCGGATCCGTAAAAAATAGGTTGCCCCGACAGCTAGCGAAGCTCAGCTGAAAACCGCCTACAAGAAGGGCGCTCTTAAATACCATCCCGGTAGGATATGCTATTCCCCCGCGCTATCTCGAAAATGGTAAAATATGATGAATCGACGACACTTGCTGACGTTCCGGGCCTGCTCCAGACAAGAACACAAACAACCCCGAGGCTGCCGAGAAGTTCAAGGAACTCTCCAAGGCGTATGAAGTCCTCTCCGACCCTCAGAAGCGTCAGGTATACGATCAATTTGGTGAGGAAGGTCTGGAGCACGGTGGTGGTGGCGGCGGCATGGCTGCCGAGGACCTCTTCGCCCAGTTCTTCGGCGGCGGCGGCGGTGCCTTTGGCGGAATGTTTGGCGGTGGTATGAGAGAACAGGGCCCGAAGAAGGCCCGCACCATCCACCACGTGCACAAGGTCAACCTGGAGGACATCTACCGTGGTAAGGTGTCGAAGCTGGCGCTGCAGAAGTCGGTCATCTGTGCGGGCTGTGACGGCCGCGGCGGCAAGGAGGGTGCCGTCAAGTCGTGTACCGGGTGCAACGGTACCGGTATGAAGACCATGATGCGCCAGATGGGACCCATGATCCAGCGTTTCCAAACCGTCTGCCCGGACTGCAACGGGGAAGGTGAAATCATCCGCGAGAAGGACCGCTGTAAGAAGTGCAATGGCAAGAAGACCGTTGTGGAGCGCAAGGTGCTCCATGTTCACGTTGACAAGGGCGTCAAGAACGGCCACAAAATCGAGTTCCGCGGTGAGGGTGACCAGATGCCTGGTGTCCTGCCCGGCGACGTCGTCTTCGAGATCGAACAGAAGCCCCACTCGCGCTTCCAGCGCAAGGACGATGACCTTTTTTATTCGGCCGAGATCGACCTGCTCACTGCCCTCGCCGGCGGTGTCATCAACATCGAGCATCTTGATGAAAGATGGCTGACGGTCACGATCGCTCCTGGCGAAGTCATCACTCCTGGTAAGTGCATCTTTTTTTCTTTCTCTTTTTTATTGTATCGCCTCATTCTAATGGGAATTCAGGTTCCATCAAGGTCATCAAGGGTCAGGGTATGCCGTCATTCCGCCACCATGACTTTGGCAACCTGTACATCCAGTTCGGCGTCAAGTTCCCTGAAAAGGACCAGTTGAAGAACCTCGAGCTGCTCGAGCAGGTCCTGCCTACCCGGACCCCGCAGCCGCAACCGCCCGCGGACTCGATGGTGGAGGACTTTGAAGTCGAGGACATCGATGCGAGCGAGCACTCGCAAGCTCGCGCCCACGGCGCCGCGATGGACGAAGACGATGAGGACGGCGTCCCCCCGGGTGCTGAGAGAGTGCAGTGCGCGTCTCAGTAAACGGGCCGAGGTTGATATGGGCAATGTACTGATGAAATTTCTCACTTACGATACCATGCGGGTCTCCGCCTAGAATCTCTCTCTCTCTCTCTCTCTCTCTTAATCTCCAAATTCTTTCAGCGTTCATTATGAACCCGGACGCTTCATGCATTCGATGTTTCAATTTCCCTGAGACTGTTGACTTTCTAGAATATCTCGACAAGCGAGATCTGCGAGTCTCATGGTATCAGACCGTTGCACAGCATTGCTATGGCAGGATGGATGGGGCTATCACAGGGGGGTTTTTTTTTCCCGTTCGGCATGAGGATGAGACTCTTTTCTTCTTTTCTTTCCTCCCCTGCTGTTCATTGTTTTCCTTTTTTTTTTATTATTTCTCGTCTGCATCGAGGCGCACTTTGTCCGTTGCTTGCTCGTTCTGATCTTGGGCGTTGTCACTGGTTAATCTTATAGCTATAGAGGATGGCTTCGACAATGACTTTTTTTCGCATTGTAGCTGTAGTCAGTCTGAATGATAAGTACTAGACCTTGGGTGATGACTAGGTAGTTATTTCCGAGGACCTTGGAGTCTGGCATCAAGGACCCTAGGTACCTGTTCTCGTTACAACCATGTACTTGGTAGGTACTTACCTACCTACCTGAATATGAGCTCATGAAACCTAGATAGTATTCTGTCCTATTGGTTTAAACCAACATGTAGCCATAACTACCTAGATACTCCTGTAGTTGTATTGCACAGGGAATATACAAGACAGCTAAAATAGCTCCTAGATATGAGTACCCTGTACTACATAACCATGTCAGATCAGCTAACTTGTACGGGTAGAATTCCTGCTCGGCAAGATACTCCATAGGTACCGTCCACACTACTAAGGTACCACCAGTTGTTAGTTAGTTAGTTAACTAACTAACTAACTAGGTAGTACTCCCGGCTTAGTCAGACAGTTACATAACATCGGCTCTGTGCACCCTGGTTAAGCGTAACCCAAGAGAACGGGCGGTGGGCGCACCCATGGATGGATCCTCGTTGCCAGCCGTGGTTAGATGGAAGCCGATCTGTCGGCTCTGATTGCTCATGCATGACGCGATTTAAAGGCTGATGGCGTTGGGGCTCCGTTCCTGCAGGGATTTAATATGGAGTAAGTACGGAGTACTGAGTACTGAGTACTACAAAGTACCATAGAATATTAATATACGAAGACTACCTATTACATAGGTAGGTAGTACTCTGAGTATAACTGTGTTACTGCATGAGTGTACAGATATTGAGGTAGTCAATCAATAAGGGTCAGTATCTACTGTGGAATCCACTACTGTAGAATCTAGTATTCTTCCATAGGTGGTACTCCATAGTTTTAAGGTCAGTGCACGTGGGATTCACCATCTGCAGCGGCGATGGCGTGTTCAGCCGGGGAAATGATTGGCTGCTGATGAATATCAGGAAATCAGGGTAGGAATGTAGAATGCTAGTAGTATCCTGTACCTTAATAAATAGAGTAGCATACTCTGTACTATTACACATAAGGTACTTACTCTTATTACTACCTATATTTACTATATATTCATTATTAGCTATACTCTGTATATACTGAATGCCTACTAGTACCTTAGGTACTCCCTATCTACTCCGTACTCTGTACTCAGTACTCCGTACTCAGTACTCTGTACCACCCAACCACTACCACTAATTAACTGGTCCAACTAAACTACAATTACTCCATACTCTGTACTCTATCGATTAATCAGTTATTATGTAGTAGTACTACAAACTATCAGTGGAACCAGTAAATATCAGATTCGTATCCACACGCGTCACCCGGTCGCTTCCAGACCCTCAACACTTACGCAGCTCCTCCACGACTGAAACTTACCTCTGCCAGAGGGTCAGGATTAACACGACGCTAAACGCCACTCCTCCTCCTCCTCCTCTTCTTCTTATTCTTCTTCGTCTTCTTCTTCTTCTTCTTGCTTTTTCTTGTGACTTTCTTCGCTTGCTTTAGCTCCCTCTTCGTTTGTTCATCGCCTCGAGCTAGCTCAAGCCCTGTCCGCGATTCGCACTCTTTGACAGAAATCACGACATCTCTCTGCCGTCTCCTCGTTGCTTTTTACTACATATTCTTGACTGCCGCTGCAACCCAACTTCGTATTCATTATTTACTTTTTTATCCCCTTCCCCTTCTTCTTCTTCTTCTGCTGCTGCTGCTGAGCATCGCGTGATGGGAAGTATCTGAGCGCTGTACATATAAATTTGGCTGCTTCTTCTTCTTCGTCGTCGTCATCGTCGTCCCAACCACAGCCGTTTCAAACAAACCATCCGACCGACGACAACGAAGCAATTATGCCGTCAACTTCGACAAAAGTTGGTCACGGCCTTGCCAAGGCCCTGGGCATCAAGCTCAACTACCGTGACCCCCTGGGTTACGAGAGCGACCCCGTTACTCGCGGCGAATCGACCCTGTCGGCGGGGACAATCGACACCTATTCTTATACAGAGGAAGAACCCTCGAGTGCCGAGTGGATTGTTGAGCAGCTGCCCTCCCTTCAGGATCTAGGACACTACTTTTACAGTCTGTTCCCTTTTCTGCAATGGATCGGCAGGTATAACCTTCAATGGTTCGTGGGAGACTTGGTAGCCGGTAAGACTCCTCCCCCCTCCCCCCCCCTGGGGTTTATCTCAAAGACTGATGGATGTATAAAGGTATCACTGTTGGAGCCGTCGTGGTCCCTCAGGGTATGGCGTACGCTGAGTTGGCTGAATTGCCTGTGGAATATGGTCTCTACTCCTCCTTCATGGGTGTCCTGATTTACTGGTTCTTCGCCACCTCCAAGGATATCACGATCGGCGTACGTTCTGTCTCCTCTCTTTCCAGGGTTTCATCGCTAATGCTGTTCCTTTCTAGCCTGTCGCCGTTCTGTCCATGCTCGTGGGTAATATCATCCTGTCCGTTCAGGCCAAGCATCCCGAGTTTACTGGCCCCGAGATCGCCCAGGCGCTTTCCATCGTCGCCGGCGGTATCGTCACCTTCCTCGGTCTCACCCGCCTGGGCTTCATTGTCGACTTCATCCCCCTGCCCGCCATCTGCGCCTACATGACGGGCTCCGCCATCAACATCGCTGCCGGCCAGGTCAAGACCCTGCTCGGTCAGACGGCCGGCTTCTCCACCCGCGCCGCCACCTACATGGTTATCATCAACACCCTCAAGTACTTGCCCACCTGCCAGCTCGACGCCGCTATGGGCTTGACCGCGCTGGCCATGCTCTACATCATCCGCTCCGCCTGCAACTATGGCGCCCGCAAGCAACCCCATCGCGCCAAGGTCTACTTCTTCATCTCTACCCTGCGCACCGTCTTTGTCATTCTCTTCTACACCATGATCTCCGCCGCCGTCAACCTCCATCGCAAGGACAACCCGGCCTTTAAGATCCTCGGCTCAGTCCCACGAGGTATGCACCGCCTCTCTCTCTCTCTCTCTCTCTCTCTCTCTCTATTTTTTTTTTCTATCTACTAATGTCTCTACTATCAGGCTTCACGCATGCTGGAGTGCCCGTGATGAGCTCTGACCTTGTCAAGTCGCTCGTCTCTCAGCTCCCGGCCACCATCATCGTCATGTTGATCGAGCACATCTCCATCTCCAAATCTTTTGGTCGTGTCAACAACTACACCATCAACCCCTCCCAGGAATTCGTCGCCATTGGTATCTCCAACCTACTGGGCCCTTTCCTGGGCGCCTATCCTGCCACAGGCTCCTTCTCGCGTACCGCCATCAAGTCCAAGGCTGGCGTGCGGTCCCCGCTGGCCGGCCTGATCACCGCCATCGTCGTCCTTCTCGCCATCTACGCCCTCACCGCCGTCTTCTTCTACATCCCCTCCGCCCCCCTGTCCGGTGTCATCATCCACGCCGTCGGTGACCTGATCACCTCCCCCAACACCGTCTACCAATTTTGGCGCGTCTCCCCACTGGACGTCATCATCTTCTTCATCGGCGTCATTGTCATCGTCTTCAGCACCATCGAGGACGGCATCTATTGCGTCATCTCCGTCTCCGCTGCTGTCATGCTGTTCCGCATCGCCAAGGCGCGTGGCCGCTTCCTTGGCCAGGTACGCATCCATTCCGTCGTCGGCGACCACGTCCTCAACCCCGACGGCAAGTATGGCTCGCTGGGCTCCACCAACACTGGTGCTGGTGCTGGTGCTGGTGCTGCTACTGCTGCTACTACCACTTCCAGCACCACCACCCCAGAGGAGTCTGAGCACAAGTCCCGCACCATCTTCCTCCCGCTCAACCGTATGGATGGCTCCAACCCAGAAATCGAGTTGGAGCAGCCGCACCCGGGTATCTTCATCTACCGGTTCTCCGAAGGCTTCAACTACCCGAATGCCAACCACTACACCGATTACTTGGTCGACACCATCTTCAAGCAGACCCGCCGGACCAACCCCAATTCCTTCGGTCGGCCCGGCGATCGCCCGTGGAACAACCCGGGCCCCCGCCGGGGCAAGGTCGAGGAGGATCGCTCGCACCTGCCCATCCTACGCGCCGTCATCCTGGATTTCGCGTCGGTGAACAATGTCGACACGACCGCCATCCAGAACCTGATTGACATCCGCAACCAGCTGGACCTGTACGCCTCGCCCGAGCGCGTGCAGTGGCATTTCGCGCACATCAACAACCGCTGGACCAAGCGGGCGCTCGCCGCCGCCGGGTTTGGCTACCCTACCCCGACGTCGGACGACGGCTTCCACCGCTGGAAGCCCATCTACAGTGTCGCCGAGATTGGCGGCAGCGCCTCGGCCGCCGCCCACGCGGAGATCGTCAACCACGAGCGCGAGCTCAAGCTGAAGCAAAACGTCGACCCGGAGGCCGGCCTCAAGATGCCCGAGCCCGAGACACACGGCGTCGAGCACGCGATGAGCAACAGCAGCGGCGGAAGCAGCAACGACGTCCCTGCCGACAAGCTCGACGGCGCCCTGACGCACAGCCGGCCCTACCGCGGCGGCCGCAAGGTCACCGTCCACGGAGTCAACCGGCCTTTCTTCCACATCGACCTGACCAGCGCGCTGCAGAGTGCCGTCGCCAACGCGGCGGAGCTGGCCGTCGATCCAGAGACGCAGAAATAAATAATCCTGCCGTCGGTCGGAAGTGATGAGTACATAACACGTTGGAGTAATAATGTGCTCCCTGGTTGGAGTAAGATGCCATTTTGAGTCATTTGAGATACCATATACCCTTATACCATTACACATAATCAATACTACAGTTTACATAATAATACAGTAGTACTTGGAAGTATAGTAGAAGTATAGTAGAAGTATAGAAGTAAAAGTGGTGGCCTAGAATGTACCTCAGGCATCAACATAAAAAACACAAGAATTCATTGGGCCTCGCAAAGCATTCCAGATCGGGACAGGCTGAGCCTCGTCCAGGAAAAGCAACCGGACAACACTTCCTCCCTTGGTCATCTCTTCGCTCGAGTTGCTTGCGATTATAAAGATGGAATGCCTGCCAGGAAGAATCAAGGCAAGACATGTCCGTCATATTTTTTTTTGATTCGTCGCCATGTTCCTCGCCGCCAAATATGTGTACAAGAAGGCGAAAGCCAGAAACACAAACCATGGCGTCGAATTTGTCACCACCAGGTCCCATGGCGACGAGCCAAAGGACTTGACAGAGCCGACAGAGCCGACAGAACCGGCAGAGCCGACAGAAGCAGAAGCAAAGGCAATGCGCATCTACCGTATCAAACTGCTGGCTGCCCTCTTCCTGCCTTATTTCCTCGGCACGCTGGACTTTACCATCGTGGCGACGGCAGTGCCATATATAGCCTCACATTTCGGTCCTCCCCCCCCCCCCCCTCTGTGTGTGTGTATCTCTCTCTCACTGTATGTGATTGTCTCATCAAGTCTATAGACAAATTCGACCAACTCAACTGGGTCGTAACGGCATACACGCTCACCTCGACAACCTTCATCCCCGCCTTTGGCCAGCTGGCAGACGTCTTCGGTCGCCATGTTGCCCTCCAGCTGGCCGTCTTCCTCATGCTGGTCGGGAGCGTGCTGTGCGCCGCGGCGCAGGACTGGGCTATGCTCTTGTTCGGACGGGCAGTGCAGGGCGTCTCCTCGGCGGGGATTCTCAACATCATCATGGTCGTCTTGGTAGATCGTGGCTCGCTGGCGGATAATGCGAAGAATAATTCCTTCTTTGCTTTGGTCGGGGGGGTGGCATATTCTGTTGGACCGGTTATGGGCGGGTACGTCTTTTCATTCTTTTTTTTGCTTCAGGCAATGGCTAAATAACTAACTGCTAACTTTCTAGCTATTTGACGAGTGTAAGTTGATACTACTGAAGGAAGTACGAAAGTGAAAGTATGACGAACATCACAGGCAAGCTGGAGGTACTGCTTCGTTATCGCTATTCCAGTAAGTACCAAGTAACTCTCTCACTGTCTCATCTGACGATCAACTAATTTTTTTTTTTTTTTTTTTTGAGATTTCTGTGCTCTCCCACATTCTGATCTACCTCCTCCTCCGTCACGACCTGGTAGAAGGCACCCATTTCAAGAAAGGCTCTCGTCTGTCCTCCATCCTCCCGGCCCTGGCCACCCTCGACCTCGTGGGCATGACCCTCTTCGTCTTCGGCGTGGGCCTGATCATCCTCGGCACCGCCTGGGGCGGCGCTACCTACCCATGGACCTCGCCCAAGGTGGTGGCTCCAATCGTCGTCGGGGCCGTCTGCTTCATCCTCTTCTTCGTGTACGAGTACCTCCTTGAGCCGGGCAGGGTCTTTGCGCGGATCTTTCCCCGACAGACGCCCATGCTGCCCTATAGCATCTTCTCCAGGATCGATACGCTGTGGCTTGCAATCCTGCAGTTTGCAACGGGAGCAGGTATGAACCTCATTAACTCATTTTAAGCTCATTCTGCTAAGTACATAATCTATAGCCATGTTTTCCGTCTTCTACTTCATCAGCATTTTCTTCATCCTGGTCGAAGCGTGGCCTTCGTCCAAAGCCGGCGTGTCCTTGCTCTACTACATTCCAGGACTGGGAGGTACGTAGCATCTCTTTGAAGAGAAGGTAGCATCTCTTTGAAGAGAAGGTAGCATCTCTTTGAAAGAGAACTCCTGCTAATAAACCAGCTGGTGTCTATTCGGCCGTCTTCCTGTGCAACGTCTGGCCTAGACAGACCTTCGTTCCCCTCGCCTTCGGCACGTTTGCCGAGACAATCGGCCTCGCTCTGGTGACGTGGGCCATCCACTCCGAGAGCCTACCGTTGATCAAGGGGATGCTGGCGCTCGCAGGCGCAGGCACGGGCATCCGACTGATGCCCTCCACGCTGCACGTGGCCGGGGTGTGGCCGGAGCGGATCGCGGCGGCCATGTCGTTGATGCGGTTCGCGATGCCCTTTGGCGGTACCCTGACATTAACCATTATGGGGAGTGTCTTCAACAACAAATTCGGGGCAGCAGTTAGTAGTCTCACCAATACTACTACTACCACCAGCTTTAATGCGGTAGACACCTCCTCCCTTTCCTTCATCGACGATTTACCGGCTGCTGAACAGGCGGTGGTTCGCGCCGCAGGCAAGCAGGCCATCGTCTGGGCCTTTCTTGCCATCATGCCCATCATGGGCATCAGTCTGGTTACAGGCTGGTTTATTGGCAACGTGTGGATCAAGGGAAGGGGACAGAAGCACAGCGAGGTGATTTATGTGCCGTATTTATATGCATTGCTTAAGGGGGTCGACTCGAAGCAGATCACAGAGGCTGTATAGCAACACCAATCTTAGTACTTTACTTCTCTTCTTCTGTTCTTCTTTTTTGCAGTAACAGCATCTCGTGCTCCTTCATTGAATGTAGAGCTCGCTCAATCAATGAAGAACACCCGCCGTACCAGCCCACCCAAGAACAAACCCACTGAGTGCCTCGCCCATCACCCCCCCACCGAACCAAACATCCCTCCACGCGCCCTTCCTCTGCACCGCTCTCGACGAGTTGTGAACGAACCCGCGCTCGTCGATATCCGCAATCTCCCCGTTCGCCCCGGGGAAGAACACGCCCGCCCCGCCGCCCGACCGAGATATCAACAGTAAATGGAACACGCCCGAGACAAGCACCGTGCCGGACAGGTAGAATGCGAACCCGTATGCGGACTGGAGGGCGAGGATTCCCGCCACGAGACCCAGGAGGAAGGACGTCACGCTGTGCAGGTTGGTGAGGGTCTGCTCGTTAGCTTTTGGTCTGTGCTCTGTGGATTCGAGTTGGTTTACTTTATTGTTGTGTTGCACTGCCTCGGGAACGAGAGGGTTGAGTAAGAGCGAGAGCTCTTGTTTGCTGGGTGCCATTGTGCTGAGTGAGGTGGACAAGACGAAGTCAGTGACCAGGCAGTTGGTTGTCAGTTGAGATGCTTGGTGCTGTCTCGGGCCGATGGTTCCGAACATCTCTTCCTTAGTCAATACTAGTTAATAGTCAATACTAAGAGTACGGAGGACAATTTACTGGGAATTGAATACTGTTAAATTACAGTTCGAGTGGACTACAGACGCATACTATTCAACATCATTATCATGAGCAACACTTGGATCCAGCCTCACGCAATGCCATCTAACTTGCCGTCCGCCTTGGCCTCTCTGACTTGCTCAAACACCTAGACAGTCAGCCACTCATTCGAGATAATAGGAGTGACAATGAGAATAAACATACCTTCAACATCTTGTTTCGCGCGCCGAGCGCATTCACCCCGCGGTCCTCAAGAGCCCTGTCGTCCAGCTCAACCAGCTCAGTCCACTTCAGGTCCTTGAGGTTGTCCGTGTACTTGTGCAGTCGCAGCGACCGCAGCCAGCTGGGGATGTCCTTGAGCAGGGCCGGGTCGGTCGGGTCTTCCGGCGGCTTCGAGCTGCCCCGGCGCCCGCGGGGCGACCGGCCGCGCGCCACCTCGGAGTGGTCCGAGAGGTAGCCCTCGTGGCCGCCGCCCAGCCCGAACTGGCCGATCCCCAGCGCGCTCAGCCCGTTACCCATCAAGGGGTTGTTCAGGTCATACGCGGCCAAGAACCCGTTGTTCTGCGGCGACGTGAACCCGAGCGGGCCCAGGCCACCGCCTTGCATCGCGATGCCCGGAGACGTCGGGCGCGACCGCCGCCCGGCCATGGCCGCCTGTTGCTGCGCCTGCAGCGCGGCGATCTGCTGGGCGTTCAGCAGCTGACTCGCCATCAGGTTGGCACCGGGACCAAGACCGGGGCTCGCCAGGCCGGGGGACAGGGACGGGCCCACAGAGAGGCCCGAGTTCTTGCCCTGTCCGTCGTTGGAGCGGGCGCGGCGGTACTTGCGCGCGTCGTCGAGCGCGATGCGGTTGTTCACCGTCGACAGCGCGGCCAACTTCATTGCCGTGGCATTTGCAACCATATCCGCCTGGGAGGTTTGGTTCGACTGCGACAGCTGGCTCTGGGCACCAAAGGTCGCCGTCATCGGCGTGTTGGTCATGGAGGCCCAGCTCGCGTTGCCGACGTTGTACGGGGACAGCAGCGGCGCCTCGATCTCGGGGGCCGGGATCGTCGCCGTCTGGGGCAAGGGGGAGCGTAATCCAGAGGTTGCCGGCTGCGAGAACTGGCCCATGGGCTGGTGGCCTGACGAGGACTTGGGCCGAGCAATAGGCGGCTGCGTCTCCGACGCGTTCCGCTGAGCCCAGAGAGAGGTCGACTGCCCGAGACTGTCGTTTCCGCTGTCCGGCGCCGAAATGGTGGGCGCCACGAACGAGGTGCGATCCCCGAAGACGGCGCTGTTACGGTTCGAGGGGGGGGCATTGCCCGTCTGCTGGGTGAACTCGGCCTTCTTCTTTGCGATCGCCGCCGCGGCATCTGGGAACATGGCGTTGATCGTCGACGAGTCCAGGCCGGAGTTGCGCTTGGCACCGGGGGACGGTGGGGGGCGGCCCAGAGAGCTGCGGGTGTTATCGACGTTCAACTTGGCCATGGCATCATTCAAGCGGTTCGACATGGCATCTGAATCGTTAGCATGATTAATTATTCCTTTTTCTTCTTTTTCTTCTTCTTCTTCTTCTTCTTCTTTGGAGATGATATAACCCCACCTTTCTCGCTAAAGTTGGCGGGGGACAAAAGCCCCGACATGGGATGACTCTTGGCCATCTGCTGCAGAACCTGGATGAAGAAACGGATCTGCACCTGGGTGGTTTGTTGCAACAGCGCGTAGAGAGCGGCGGTGCGTTCCGCCTCGCTCAGCACACGGAACCATTGCTCAATAGCGCTCAACTCATCCTTGAAGTCCTGATCAAGGGTGGCGGCAGCCATCTCCTCCAGCGTAGTCTCGTTCTGGTCAATCTCTGCAAGCCACTGCTGGGCCGCGCGGTCCAAGGCATCCTCGGCATTGCTCTGACCCTGCGACTGTTGGTTGCTGAAGTAGACCTCGGATGCCGGGCGGATGCTGCGCGCAGACAGCGGAGAGGGAAAGCCAGACATGTCGGCCGACGCTCTCAGCTGGTGCGAACCCAGGTTGCGAGACGAAGATGGCGGCCGCAGGGACGACTTGGACGCCTCAGGCGTGCTGTTGCGGTTGCCGATGATATGGCTAGCCATGACTGTCGACTCACACAAACACAACAAAAAAAATGATGATTTTTTTTTCTTTCCTCAACAATTATCGCAAATCTCCTGCAGAGCCCGCTGAGTTTGCGTTTCGACGAATTCTCGCGTCAACAGTATAATAAATTATCACGAATCCGTGGCTTCGGTCGTTGGGGACGAGCACACCAGGCCAGTGGCTGCACGGCGAAATCGATCGAGATTCGATGAATGAGGCCGACTCTCAACAGTGAGGTACTCCGTACCACTACTATCTTTATCTTATTATTAGTTTTGGCGAGGCGGTGGCCGTGGTGAGGGAGGGGGGGGGATGAAATTAACGAAAGGATGCTCAGGGATGAACGGCAGGGTGTCAACACAGCAAGCAGCAGCCCCGAGGCATCAAGAGAAGCGAAAGGAACGAAAAGAATTAGAAAAGAAAAGAAAAGAAACAAGAGGCAGCAGTGTTTGACACGGCGAGGGCGACAGGGAGGGAGGGAGAGAGAGAGCGGGTGCAAGACAAAAACCTGAGGAGGGAAGAGGAGGAGGGAAGAAGAATTCTGTCCGTGTCTTCCTTGGGGGGGGCAGAAAGGCGGAAAAGGGCAAAAAAGCGGCCGCACAAAGACACGGAAACACGACGAACCTCGTCCACGCAGAACCACGCGACCAGCAGGCAGCAGACAGCGTGAAGGCAGAGTAAAAATGCCCCAGAGAGGGTGTGCGGTTAGTTTTCCTGTCTTGTTCTTTTGCTGGCGGTGGTTTTCGAGGCTCCAGGGGGGCGGCGAGCCGCTGGGGGGTGGCGAGCTGTGCTAACGAACGCCGGTATCAGGGAATCGTAAACAAGAGAAGCGTTACGACACAGGAGATCTGTTCTAGAGGGTCTCCAGGGCCAGGGCTAATGCAGCTCCGGGCCTCAAGCTTCGTCGTCGGAATTAGCAGTGGGGTGTTCCTATGAATAGGCCGCATTCTGGGCCGTTGTCAGATTGGCTCAGACAGAATACGGCTGCATCCCATACCAGGGAGTTAGGTAGTTACTGGGCGCTGCCTGCTCAGAAGCCTCGGCCGCCGATTTACACGCTCCACCCTCCTTGTGAAGATTGCTGGAGTAGAGGATTTCGATTGCTGGTATACTCTGTCTAAGGGTTGAGAATCGCTTCGTCAGCGCCAAGCATTCTTTATTGATTCCGAATAGATTTCTCATAATCGCAGCAGGGATAACGCGCAATGGACGACGAGGAGCTCCCAGATGCTCCGCCTCACCAGGGGGATAATCTGTATCCCGACATTGATGAGCAGATTCATTATCCTTGGCAAGGCACCCAGCCGTCATCGACCGGCGGGCAGGCATCGATATCCTCGATGATTGATCCGCGACTGTATAAGGGCTTGTTCGATGGTAGTGCCTCGCGTTTGGCGGGTTCGGCTGGCGATGATGACGGAGAGGGTGCCTTTGGCGGCGACCTATCGGATGACCAGTCGTATGAGAATTCAGAACAAGACCTGTCCAGGTAGGTCGCGAGATGATGCAAAAAATGATTCATGTTGGTCTTCTGACAAATACTCCAGTGAAGAAGATTTTTCAGATCTCGCCGAAGTGGAAGAGGAAGAGGAAGAGGAGGAGGAGGAGGAGGATGACGGCAGGAGACGGCGTCGCAGAGGCACAGGGCCCTTTTCTGGCCGGTACGGCGCCCGTGGGGGCAAAGGCATCAAAAGAGGCCCGCGGAAGCCGTTAGAGCCCAGTCCGGAATTCAAGATCTTGCACTCAGAGGCGACATCGGCGTTCATTGACGGCGACTATCCCCGCGCCACCGAGTTGGTAAAACGAGCCATCCAGATCAACCCGGAGATGTTCGCGGCCCATTCCCTGCTGTCGGAGATCTTCCTAGCCCAAGGCCAGAAGGACAAGGCGTTGACCGCTCTGTTCAACGGAGCACACACTCGACCCAAAGACGCTACCGTCTGGGCCAAGGTGGCGCGGCTGATCCTCGAGCGGGCTGGGGAAGACCGGCAGACAGCCTTGAACGATGTCATATATTGCTATAGCCGGGTGATTGAGATCGACCCGAAAAACTTCAACGCCCGGTTCCAGCGAGCGGCGATCTACCGGGAGCTGGGCCACAACGGCCGGACAGTCACCGAGTATGAGCGGATCCTGAAGGACCTCCCTCATAATCCCCGGGCCCTGCGCCACCTTGCCGAGACCTACATCGACCTGGATGATGTGCAGAAGGCCGTCGATCATTACAACCTGAGCGTCAAGTACTATCTAACCCTCCATCCGGAAGAGGTCGCCGACTTCTCCTGGTCAGACATCAACATCTACGTCGAGCTGTTCAGCTACCTGGGGAAGCACGAACATGGGCTGAAGGCCCTGAAAACTCTGTCTCGCTGGTTTCTGGGCCGAAGAGAGGACACCATGTGGGCACAGTTCCATGAAGACGATCGAGAGTGGGACGCCGATGATCCCCCCCGGCGCATCAAGACTGACGGCTACATTCCAGGCCAATGGCCGCGTGATACATATGGCCTAGGCCTACCACTTGAACTTCGCATCAAATTGGGCCTTTTCCGTCTGAAGATGGGATATGATCACAAAGATGAAGCTTTAGTAAGTTCTCACCGTGAAATCAAAAAAAAAAAAAAAAAAAAAAAAAAATGAGAAGTTGACAACCATAGCATCATTTTGCATGGCTCAATCCCGAGGACCTGTCTGAAGGAGCCCGGCTATATGATTACGGTGATCTGTTCCGCGAGGTGGCAGATGCCCTCAAAGAAGTTGGATTGTTCGAAGAAGCGTTGCGGTTCTTCAGGCCGCTCCAAATGACCAGCGAGTATGCAGATGTTAGCTTCTTCATGGCCATGGGCGAATGCTGCATGCGGCTGAGCCAGCTGGAAGAAGCGGAAAATTGTTACTTGACTGTTGCGGAGCACGACACGGCGAATATCGAGTCCCGCGTACAGTTGGCGAAGCTGTACGAGAATATTGGGATGACGGAGCAGGCGTTCAAATACGTCAATGAAGCCGTGCTCCTCGGGCGGCAGGAGACGCGCAGCCAACGCCGACGCAAGGACACTCGCTTAGAAATGCTGGCAAAGGAGTTCCAGGCCGACGGGACGCGGCCGGAGCAGGAAGAGGAGGTGGAGGGGGTGGAAGCAGGTGCTCCCTGGCCTGCGACGGCGGCAAGGCCTGTGTCGACCAGCGTCCTGACCACAGCCGCCACGGTGCAACCCAGCCGGAAACGTGTCGAGGCGCCGGTCGCCGAAGGGAACCGCACGGAACATATCCAATTCTTATACTCGAAGATGCAGCAACTGCAACCGATGATCCAGGAGGGTAGCCTAACAGCGACAGAGGACTGGCTGGACATTGCCGACGCCCTGCTGCGAGACTTCCGCTCCAACCGGGCCTTCTACCCGCTCCAGCGCAATATGGTCTTCCTGGGGTACTCGCGGGAAGCGCAGCGCAGGGCAGGGCGGTACAGGAACCGATCTTTCCTGGACGAGATGCAAGAGATGGCTGGCCGTCTGCAGGAATCACTCGGTCCGCAAGCCCCCCTGGTACAATGAAAGTGTAGATGATGACTGACTGACTGCAGGAAACCCTTCCGACGAGCCGCTGGCGGCCGCGGCGATCCCGACCGACTACCACGGCATCCCGTTCGACGAATGGCTTGATATCTTCCTGCAGTATGCTCTCCTTGTTGCCGGCCAGCAGGAGTCGGAAGAAGCGTACGACACGCTTGCCGCCGCCTCGGACTCGAGCATCTGGTATCATTCGAAGCGGAGTACTCGATTGATTCATGTCTGCTGGTTTAGTAAGCATCACTCTTCTTTAGTTCGCTTTGTATTTCCTCTTGTTAATGCTTCCCCCGACAGCCTGCGCCCTGCGCGTGCAAGACGAAGAAACCCTGGCCCACGAAGCCCGCTGGTTCATGAAGGAGTACCAGTTCGTAACGGACACATACCGATTATTCGCGATGCTAAGTCGGCTCTGCGGCGATCCGCATCGCTCCCTCCTACACTCGTCACCGAACATGAAATTCATGCTCCGGCAAGTCAAAGCGGTGGACGCCGCGTTACCTGCCCATCTCGACGGGGATAATCGCCAAACAACAACAACAACAACAACTTATGCCGACGAGAACACCACGGAGGAAGTAGTCGGGCTAGACGCCGCGCTACTAGTTCTATACGGCCACATCCTCTACTCGGGCAACAGCTTCTACCCGGCCCTCAACTATTTCTTCCGCGCATACGCCCTCGACGACTCCAACCCGGTCGTCCTGCTCAGCATAGCCCTGTGCTACATCCATCAATCGCTCAAACGCCAGTCCGAGAACAGACATTACCTGATCATGCAGGGGTTGGCGTTTATGCACGAGTACCGGCGTGTGCGCGAGCTGCCCTCCTCCTTACCCGTTGAACGACAGGAGATGGAATTCAATTTCGCCCGGGTGTGGCATTCTCTGGGTTTGACTCATCTGGCTGTGGACGGGTATACGAGGGCGTTGGAATGGGGGGGGAAGATTAGAGAGGACAACAACAAGGGAAAGGGACTCTGGGAAGATTTCTCGGTCGAGGCCGCCGTTGCCTTGCAGGGTATCTATGCCTTGAATGGGGATTTGCTTGCTGCCAAAGCTGTTACGGAGAGATGGTTAATCATTTAATATAATGCACTGTATTTGTATCTGTATGTGTATGACTACAAGTATACTATACTACTACTACTATATATCTTCAAAAAAAACAGCAGACTGCCTCCTCATCTCCTCGAGGAAACTCCCCCGTCGCCCTCGGCCCTCAGGCGAGTGCGGGCGTGACGAACCCGACTCGGTCTCAAACAGCGAGGAATCCTTATATTCCGATCGTTCGGGAAAGGTCTCGTCCAGCCGTTGGACGAGGGGATCATCATCTTCTGATTCTCCCGCTACTGGGACCCCGTTCGCAAGACGAACACCCTCTGGGGCAAAGGAAACCAGACCCGCGGTGATCTCCGATTCGATCCGGAGTCTATTCCGTATGAATTGGATCTTGGGGAATGCCGCCTGCTGGCCGTAATGCAGCATGCGGGAGAGACGGGCCGGCGTCGGGTCGGAGAGGATATGCCAGAAATCCGAGGGCACGGTCTTGGGCCAGATGGTCACCGTGCCGCTGAACTTCTGCAGCCAGATCTCGCTCCAGTCCTGGCCGAGCGGGCGGGGGAGCAGCTCGAGATGCCGCAGCACACGCAGCCATTTGTTGAGATCGAGTTTGATGTACTGCTCGATGGCGGAGCCGAGGAACCCCCCGCGCCAGCCGCGGCCTTTGCGGTGCGTCACGGGGCGGCCGACGGTTCCCCGGGAGTTGAAGAAGAAGAGGTTGATGTGTGGGTTGACCTGGGAGACAATGGTGAAGTTGACGTTGAAGTGCAGGTTCAAGGCTTTGATGGGGATGTCGGTGCGCAGACTGCCGTCCTTCCACTTGTGGCCGAATGAATACGGGGCCAGGCTTCCATCGCGTTTCTTGGTCATGAGCACGACCGGGTTCAGGATGCCCGGGACGGCGGCGGAGGCCAGCACGGCGCTCCAGATGACGCAGTCGGGCGAGGTGAGGTAGTTGGCGAGGATGGTCGGGGAGTGAGGGTCGGAGGGCACGCAGGAGACGTTGAGGATGCGGCCGGTCCGCTCGTAGGCCTCGCGAAACGTCGTCGAGCCTCGGCAGAACCAGCTGCACTGCTTCGCCCAGTCCAGGGTGTCGAAGCGGGCACCCGTCCGGCACCAGCGGCGGAACCAGGTGGGGAAGGACTCGTGGCAGGCCCGGATCTGATGCGCCAGCGCGGGCACCAGCAGCTGCTTCAGTTCTTCATCGGTGCGCGTGCCCACCAGGGCGGCGACCAGGGCGCCGCCAGAGGTGCCCGTGATGATCTCGGGCAGGACCGCGTTGTCCAGCAGGGCCTTGACGACGCCGAAGTGGTAGTAGGCGAAGGTGGCGCCCCCAGACAGGCAGAGTGCGGTGCGGCCAAAATTTGTATCGAGGTGTTTAAAGTGGTGGTACTTGACCGCGCTGGAGAGCTGCGGGGTGTCGGCCACCAGCCGGACACAGGCATGGACCTCGTCGATGTACTCCTGCACAAGATCCTTGGTGCCCGAATACGTCTCGCTGTAGATGCGTGGGTTCTCGACGCCGGCAAAATTGTTCTTGATACAGGCCTCCAGCAAGACACGCAGCTCCTCGATGGCAGGAGGCTCGCTGGCGCTGGCGCGGCCAAGCAGCTGCTCGTGTTCGGCCTCGTGCCGGGTGCGTTTCAACTGCGCGACGACCTTGTTGACGGTCAGGTGGTCGTAGTAGGCATACTCGTCTTCCTCCTTCCATTGTTCATTCCCCAGGTAGGCGTCCAGGGCACGGGCGGAGCGCAGCCAGTCAGCATAGTTGTCCTGAGCGCGCAGATCCTGTCTCAGCTTCTGCCGCCTACCCCGCCAGGTCACCAGCTGTTCGTAGAGCACAATGTACAGGCGGGTCAGGGCATAGGCGACGGCGAGGATGGCAATCCACGCGAAGACGGTGAGGAGAAACGGCCATTTCAGCAGGGTGTACAGCACACCCTCTCTGGTCTCGTCCTTGCTCCGCTTGGGTTTCTTCCGCCTGCCCCTCGCCCGCCTCACCCGCTGGTTGATGGGGCGCCAGTCGTTGATGGCAACGAGGGGCTCAGCGGCGGGGGCATCCAGCGCCTGTTCGAAGCGGCAGAGGTCGTCCCGGTCAATGAATTCCCGAGTAAAATCCGGCAGGGCGTGTGGATCATCAGGGGTCATGGTCAGCGATGATATTTTTCAGCATCATGGAGAAGAGGGAGCCGTGCGGATGGTTGGTGGAGAGGGATGAAGTAATGGCCTGATGCATTGCCTGAGGTTGTTGAGGTTGGGGAGTTTTTTTTTTCCCTCTTTCCTTCCCCCGGAGAGGTTGAGGATTCAGTAACGTGATGCCGATGACATCACAGATCACGTTGGCGGTCACCTGACAGCGGCGCTAGCCCCACTGGGCGCCACAGACAGAGCCGCTGTGGCTGACCACGTCGCTAACCGGATCCCGACTAGCGGGCCCCGACCAGCCTCCTCTGGGGCTAGCGTGTACCAAACCCCGCTCACCGACAGATAAGAGGAACGATGGAGCTGCAAGGCAAGGAAGGGATGTTGGAGGGCGCAGATCATGGCAATGTATGTAGTCGGTCGGTACAGACAGCACAGGGCACATAGGACTCCGTCCTCTATGGAATGTTGATGCTTGGAATGTGGGATGCGGGGTTGTACGACACGGAGTCGTTGGGCATCAAGATCAATAGCCGTTGCCAGAGGAAGAATAGAAAGATAGTCTCTATAGTGTAGTTAAGTGTCACTATATTTACAGTGTAAGCAGTATACTAGGTAGTGTACATTCACTGTGTATACTAACTACTACAGGGAGGGTACTGTATATATCACTGTTGGATCGCCACTTATTACCACTAAGCAGATCTCAGCTGCAGTACGGAGTACATACTCGGGTAATAAAAGGAGGTGGCAGCTGAAGGGGTACTCTCGACTATTATAGGCCGAGTAATAATCGCGATAATAATACATCATGAAACACTCCATAATGCATGCAGCCGTCAGCGAGTCTGAATCAGTCCATCAACTTTCACTAAATAGTACTAGGTACTCCTAAGTCAGTATTCTTGATCGTTACCTATAACAATAGACCTCCTCCTCTATACGGAGTATAGATCTACTACATCGAGGACCTAGGTATACCCTGTATACTCCGTAGCGATATTACTTTCCGCGGTAGCCGCTAGACTAGTGATTAGTTACGGAGGTACGCGTAGAGACTGACTCGCTGAGCCGTGTCAAGAGATTGGCACTGTTAGTCTATTCTAGTGATACATTCTAATTAATTACGGGCGCAGTCATTGCGAGTACGGGTAATACGTAGTACTACCAGGTACTAGATAGTACTTAGTTAGTAGGTAGGTAGGTACTAGTTACCTTAACTACCTGTATACACTACGTACCTATCCACCTAGGTATTAGCCACTCATGTAATCCTAGTCTACTAAATCTCAAGTAAGTCGACTGTTGATCTGATATCCCAAATGACATCAGAAAGACATTTTCATCATTGTACATATACTATCCATAAGGTAGATAGATAGGAGTGGTGGACCTGATCGGGACGCCTGTCATTTGACACGGTCATTCCCCGTGCTGGAGGGTGGGCCATGCAGGCCGCCGAAAAGAGCATTCGGATCTACAATGGAAGTCGCTGAATGTGTAGGACGGAATAACTACATGTGTAGTACGGAGTAGACTGTAGAATCAAGTTAATACTAAGAGAATAAAGATTATAGAATATAGATATAGATATAATAATAATAGACAATACCCTTAGGAAGGTCGGTTATCATAATAAGTATTTTGTAATAATAATATTGTTATCGAACCTTAATGTGAATGAACCATGGTTTGTCAAGGAGCGGTGAATAAAGTGGTGGCCTTAGGCATGGACGGATTTATTGTTCGAGATAAGAAATAAAGTCAAAATATCGAACATTTGAGGCCATTTGGGTCAGTGGAATATTCATCATCCTCATCTCTCCTTAATCTGAGGATATTACATAGTAACTAACCAACTACTCCATACACAGCAATAAAACAGCTATAGCAATAGACTTTAAATACTAATGGCGCCCAGACGCTATCGCTGCACTCGATCGTTTCGGACGGCAGCGTCGTATCGGCGACGGCGGCAAGAGTAGGATTAGGTAGGTTAGTGTAGGTACCTAGGGACTTCACTCCGTAATAGTCTGTATCTAAGGTGTGCACTCCATGTAGGTCAGATGCATTCTTGTCCGCGAGTCGACGTCCCTCATGGCCAAGTGAAGAATGCCATTCGCCCCGTGGAGGGGGGCTCTGGTGATCATGGTGGGAGGGTCAGCCAGAGGATTCCGAGGGAGGTGATGGTCACTGTCAGTGGTTTGGTGTGGTGATCGGACCCACTGATAGCAGTAGGTACTCTGGTAGGTTAGGTACCTATATTACTGACTGCATCGGACTCAGGAGTACCTACCTATATAATATATAATATACAAATAGAAAGGTATACAAATACAGTGATAGATACTATACTACTAATATTATGAGTATAATAATATATCATGAATACTAGGTCATAAGTATATTCTTATGTCGTTTCTGTAATATGTTATTCTGGTACTGTGTATAGTACTGTATCTTACTGATACAATACACCAAGTGGGTCCCATTAGCCACATCCGCTCTCCAATCATATCTCTCAGACTGGGCAGCGGTTCAGACCAGGAAATGACAATAATAATTAATTATAGGAGTCGCTCGCTCTATCTCTGTCTGTCTGTCGGTTTGTCTCTGGATCGATCTCTCTCCTGTCTGGGATCAGAGTCAATTGACATTGCAATAGATTTATAGACTTCTTTCTATCTCTATCGATCGGATTACTACCAAGTACATACGCACCTACGTTACAGTACTACTACTACTACTTCTACTACTAGTTACTACTACTACTACTACTACTGCGCACGGCTGTCTGTGCTGCTCGAGTTAGTTCCCTCCAATCTAACCTACCACTCACTCTTCGTCTCTCACCCTCACCCTTTCGTCGATTTCTCCCCCTCCCTCTATTTTCTCTCACTCCATCCCACCTCACCTTGGACTTCTCCCCTCCTCATCTCTCTCCTCATCTCTCACTTCCCCCCTCTCTCTGTCTTCCTACTAAACGGTCGCCCCAGGCCGCGTGAGAGTCATGGCCTCTCAAAACGATTACTGATCTCCAGCGGTGTTTACCGTTTAGTTTTTTTTTTCTTCTTTAATCTTCTCCTTCCTCGTCGTCTTCTTCTTCCATTTTTTTCTCTTTTGGAGGCAGTTGTTACTTTTCTTTCCTCTCCTTCTCTCTCCCTCTCTCTCTGTGTCTCCGAAAAAAAAGATGTCGCCTATTCGGATTTGAGTTGCGAGAAACGACCTCGTCGGGCGTGGAACCGTCATGGAGAAACTCAACACGGAAGATGGACACCTCTTCATCAAGGTATCTTCTTCTTCTTCTTCTTCTCTTCTCACGAGTACCTGCTGACAAGAAAGAATCTCGCCAGTTTTGTGCGAACCCATGAAAAGGCTCTCGCCAACGCCCTCCAGCTGAGGCGCCAGCCGCCCAAAAATGCCGCCGCCCACCCCCCCAGCGCCTCCTCGGCCTCGTCGACGCTGGCTGCTGCCCTCTCCTTGGGCGCTCTTAAGCTTACCTCTCAGGCCATCAAGCCCGCCAAACTCACCCTCACTCCGCACCACCTCTTCTACCTGCTCTCCCGCTTCGAGGATCTCACCATCTCCGTCGGCCCCATGAACGTCCGCCTGGAGAACATCCACGCCGAGACTCTCCCCTCCTATGTCTCCTTCCTCAACCAGCCCCGCCGCGCCCGGGGCGACCGCGAATCCATCCATTCCGTCTCCAGCATCCGGAGCGTCATGTCCGGCATCTCCTCTCTCTGGTCCTCCTTCGGCCTCGGCTCCAAGGACGCCGCCGCCCAGTCTCGCTCCGAGCGCGCCAGGGCCGCCCTCGACGCCGACCTCAAATATCTCTACTCCGCCTTCACCAAGATCCCCTGTCTGCGGCTTGCCCCGGACCACCGTGCCCGTCTGATCCGTGGCTACGAGGAATTTCCCTTCGACACCGCCGTGCCCCTCCACGCCTTCAAGAACCTGAGCGCCCTCGAGATCATCGACATTGACTTCCGCTCCTTCTACGGCTGGGACCGTCTCGCCGAGCAGCTACGTACCCTCACCATCAAGCGCGCCAGCCTCGATGATCCTGCCGACCTCCTCACCGGCATCGTCCTCGACGACATGGATCGCCGCCGTCGTCGATCCTCCTCCAAGCCTGCCACCCCGGTTCTGGGGTGGACAAGTACCACCTCGGTTCCTCCTCCCCCTCCTGCTCCTCCCCAGCCCCAACCGGTTGGCCATCGGTCTCCTCCGCGCGACCGCATCCCCAACTCCCTCTCCGCTCCAGGTTCCCCCACTCTCGATCATCAACATCATCGACACCACCAGTCGATGTCCTACGCCTCCAGCGCCAGTCCTCAGGCTAGCTCCATGATCCGTGTCCACTCGGAGGGAAGCAAAACCGCCAATGACGGGAGCAGCTCACCTTCCCGCCCTAACAGCGCGAAACAGCAGTCGGGCGGTGGCGGCGGTGGCGGCGGCAGCGGCAGTAGTCACCATCAACACCACCAACACCACCACCACCACCACCATCAGCATCACCGCTCCTCTCACGGCCGCGGACCCTCCTCGCGGATGCGTCGCACGGGTTCCGGCAGCTCGAACTCAAGTGAGACCTCGGCCAGCGTCGGTCGCACCGCGAGCTCCTCGAACCTCCTGGCGGGGATCCTCCCGGCATCCAAATGGCGATTCTTACGCCATCTCGGCCTGCCGGACAACGCTCTGACCGCTCTCACCGCCGCCAGCCTTGCCCCCGTGGCCAACACCCTGCACTCGCTCGACCTGTCGGCCAACCTGTTTGCCGAGGTGCCGGACAGTCTTGCCTCCCTGGTCGCCCTGCGCGCCCTCAACCTCTCTCATTGCATGATCGACTCGCTGCACTCGCTGTCTCACAACCCCCTACCCGCCATCACCGCCCTCAATCTGCGCGCCAACCGCCTGCGCTCCCTCGCCGGCATCGAGCGTCTGCTCTCCCTCGAGCGTCTCGATCTGCGCGACAATGGGCTCGCCGACCCCACCGAGATCGCCCGCCTCACCAGCCTACCCGAGATCCGTGAGATTTGGGTCGCCGGAAACCCCTTTGTCAAGACCCACCCCAACTACCGCGTCACCATCTTCAACCTCTTCCGACGCACCCCGGGCTATTCCGAGGACATCATCATCGACGGCTCCGGTCCGGGCTACACCGAGCGGAAGCAGCTGATTGACCGTGTCGCCGAGCCCGAGAGCGCTCCCGTCATTCGTCCCGTCCCGACCGAGGAGCCAGCCGCCGTCATCATCAAATCAGTGACGGCCCTGGCTCCTTCTCCCCCTGCTCCTCCTCCCCCTCATCCTCCTCCGAAGGATGGCGATCATGATGGAACGGTGAAAGGGAAGCCTCCGGCTACTGAGGTCGGAACGGCCACCCGCCGCAAGAAGCCCGTCCGCCGGAAAATCGTTGACCTGTCGCTGGATTCCACGACCGGCAGCACCGACCTCGGCGCCTCGCGCACGGCAGGCGCCCCGATCCCCCCCGTGCAGATCATCAACCTCCCTGCCGACCCGTTTACCGAGTCGTCGTCGCGGGATCGCGCCTGGCCACTCGCAAACCACTCGTTGCTCCTGGAACTGCCCCCCACGGCCGTCCCGCCGGCGCCCGCGCTGCCGGTCCCGGCCCCGTCATCGCTACTGCATCTCACCTCTCCCACGATGCTGCAGTCTCCGCTGCCGGCGGACACGGACTGGCCCGCTGTCCATAGCGACCTGTACCGGCAGAAGCTGGCGGCGGCGCTGCAGCATGAGGTCGGCAGCAGCTGGTTGACGGTGCTGAGTGACCAGACGTGGGACAGTGCGTTCAAAGACATTCACGTCCACCCGGCGGCATTCAGCCCGTGCATCCAGGCCAGTCCGGTCTCGGGGGCGAACAGTTGATTTCCAGATTTGAATGATACCCTCTCCCCCAATCTCCACTCTTTCAAAAGAAACTCTCTTCCTCCTCCTTCTCCTCCTCTTCCCCCCCCCCCTTAGATATCAGTGCTCATTGTGAGCATCGGATCTACTGCATTTATACATGCGAGATACCCGAAGGCTTCGGAACCTTCCTCAGATGACCGCATGACGACCATCTGCTTTTGTATGATTCTGCATTGTACGGCGTTGGGATGATGTCTGAATAATTGTCATATCTGTTTCTGTTGTGTTCCTTTTTTTTGTTTTTTTTTTTTTTCTTCTTTTCCCTCTTCTTCCTCCTTTTTTCCCTCTTCTTCCTTTTCTTCCTCTTCCTTTCTGACCGGCTGTCTCCTCTCCTCCCCTTTGCCGCCTAGGGTCTCTAATTGGAGGTGCCGTGAAAGAGCTGTTTCCTCTTAGACTCTTGTACTGTATCTACCATGTTGATTTGACTCTTTTGAATATGGGCATGGCGCTCTGGCGTTGTTTTTTTCATCTTATTTTTTTTTTGACTTTCGATATCTTTTTGTCTTATTTTCAGGTATTTATTCTCAACGGCCGTACCAGCGCTTTGCAACTGATTGCATGACTTGTTGCCTATTGTATTCTGTATTCTGTAGTCTGTAGTCTGTAGTCTTCATCTACATGGGAACCAGTATACAGCAGAATCGTATTTACATAGCTAGACTAATACTCCAGTCAATATTCTACTCATCATAACGCAGTATCAACTATTATGACTCCTTGCTGGGTGAAAGTTAAAGCGTCAGACGCCACGCAGACATGGGCGGCAAAGAGCAATCCTAGAGGAAATCATCTAATTGGATATTACAAATGAGCAGAAAAGTAAGAAAGAAAGAGAAAATAGAAAGAGAAAGCAAGAGAAAGTAAAGAAAAAGTAAAGAGAGAGAGAGAGAGAGAGAGAGAGGGAAGATAACCAGAGCCTCTTCCAAGCCAACTTCCCACTTGTTTCCCCCCTCAAACCAAACCCACACCAAAACCCACCCCAAGCAACGCAACGCAACGCAACGCAACCTCCTCCTCCTCCTCCTCCTCTCCCATCTGCGATTCTTTTCCTCGCTGGCCACTCTCCCCGATCCATTCCATCTCCATTTGCACTCTGCAAGACCTCCGTGCTTCCTGCTGCGATAGATCCTTGTCTTGTTAGGCGATTCGAATTCTTCCCTCGTCCCCTGCGCGTGGAAAACCGCCCGGTCGCTCGCGAAAAAAAATCCACCATCTCCCTTGATTGTTCCAACCGTTTCCCGGCTTTGCAACCATCCAGAGATTATTTCCTCCCTGGTTGTTATTGAACCACCCCGCCATCGCAATTTTACAACCGCAAACACCTACAAGGAGAAAGCTTCTCTTTTCTTTTTTTTTTCTTCTTTGCTCTTTGCTTCCTTCCAGACCTCCGGTGGTCGTCGTGTCTCACCTCTGAACCCTCCTCCGTCCGTCAGTCAGCAAAAAGCTTCTCTCATCCAGGCTTTCTATTTACAACGTCAGGAAACACTCTCCATCTGGTCTATCGCCAGATTTCTTTGCGTCAGAGGGCCGTTGGGCCTGGCTTATCTGCTTCTGACTCGTGTCGTGTCTTGTCTTGTTTTTTTTTTTTTTTTTTTTCTCCTTAAGAAAAAGACGTGTTTTTTCGTAAGTTCTTGTTCCCCTCCCACCTCTCTCTCTCTCCTCCGCTTGCGATGAAATCATGGCGCGTCTTTTTATTTTTCTTTGTATCTTCCAGAAAAAAAAAAGGCGCTGTGGAGAGGACTCGACGCGATACTTGGTGCTATTGATGATAAAAGCTGACGAACTCTTAGATTCTAACAGTGTAACACCACCGAGCGCCCGAGCGAACTTGTCCTTCTCTTTTCGTTCTTTCGTCGAACCTTTTTCTTTCCGTTCTTTCTTTCTTTCTTTTCCGTTCATAAAAATAAAATGGCTGATCAGGAGGTCGATTTGGATTCGATCATTGATCGGCTCTTGGAGGTGAGGGGCAGCCGGCCGGGCAAGCAGGTCCAGCTCCTCGAGTCGGAGATCCGCTTCCTCTGCACCAAGGCCCGAGAGATTTTCATCTCCCAGCCCATTCTGCTTGAGCTGGAGGCTCCCATTAAGGTTGAATCTATCCCCTACAGTCTAGCGGTAAGTGTCGCGCTGACGACGGTCATCAGATCTGCGGTGATATCCACGGCCAGTACTACGATCTGTTGCGCCTGTTCGAATACGGCGGCTTCCCGCCCGAAGCCAACTACCTGTTCCTCGGCGACTACGTGGACCGCGGCAAACAGTCGCTAGAGACCATCTGCCTGCTGCTCGCCTACAAGATCAAGTACCCGGAGAACTTCTTCATCCTGCGCGGCAACCACGAGTGCGCCTCCATCAACCGCATCTACGGCTTCTACGATGAGTGCAAGCGGAGGTACAACATCAAGCTGTGGAAGACCTTTACCGACTGCTTCAACTGCCTGCCCATTGCCGCCATCATTGACGAGAAGATCTTCACCATGCACGGCGGTCTGAGTCCAGATCTCAACTCCATGGAGCAGATCCGTCGTGTCATGCGCCCGACTGATGTACGTCTTCGTATCTTCACTCCTTCTTTTTGCTATTATTCCTTTTTTTTTTGCAATTCTTCTTTGTTTGCCTGCTTCGTGCAAGGCAGCTGATGGTTATAGATCCCTGATTGCGGTCTGCTGTGCGATCTGCTCTGGTCGGACCCGGACAAGGATATCACAGGCTGGAGCGAAAACGACCGCGGTGTCTCCTTCACCTTTGGGCCGGACGTCGTCTCGCGGTTCCTGCAGAAGCACGACATGGATCTGATCTGCCGTGCCCACCAGGTCGTCGAGGACGGCTACGAGTTCTTCTCCAAGCGCCAGTTAGTCACGCTCTTCAGCGCGCCCAACTACTGCGGCGAGTTCGACAACGCGGGTGCCATGATGAGCGTGGACGACAGCCTCTTGTGTTCATTCCAAGTAGGTCTTCCTTTTTGATTTTTTTTTTCTATTTCCAAAGGCACTAACAACCAACCTCTCTTTAGATCCTGAAACCAGCAGAAAAGAAACAAAAGTACGTTTACGGGGGCATCAGCTCAGCCAGACCCATCACTCCTCCGCGCAAGCAGAAGAAAAAATAAAATCAAGGAATCATACGAGCTTTTCCATTTGCAGCAGGTTCGGGCGGAGATAAATCGATCGATCTAATACACAACGACGCTACACCACACACTCTCACACACCCACACACACCCACACGCATACACACACGCATACACGCCTCCCACACGCCTCCCACACACCTTTGTCTCGGGCCTAGTTACAGCGACATGATCTAGAGTACGCATTATCGACACGACGTATCATAGTTCGACCTTTGACCAGTATCGACCTTCGGCATCATTGAACCGTTCGAGTCAATCACTATCCGATCGCAGACACGAGTCTGGCTTCTTCACCTTTTCAACCTTTTTTTTTTTAACACCTTTCACCTTTTCACCTGGTTCTACCGGGATCTTCTTTCGTATCTGTTTTTTTTTTTTTCCTTTTTTCCCCCCCTTATTTCTCTTTCTTGTCAGGCATGGTGTATTTCTGTTATTAATCAATGCCAGGTTCAATACAGCATAAGAAAAGTAGTAGTTCAGTAGTTTAGTAGTGTTGTTGAATTTAAGAAAGTAGTAGACTAGACTGCATATTGAAGTTTTCAGATACTAGGAAGACGAAAACGTAGACATAACTAGGTAGATTATGCAAGCTCAATCTGCGGACGAACAAGAATGGAGGGGGAAGTTTATTGGGCGTATAAGGAAAGAAGACAGAACGAGATTAGACGTATTGAGAGAGCCACCTGATACCTTCTCCGTATCCTAATCAGTTAGTACATACGCATATAAATATAAGAATGGAGATATGAATTAAAAGGGAAAGGGAAATACCCTGCCGCATGACAACACTGCACATGAAAACCTCGATGGGCCTGATTCCCTCGAGGGGGTTCTTCCCCTTCCCTGTCGTCTGGTACAGACCGAGCTGGTGACGGAGCTCCTCCTCACTCACGGCGTCCGGGTGGTCGATCTTATTCCCCAGCACGAGGAAGGGGACCTTGTTCAGCTCCTCCATGGCGAGGAGGGCGTCGAGCTCGGCTTTGCTCTCGGGGAACCGCTCGACGTCCTTGGCGTCGACGAGGAAGACAATCCCGCTCACGTCGGGGAAGTAGTCTTTCCACAGGCGGCGGGCTAAACGGTTAGCACTTTCTTTTCAAGCTCTTTGAAGTTCTTTTGAAGTCTTTTTTTTTTTTAAGGCTCTTTTTCATACCCTGCTGGTGCCCTCCTAGGTCAAAGGTGTTGAATCTGTTGTTTCCGATGACGAGTTCCTCGGATGCTACATTATATCAACCATTAGTATCCTTCCTTCTTCTTCTTCTTCTTCTTCTTCTTCTTCTTCTTTTCTTTTCTTATCACGTACTAGGGTGCGCGGTCGGGGAGAGGATAGCAACACGGTCGTTCTGCAACAGAGTAAGCCGACTAGTTTTCGCCAAAAGCCTTTTCGTCATCCAACAATCTACCTTCAGCATATGCAGCAGGGTGGTTTTCCCCGCATTATCGAGACCGAGAAAGAGGAGCTTGGCGTGCTTGTTGAGCAGGCCAAGGGAGGCCAGAACGTCGTAAACTGTTCACATTCACGGCTCGTCAGCTTTCCACCACTGCATCAAACGAGTCTCGAAAACAGAAAAAAAACAGGGAAAAAAAAAAAAAAAAAAACCTACACCAGTTGATGATCCACATGGCGATAACCACTATTTCCTAGCTGGCGAAAGAAAGAGGAGAGAAAGGAGGAGAAGGCTGTGGCTCCGTGTTGGTATCGGTGGTGGTCTGTCGGGAAGACAAGTTGCGGTCGTTGTTGTCCGACTCGCTTGCTTTCGCACTAACCCGACTTGTCGATGACGAAGTGGCAAGCCTCAGTGTATATGTACCTTGCTACTATTGACTTTACTGGTACCTTTCAAGCATACTCTTACATAGTATTGATAATATTTATGATTTAAATTTAATAAACTATTTGTATGTTCAGTCGCCGTAAATGCACAAATATCCTCCTGGCTCACGGGATGCAAACGTAAATATGTACAGGAAAGTTGGTTGTCTGCTAGTCATGCTAGACAGACAAGGAATTTGGGATCTGCCAGTCATGCTAGACAGACAGGACAAGCTGGACGTCTTCGCTGACGCCGTACGCTCGGCACCGCTCGGCCACCTCGAGACCCAGCTCCTTCATCCGCTCGGCGCCCTTGCCGGGGATGGGCCGGCGCTCCATTTGCTCCTTGGCCGCTTTGCGGCAGTGCTGGCGCCAGAACTTCTCCTTGCGCTTCTGCCGCTTCTTCTCCAGCCCTTCGACAATGTCGATCGGCCCGCGCGTGTGGCCCTCGGGCCGCACCCGCGACCGCTCGTGATCCTCGGGCGACTCCTCGTCCACGGGGACGATGCCCGACCACCGGTGCGTCGGATCCAACGAGGTGAAAAAAGGGTTCGGCGTCCGCGGCAACGATTTGGTCCGTGTCACCAACGATGGCCGCTGCACCAACTCGCTGATGTTCAGACCCCGCGTCTGCAGGGGGGAGGTGGACGAGGCGGCGTCGACCGCGACCGCGGGGACTGCCGGAATGTCGGCCAGGCGAAGAAGCGGACCAGGAGGCGGAGGACTGCGAGCCCGTTTGGGCGGCGGCGACTTGAGGCGTTTCGGTGAGGCCCGGGTCTGCCGGCGGGGCGCCGGTGACAACACACGCTTGGGCGAATGGCGCGGGGACACGCGACCCGACCGGGAGCCCGAGGGTCGGCCACGCAGGGCTTCGTCGTCATAGGCGGCCAGCTGCTTGTGGATCCGGCTTGAAGGCATCACCACGACCATCTCGTCGTCCTCCTCGTCCTCCTCGTCCAAATCATCCTCCTCCTCCGGGTCGGTGGTGGGGAAGCTGGGGTCAATGTCCTGCGGGATGACAATCTGCTTGGATCGACGGCGCTGTTCTATACACGACTTGTACGCCGCTTCCAGCGGGCGGTCCTCGTCCAGCGTCCCGCAAACAAAGTCCGTGCTGTCAGGGAGATTGGGTGTTCCGGGCCGCATCTTGGGCGGCTTGGGTCGCCTGCCGCTTCCATCCCGCTTCCGGGCTGACACGGGTGACCACTGCCGCCGCGACTGCTCTCCGTTGTTCAGCGACTCGATCGAAGTGTTGGAATTGCGGCGCGCAATGCCGGTGGCAATCTGTAAGGGATCGAAGGTGGTCTGAGGGCTGGTGGCCGCGGTCACGGTGGCGGAGGGGGCCCAGAATTCGTATTCAGAGCCGTCATCGCTGTCATCCGAGTCGGCAAAGCCTGCTTCGTTGTCGGACTCGTTACCGTCGTCGGAAAAGTCGTGAACGGTTGAATCATCATCAGCAAGATCCTCCAGATCATCGTCTTCGTCCTCCTCCTCCTCCTCCTCCTCCTCCTCCTCCTCTTCTTCTTCTTCTTCTTGTTCTTCGTCGTCATCGTCATCTTCATCCTCCTCGAGGGCTTCTTCTTCAGCTTCCTCGCCGAGTTTCCGGATGGCGTTCTCCTTCTTCATGCAGTCATTGAGAGTAATCTTCTCGGGAAAATCGGTGGGTTTGGCGACCCAGTCTTCGTCTTCCTCGACCGAGCTAGCGAATTCGTGAAACCGCGTAGCTTCGGATGCCTCGAACTTACCGAGACCACTGGTTGGAATACCACGTAATTCTCTGGCCGGGGGAGTCTTGTCATCAACATTTTGGACTGCTACCACAGACTCTGGGGACGGTTTGCGGCCGACAGGAGCGGGCGAGCAGCGTAGCCGAGAGCGAAAGGATACCTTGGGACACAGCGAACGTTCCGCACGCGGCTGGGGCTCACGCGCCGGGCAGGCAAAAGTCAGGGTTGTCCTGCGCTTGATCGGTTCCGGCTCGGGCTGCTGTCTCTCGACGGGACTAGTGGTATTCTCGTCTTGTTGCGAAGGTGGTGTTGTCGTAGACATCTTGCGGCCACAGGCAAAACTGATGCAGCGCTTGCGGCCGAGATTTGCCTCGACAGTCGACTCGCTCGGGTTGGTGGTGGTGTTTGTAGTGGAGGCAGGATTGATTCGGGAAGGAGAGGTCTTGAAAGAGATGTGGGAGGGTCTGCCAGCCAGTTGAGGCGACAGGGGAGGGCTCGGTGTGTTGGAGAGCGACGGACTGGTAAGTCCGCCGTCGCTGATGAAGTCGGTGGCGGAAAAGCCGCTGACATGGCTGTGCGGGTAGGAACGGTAGGAGAGATGGTGATGGTCATCGACAGGGCTCAGCTCGGGGCTGTTCTTCAAAGCGCGAGTGAGGAGCGATTCCTTGCGGTCACAGAGGAGGGTGGGTGACTTGATGTAGACCAGACCGTCATCGACGGCGTTCATCGACGTGGTCTGCAGGAGATGCGGATGGGTATGATGGTCCGGCGGCTCGTCACCGTCCTCTGCCAGAGCCGAGTCATCAAAGACCGGCTTGGATGCCGTCGACGAGAGCAGCATCCTGAGAGCGTGTTGGATCGAGAAGGGAAACGTGCGGTCGCGAGACTGGGTCTGAGCCATTCTTCAAAAGACGTAGTCTCACAGCTATAGACGAGCACTGATGTCCACCTCACAAGGACGACGGCCGTTGAGATATAAAGCGCATGGTGAGAAGGAGGGGGGGGGCGCAGACAGGTGTGACTGAGTTGCCTTCTCTTCTCTGTTTGACGTCGACAAAGCCTTGGCCGCGTCCCCTAGAGGACTTGGCACAAGCGATTATTGAAGTCTTGAAGTCTTGGAAAGAATGGGGGGGGATGTGAAAGGAGGAAGGAGGGGGAAGATCGAAAGAATGCTAAGAGCAGCAGTGGTTAAATTAGTAGTTTCTTGGAGAAGTACCTGGGAGAATGAGGATGTGCAGGGCTATTGCAGTATTGGGGGAGGGGTGGGCACTGCTAGTTGTTGGTGGGCACACGGGAAAGCGGCGCTGCTGGTCGCCACGCTTTTTTTTTTTTTTTTTTTTTTTTTTTTTTCTTCTACTAAGTAAGTACAACGGAGTACTTACTAAGTCACCAATGCGGAAAATGACGCTTGGTCCAGTTGGCCCTCACGTAGCGTGGGCCTTGTCTCTGCGAGGACTAGCCTGTGACGGTACAGTACGGCAAGCCCGGATCTACTAGTAATACCAAGGTACCTAAGTGTACTCCGTATGAGTACCTAAGTCAGTACAACCAGAGTGATGTGACATTACACGTACTACTGCTTAGGCAGAGGTACTCCGTACTCCGAACTGAATCTGCCAGCGACAGCAAGGCGTGGACGTCCAGATCTAAACAGTAAGGAGGTTAGGCTTTTGTACGACGTTGAGTGTTCTGGAAACTGTATGGAATGAGCCAAGCCTAGAAAGGGGTCTATTCTAGGAGATAAAGAATTGCCTAGGTACTCTATGATCCATTATTATTCACTAGGTACTACTATACTACTACTACAGGCAGCCTCGTAACAATGAACACGGTTCAAGAAGCCAACAGCGAGTCTCGTACTGTATTGAAAGAAAGAAACCCCTCATCTGAATCAAGGATCGCTCGAAAGACTACCAGGTAACTCCGAAACAGTCGTAGCGGACGCTGGTCATGGTTCGGTAATAGCAGGTAATCTATCCGCCTCACTATGTCTCTGGCGCGTACGGTACGGTAAACGGCACGGTTGCACCCGAGCGCTGCCTTCCTGGCCAGTCGCTGCGGCTGCAATTGTCTCTTTTCTGACCTGCAGCCGGACACTCGATCCTGGTTAGGGTGGATGGATGGTTCCTGTGCCTGCCACACATTACGGAGTCCTAGTGCACTACTAGTTAGTACATTACTATAACTAGGTAGTAAGAGATAGTTAGTTACTACTAGTTAGTAGTCAGTAGACAGCATTGATAGGCCGTCATAGGTGGGCACCGCCGGGCGCTCTACGCGCTTCCCTCCTGATAATTCAATGGTGTCTTGGCCCTGGAGTGACGTAGATAGCGTGATCCCTGATCACACCACAAGCGCATATAGACCAGCGAGAGAAAGACTCGGACTCTGGGGTCTGGAGATCTTGTAGATCAATCAGTGTGGCCTTAATCTGCTGGTGAAGCATCAGGGAGTGTAGGGAGTGCAGGGAGTGTAGGGAGATGGATGGGTAGACTCGGAGCAACTGACTAATGGACGATAGAGTACGAGATCTACCGTGGCTAATGCACATCCCTACGGAGTATTCCCAGAATACTTACTTACCTACTATGGTTACTATGTTTATGGTTGCTAGCCAACTGCAGTGTAGTAGGCGCTGCTTGTCCTGCATCCCGTATACAGCGCCTAGCGATGTATGTAGTATACCTTAGTAGTTCATTCAAGCAATACTACCTACTTAGTACTATAGTTAGTTCCGAATGTCTTCTGTCTTCTATACCATTCCAAAGACGGGTCTTACGGAGTAGACGGTAGTCACATCTTGTATACCACATACTTCCTAGAGAATAGCGGTCAGACTCGGAACTTGTTTCGTGCTAATTGCAGCTCAGGCCCGCGTGCAATTATTCCGCATCGAAAGCGGGGAGTAATCTCAGGGCAATAATCTACGGGGTCTTCTTCCGTAGCTTGTTACTGTTTGAGTCCCGTATACAACACTACCACCCCCCCCCCCCCACGTCTGCTTCCTCTCTGTCCGCTAATAGCATGACAACACAGCATCCGTTCCGCCGATGGAACTCACGTCTCCCGGCGAGAAATGCCCAATTGGCCACGGCAGAATACAGAATACGCGGCAAGATTTGCATCCACGTTCGCCGCAGCTGCGATGCAAAGATGTATTGGAGATGGAACCGGCAGGACGCGGTGGGATCTGAAGAGTCGAGGGCTCAGCAGTGGGTTCTGGCACTGGGCACTGGCACTGGGCACTTATTACTATGTAGTAGAAGTCTACTCGGTAGAGATCCTGCTTTCCCGTGTCTGCTGTGCGACGTACAGCACGGGAGTACGGAGTACAGACTCACTACCCGTTGTAGATACGAACTGGATGTTTCCCACCCTCTCGGTGTCCGAATTTGCCATCAGAACCCAGTGTCATTTGTCTGCGAGGCCCCCCGGCCGGTGTAGCTAGCTCTCGGTGGCACATGAGAGGTTGAGCTTGTTCCAAGGAAGCGTACCGAGTACAGCTGGCCAGCAAACATCGAGGGGGAAATGATAGTCGACGGCGGAGTTGACGACTCAGAGCTTCCGCTTTGAAGACCTTCGTATATCAAAAAGTAGATCGTGCCATTGTGTTCTTGCCCTGTCTTGCCTTGCCTTGCCTTGTCTGTCGCCTCTGTCCTCAAGTCAGTTGCATTGACCAGTTGATCAATTGTGGAGATGAGATGAGAGAGTCTTAGCAATTCGTTATTATTCTTGCAGTTCATGTCTCTGATACGCTCCAACAATAATACAGTAATCACCCTGGCCTGTCAGGGCAGAGTTCAACACCCGACGTCGGTCTGCCGGTGTAGCAAACGATGGTAAGAAGTTTTTTTTTTTTTTTTTGTATGAGGCATTTTCCCCCTCTCCACCAGCCCGCCCCAACAACACCCACAACTTCGACCAACGACCAAAATCATCCACTCGCACTGCTCAGCGACTCGCTTGATCGCTGGCACCGGTTCTTTGCTCCATGCAAGCAGCGCCGTATCAAGCTAGGACCAGTCGACGATAGCTACAATTACTAGTTGCGAAGCTACGGGGAGAGGGTACTCTTCGCACTCCATAATTCCACAATGTCTCAATTCTCTACGGAGGACTCTCGCCCGTTCTGATGGCGCCTCACTTCGACCATTCTCCAGGATTTTTCCTACCTCACCAACTCATAATAGGCAGTTCCGGTGTAACTAACTTTGCTTCCCGTTCCCTTCATATTCAATGTCCGGGTCAACGGTCCTGAAACGGATCCATCTACCAAATCTGGTTCTGAGCCGCTCATGGTCCACGAACCAGAGACTCTGTTCAACAGCCGTTTGTCTGGTTCAGGAGATTAATTTATGAGAGCACTGAACTCAAGTCCTCCGGATACTGCACAGTGCGTACAACGGCACACAACGGCACCGAGTACAACGGTACAAGCCTACAAGGGGCTGCAAGTCATTCTATGAGGCTCGAGAGTCGACATACTCCGTACACACAAACCCCATGGCGTCCGCTCGGCCCCATTTGTGCTCATGATCCCTCACCCCTAACCGAGCCCGCCTGGATTCCGCACGGATTCTTCTTCTTCCCCTCTTCGAAACCGTCGCCTTGACATGCCGACCAGACAAGGCTGGCTCCTTGCTGCCAGCTGTCACGCTGAGATCACCTTACGCTTGGCGCTAGTTCTCGGCCCTCCGTACGGTGGTCTACGGAGTAAGGTCTAGTACTTACCCGTGGACAAGGCGAGATGCCAACGGAATGCACTGAGAATGAAAGAGCGCCTCCCGTCCAACCAAAAGCTCACCACATCCTCTCCTACCTCCAGCCCGACTTGAAAGGGGTCAACGGAACTCTTGGCCACGACTGATTGCCATTCCACCGCATATCTTGGCGGGCTCCGACCACCAAAGGGGGAAAGGGGAAGTGCTGTACTTCAGGCTGAGACCCTCCAAGAAATTTGTCCAACATCGCCAGCTCAAGGGGGGGGCGGGGGGGGTAACATAGTACATACTATTATTGTCTTGTGTGTGCTATTTGAGGCGCCAAGCTACGAGTTCGAGGATCCCCTTCCCCCGTCACACGGCCGCCAAGCACCAGCCTGTCGATCGCTTGGCTCAAACTGAAAAAAAAACACAAGAGTTCAAAGGCCAAATATCGAGTTGGACATGGACGGAGAAACTCTCGACTCATCCCTCGGTAGTCCGTATAAGACCGAGAGATTTACAGTGCGCGTGCAGGGGGGGGGGAACTATGCTGCAGGTTGTCATCATCTCGATCGCCACGTCCTCTTAGCTTCATCCTCTACTTCCACACTGCAGTCTAAAGATAGTGGGCAGTGGCAGAGCAGTAGCAGGAGTAGTGGGATATACCTCCCGCCAACCCGATGCCGAAATAGACCGTAGAATCGTTGTTGGTTGTGTCGGTAAGGTTGCCACTAGACAAGTGCTAGACGAAATGTCCTTCATCTACGCCAATCATGACCCCCGTACACGCAACGTTCCCTATGCTCTATCCTGTCAACCTTGTCGTCAGTATAACTGGTTACCTAGTTTAGGTAGGTTACTAGAGCACTTTGTACTAGTCAGTACAACGTAGATGTCCAATAATTCAGATACCCACGAGAACTATCTAATATCTATCTATTATCAGACTATAGTGTATTGTCGATCTCGTGGCAAAGTCAACTGACAGAAATAACTAACTAGTTGATTACTATTCTATAGCAGATGACCTGACGTACGCTTACGGAGACGATTATAATAGACTATGATGTCAGCTGCTGTCTATAATTTCTTTATCAGATTAAATATCTATTTTTCTTGTCGGGATTATTTCCGTATATCCGACACTACCCGTTCACACCACTAGATAAATATATTCAAGACAACGAGGCTGATGCGCTAGACTCTTACGTCAGTATTTTAGGCCGATGCAACTAGCTAGTTATAGCAGTCAACGTTAGTTGTCTACTAATCACTATATTGGCACATACTCCGTAGAACTAACTAGTCATTTTGACCTGATGTCGATACTGGAACTACTGTCATAATTCGTAGCTGAAGGCTATTCATAACATACAAACATCCATTGATACGGACATCGACCGAACATTAGCTCTGTACTCGCAGCCGTATCAGTTGCCGCGCTGTCTTCCCACTCTTCTTCCCCCCCTTGATCCTCCCACACTCTGTCGTTGCGTAGCTGCAAGCCGGCGACGCCGAACCCGGCAATCCCTCCACCACCTCAAGATCACATCCTTGGCCCAGAGGATTCGGTCCCGAGTCTGCACCACCGTGGCGCACTGTCTGGCCACCTCTCTTGCGACGGCACGTCGGTCGGCATCCCGACGGGCAAGGATAGATCTCCAGGCGGACTGCAGCACTGTGGCAGCACGCGCACGCTTTGACGCCGGGAGAAGCCGCGAACATAGGAATGCGAGGGACGCGACGGTAAATTCCTCGTCAAAGATGTGGCCAGGGCCTGACTTCGAAGGAGACACCAGACACGCTGGGCAGGTTAGTATGTAGTTACGAGTAAACCACCGGGAAGTATCACCCACCAAATTGTGAGCTGCAACCTAAAGCACGAAGCCGCAAATGTAGCGACTTGGCCGTAGGTCCTCGAAGCGCGCCCGTTTCTTTGCCCTGTGAGCCTCCAATAATATAGCCTTCGTATTCATCGATGATGAACTGGTAGATTTTTCCATCTGCCAAGGATGCCGTGAAGTTGTCGATTTTGGTCCCGTTTGCCCCGGCTATAGTAGATGCCCACTGCTTGAGAAGTGATTTGTATTCTTCGAATGGTCGGTCATTAGTTCGAGCCGTATCCTCTTCCATGGGGTAGCTGCCTTTGCGTTTTAGTCTGTCGATCTCCTTTCTCAGATCATCCCAGTTGATGAGCCCAGAAAGTCCCCAGTGGCTCAACAGTCCCCAGAGGAGTGCAATGGTCTTTTCTCGATACCCATTGACAATGTCCTCCGCGCAAAGGTTAGCCACGATGGCCTGAGATGCACCGCCTCCTATGGCCGCCAATGCACTCAAAGCAACCTGAACGTTGAAGATCTTTGTTGCACGACTGATGGCAGGTATTTTCAAGTGCTGCGACAACGACCATTGATTCCCATCTCCAGATAGCCGGAGGACCCTCCCAGAAGGAAGAGTGACGTTTACCGAAGCTGCTGGATCATATGTCATACCGTACAGCAGTTCGACTAGCCTGCTTAGGCGAACGCCATCTCTCAGGTCCACGGCCAGGTTGTCAATCCGATATTCATACTCTTCAAGCTGATGCTGCTCGTACAAGACATGGCAATCCAAATGTCCAAGTGACTTAATGATATCTCCGCAGGAGGGTAGAAGCAAACGGCACAAAGCTTTGAGCACAGATTTGGAGGATTTGAACGAGGACGTGGGGAGGAAAAGGCGAGTGGGAATTTTTGCCCTGGGGGACAGTCTTGCGTGGTCCAAGAGAACGACAGTCATGATGCTTCGGTGAAGTGTTCGACAATATGCCAATCTAGCATCTTCTTTATAAACATCGTTTTCCGTGTCAAGGTCGTCATTGCGTAGCAGGAACGTATCCAAAAACCGCTCCAAACGTTTCCGCTGATCTCTAGCTTTCCTCTCCACGCTGTCCACTGATTTGGTGTTGTGAATGGAGGATTCCATGTCATCAGCAGCCTTTCGACCGATCACAGTCTCTGCTGCAGCGTTTAGAGTTGAAAGATCATAAGTGTCCATCCAAAGATCCAAGAACTTCCGTCTCACGCCCACATCCTGCTTCAGTCTGTTGGCCCGAGAAGACAGATCCTTGGGAACAGCCAGGGACCCATATAGCAAGGACGCATGAAGTCGTTTGTGCAGAAGCTTGAAGGCATCAGTCTGATAAATCCCAAAAAGCTCTTGCCGAATGATTTCAGAGTCGTAACTTTCTTCAGCACCGTTAGAGTGCTGAAAGAGTTCATTAACTATCTGAGTAATGGCAATTTCCTGATGTGAAAGCCAATTCTCCTCGTACATTTCGGTGGTCGAGATATTTTCCAACAGTAATGGATAACTCATGTTTATGCCTTTCTGTTTCATTTCTGATAGGATAGGCTTGAAAGGTGCGTTTTCCTTGACTCCAGTGGCCTTTCCAGCAGGTTGTGTGCTCTGCGGCTTCAATGCATCTCCATCCCTCAATGTTAATTTCACTTGAGAGGATTTAATGTCTTTTCGTCCGAGTTTATTGATTGTAGATGATGTATTTGATGATTTGCTGCCAAGTGGCTCTCGCATAGGAATGAATTTGCTGCTTTCCCTGGCTTTGGAGACCTCCTGCTCAATAAGAGAGCTATGGGGCTTGGAGCTTTGCATGTTGGTTGAGCTGAATATCTTGGTAGTATTGGTTGGTTTAGGAGCGCTATCCAGTGGCACATCGATCGGGAGCGCTGGCCTGTAAAGCTTTCTTTTCATATCGAGAGTGACAGATCCGGGTGGAACATTCTCCTTTCCCCCGTTTTTCCCGGCGATGTCGGTCTGGATGGACGCTTCCTGCGTATGCCGGGTGCTTGGTTGTAATGGTGCTCTTCTCGGAGAGGTTGCCATAGATTTCCTTGCCTGTCTTTTTTGGATAATTCGGGCTTCTAGACTGTGGATCTGCGTATCGTCTGGAATGCAGTAGTTGAGGCTATCGGATTTATTGGACTTGAGTGGACTGAACAGTCCCATAAAGACACTGGCAACAGTGGTATCGTCCGAGGGGATATACACCGTATCACGGCGCACATTGCGTGTAAAACCATCTTTCTGAGAATTCCTTTGCTTCTTGCCGTTTATTTCCATAAGGAGCGCATTATTCTCCCCCTGATCGGAGATGACATTCTGCTTCACAGTTGATCTAACGTTGCTCTGGTCTTGTGAAGGTTTGGACGGGTGACTAGCGGCATCAAACCTGACTTTTGGACGAAAACGCTGCGCAGGCTGGGTAAGCAACGACGTTTGACGGGCTGGTTTGGATGCAGCTTGTCCATTGTCTGTTTCGTGCATGACAGCTGGACATCGGGCATCCTCGAGAATTTGAAAATTCGACGCCGTTCGGTTCCTTCGTCTTGGTTTTACGCCTGTCAAGACCTGTGCTCGTATGTCGGTCGTGAAATCAATGGATGCAGTGTCATCAAAACCCATCGGGCTGTTCCTTCCGAATCCGCTTCCCAGACTGAGCTTCGAAGCTGAATGCCGCGAAGGACAAGGCGTCTGGGTCTCATTCAGATACCCTGCCATTTCAAGCGGCGCAATTTGGTGATTCCAACGTCTGATACGGGTGAAATTTTCCCCTTCGATTCAAGATGTTCTTCCACCGGCACCAAGAATGATGGTCTGAAGGGGTATACGGTATCGCCGGCGGGCCCTCGCAGCAAAACAATGAAGCTGCAAGTCAGTCAAGTCTCGTGGGCACATATACAGTGAATCATGCATTAAACCATGCAAAGAAGAGTAAGAATACCTGCAGTCCCGCCACTGGAAGAACTCTAGATGCTCGAACGACCGTGACGCGAAGCAGAGCACTGTTGACAGCACGCGTTGCCCGGTGCAACGCATCTTTCCTGAAACGGCGCGGTCGATCACTAGACCACGTGACCCACATTCACGACTTCTTATGAGACTCGAGAAGTCGTCAAGGCTCAATAACACCTACTCCGTAGTAGTCCGTGATCGAATTATATTGATTGTTAATCTCGCTATTCCGACTAAAAATAGCATCCTAATAATCGTTAAGACTTGCTAATATATGGCATTTTCTCCCCTTTTCTATGGGTGTCAAGATGCCTAGAATTAAGAGACAGAAGTCATGCGTGGAACTTGGATTCAAATACTCAATAGTGAAGCCATCCCATATACTGTTAATTACTCCATACTCCATAGTCAAATTTGCCAGTACTATGTAGTATATGTAGTAAGGACAACCGGGGATTGTAGCCACAACTCCTCACTAGGTGACAGCGGCAAGAGATGTAGCTAGACACACACAATACACTCGATAAATAATTGCCTGCTTGCCTCTTCGTACGAAAAAAGTCTATGTAGCAGTACTGCCTCCTATCTCTCCATGGAGGCACAGGGATGAAGTGTCCATTTCTAAGGCAGCGTCGAGCCTCGGAGTGGGTCAGGGGACTCGCCACCACCATCTCTCGCATCGGACAGCTAATCGATACCGACGACAAGCATTCCATCTATCTCCCCTCCCGAGACACATGGCTATGGATTAACGTGGCAGAGCAGGAGTCTATCGAACCAATTCTAGAGCCGTCTCTCTTCCAACCAGGGGTAATTAATCGCTCGGAGTGACCCGGGCGCTTCGAATGATCGCCTGCGTCTGCTTGATTCGTTCGTGAATAGGTACCTACTCCCTACCGTCTCGTGCCTGACAGCTAGACCTCCAAACCACCACGAGACGGACAGACAGACTGGTCGACTCTCATTTAACCCCACCTCCCTGCTGCTGGGTCTTGCTTTTTCGACCTCTCAGTGCTACCCAGCCCTGTGCGAAATGGAATCTCGGTAGTGACGCAACTTGCACGTTTCCTCCCTACCTTGCTGCAGTCCCCCCTCCCAATCGTCGATCCTTGTTTTGGCTGCCTGGCTATTGTCTGTCTGTCGGTTTGTTTTTGTTTTTTTACACTCTCATGCGGTTTCCATCAATATCGGAATGCCCCTTTGCCATGGAGTCGCTTGTTTTTGAGAAATCGCCGCTAGCGGATTATCTCCAGGAAGAGGGCGAGGATGCCCGGGACTGGGTCGCGCAGGAGGAGATGGTTGATAGCACGGACAACGAGTCGGAAGCGCCCAACTTTGCTCCACGAGGGACTTCGAAGTTCCAGAAGAAGATTCGGAACAAACTGCCCAGGCCCCTGGATTTAAAGGGCTCTCGTCAAGGGGCAGCCTTGAATAGGCTCTATGAGGTTTGCTCGGTATGAAGTCTTCAGAGAGGTTTCTTTCGGTGGTGGTAATAGGCTAATCGGCGTTTCACTCTAGTCCGCCGTGAATTCGCGCATTGGAAGGAGTGACAACGAACGGTTTTTGGAACAGTTTGGTTACATGATCGTTGCCTCGCAGCTGTTGAACGAACACAGCGCCCCTTCGTATACCTCCGCAAGCGATATCGCATCGAATTTCCCGCAGACAGAATTGCCGTCCATTTCTACAACCGTGGGCATTCAAGGGGCTGTTGTCACTGCCACGGCATCCTTCTCGATTGTGTGGTTGTTGCATTGGAGTCGTTCACGCACTGGATCTGGTTTGGATCTGCGGCGAGTGGGAGTCTGTCTCATCGTGTTTCCAGTGGTTGGCGTCATATTCTACGCTTTTGCACGACGGCAGTGGTTGAAGTATCTTCGATACCAGGCCGTCGACGCGGCCGCCACTTTCATCAACAGTGCACAAGGGTTTGATTCTGCGGCTTCCGCCTCGGTCGTATTCATCCAAGAGGTCGAGCTAGTTTCCCGGGGTTATCGAATCAGCACCCCGCTGCCCCCAGTCACTCGCCTGGAGGATCATGCGCAAACTCGCCGGTGCTTGAGACTGCGTCGTGTCGTCTCGGAGAGTCTCTACTCCATGTTGGAACGTTACATCCAGAGCCGACGTCTCCTGGCACCGCTCACGGATAGCGCGAACCTTGAAAAATACCAGGATGTCTACGACATATCTTTGGAGGACCTTAGGGAAGCCGAATCTGGTCTCACTGAACGAGCCACAGAAGACCAGTATTCTTTACGTTCTCTCCGGGTTCTATTCGGGCGGCTTTATAGTGTGAGGAAAAGCATCCTCTGCTGCCTCCTGGCCCTCAGTGCGGATGGCGGGAATTCTGATATCGCAAGATGGGGCACTGCGGTGGAAGAGATGCGAGATCTGGCCAACGTCACAAGATTGTGCATGGCCAAAATGACCGATATTCTTAGCGAAGAAGACTGTAAGCCCGCTAAAATGATTGTTCTTACGTGGAACCTTTTCTTTCTAACCTTCGATAGGCGATCTGATTCCACCATCTCCCCTTCCTACATCCTCTCCGAATAAGGAGAACCTCCGCGCACAATACCGACGCCTGAATTCTCTCTCTCAAGGAATCCGTTCCCTTCATGCAAAGATGCACATTGTCCGCGAAGAATCAAATTCCAATATCGAATCATCCGCAGATACCAGTGACATCGAGGCAACATTGCTCGCACAGTACGAGTCCATCGGAGCTGATATCCGGGGCCTTCTTCAAGAATGGGAAGTCGGAAAATCTGCCCTGATGAGCAGCTTGGACAGACAGGCTGTGCCTGATCGTTTCTCACTGTCCTCAATAGGGTTAAAGTACCCTTTATCGCCGACTCCCAGCCTGGGAGGCGTTACGGCGGTGGAGGGCGGTCCCGCGGATGCGCTCAAGGCGCTCAACGGCGAAACCCACCCCCCCAGCCACACCGACGACGACGAAGAAATCTTTGAGGCTGTAGTATTTCCGACTCGCAATAAGAGAGCTTCCCTTACCAGAGAGGAACGGATCGCACGTGTCAAAGAAGACCGAGCGAGGCAAGCAGCTGCCCGAGAACGCATGGATGCCAACACAAACATGCTCAAAGAGCTTGAAATGGTCATCCAGCAGCGGCCTCGGACTTCAAAACGGGTGACCAGTATTTGATAACTGACTGCAGCCTGCTAGCTTTCTCTTCTTTCTCTTCTCTTTCTTCTCGCTCTTTACAAAGTTCCAGGACGTTCGAGACGACCTTCTGATATTGGTATAGAAGGATTGGCGTCCTGGTGTCGATCCGGGCTGGCTTCCCCGATCTGGCTTTTATCCTGTATATATTGATTTTTGGTTTGTGTATACTCACTTGCCTGTTTGCTCGCCTGTCTTCCGAGTTTGTCTTTCTTTTTGTCTTCTTTTCTATGTATCCCTTGAGCTGTATTACTATCCTTCAGGCGAACAGCCATTGTTGGCCACTGTCTATTCTTACAACTTGTGTTTTATACCTTAACTTAATGAGATAGATATTCTATAACTAATGAATCCTGAAGTATCTCTCTCTCTCTCTCTTTCTCTTTATATTAGTAATCTCTTTCCATAATAATATACTGAGGCCGGTTTTCAAAGATGACTCAGCAAGACTAACTGTATTTGTTCATATCAGCCTAAGACATGACGCGTGACTCGCGCGCGTCGGTTCCCCACCAACCTCGAACGCGAGGAGGGACAGCTTCACCAGCCTCGAGACGCATTTTCTGACCGTCATCCTTGTATACCTCAACACCGGTGACGCTTTTCCTTTCTAATTTTTGCTGAACATCTACTTGTCTTAATTTTGCGAGTTAGGCTCTTACCATAGCATATATCTCATCTCTTGTCTTCATAATCTTCACGCACAAATCACACCGCACAACAGTGAGTGGATGGAGGTTTTTTTTTTGCGTCTCGACTTGTAGGTACTAATCATCCTCAGTGTTGGAAGCACGGTTAGAACAAGCGAGTCTGCTGAAGAGGGTATGGTCTATCTTGAGATCTTTCTTTTCCTTTCATCTTCTTTCTTTCTATTAACATGATGTTTTCAATTGCAGGTTGTGGACGCAATCAAAGACCTCGTGCAGGACTGCAACTTCGACTGCAATGACTCGGGCATTGCTTTGCAGGCGATGGACAACTCGCACGTTGCTCTCGTGTCGATGCTGCTCAAGGCCGAGGGCTTCTCGCCGTATCGATGCGACCGAAACATCGCTCTGGGAATCAACCTGGTCTCTCTGACCAAAGTCCTGCGTGCGGCTCAAAATGAAGACATCCTTACCCTCAAGGCCGAGGATGCCCCGGACTCAGTCAACCTGATGTTTGAGAGCTCCGAGACGGACCGTCTGAGCGAGTACGATATCAAGCTTATGGACATCGACCAGGAGCACCTGGCAATTCCGGATACGGAGTACGCGGCCACAGTCGAAATGCCGGCAATGGAGTTCCGTCGTATCTGCACAGATCTCAATCTGTTGTCAGAGTCGGGTATGTTCCCCCCCACCTTTGTTTCCTTTTAGTCTTGTAACACAGAACTCTTCTAACTTCGTATAGTCGTTATCGAGGCGACAAAAGAAGGTGTCAAATTCTCCTGCCAGGGTGACATTGGCAGTGGCGCCGTGACCATCCGACAGCACACAAACGTGGACAAGGCCGACCAGAACGTGACCATCACCCTGTCCGAGCCCGTTGCCCTGACCTTCTCCCTCAAGTACCTGGTCAACTTCTGCAAGGCCACCAGTCTGTCCACCCATGTGAAGCTTTGCCTGTCTCAGGAGGTTCCCCTCCTGGTGGAGTATGGCCTGGGAAGCGGCCACTTGCGATTCTATCTTGCTCCTAAGGTATGTTCAAGATATCCTAGGCTCTTATGATGAAAACATGCTAATTATGTTTTTTCTTCGATTAGATTGGCGAGGAGGACTGAGAGGTCTAGTTCATACATCTCCAAGGCGAGACGAGAGAAGAAAAAAAATATCCCATAACGAAGCGAAACAGCAAGAGTTGTTATGAAATACATTTGTGGTTCGCCAGTTTTCTATGCCTCTTGTCATGATATTCCCTATTTGACATATTTACTACTGCCTCTACCGTACCTAGAGATTTTCCAGGAAAATCATAGCACTGTCTTCGAATTTACCAGTACGGAGTCCATGTAGATGTAAAAACTGTATTGTGATTCGGTAGAAGAGTCTAGAGAAAATAGTGATTGCCCCAGCTTCCGGAACGAATCAAAAGAAAACCCCCCATGCTCTGTACACCCATTATGTATTTCCTAATCGCTCCCGCCGACTAGCCCTATGATCCCACTAATTAGCAAGATCCAACGCCTGCCCCTTTCAGGAGTCCACTGCACCCGAAGAGAACAGCGGACAGGGAAGATAAGATACTGACCTGGAGAGAAAAAAAAGGTGAAGCGCCGTCCCCGCCAGAATGATCGGAATCGAATGATACCATCCCCTGACCTCGACATTCCAAGACCGAAGTCTCGAAACCCCAAGAGCAAGGGAACCAGGTATGCTGCGTATTGCACTAAAGTGTCACGTCACTAGAACGCACACAATCTTCGCAACGACTCTCCCATGAGGAAAAGGAAAGAAGACCGCCGAGACGGTTTCTTCCCCTCCCCCGGATGTTTCTGATGCCAATTGCAGGTGATGAAAAAAAAAATCACACCAGGCCCTCACGGGCAGTACCGGCTTCCCCTGTCCTTCGAAAAGGACAAAAGAAGCGGATTAACTGGGTGGGGTGAAGATTCCTCCGAATTTCTCATTTGCAAGTTAAAATCTCGGCTTTTTTTTTCCCGCGAGGGGCAAAAAAAAAACACGAGGACAGAGCAGATCGACCCGAAGATCGACCGCTTCTATCGTGTGTAGCAAAGAAACGCAGCATTGGCGGGGACGACGCTTGAAGGAGAAAAAAGAAGAAAAGAAAAAAAAAAGAGGTTGCGGTGGGGGAGAAAAGAACAGCACTTACTGGGTTAATTCACCGCCTACCGGTTTGGGGAGGGCTTGCTCAGTGCCCAGTGCCAGTGCCCAACTGCAGTGCTTACTAAGGGCAGTCAGTGTCTCGTGCCGGGCTTGGACGGATTTAGCAGCCAATTCGATCAGCGGCCCACCTGCGCATGTTGTTTAATACGGGGAGCTATTACGGAGTACTATTGGGAGCGCTGGGAGTTTCTTACGCGTTCATGGTACGTGGAAGTAGGAAAGTCTTGTAGAGTCTTGCGAACCTTATTCAAAGCTACTTCTGACGGACTGTAACTAATTCTCCTAAAGCCTATCTAATTATTTGATCTGTCATAGTACTTGTAGAATACCTGGATGAGTATCTACTATCTACTATCGACTACTAATGTGTTGGCTGATGTCAGTTGTCAGCCTTGGTGGCTGAAGTCTGCCTTGAATTGTTGTTGATCCTAACTACCCCATAAATAGTTAAGGCCAACCATGATACTACATACTGATAGCCTTTGACTGGCCACAGCGCTCAGTCTCACTTGAGATGATTGTGGCTGACTGGGGCTTTATCCTCAGCCACGAAATCACTTAATTTTAAATGCGTCTCAGGATTACATTAATTACCTGCCAGGTATATGGTCAGACCTTTGCTGGATTGAGTAAAGTACTCCGTACCTAGGTATCCCTTCAACCATAGACATGAACCTGTAGTAGTTCGAATCAATCAGGTTAGGAACTACTATAATTTATCATAACTCGATTTTAAACCTACTACATATTATATATATATCTCTAGATAGAATTGTTGTTGGGGTGTTTAATGTACTACACTACAGTATGAGTGGATACTGATAGGGAGGCCAAGCTCCGTACGGTAACACTAGTGAAATCCCGCATTTGCTTATGTACAGATAGGATACCTGAGGCATTCCTCCTGCCGGTGCTTCTTCGTGGGTACGACGATGGACGCATCAGCAAGACATTCTCATTAGCGGTGTCGAACTTACTCCATAATATGTACTCCGTACCTGATGTATCCTGCTCATCCCATGGTACAGAGAGGTACGACAGGCGTTGGCACTCCGTAATGTATGCGTGCCCGCCCCACCATGATGGAGCAGACGAGGAGTGGCACAAATCAGAATCCGGAGCCCGACGGGGCCAAGGGGGGCTTGGGAGGTTCCAGAGTCAGTCTCACTCAAAGGCTGTAGCCTGTGGCAGACTAACAGCAGCATTAGTACTGCTAAGTGAGCCTCACGCAACACGAGAAAAGGTGCTCCCAGCTGGGCTCTGGCAGTCCGAAAACCCCGGACCGCTAAAAGGACACTCCCAGTGACACCCACTTAACTGTGATGGTTGACATTCTGGCCTGTTTTTATTTAGAAGCCAGCTTTGACTTTTTTTTATTTTTTATTTTTTTTATTTTTCTTATTCTTCTTCTTCTGGCTTGCTTTTGGCAACCTCAGTCTCCTATCCTTTTCTGCCTCAAACCTCCTGATCCCATCGCTCGTTGTCACCCTTCCCACCACGGGGCAACGTCGCTGTCGCTTACGCCTTCGAGCTCTCTAGAAATCGATCGATGGTGGCAACCAACCCCCCGCGCCTGACACGCGACGTTTCGCTTTGCTCGGTAGCCCTTGTGATCGCCCTGGAAGAAAGCTGCCATTGATTGAACACCTGATTTCTTGCTCCTCTTCCCCTTGCGTTCTCGATTTCTGCGCTGGTTTCGACCCCTCCCGCTCGTCGACACACCCGGGGGGGTTTTTTTTTTCGAACAGACCTCTCCTCTGCTATCGACAGCCGTCGGCGCCCACCAAGAACGACCCGCTGGGAACCGCCAGCTGGTGGCTTCTTGACCATCCCTTTATCCCCTTCACAATATCGCCCCGATCCCTTCCGGCTCCTGGCCGGAATATCTGGACAAGATTCCTTCCCACGGGTCGCGAGCCTCTCTCTTAGGGGGTTCGTTTGATCCTGCCTTTCGTCGCAGTACGGCGGGATTTCGTGCTCTCGAGGGGTATACGGACATTCAGGACAGTTCGCGCCCCCGCAGGATGTACATGCCAAATACGCGATGGACTTGGTCCTTCGTGATCGTCACTCTTGTTCAGACCATTGTGACGCTAGCTCTGGAATGGTACGACTCTCTATCCCCCCTTCTATCTCTCTCTTACGGCTAAAGAGGTGCTGATTGGAAACCACGGTAGCTACGTCTTCGCGAATTTCCAAACCCAGCTCAACCCACAAGATACTGATAAGACTCCGTCCAAGACAATCCCCACTTTCCTGGCCCTCTACAGTTTTGGTTTTATCTATGAGTTGGTCCTGGTTTATGATGCGCTGCGCCTGAAGAACACCATTCAGATCATCGGTCTGTGTTGTTGTAATCTTGGTCTCCTCATCTACGGTGCTGTCCAGGTGCATCAGATTCGAATCGCTATCAATATTCTATCGGACAACGATGCTTTCAAAACCAATATCTGGGCACAGACAGAACCTGTGCTCATCGCCATCCCGTGCATCGTTTCGCTCGGCGTGGTGCTCATGACTTTTATCGCGTGGAAGTTGTATGACGAGTTTGCCTGGACAATCTATAAACACATCAGTGCCGATCTGCGAATGAAGCGCCGATATCTGACCTATCAGGTAAGAACCACTCTGGTCCTCCGTAACCATGGAAGAAAGCACTCTCTGACAACCGAACAGATCTATATCGCTTTCCTCAAGTTCGATTTCTTCTTCTTCCTCGGCTTTACCGTGCAGTTCCTAGTCATCGTGACCGGCAAAGCCGACGGCGAGTTTGCTGCCACCGTCGCCGCCATTCCCGCAACTATTATCATCCTCATCTTTGCTGCCTACGTCGTTCGCAAAGAGAGTACAGTTGGCATGGTCATTGCTATAGTACGTCTGATGATTTGTAGTGAATATCTTGCACTTCGATTCCTGTTCTAACGTGGTCTTAGGTTTTGTACTTCGCCGCCATGGCCTACTTCCTCTTCAAGCTTGTTAGGATGTACACCCCTGCAAAAGCCAAGGACTACGCGTCTGCTCGTGCCTCACTGACGTTCTTCGCCGTCATCACGCTGATTCTGATTGTGGTCACAATTATCTATGCTGGAATGTGCACTGCCAATTTCAACAAGGGCTTGAAGCCTCACATCAACAAGAAACGGGCTCAGTCAGAGGAGGAAAAGACAACCGAACTGTCCTCTAATATTGCAGGCGGTTCGGTGCCGTCTCGGATGATGATCGATTAAGAAACTCAAATGCGCTATATCCC